TGTTGCTGTTGCTGTTGCTGTTGCTGTTGCTGTTGCTGTTGCTGTTGCTGTTGCTGTTGCTGTTGCTGTTGCTGTTGCTGTTGCTGTTGCTGTTGTGCCTGTGCTGTTCCTCGAAGTCGCAAGATTGTAGAGACGCAGATGTACGAGGGCGTATATACAGCGCATTCGCCGGGGACTGCCGCCTCACTAAGCAGTACCTTGGCTGATAGCGGTAACATGGTGGTGAACGCTCGGGACAAGCGGGAATTTTAAGTCCGATGTCCGGGCAGCGGGGTTGACACAGCAGGCCAGTGTATCGATGAGCAATGAATCCCTTCACCCAGCATCAAGGTGTATATGAGTGTTGATAGGCAATATCATATTGAAGATAGGCCAGACATCCAGAGAGATAGAGGCTGATATCGACCATGATAGAGCTCTCCTTGAGCAGCGTCATCCCACCACACTAGTCCTTGCATATGGGCGGCGACCTCGCAGGCGAGCCCTACGCACTGGAGAGCAGACATGCCCTTCATCTACGAGCAGAGGCACACTGACAATAAGGTAGCAAAGACGACTCCACCGACGTGCGCAGCGCGATATGTACCAGTCAAAAGGCAGAACCTTTTCTTGAATCAGGAGCACAACCATCGAGATCGGAGGAGGACAGGACTCTCATAGACCACAACAACCAGACTCAATTCAGTATATGGACCACCGTCGACTCTGGAGAGGAAGAGTAGGGCATGATATAGGCCGCAGGCAGCAAAGCCCCAGGAGAGCCCTCCAAGTTCTGGAGCAAGCGCCATCATGCCAGTGGAAACGCAGAGTATATTGCAATATCAAGAGAACGACCACTGGGAGCGAACAGCATTGGCCTCCAAGGGACAACAACATCCAGACACAATTGGTCCTTGCCTTTCCACAGCCAGTATGTACCCTCGACACCATTCTTGGAGAACAATCAAGTATACCAGGATGACCAAGGCCGTACGGTTTCGGCAACAGACTCTCCAGGACTCAGCATTGACGATATGATACCAGTCAAAAGGCAAAGTAACATTTGCATACCATCAACACCCCCAAGGAGAGCCGGCAGTATTGCAAGCTTCACTGGACAACGACAACCAAACTCAAATTGTTCTTGCATTCTGACAGCCGATACACAAGAGCAACATCATTCCAGGAGAATGATCAGGCTCGGCAGAATGTCCAGAAGTGTCGACAGCATGATCCAGGACCCAGTACTGACAGTAGGGTACCAGTTAAAAGACAAAGGGTTGTTCATAGACCAAAGAGATGTCCAGGCAGGGTACAGAAGTATCCAGAAGTCCAGAGATCGGCAAAGCATATCCATGGCCAGAGATCGTGGAATCGTAGCTTCGACACCAGAACCAGCAACACCACAGATCATTCAGTCAACTCTTCCACTCCGATGTACCATGGCCAAAATGTTTTCCAGGACAAGGATCGATCATGTTGTTGACAACGTAGAGACGGAGGCCAGACGCTATTATGATTGCTAGCAACAGCAGTCGCGTTGGATGGCTATACTTCGGCTACATCGGCGAGAGCTCCGTGGGGGCTCGCTTAAACCTCGCTTAATTATGCTTGGCCCGATGCAACATACTGAGGACATTGAAATACAAGGCTCTCTGGATACGGTGGAGCACTTGCATAGAATACATAGTGGGAGGTAGTCATAGTAATATGGCAGTAGCTGGAGAGGACAAAGTGTACACTGCCGTGCAAAAGGGAAGAAGCTTCTTCAACAGTCTTGATCACGAGATAGATCATGGAAAGCAGTAGAGTACTGTAACAAACCTTCTACATAACTATTGGTACTAGCACATACAACAGAACCCCCAACCCTCGATACAGAAACACGACAAAGTTGCCACCTCAAATCCCTTCAAAAGCCCTCATAACAGCGAGTTGCACAGGAGCATACGTAACAACCCGATTATGCATCCCATACTCCAACATCTCCACTCTAACCTTAACCTTCCCCTGCATCTCCACATCCCTCTTCCCCAGAGGCAAAACCTCAATCTCCCTCCCAGTAGCCATAGCGAACAGCTTCTCCGTCTGTGCAAACGCAATATCCTGATCATCCCTCGCATGCAGAATATGCACGTTTCCAGCTCCATTGGTCTTGGAAGCAGGAACAGCAGCAGCGGAAGAGACGTAGGCAGAAAGACGCAGACCAGTAGGCCAAGTATCGAGGATATGTTTCGAGATCATGCGGACGAGGAAGGGTGAGTGGCGAAGAGGTGCCAATACAGGAATAAGCCCTCCAATTCTATAACTGAGCAAAAGGTCCGGAAGCGATGAGAAGGGTGCTACTAGAATGATGCTTCTGAAAACCATTTGCTTCGGGCTTTCATCCGTTGCGGTTTGAGGCAGAAGGTCAGAGGTGGGGTGAGCGAAACTGAGGCCTACGGATGTGGCGACGGCGGTGCCCAGGCTTTGGCCGAGGATTACGATGCGAGAGGGTCGGATGCCTAGGGAGAGGACGTAGTGGACTAGAGCGCGGCCGTCGATTATCAAGCCTTGTTCTGTGGGAGAGCCGGTGCTACGACCAAAACCGCGGTAGTCGACGGTGAAGATGTGGGTGTGGGGTTGGTTTGAGAGGGCGCGGTAGGTATCTGTCCGCCAACCTTGAGCTACGTGGCCTGCATTGCCGTGGACTTGTTTCGTCAGTGATGCTATTCTGGAATTACGATGTAGACAGGGCTTACAATTAATAACCACTCTGACCTTTGGGTCAGATTTAAGAAGCTGAAGAGGGAGGGTTTGATCAAGTGGATCAGAAGCAGCCAAAGCATCTCTGTTCGCGGCGACTGTTGCCAGAGGCAGGATGTGCCATGCATAGAGCACTTCATTATCAGGTGTGCTGACGTTGAAAGGAGTCACCTGATGAGCTGCAAACCCAAAGGATTCAGGCTTGTTGACATCGTGCCAGAAGCCAGAATGTATCTTGTGAGCATATAATGCACTGTGTAATAGGACGTGTCAGACAACGAGATATAAGACATCGTCCAGAGATTCAATATAGACTCTGATCAACAGTTTGATCATGAGAGAAGCACCAGCAGTAGAGGAAGAAGAAAATACGCACTGTCGTTGTAACCAAGGATTCGTCAAAAGAAGCACAGAGACAGGATAGAGAGAAACAGCAAATATAAGGAACAGAGAGCCACTCTTGAGTACACCCATGTTGATGAGAGTCGTCTCTATACTAACCTATCATCCTTCAGCAAATTGCAGTTCGGGATGTTTGCCTGCAAGTGAAGAGAAGAAGACTGCTGCTGTTGCCTTGCATACTCTCTCTACGTTGCAACGATACGTGTTTACTTACTCTAAAAGGGTAACGAAAAAGAGTGTCACAAGACCACTGGTTCTGGTATATGCGGTTTGGTGTAGCAAGTGAGATTCCCAAGCAGCCGTGGTCATCCGCACATGCAATACCAAGACTTTTGTCCCCTCACACCCCCACCAGTCAGAACTCAACGCAGTCCAAACGCCTACCCTACGAAAAAATCTCGGCGTCTGCTCATTCTTCCTCCACCATCTCTCGTCCCAAACCCTCCTCGCACAAACATCGTCTACACTGCGGAGTTCCAGTCAATAAAAGCATCGACTGTTATTCCCACAGCTGTAGACGTTGCAAAAGCGATGGAAGGAATGAGCAAGGTTTGTATAAGCGAAGAGATGTGTTTTCTTCAAAAACAACAGCAAGTCAGTCCTCTCGGCCCTCGTATACCCCCATCGAGAAGCTGGTGTTTAGACTCCGGTCTATACTTGCAAGAATGACCTTTACAAGGCCTTGCGTTTGAGGTATTCGTGACAAATTATCCCCTGGACGAATCACCATAGAAGTCTCGGTACATATCTACTTTTATTATTACAATTCTAATTCACTTCCGTTCATCGTTGCAAAGTCTGTATGCAAAATGTGTTTAGTTTTGTATTTTTTGGATTGGATGGAACATGGGTATCTAGGTTGTGGTTGGTGCGTCTGATGCTTCTGTTGCTGGGTTGGCAGTAGTAATGTTGCCATCGCTTGCTATCACAGGAATCTCTGAGATGCGAACTGACTTCTTGCGCTTTGCGATTGAGCTGTCTGTCGCTGGAGCTTCTGCAGGTTGGGCAGGCTCTGACTCGGTAGGTGCAGGCACTGCAGTAGAGGCCTGCACATCCTTTGCGCCATCTTGAGGACTGGACACAGGCTCAACAGGGCCAGGTGCAGATGCGTCTTGTACCGTACCCGGCGCCGGTGTCTGCGGTGTAGCGGTGGTATCAGCCCCTTTGGCAGGATCCTTCTCCCCTGCTTGTTCATTGTCTTTGTCTTCCTTCTTTTTCCTCGGCACAGGCCTAGGCTTCGGCTTGACCTCTGGTACAACGACCGAAACCTCCTCTTCTGCCTCGGTGATGCCGCTCTTGTGAGGCAGTCTAAATGCAAGGTGCCTCGTCGGAGCACGTGTGCACTTTTCGATCTGATCCATCATGTAGTTGCGAACCTGATCTGCAGGCTTGACGCAGCGTGTTATGAATTGTAAAACATCTCTTGCAGCAGAGCGACCTTCGGGTACGCTGATCGTCATGGTGACTGGTTCGTAGTATTCGGTTTCTGGTTCGAGTTGGGGACTGATCAGACGGCCTTTTCGTATGACGAGGAATGATGCGAGCATCTTGTACGAGTTCAAGAACTCAAGAATGGTGTATTCGGGAAAGCGGAAGCGGTCAGGCGAGGCGTTTGGGCCGAGGAACTCGAGTACGATTGGATAGCTAGGGTATCTCGGTGGTGGAGGTGGTTGATGCGAGTATTGAGGATGCTGCTGAGGCATAGGGTATAGCGGAGGGTTGGGTTGGACTGTTGCAGGGTGTGGTTTGATGACAGGAGCGGCGGAAGGTGGGCGCGAAACAGCGTGTTGATGCGGTGGAGCAGGAGAGTTCGTTTGGCTTGCAGGTTGAGCCTTGTTGGCGTTGATCATGGCTGTCAACTCATCTATGTGCCTCTGGAAGATGCGCAGCTGTTCCTGATTGGCATTGCCGGTGGCTACTATCTTCATGAGTGCCTTGAGCTCAGGGTCGCTACTTGCGCGCGAGGCAAGCATCTGGATGACGGGATCTGGCGACTGTTTGGCAGGCGCTGGTGCGGCAGGCGGAGGGGGCGGAGCTCGAGCTGTCGCGGGCATGATGGGCGGTGGATGTGGGCGACCCTGGAATTGAGCCGAAGGATGTGAATATGGCGCTCCATATGGGCTTCCAGCAGGAGGATTGGGCACAGGTCTCTGCTGTTGGTTGAACTGCTGGGGGGCATGTTGATATTGGTGTTGGTATTGCTGCTGTTGTGGCGCTTGATGCGACGAGTTTGACGGCGTGGGACCGGGTTCCTTGACGTAGTATGCCGTCGCTTCGAAGATCATGGGCTCAACCACCAGCGTGCATGGCCCGATCTCCTTCATCCATGACTTGTGCGGGTTGCCTGGCGGCGCCGGAGGAGCGTCTTTCCTGCCCGATGTCTTTGTCCAGTACTTCTCGAAGAAGCTACCCGAGATCCATTTCTGACGCGATCGTTCCAGCGATGCTAGCAGGACTCCGCTTTCTGCGATGCTCTTGTATTCGTCGTTGGACAGGTCGTTGGGTTGGCGCTCGGAGAGGGTTGGCAAAAGCCTGGAGTCGACGACTTTGTTCGGCAGTGGTGTCGCTTCTCGAATCACCTCCTCGACGACAGGTGTGGCCTCTTGTGGTGTCGCGTCCTTTGGCGTGGGCGCTTTGGTCGATGTCCTTCGTCGTTTCGCATCTCGCGCACGCCCCGATGCTCGTCGCTTCTCTGCCATGGTCGTTGACGCGTCTGCTCTTAATATGTGCCGGTCTAGCCGTATAGATGTTTTGCATTCATGGACTCATGTTGCGTTGCTTGTGTAACGGACTTGCGAATCTCGAAATCTTGTCGATTATGACGAAGCTGCTAACGCCCATAAACATTCCAGGGTCACCCCGTTTACAGCAGCATTCTGAAATAGCAGCATTTGTAGACCCATTGCGTACTGTTTGTACTCCCTGTACGAGTAGAGACGGCCTGCAGTAACTCTAGGTATGTGTTAGTATCACTTCACCCTACCGAACGTGTATGTGCGGACGGTCCTTCAAAATAACACAAGCTCATCTGCAGATGACGAGAGGTCATCACGACCTTGTTCCACATCGCCGGCACCATGACCTTCTACGATGTGCTCCTTTCCTGGAAGCAACCTGCCCAATGCTATACGTACTAGGTCGTCACCTTCGTTACTTCGCAGGCCATACCAAAACACTGCAATCGGCGAATAGCTGCAAGCAGTACGTAGGTCTTACGGATCACACGAACGAAGAACATCGCATTTTTTTGCTCCCGCTGAGGTGTATAAGGTACCAAGTCTCCTCTCTCCCCCTTTTGGTCTTGCAAGCCCCCTTACTCTTACTACCCAACTTGCTATACTTGTCCGGCATGTGAAAAAGGTCAATTTTCCAGACGTACGCGGAGCAAAAGATATTGGTAAGTAAGGGGTTCGAACCCTTGCACGTAATGTACTGGTGTTTAGATTGACTTAAAACCAGCGCCTTAGACCACTCGGCCAACTTACCGGAATCAGCTAAAAACCATGCAATTGACAATAAGTACTAATCGCAATCTGGCCAGATCACTGGCCAGGGGCGAATCTCTGGCGCCGACGTACATGGACTTTGCCCATTGAACTAGTCATCACGAAAAACTGGGATCGAAGTCAAAGCTAGGCTTCAGCATTATTACAGAGTCTAGAGTTAGGGAATGGAGGCCTCTAGAGCCCAATCGGTACCTATGTTTTGTTCATTATTGGCACAAACGAATAAGGTTATTCTAAGCCGGCACGGGAGCCGAAATGTGCTTGCAAAAGTCGGCAATGTTCAACCATGGTTTGTCAATCTGTGTTCCAGTTTGCGGTGGGATTTGGACAAACAGCCTCGTCAAACCACATCCGCAGCCGGACCTTTGACCGAGACGTATCCCATGTCTCTTGTAATCGATTTCATGGCACATCGTCAGATTTGATGATTATGGAGGATCGGCACTTCATCTCGAACGACGAGTTAGCGAGCTCTAATATGCCCAACGCCTGCAATTCGACTCCACTTACTATGCGACGGCCGTAAACTAATTGATCCTTCTGCCCCACGAATGCATCACAAGATGAAGCCTGTTCCCAAGGCCGACATGTGTGCCTGTTCTCTGTATTCCTTATCCCATCCATAGAGATGACAGAAAGAGCACACTTGCGAATCGCCATTATCGGCGCTGGTAAATCATGTTTTTCATCTTTTGACATCTCTCGTATAGCTCATCACCACAAACAGGAATTACCGGCCTTACGACAGCGATAGCCCTTCGCAAACTCCCAAATGTCGATATACAGATATATGAACGGGCAACTGAACTCCGTGAACTGGGTCAAGTGATAGCTCTAAATCCCAATGGACTACGTACACTTGACAAACTCGGCTTGGATAGAGTGCTATCCGGAGAACTTGGTTATAAATGTCCTAGTGGTATACCACAGACATTCAGGCAAGGCCGATTGCTTATTTCATCTAGTGGAGAAATGCTGATGGGAATAGACATTGGAAAACGAATGAAGCCTTGGGAAGTGAACAACACACGCCACAAGTCGAAGAACAACATAAGATGGCTAGATACTTTCGTCCTGAATTACAGGAAGCTTTACTCAGCTATTTACCAAGGGAGATCATACACTTGGACAAGCGGGTCATTGATGTTCGTATCACAGATGAAGGTGTTGATGTCGACTTCGCGGATGTCACAACCATACGTGCAGATCTTCTCATCGGCGCAGATGGCATTCGGTCCAGCGTCCGTGGATTCTTCGCTCTTGATTTTGAGCTTAAGTGGTCTGGTCTGATCGCCTATCGTTCTGCCTTTGATGTCGCATTACTCGACAACATCAAAGACGTACCCGAAGACACTACTCAATGGGTTCGTTACACCATTCTCAGACAGCTACACATATACTAAATTTTTTTAGTGGTCATCCAAAGACGGCATTCTAACAACCCGCATGGGCCCCCAAAAATTCGGCATCGTAGCCTTCCACTCCGTAAACCCCCAAACCTCCACCCACCTCCTCGGCAGAACCCACTGGGACGAAAAGACATCCTCTTCCACCCTCGCAGAAATGTACAAAGACTTTCACCCAATAGTGCGAGACATCATTGCCGTCGCACCCACAGTGCGTACATATCCGAATTTCTACGGCGGCTTCTTGGATAGCTATGGGTTTGGTGGTAGAGTTGTTCTGGTGGGAGATGCTGCACATTCGCATGGTGGCGCTTTGGCGGCGAATGCTTCGCTGGGGATTGATGATGCGTACGCTCTGTATCTCTGCCTTCTTGAGCATGTTTCTGTGGATGGAAGGTTGGAGTTGGGAGATGAGCAGTTGGGAGAGGTGTTGAGTCTTTACGATGCTGTAAGAAGACCGCATTGTGAGAAAGTGCTGAGAATGGTACATGGCATGTATGATGCTAACAACCAACGATTGTGGGGTGGAGGGGAAGAAGAGACTGATGAGGAGCTCGAGGAGAAGTTGAGGAAAAGGCCTTATGCGGCTTGGATCCATGAGCACGATGTGGAGGCCACTTTTAACGAGGTGAAGTCGGCGAGAAAGACCTCTGAGGAGTAGAAATTAGATTCCGGACACTTATATAATAGATAAACAGGCACATTTCATGCCAATCTTGGCGGAGGTAGATTTGTAGCTGCGTCTTGGTCTGCTGAATATAGCCAATGACATCGTCTTGAAAGACTTGCTCTTGTCGCCAGCTCCCGCTAAGGTTTTTCGAGAGGAGATTGAATACCAGGCTAGTATACAAAGCGTCGAAAGGTTTGCGAGCATGCTATCATTGAGTGGCATCAGCCTCTCCCTGAAGATCAGCGAAGCCTTCCTGCGGGAAGGTCATGGGGAAAGAGGTTTGCGGAGAACCGCCAATTCAGCCACCACTAAGAGGTCTGCGGGATTGATCGACTATGATTGGTTCTTGTCCCGCTCCTCCTCCTCCATGTCATGCGATGCATATCATCGGCGAAGGATTACCCACTTCGTCTTTGCCGGAGTAGACGAGAAAATGCCCCTACGAATCAGTGACATTCAGCCGACAATAACTTCCGACGGGTCTATAAAGTGTGAATAACTTTCCTTCTCCGTGTACTCCCACCTTTTGTCGCTCTCCCGTGTCACATAAACTCTCTTAGCTTCCGTGAGAGATGGTCTACGTGCGCACACCCTACCTCCGCCAGACGGTCAACTCGAAGCAACTGGTCGTCAATGGCAAGCCATTTCTCATGCTTGCTGGGGAGCTCCAAAATTCTTCGTTCAGCTCGGCAGAGTACATGAAAGACTACTGGAATACCCTCACCACGATAAATATCAACACAGTACTAGGATCTGTGTCTTGGGAACAAATTGAACCAACAGAAGGCAACTTCGACTTCAAGTCACTTGATCAAGTCCTTTTGGATGCAAGGTCTCATGGCTTACACGTCGTTCTCCTGTGGTTTGGTAGCTTCAAAAATGGTTAGTCCACTCTTTTGTCCAATATCTTGGACAGGCGCTAAGATTGACTTATCATCCAGGTCTCTCCACATACACACCACCCTGGGTCAAAAAAGATTCCAGGCGCTTTCCCAGAATGAAACTGCGAGGTGCAGACGGAGGCCTGAAAACAGGAGACGTTCTCACCATATTCGGGACAGAAGCACAGAAAGCCGATGCCAAAGCTTTCAAAGCACTCATGCAACACCTGCGCGAGATAGACGGCGAGCACTCCACTGTAATCATGGTACAAGTCGAGAACGAGACCGGCGTCCTAGGTGACTCCAGAGACCATAGTGAACTTGCCGAGAAACGGTTCTCATCACCGTTGCCGGAGGAGTTTCATGACTTCCTGAAGAGAGAATGGTCTGGCTTTACGGATGCCTTTCAACGCAATCTTGAAGAACTTCGTCAACGTCCCCTGCACAAGAGCATGACATGGAATGATCTGCCCGGTAACCCAAAGCGAATTGACGAGCTGTTCATGGCCTACCATTACTCCTTGTATCTGGAGGAGGTAGCTTCGGCGGGAAAATCAGTCTATCCTCTTCCTTTGTACACGAATGTTTGGCAAAACTACATGGACAGTGACGCCGATACAAACACACCGCCTATTGCCGGCGGTGGCTCAGATCCTGGAGACTATCCATCCGGTGGTGGAGTGGTTGATGTTCTGGACGTTTGGCAGGCGTTTGCCCCTTCTCTCGACCTCATCGCTCCGGACGTATACTTGAACGACTATGCGACGTCGTGCAGGAAGTACCGACACAACAGCCAGCCTTTGTTCATTCCAGAGCAGCGTCGTGACGAGTACGGTGCATTGCGTATCTGGACCGCTTTCGGCTCGTATGGATGTCTGGGAACCTCACCTTTTGGATGCGAAACGGTGGACCCTATGCAGAGCCCATTCAGAAAGCATTACGGCTTGCTAGCAAAGATGAGCCATCATGTTCTCGCCGCTCAAGCAAAAGGCAATGCCAGTGTAGGCTTCTTCTTTGACGAGCTGACGTCGGAAGGCTCGGACCCGTCATCGAAAGTCAACGCCACCTTTGGAGACTGGGACTTGTTGATAGAGCGATCATTCGTGTTTGGCCGTCCGTCGCAAGGTTCTGGTATGGTTATTCACACAGGAGGTGACCGGTTCCTACTCCTGGGTTGGGGCTTCCAGGTGATCTTCAAGCACAAAAGCTCAAAGGCCCACTTCAATGGTATTCTCAGATTCGAGGAGGTGGAAGTTGATGATGCAAAGACTGGAGCTTTGAGGACGGTCCGTTTGCTGAATGGCGATGAGACGCAGAGTGGCAAGTATGTGATTATGCCGAGCGAGAATCCCGATTATGGAGGCTTCCCGATCAGTGTCACCATTCCTGCTCGTACCGGTGTCGCAATGTGTGAGCCGTATGCGTTGTGCGATGATTAGGCTTGAGCGGAGCATTTAGATCTTTCCTAGAAGCGAATTGACGTACCGGCATTTTTAATCATTGGATTGCATTAGACACCCGAGCATGTAATTTGAGATGAATAAAAAGGCTTTGGTCGAGCTTTGCAAAGGGCAGTCACGGAACGCGCCTTCAACATCTGCGTCTTTCCAAAACAGATTGTGTCGTGAATTGGTCCAGCAGGCGCGAACGGGCCAGGCGGTTTGCAGTGACGCGTCCGATTCGTGACTGCTTTTAAGCGGCTAAAGTCTGGCTAAGCCGGATAGCTTCCGTCACCAAAGGGAGCTGTTCAACCCAGCCACTAAACCCACCGTTGTCTCGAGGAGCAATAAAGCCAAGATGAGATCCAGACTTGCACTGGTGCCAGACGTGTTGCGATGCGACGACCAACCTCCTGCTTACATTGTCGTACCACGAAACGGAAGTGCACCAAGTTGACTGGTGCAGCTTCCTGTGAGCAATGCATTCGTGCAAACATCGTCTGCTCGCTAGTCCGCTGTTCTGGAGTCCGAGGAGCCCAGAATGTGCTAGCATCTGCCCCAGAACCACCATCGAGTAACCAAGATGAAAGCATAGTGGTGACCATGTCCGACACAGTCGTCGAAGAGTTGGTTCGCGAGTACTTGACCTTCATCCACGACAGACCTCACAGCCTGTTTCATTGCGCAACCCTGTGGTCGGATATCCACAGCAACCAGATCTGTAGATACTTGTTGTATGCGATCTGTAGTCTGGGAGCCAGTCTCTCGTCGGAACCTGCGCTACGCCATCTCAGATCAAGGCTCTTCCAGGCTTCGAAAGATCTCTTGCTGGCGGATCTGGAAGATATATGTCTAGCAAAGATACAGACGTGTTGTCTACTTGCCAATATATCGGGAGCGGAGTTAAACACTCAGTCCGAGACTTTGTTCCTTGGTAAGTGTAGAACAACGCTCAAAAGAAAGTTCCACATTTAACAGACCAGGCCTTGCGAACCGAATGGCTCAAATGCTGAAATTACATACTATTGACCAGGCCGACGTTGCTGTTGATAGGGAGGTCAAAAGTAGAGTATGGTGGACCCTTGTCATGGCCGATAACTGGTGTTCCAATGGCCTCGGTCTACCCCGTCAGCTCGAGAGTCAACAGTCGAACGTCGATTTACCTGCGGACGAGTATCTTTTCCAAAGCTCATCTGCCGATGATACTCCAGACAGTCCAGCGACCTCCCGCCGGGGCCTTTGGGCATACATGATCACCCTAGTCGATCTATTCGGACCGATCTACGAGCTGAACCGGAGACTTGTTCAAGACCAGCTGGCGGAGAATCTCGCCGAGCAAACGGTTTTGCTACTTTCGGAGCAATTTGACGACTGGAAAGCCACTTTACCAGATCATATGCAGATTAACGACTCGAATCTAGAGTATCACATTGAAAGGAACCTGGGAGGCTCCTTCGTAGCTTTGCATCTCGGCTATTTTCACTATCAGACACTCCTGTATTTCCAATTCCTTGACCTACAGCGGCCGAGATCTCTGATCTCCGACTCCTTGGCGAGGCGTTGCAAGGAGTGTGCTCTCTCTTATAGCCGCTTGCTAGCGACAACTCGAGATAGAGGGTCATGTGAGGCTATCTATGTTACTGTGGGACATATGACCGTCATATCTTCAGCGGTATTGTTACATACCTTGCTATTCGGTCACGACGATGAAGTGCCTGAAGCACGGCACAATCTCACCACCAACTTCTCTGCTTTGATCGATCTGAAGCAGTATTGGCCGGGCTTGGACAAGATCGTGGGGGCTTGTCGAATCCGCTTAGTAAATATTGGCTAACCATGAGCAGATCTCTCGACTCTCGATCTTCCAGGCGGCATGTTTAAATTCGACCAAGTTGAACACGCATCACATTGATCAATGGATGGTCCGGTTCTTGTTAGAGCACTCGTTGCCACTGGAGGAACGTCCTGAACAGGACCTCCTTGATGTGACCAACGGTCCATTGCATCCAACTCAAGTTCGGACTACTGCCGCCAGTGACGCTATTGCATGTCTGTGGCCCTGGTTGTGAGGCTTTTCGAATTCGGCTGAATCACCGAGTTCGTGGCCCATCGTTCGAAGTGAGATCTCCTTTGTCCTCAGCAGCGCAACCGAGCGCATTTAGCCCTGTTCTATATCATTAAAGGATGCTTGCCCGCTAACAACATCATCCCGAAGCCACTAGAATGTGGAGTTGCGGAGAAAACGTGTGGAGGATCATGTTTACTCCGCATGGCGTCGGCTTTCGAAGCCTGTTTAGCGGCTTTGTCAACATATGATTGGACCATTTCCTTCGCCTCATTGCGCCTACCCCAAATCTGGAGTCAAACTGAATACAGTAACCCGGGCACGAATACATAACTATCCCCTCATACGCTTGGATATCACGACACGCATCGCATCGCACTATCATCATCCTTAGGGACGACAAGGACACCCACGCTACCACGGCACAGTCACTCGAGCTAGAGAAGAGCACTCAGGCTAACACGATTGATGTTGATCAGTCTCCATCACACGACCACCAGGTCACTTAGTACAAGGATGCTGGTCTGAGAAAGCTCTATCTCATGATGCCTATCCTCTTCCTTGGAGCCACTACCAACGGCTACGACGGTAGTCTGCTGAATGGACTTCAGGCCATGGACCCATGGCAAGAGTGTATGTTTGCTTCCCTATTGCTCATGAGACACTTACTGATATGAGAATCAGACTTTGGCCATCCTAATGGGTCTACCTTGGGCCTTTCCAGTGCAATCCTGCAAATCGGTGCATTCTCTGCTATCTTCTTCTGTATGTCCCATCAAACCTACGTTCGAGGTCTTTTCTTACACGTTGCACAGCGTCGTACCTTGCCGATCTTCTTGGCCGTCGGATTGGATGTGACCGTGGGTATCGTGATTCTGATCGGTGGCGTCATCCTACAAGTCGTCCCGGGCGTCACTACTTCGATGTATATCGGTGGCATGTTCCTCGTCGGTCTTGGGTGAGTCTTCATCCGCCTACTCCGACGTTATCTCACGCCCCGCAGCTCGAACACAACGCAAGGTTCTGCACCTCTCTTAATCATGGAGCTGGCTCATCCGCAACATCGCGGCAAGATTACCACTATGTACAACACTCTGTGGTACTGCGGTAAGTGCTACTGCGCAAAAGACCCCAGGATACAACGTCTTACTTTGCAACAGGCTCGATCGTCGCTGCCTGGACATGCTATGGTACAACGTCCTACTCTACGAACATGGCATGGAGAATACCGACGGCCGTCATGGTCCTAATGCCTGCGCTCCAGTTGCTAGGTATCACTTAGATTTACGAATGACTTTCTTCACGTTTCCTAATCTGTTCATAGGTGTATGGGCGCTTCCCGAATCGCCAAGATGGCTCGTCTCGAAGGACCGCCATGAGCAGGCGCTCACAACATTAGCGAAGTACCATTCTAATGGGAACACCCAAGATCCTTTCGTTCAGTGGGAACTTTCGAGCATCAAGGATACCCTCCAGATGGAGAAAGAGAATTCCAAACAGGGTTGGCAAGTCTTGCTGCAGACAAAGGGACATAGACGACGAGTACTGCTTCTTGCGCCCGTCTCTTTCTTCTCACAATGTTCTGGCAATGGAATGGTCAGCTATTACCTCCATTCGATCTTGAACTCTGTCGGAATGACCGATCCACACGATCAGGCTCTGTTCAACGGTGGTCTTCAGATCTGGAGCTTCTTCGTCGCTATCTGCTTCTCAGTCTTCCTGGTTGACAAATTTGGTCGCCGCAAGCTTTTCTTGATTGCTGCTGTTGGTATGCTGGTTACATTTACCATTTGGACAGCCTGCTCAGCAGTGTTTGCTAAGACTGGCAACGCCGGCGCCGGAAAAGCGGTTCTGGCCATGATCTTCCTGTTTTACGGAGTTGCAGGTTTCGCATGGCCTGGCTTGACGGTATCTTACGCCGTCGAGATCCTGCCGTACAACATCCGTGCCAAAGGCCAGACCTCGCTGGCTTCTCTATTCAATCAATATGTCAACCCTATCGGACTTGAAAGGATCGCATGGAAATTCTACTTCGTCTACATCGTTATCCTGGTGATTGAGGTCATCACTATCTACCTTATCTTCCCAGAGACCCGCGGTCTTACTCTGGAGGAGGTGGGCCACCTGCTCGACGACGATTCGAAGCACTCTTCCACTCAGTCGAGCGAGATTGAGGAGAAGTCTGATGTCGAGCTGGTCGAATACGCCGAGGGAAAACATTGAGAAGGAGTGTACTTGGCAGGAGTGAGGCTTCCCAGTGTGCAGAGTATTCATTTTATCATTGGTACATCTTTTTCATATCGCTGCGAAGCTTATCGCTGCAGGGTGCTTCATGTCCTGTCTCGCATTGAGACCCTCAACACTCCGTCGGAACCAGGGTACTCCGTGCTTAGCTGGACATCGGCACCACCGCAGCCAATTTCAATCGTCCCGAGAACCACAATCGCGGACTCGAAATCCGAGCGCACTTGTATATATGCAAGCGGATCATCGCTCAGTTCGTTTCTTGACAGAAGTAGACACGTGCTGTCCTGATTTGTGCGATTATCTAGTATAACCAGATTCGTGGGGGACAAATCTGTTTGGTCAAGATGTTGTATGACGAAATCCATGATTTGTTCGACATTCAAGCCTTGAAATGGCCAATCATTGATTAAGCCATCGTCTACTGGTGACTCTGTCCTCGGTCTGATTGCAGTAATGTCTCGGGATGTCATCAAGGTTGATTGGGCTTCCGGGTATTCATATTCTCTGCATAATGCGTTGGCTTTCTCAAAGAATGCATTCAGGACCTGCAATCACACGTCCAAATTAGATAGACGAAAGAGATGGGAGTGAATCGATCTTGCCTCTCTGTCTATCTGTTGAATTGGAAAGACTGGAATGGTCGAGTCGACGCAGTCGCGGGCAGCAGGAAGCCTTCCCATACTTAATAATTTCGCGTTGGTTATCAGGGATGCTTTATCTCATTGTTCGAGAGCCTCGGAGGTAAACTTTGTGGCTGTCATCTTGCCAAGAGTTTCTGACCATGCGGGGTCCCACTAACTAGAGCGACGTTGAAGAAAACAACCTCAACACAGGTGCTCAAGTGCGGACACAAAACAAGTTAAGAAGCACGATCATATCGTCAGATACAGTCGTCAACTCCCTTAAGCTCTCGATAGTGCTCGACGACCAGGCTGGTCTACGAGTTGTGATGCAAGAACGGTTAAGATAACAATAGTATGGTAAGAGACGATGCGTGTCTTCGAGACGAGGCTTATAGGTTTATTGTGTCTATGTTGTTATGCTTATGAATCATCCCAGATAATAGACCTTGCCCTCGAATAATCGGCGTGCAGTTCGGAACACTATCACTTCCTCCACTTGCTCCTTTGCATCTAAACGAACGTCAACGTCCATGTCTCCACCAGGATGACGTAGACGGACTGTCTCAAGCGCAGGCACATTGTCTAGCTGTACAGGAGAGTCCTGCCTTGTCCTCGAACATGAGCTGTTACGAAGTTCGTACGCCACTGTGCCCTTGGTACATGCTGCAGTACCGAGGCAGACCGCTCCTGTCAACTGCAAACTACCATGAACTTTGCCCATTGAGTACGCAACACATTGGATGTCTACCGAAGGCACGCCCTCTTGCGGTTCCGGCTTTGATAGTACTGCTATCTTGGGAGTACCTCTCGTAAGTGCCGCTTCGGAGGTGCTGGTCGCAAGACCCATCATGACTGCTGCTTCTCTTCGAATTCTCTCGATGAACTCCAATGTTGAGGTTGCACCCGGACCCTCTTGGTGGAAGAAGTCTGGCAGCGTTGAGCCGTCGACAAGACAGAAAGGGTTTGCTGCATCAACAAGACTGACTTGTATCGGAATTGGTTCGGAATTGAAAAAGGTCTGCATGAGAATGGTGTTCATCGCGCGTCCAGAAGGTAATAGCTTGCCTGTCATGGCTCCAGCAGGTTTCGAGAAGCCCATCTGTACTCGGCTTCCGACTGAGAAAAGCCCAGGCAATTTGCAGTCGCCATCTTCGAGGAAGTGACCTTCGTCATCGACTTGGACTGTTTCGATCATCACCGACTTTGTGTTTGTGTTGAAGATTCTGACTTGGACCTGTTTCAATGTGTTAATTTGCTGATGTCTTCATACCGCCTAGAATATATCTTACCTGCTTCTGCCCTGGCAGCACATCGACTAGGCCCTCATCGACCGCGAAAGGACCAACACCGGATGCGATATTACCACAATTGCCAGTCATATCCAACTTCGGAGCACCAATTGTCACTTGGACAAAGGTGTAATCGACATCTATGCCTGGTCTGGTGGACCGCGAGATCACAGCAACTTTAGATGTAGTCGAGGTAGCTCCACCAATACCATCTAATTGTTTAGGGTCTGCATCATACGAGCCCATGACTCTTGTGATCACAGAAGCCCAATCATTTTGGCTTTGTGGTAGATCTTGACGATGTAGATAAAGACCCTTGGAAGTACCAGCTCTCATCCAGACCGCTGGGAGTGCTCTTCGTCGTTTCGGAACCATCTGTGGTGCCACGGTTGGGGTAAATGTGATGAGCCCTGGCATGATTGATGGGTGGAATTCCAAGATACGGGGAATAATAGCAGTGTCGATGTGTCTTGCAGCTGTCTTGAACATAGTATTTTGGGAGGGTTGGAGAGAATTGGTTTCAATCGACTTAAGTAGATCTTGGCTTTAATAGTTATATCTATTGAGTTTAGAGAATGCACATTCATTATAGCATCACATCCATGGAGCAATCAATGCCCTGCGGCGGAGGAGAACGATTACCAGTGTCTGCCGCGGAAAGTGGTTGGGGAAGCCGCGGGCTGTGTCGGATTCCGGCTTCTCCCACGGTAAGTTGTGTTCCGTGGAGCTGCACTCTCTCGCGGCTCTACTTGCACGAAACCGTACCCCAGAATCCTTCGCGTGGCCCCGGACCCCACCCGGATCGACCGACGGCGGTGACATTCAAAGCTTATTGCCCCAGGAAAGAGATGATAAATACTAAGCCTCCTTGACCTCTTGGGACCAAGGCACTCCAAGGCACTCCAAGCATTTCCACCACCATCTCCATCTTTCAACATGCCCGGAAGACATGCAGCAACGGTCTCCTTGGCCACCCCGGCTCCTCGTGAGGTATACAATTCGTATGTGTACCTTACTGCCATGGTTGCATCCATGGGAGCGTTCATCTTCGGTTATGATCTAGCCTTCATTGGAACTACCATTACCCTCAAGCCATTCCTCAAGGACTTTGGGTTGGCTCATGCTTCTGTGTCTACCAAAGATGCCTTCTCTGCCAACATCGTTTCTCTTCTTCAAGCTGGTTGCTTCTTCGGCTCTTTGGCTGTTGCCCCGCTCGGTGATCGTCTTGGACGCAAGCCTGCGTTGTTGATCGCCGGCATCTTGTTCTGCATTGGATCGTTGATGCAGACTGTCAGTTTCGGTCGAGTGGCTCCAATGTTTCTTGGCCGTGCAATCGGTGGTCTCGTAAGTTCTCTCAGACTCCGCTCGCTTCACAACTTCTAACACCTCAATCAGGGAGTCGGCCTTGCCAGCGGTATCGTACCCCTATACATTGCCGAGCTTTCTCCTCCAGCCATCAGAGGGAGACTCGTCGGCATCTACGAGATTAGCGTACAGACCGGAACTTGCATCGGATTCTGGATCTGCTATGGCGTCCAGAGAAACATGGCTGCTAACTCTTCGCAATGGATCACACCCTTTGCTATCCAGTTTGTCCCTGGTGGTCTCTTGATCATCGGCATGTTCTTCATCCCCGAGTCGCCCAGGTGGTTGGCCCAACACAAATCACGCGAGATTGCAGCACACACCCTTTGCAAACTTCGCGGCTTGGAGGAAGACCACCCCTATCTTCAAGAAGAGTTGACTCATATCATGGATACCGTCAACGAGCAGCTTGAAAGCCCTCATGGCTCAGGCTTGGTCCAACAGTGCAAGGAACTCCGCATTCCCAGCAACCGCCGACGAATTTTTGTTGGAGTAACCATCTTCATCTTTATGCAGTTCGCGGGCAGCAACGCGATCAATTATTTTTCACCTCGTATTTTCAAGTCAATTGGATTGAAAGGACAGTCCACTGGTCTTTACGCTACCGGAATATATGGCATCGTCCGCCTGATTTGCGTCGTCATTGCAATGCATTACGTCGTCGATCGCTTCGGCCGCCGCAAGATGCTCATGGGAGGCGCAGCAGTCATGGCAACAGCAATGTGGTTCATCGGCTCCTACATCAAGATCGCCAACCCTACTGCCCATGCTGTAGGTCTTACCGCAGGAGGCTACGCAGCAATTACCTTCATCTACATTTTCGCTGTCGGTTTCTGTTTCTCCTACGCAGGAGTGCCTTGGATCTACTGTGCTGAGATCTTCCCTCTTCGTATCAGAGGCTTGGGAATGGCGCTTTGCACTGCCACGCATTGGTTGTTCAACTTTGTCATTGCGAGATCGGTGCCTTATATGGTTACCAACATTGGCTACGGCACGTATTACGTGTTTGCGAGCTGTACGACGCTCTCTATCGTCTTTGTTTACTTCTGCGTGCCAGAAACAAAGGGGCTGTCGCTCGAGGAGATCGATGTCGTGTTTGGTGGACAAGTCTTGGGCGGACTGGACGGCGCTGCTTTGGAGGAGGTAAAGATGGGCATGAAGGAGGATTCTGCACATGTCGAGTACGCGAGAGCATGATTTGTGACTGTAGAAACTGCCTCCTATCTCGTCTTTACAAGCTTTATGATTTATGCGAAAATGTTTAGTGTATACACTTTCTATTCCTTTTAGTGCACATACCAGCTCAACATTTACAAGGGTATTTTTCTGAGTATCAATCGTGATAATGCGTCTTCATTACAACTAGTTTTGAGGATACGCAAAGGGTGCCATATTATTGGGGTAGAACCAATCGAAAGCCGAAGCATTGAAACCGAACAAAGCGTCATCATAAGACTCGAGCCCCGGCTGGAACGTTTGCCCTTGGTTTGTTGTTGGTATGGTACCGTTATTACCATAGATATTAGAATTTGTCGAACCAGGAGGCATCGTGAAGCTCGCTGGTTGATTGTACAGCTGCTGTTCGTGCATGAAGCTGTGAATGATTGTGTCCACATCGAGATCGGGGTCAAACTGGCCTGCAACCATTGTTGGCTCATTATTTGTCATTGTATCATTTGGCAGGTGCGATCGCGCCATGCCGGACATGTTGTCGGACATGTACACCTTGGACTGTGACCTCGGCGTTGTTCCAGTCGAGGGATGGTCAGTCACTGTATCTCTTGTCGCACTGGTGGCTGTCGAAGTCGACTCTGGACCATCGAATGTGATTCCCATCCGCTTCCGCAGATTCTCAATGACGATTGATGCTTTCTTCACAGCATAATTTGTGGCAGAGTTTTGGTTGAAGACAGCAAGACATGTACGCAGATGCTCATGAGCTTCGGAAGTAGACGTTCGTGTAGCTGCGATGCGGACATGTATCGTAGCAGCGACATATGTAGCGTATGAGATGAGGTACGGAGCTCGTCTTATCGAGAAAGCTTTGTCGTAAAGCCGTACAAGCCTTACTATGTTGATTGCCGCTTCTGTACATGTTGCAAATGATGACTTGGAAGTTGACGGTAGAGTCATGTGCAAATGACCGTCAGCTACGAGTGGACGATGCAACAGGACTCGAAGTACATTCCACATGGCCCTATCCATCTTGTCAGCAGGGAGCCCATAGCTCAAACACAATGTGGTGCTTACTGTAGAGAGAAAACGTGTGGTGGCGGAAATTGCTGGATGCCGCTCTCACTGTTCGTGTCAATCCTGAGATGCTCAGGAAGCTCGGCCATCCAATCTTGCAGCTGTTTCTCGATGTGTTCCAGGTCTTGCACCAGGTCTTGAGTGCTTCTATTTTGTGCCCTCTCACAATACGTCCTGTCAAGAATCTGTTGCAATATCATGCATAGTTTGCATAGTTGCTTGAATGTCGAAACACTGTAACTCGGCGAGCCCGGATAACTTGGTCCACTAGCGTACGCGAAAGGGTGCCATTGCTCCAGCTCCTCGTACGTATCCATGAATGTGATGGGAACTTGGCCATCGATAGCTCTGAGACTTGCCGGGCGGCCCTGATATAGAGATTGCATCTTATCGACGACATAAGCCGACCAGTAAACGCGTCGACGAATTTCGAGATCCTCTTCTGAGAATCGTTGCATGTTTGGCATCATTGCTGCGTCAACATGGAGGCCAACATCTACCAGCATTCGGAATGCCGTACCAGCGTACACCCAGGCAGCACTCTGTTCATCACCGAGGGCGAACAGCGAGTTACTCATCTGCAACAATGCCTGGATCGTAGTAATCTCGCTATGATCAAGTGCTTGGCCCAGAAGATCACGCACACGATTACGAAACTGCCAGCCAGCCGTTCGAACATCGTTAGGATCTTTGCGTAACTCCAACTTGGGGCTGAATTTCGAAGCTCCGTAGAATATTGCATTCAAGAGGATCTTCGAAAAGTAGGGTCCAGCGCAGGCCATGTCTCGCATAAAGGCTGGCCGGTAAGTGATAAGAAAAGAGTGATGTTGTCGGTTCCAGTGAAGATTGAGCAGATGCATACCGAGTTCAGGATCTACACCATCGAAGTCCAGTTTACCGGCGCGAAGGTTGATGCTCTCAAGCTGGCGCTGCTCTGCTGCTGCGGCCACCAGAATTCTGGGCATCCATGTCTCTCGCTCCTTCGTCAAGTATGACCGGGATTGTCGATTGGACGATGCTGCCTCATTGAAAAGTGTGCTTGTCGGACCGTGATAGGTCGTACTGCCTACAGACGCCGGCGTCTCTACTGGAGCATTGCTTTCGTGAGGCTCCTCTGGTAGGGTGATGTTCATGCGTTGGTCATCAGGAGTGGCTTGATCTACGATTGAACGACGAGGTTCTGGGTGTCTCGGTTCAATCTGAGTCCGATGGTCAATCGTGTCGTCTGATGGTTGTTCTGTCGAGACTTGCTCACGAAGGCGACGATTCTCCTCCAAGAGCTCATTTAGCGCCGCATTGGTAGGTCGTGGTTTTCGTGTGTTCTCTTTGAAGACGCACTCCTGCTCGTAGATTTCGCAATTCTTGCAACGGGGTTGTTCACCAGTACATTTCATCTGATCGTCCGATCAGCAAACCGCTTGACACGCGATATGGCTAGTGTGGGAAGCGCAGACCTTGCGCTGCCTGCAGTATGCGCATGCCTGTTGTGCACGAACATGTCGCCGTTCAACCGGCATATCGCGGATCCAGTTGCAAGTCCCCGCGACTGGTTGCTGCTAGTTCTGGTGTACTCCAAAGAGTGTAGGAAATTGACGAAGAACATCCGTGGGAAGCGGCACCTCTGGGAAATTGAGGAGTTTCCCGCGGCTGGCGGCTATCTCGGGATGTGGGGTAAGCTGCAAGAATGTGCAACCATATTATCGATGCTCGTGCCGATGGGGTACGGGGTACAATGTCCTGGATTCAGATGTCACATTGCGCTGGCGGTTCGATACCAGGAAGCAGTGTATCAGTAACTTGCAAGAAGAAGCATCTGCACATTCTCTGTAGCTTGAGCAACTCTGCGATGACATACGCCTTGATCGGATCAGGTGGTCTGTGCTCATGCTTACGATTGCGGTGACGCCCTCTCCATGTGCGAAAGACTGTCCCACTCGTAGCTATCTCAAGGCACGAACTTCTCTGGATCTGGAGCGGGGGCAACAAGGTACTTCGTTTCAATCACTCCTTATCTTAGGTGTTTCGATAATAAAGATATCACTATGCGTTGCTACACGCTCTGCTCTGTCACACTCATTCACTCTCAATGGTTAGAGTCTAGCGCACGAAGAGGGCCCTGCTTGCACTCGATTATCGACACACTCTTTACATAGCTATTTCTATCTCACGTCAAGATCATCTCAGCCATGGTTAAGGCAGCTGTCAAGTGGTGGCGAGAGATAACCAGCGAAGGCCCTGGCCACAACACATGGCTACAAACACATGATTGTCAGATCAGCTGACAAACACGATTCAGTCATGCGTTACGACAAGCGCTATCTATGGTACAAAACTGTAACAACCACAAAAATGGCTCAGAAAAAGCTCAAGATTCTCTCGTAAACTGAGAAGACAATACCACCTGAGAGCAGGAGTCTGCCCAATCTGGGCCCGCTTCCTTTCCAGAATCCCCGAACGCCGCCATCGGTCCAGACGCCTCGTACAGCTTTGAATAGCGTCTCGCCTTGACTGCTTTGCGTACGAGTCTTGATTGTGTCGAAAGGTTGAGTCGCGTATACCGTGATTAGCCCGGCACATGCACCGATGGCGAAAGTCTCGGGTGTCGTCTTTGGCGCATGTCCGACATAGCTCGCGTACTGAGTCTTGAGTGAATTGTAAGATCCCATTCTTACTGCTGAGGTAGCCGACTGCTTGATAGTCGTGCTTACCAGTCCTCGGTATAATCCCGCGATGCCTTGCTCACGTATCAGGATGCCGACTGCATGGGGAGTGGATTGGAAGCGTTTAGCGCCCTTGCCATCATCAATGAGCGCAGTCTTGATTCGCTCAGTCGGTGTCACGGCCAACACACTTTCGACCGCTCCTGCTATGCTTCCAGCTAGAATTCCTGCGGATGTGGACAGTTGACCACGCTCATTCACAAGTCTCGCTTTGATGGTGTCGAATGCTAGAAAGCGAACGCCGGCTTTAAGCGCAGTACCGACGACCAGAGCACTGCAGCCAGTGTAGATTCCTGAGAGACCCTGAGTCGCCACTACACTTCGAAGTGCTTGGATAGTGCTACTTTGACCTCCCTGAGACCTCAGCTGTGTACTTGTTTTGGCGTACTCGAAAGGGTATGTAATGGTTGCTTCTACACCTCCTGCTACAGCGCCAGCGAACAGAGATGTGAGAGGATGTATGTGTGATTTTTTCGTCGTCTTCGCACTCGAATCTGCCGATGACACTAATGCGATTGGGGATGCGACAGCGGTCTGCATGGCGAGAATTGGAGATTTGGTCAAAGAGTATAATATGATAGTGTCTAGGTCATAAGTCCAAGACTTTTCCTTAGGTCACCGACAGTCTCACCTTATATTGATGCCAGTTTGAAGCTCGATGCTTCTGACTGATATGCTTGTCAGATGACCGTCCGCCATCTCCATCCACATTGGTTGCGAACAGGTCGGTCAACACGGGGCTTACATGACGTCCCACGGCTTCTGAGATCCCGCGGACGATCTAGCACTCCAAGACCCGGCTTTCTACACTCTCCAATGCGGATTTCTCCCTGAGAATCGGGACTGCAGTCCGTCCCATGGCATCGGCATCGTCTACTCCGTGGATATTCGACCACACGATATCCCCACAAAAGTCAACACGCCAAGGGTACAACATCTGGTAGCCAAGCAACTTTCCGGCGTGTACTTTCCCATTGTCTCTCTTTCCTCAGTCAATTCATGGAGTTCTGCTCAGCGGCCTTGCCCCCATGGGGTACTCCACAAGTCTTGTCAACTTGGCGACTGAACAGCTGCAGTCAACATGGCTCACAGGATGAGAACTCCATCGACTTGGCGACTGCGGGCAGCAGCCACAGCGAAATTCGTCAACATATCCCGGACAAGTATGAATAGGCCTTGAAGAACCACGATTCTACACTCCTCATCATCATCACGATCTCAGTCTCCTGTCTTATACAAGTCTCAATACAGATTACTTCGAAAAGATGTCCACCGAAAAGCCCGACAACGCCTCTATCGAGAAGATCGACGTCGTCGTCAACAGCACAGAGAACACCACGCCAGCAGCGATCCAGGCGAGATTCACAACACTATGCGATCTCGACGATGAACAGATGGCTGCGCTGAACAAGCGCGTTCTCCGGCGGATCGATTGGCGTATGATGCCTACCATAACGATCATGTTTCTCTTGAAGTACGCTTTGTCTCATAAATGCTGTAACAGAGCAATGCTAATACTCGCTCAGCTACCTGGATCGCATCAATGTGTCGAATGCACGCCTTGCTGGTCTGCAATCAGATCTTGGCATGAGCGATACTATCTGGAGCGCCGGCATTTCTACTTTCTATGTTGGCTACCTTATTGGTGAGTACCTTCTGTATGAACCGAGGAACATGGAAGGCTGATATTCCAAAAGGTCAACTGCCAGGCAATCTATGGCTGGCACGCGTTCGTCCCAGCTTGTTGCTTCCAGGCATGATGATTGGCTGGAGTATCTGTACCATCACCATGCCTGCAGTCACTTCGTAAGTCGGCTTCGCGTCTTGCCCGGGGCCCATTCCACTGACGTTTTCGACACAGAGGCGCTGGATTCTGTATTGTTCGCTTCTTCACTGGACTTTGCGAGGCACCTTTCTTCCCCGGAATCACGTTGAGTATGATTATACATAGCGGTCGTACATTGTTCTGGTCTAACGTAAGCCAGTGACATCTTCGTGGTATACGAAGGCCGAGAACCCCACTCGAATGGCTGTTTGGCATGCTGGCAACACTATCTCGAACATCATCTCGGGCTTCCTCGCGGCAGGCATTTTGCATCACATGGGCGGCATTGCAGGACTTTACAGGTACGTGACTCCACATTCCTGACGGAATTCACCCGTTAACATGCTGCAGTTGGCAATGGTTCTTCATTATCGAGGGTGCTGTCAGCATACTCGTCGGCATCATTTCATTCTTCACCCTGCCTGATTGGCCCGAGAACACTAAATGGCTCTCTGAAGAAGAGAGAGAGATGGCTCAATACCGCGTTATTGTCTCCAACGGCGGCAAAGTTGAACAGGTGGGAGGTACATGGGATGGGCTCAAAGATGCCTGCAAGGACCCTTTTACATGGATGTTCTGTGGCATGCACTTCAGTCTGATCAACGCTCAGTCATTCAAGGATTTCTTCCCCTCGGTATGTGAAGCATCAGTCGTTCACATGTTCTTTGCTAACATGAAGCTAGATCATCAAGACTTTCGGATTCGGCGAGCTAGAGACATATCTCGTTCAAGCACCACGTATGTGATGACCTGTTTTTTGTATATGATTGCCCTCGCTAACATTGTTCCAGCATACGCAATTGCCTACCTCAGCGCCCTCGCTCTTGCGTGGAGTTCTGGCAAGTTCAGAGAATCGTGTTACCACATCATCGTTCCAATTGCCGCCTCAGCCGTGGGCATCGCCGTCATGATCTCGACCGAGAACGTAGGCGCACGCTACTTTGGCGCCATCCTACTTGTCAGCGGCACCTATAACGGTCTCAACTTGCAGCTCTCTTGGGAGACTACACTGGTTCCCGCTCCCCGCAGCAAGAAGGCAGCGCTTATTGCCATCGCCAACTGTGTTAGTCAATGCTCTCATTGGTACTCTCCTTACTTCTTCCCTCGTAGTCAGGAACCTTTCTACAGACTCGGTGGTGGCTTGATCTTGTTTGGTTGCTTATGCACTGCCCTTCTCGCTTGGGCTGTAAAGTGGTGGGCCAAGAGACTGAACAAGGCTCTCGACGAGACTGAAGGGTACAGTGAGCACAGCGGTATTGAGAGAGGCTGGAGATATGTTTACTAAACGTTGGGGAACAAGATCGTCAAAAGTGCTGTCGAGTCAGGTTCTTGGTTGTTGATATGTTGGTCTATGGTTAACACGCCTTTCTTTCTTGTCCATTTTCTTTCTAGCCGCTGTAAATAGTGAATTCACAACCTTGTTTCGCCAACTCACGATGCTCGGATACACAAAGGCCGTGATTTTCAATCCAATGTTTGTGCCCTCATTATGCCATAGTTGCGCAAGGCCACAGGGTGGGATGGCTTCGGCGATCATCTCCACATCGATACGACATCCTTATCTCGTCTTTGACTCCATACTCGAACCCTTGTTCACCGATACACCATCATACACACCTCTGGATCAAGATGTCGGAGAAATCTGCGAAGAAGGTCTTTTTGATAGGACCTGGCTACATTGACCTAGAAGTCTTGGACAGACTCCTATAGAAGAACTAGAATGTCACGACTCTGGTGCGTCGTCAAGAAGCAGCGGACGAATTGAAGCAGAAAAACGTCAAGGTGGTGATGGGCACAATCGACGACCTCAATCTCATCACACAACAAACTGCAGCTCACGACGTTGTAATTCACACTGCGACCGCCGACCACTTGCCCTCTGTTCAAGCCTTTATCAAAGGCATTGAACAGCGTGTTACAAACGACAAACACACCTTCTATGTCCACACCAGCGGCTGTAGCTTCCTAAGCGACGACTCTCACGGAAAGTTTAGCAGCGATAAGACCTATACCGATACCAATCCGGCAGATCTGGATACACGACCAGACACTTCCTCGCATCGTAGCATCGACCTCGCCATTCTGGAGGCTCGTAACAAGCTGGGCACCAAAGCGAAGCTTTTCATCATGCTACCTCCGTTGATCTACAGCGCTTCAAGCCATGGCAAGTTGTCGATTCAGGTTATCACCATGGCTCGCTTTGCCTTGAAGCACAAATATACCGGTTATATGGGGGGGCGGCAAAGGGATCTGGGGCCTTGTGCATGTCAAAGATCTGTCGTATGGTTATGTCACCATACCCCACTGGCTTGAGAATTCGCCAGACACCGTGTCTCTGGAGAACCCGTACTTCTTCTGTGAAAACGGCACAGAAGCTAGCTGGGCTGAATGTGCAGGCTTCATTGGCAAAGCGCTCAAGGCAGCTGGTAAGATAGAGGATGCGACGCCCCTAGAGATACCATCAGAGCAGTACGAGGATTTGTTTGGCAATTACAGCGATGTTGTCATTGCGTCGAGTGCGAGGAACAGGGCGGACCGATTGAATCAGCTCGGCTGGCGGCCGAAGCACACAGATATCCGTCTGGCGCCCAGGGATGAAGAATTGCCGCTTCTGCTCAAGGAAGGTGGTGAATTCAAGGGTTATCCAAAGGCGGCGGCTTCGGGCTCGGGCTGAGCTAGTGGCGCACGCGTATGCCCAGTGAGAGTCCGTCCAGGCGCTATGCTGCGTGGCTGGTCAAAGTTCTTGTGGCAAAAAGACAGCCAAGCTAGGTGTCATGTAAGGTAGTCTCAAATCATTCACAAAAGCTTGGTGACCTTTTCACTTTTGGAGAAGTGTTGCAGCATTAATTGATCTAAACAGCGGCACGGCCACGTCCGTGATCAGTAAGCGTAGTGCGAAAACAGTATGCACGGACCAATAGAATCGGACTCATGTCCGACTGGCGTAGTTTAGACCACGATCTAGAGCGTGTCAGCAGGAAGTAGCACGCAGCCCTGCCGGCCTGTTACAGTGTGTGGTGCAGAACAATTCAGGGACGCGAAACGGGTTGCGAGACGGTCAAAAGCGCTCAAGCCGCACTTGATGGTGATGGAGCTTTCGACGTTCATGAGCCTCTAGATGGGCAAGCTTGGACCGAAGCCGTGTCCAGCGGTCACAAATGTCATTACAAGCACCGACAGGGTATGACTAGCCATACACGAGGTCAATCGACGAGAAGTACGCCAGCTGACATTCATGATAGGATTAGCAGCCCTCTGCTTCTCGCTCTTGCACAAAATGGCGCTCTTCGGGCACGCTGCCATAGCTCTTTTATAATAATCAGACAAGATGGAGTCGACACAGCCGTGGAAGCGACGGCCACGACAAGATTGCGGGATACTCAGCCTCCTAAAACGCAGGGAGTGAATGCTCTACACGAAGTGTCTATGGCGGCCTTCAGAAACCGTATGGAGTCCGAACCAGTCAACACTGACGAGTTGATTATCGACGACTCTCGTTTCATAGTCCGCGACATGGGAAGCCTCGACCAGTACAAAGAACTTACACGTGTAGCCGGCGAACTCCACATGGTATCTTGCGCAGTAGTGCCTATCAAGACTGCCTCTGGTCAAGTTCTTGGAACATACACTGTCATGGACAACAAGCTGCGAGAGGATTTCTTCCAAGCGGACATCATCGATATTCTATCCGACATTGCCCAAGCTATCAACACATTCTTGGTCCTTCACCTCTCTGTCGACCGTTTCGATGACTACACTGTCCCTGTTGGTATAGAATATGCCTCATCTTCTCCATCATCCTCACATTACGAACACTCACTCTCCGGACACGCCACATCGTATGAGCAGACACCCATGACGACCTTCTCGGAACTCTCAGGATTTGCGTTCCCACGGCAGGAAGTTGCATGCAATTCCAGACTTGAGGCACAATATCGACCTACCTCTTCAACTCCATCTACCAGTCATGGCTGCCACAAGTCTGAACAAGCCTTCTCTAAAGCTGCACAGCAAATCTGCGCAGCTGTCGACCTCGCAGAATTGGCATTTGTCGACTATTCGGAGAGTCGGGGACCGTTGTCACTGTGCGAGATATTAGGCTACTCTGGCAACCAGACTTCTCTGGCGCTTCATGATACATCGCTCAAGTACCTGACTCAACACTATGCACAAGGCTGTACCTTTTCAGCCAGCGGTACGAACACAAGCGTCACCACAGATCAACCCGCCTATGCAACCAAGGACAATTCATCCCAACTTCTCGACGTGACGGCTGGACTACCTGCCGATCTACGTGCACTTGTGCATAAGAGAGGATCCCTCATTTTCCTCCCTTTGTGGGACCGCTCGGCATCCTGCTTATACGCGGGAATGCTAGGCTGGTCTCGGAATCCCACAGATACTTCTACAACACGAAACATGGCTTGTCTTTCTGCGTTTGGGAAAGTTTTTATGATGGAGTTGGAATATTTAGGTATGTACACAATATTCCGTGTTGTTCGTCATCGCGGAAGCTCATATCCATCTTATAGAGGCCCTGGATATGGCAGAGACGAAGTCCGATTTCGTCTCCTCGATTAGTCACGAGTAAGCTATTCCGAAGACTTACAAACTCAACGTGCTGACTCTGGAACTAGACTTAGATCCCCTCTACACGGATGCTTAGCAGCTGTAGAGTTCTTGCAAGACACTGTGATTGATGACTCTCAGGCTGAACTCGTTGGAATGATACAAGCATGTTCATCCACCCTATTAGACACGCTCAACCATCTCCTTGACTTCAGCAAAGTGAATGAATTGAAAGGGGCGAAAAGTCGTGCCAGAGGGCTTAGTACCGATTCCAAGCTCGAACAGGCCCAAAACGTTTTTGGCTCGACCACTAAGGAATACCTTTGCACGTTGGTGCAAGACGTCGTCGAGGTATGGCATCGTGCATTTGCCTTGCAGCCTTTCCAGAGCACAAGAGTTGGTTCACGTAGCTAACGCGTACTCTAGGGTGTACATTTTGGCCGATCTACGCAACAAGCTGCCTACACGAAAGCCAGGACGACAACCACCAACAAGTTTTCGGGAGCCAGCCATCCATCAAATCCCGCGCTGTTTATTGACAGCACTAGAGATGCAAGCATTTCTTCGCTGGACGAGTCCACTGATGTCGTCGCTGTTTATCTCGACATGCAAAACCACTCAGGCTGGTGCACAACGCTCTCTGCTGGTGCATGGAAGAGAATAGTCATGAACTTGATAGCCAATTCTCTCAAGTACACTGAAAAAGGCTATATCGAGGTCTCGCTACAGCTGATCGAGGACAAGAACTCCTCGAAAAGGACCGTTCACCTCATGATTAGCGATACCGGAATCGGCATGAGCGATGATTATCAAAGGCATCACCTGTATCAGCCGTTCGTCCAAGAAAACCATCTTGTCACTGGTGTCGGGCTCGGACTCAGTATTGTCAAGCAGATCGTCGATGATCTGAAGGGCACGATTACTGTGAAGAGTAAGAAGGGTGCTGGGACACGGATTGATGTTTACGCACCTCTCTGTGAACGAGACTCCCGGCTTCAGAACACAGTTCCCTCAGGGGGCGAGATACTTGACTCTAAAGGACAGCTCAGAGGTCTTACCCTTTGCCTTCTCTCTCCCTCAAATGGAGCAAATCGATACACGGATGCACAAATTCAACGCATTTCGGTCATGCATTCTTATATAAGATCCATTGCTCAAGGATGGTTTGGCATGGAGGTCATCGACGCGCATACAAGGGCAGAAGTCAAAGCAGATATATACATTGCTGAAGGTTTGCGATTCGACGAAGACGAACACAACGACCCTGACGCCTCACCAACGGACAACAATCAACAGCCCACGATCTTAGTCGGACCCTTGCCCGCCAATATATCAGAGGGACCAGGATCACCTCACAATATCACAAGGCTGGCCTATCCGTTAGGACCAAAAGCACTCCATCGTGCGCTCTTTGCTGCTCTCGAAAAACCCGTCGAAGTCGATCAGTCACGGATGACAATACTGACTAATTCGGAGTCGGAGGCAACGTATGGAGAGACGACCAGTGTTCCCGACTACATGGCCATCCGTGAGAAGCCAAGCTCTCCAATATATGAAGCAAGCGACGTCCAGACTGAACTCTTTGCCGCACCGGAACACGTCCTCCTCGTCGACGACAATGCAATCAAGTACGTATCTCGAACTCTACAGATTCTTTGTCCTTGAGACATGGAGCACCGAAAGTCGACCGGCTCGCTAACACGCCTCTCCTCCACAGCCTCAAACTTCTAGCCGCCTACGTCAAGAAACTCGGACATACTGCCGAATTGGCAATCGACGGTGAAGACGCCCTTCTTAAATACAAAGCCGCATTCTCATCTCATAACACCAACCCCAACGACACCACCTCTGCTCCCAGCGCCCCCTTTTCGAAAATTCTCATGGACATCTCCATGCCCAAGATGAATGGCTTTGAATCCACCCGCGCGATCCGAGAGTTTGAACGCCACAAAGGCATTTTTCCACCTGCTAGAATCATTGCACTCACAGGCTTGGGATCCAAAACATCAAAACTAGAGGCGAAAATCTGTGGGATGGATGACTTTAGGACCAAGCCTGTTAAACTCGGGACTTTGAGGGAGTTGCTTGGGGCTTGAGGCTCGGAAGATTCATTTTTTGCATCTCTTTTGTTCTGTTTTCTCTTTTTGGCACCGCGACTTGGGTGCGACATGGGTGTCTTTTCGGACCTTTTGCATTGCGAAACGGAGTTTTCTCTTTTTTGCATGATGAGTTTTTCTTTTTATGGAATCATGGGGAAGGGAAAACTAGGATATAGCATTCCTGGAAGGCACGAGCAGGATTGGCGTTTTCACATGATGGTTCATTGTGGAAGAGTAAGGGCAGGAGTTTTTTGTTGAGGTTGGGCGGGTGTAGCGAAGTTGCGTGATGAGAAAGATTAACAGCTTACTGCCTCCTTCACGAATTCCTCCATCTCATCTCTGCATCATCCCATTAGTTTCTGAAACTCATCTTCGGACAGTGTTGGCTCCTCGGCTATAACTTCAAAAGGCCTTTTCAAGAGCGGATAGCTCTTCGTGCAGCCCGACGAAGATACTGTTAATGACATAATCAGCACCATCAACGTCTGTGTCTTCCACTGAGATCGCATCGACTCCCATCTTACAAACACCACCATATCTCACAACCATATCGTTAAAACAAGTTCACGTCGTGAGATGCGCCACCTTGCAATCTCGGGACTTTGCTGAGAGTCGATCTTATGATCTTGTTTCCTTGCTGCATTCACTGGATTTATTTACGTACTGATGCTTTAGTTGTCTCCCAGAGGGGGGCCAGACCAAAGCTCGATTCGACTGAGACCAAAACCTCGATTGACACATGTGTATTACTTCAAGCTGTCACTTCAAACCTGACCCTATCCCTCGGCAACAACTTGACCATCAACGGCTTCTTATCCCACACAACATGAACAGTCTGATCAAGCCAATCATTTGGCAAATCATCAGCCTCGAGATCAAAGTTCCAGAGCAGATGAGCAGTGATGAGACGTATCTCATGATAAGCCAGACTATAATCCTCTTGTATCAGAACAGAAGACTCGATGATAAGGGGTAATAAAAGACTTACTTCATGCCAATGCAGTTTCTTGGTCCGGTGGAGAAGGGGTTCATGACTGCCTTCTTGTCGGCAGCGAAACGTGGAGAGTAGCCTTCAACGTCTTCTAGCAGCCAACGTTCAGGGATGAAGTCGTCGGAATCGACGAAGTTGAGGGGAGAGTGGTAAGCGGCGTAGTGAGGTACACTGACACCGACCTGTGATTATTAATTGTCAGTCTACTGATCTTTGAGTGTTTACACGGGTCAAACGATCAAAAGCTTACATTTGGAGGGATCCAGTGGCCGCAAATTTCGGTACCAGTGGTAGGGTTGGTCTTGCGGCGAACGCCTTCGGCGACAGAGGGGTATGTTCTGAGTCCTTCTTGTATGCAAGCAGTCAAGTACTGCAAATTTCGTCAGTATCAATCAAATTTGGCTTGTCTCGCGAAGACATACCGGAAGACGTGGCAGCTCATCAATCGTGATATCTTCAACTGTAGCAAACCTATCGCGGATCTCCGCAGTCAAACGTTTCATGGGACCAGGGTTGCGCAACAGATTGTAAGTGAGGCCAGATAGCATAGTAGCCGTGGTTTCCGTGCCAGCAATCATGAGGAGATCAGCATTCGAGTACATCATCTGGCGTGACATACTAGCTCCGTCCTTATGTTTGAGTACTAGTCCGAAGATATCTGGCCGATCCGTGTCCATGGCCAATCTCTTATCCACACGATCAGCTGAGTGTTTGAAGGAAGCATTTGCGGCATTTGTGATGGACTTTGGCATGAGCTGCTGGACGACAGTCCATAATAGTGGGAAATACTGTATTGCGCGGGACGAACAGGCGAGGAAGATCTGATCAAAGATACCCTGCAGCCATGGTGTGTACTCTTGAGCTTCGAGGAGACCTAGAGACTCTCCCTGGAAACTATTCGTTAGCTTGAGAGTAGCAAGGAAAGAAAGAGGCGAGATATGAACGTACGAAGACCAAATCTGCGATGACATCAAACCTGATGATCTGTCAGCAAGGCACATTGCGTCGAGAGAAACCACAAATCGCTTACGTGGTGAAGTTGTAGTACTGGACCAGATCAACCTTTCCACCCTTCTGTTTACGCTTCAGGACAACTACCAATTTGCGGACGTAACCGTTCAGCATATCATTCTGGTCCCTCAGAGCTTTAGCCGAGAAAGCAGGTAGGAACATCTTCCGCATGCGATGGTGATCCTCATCTCCCGCCAATATGAGACTGTTCTTTGTATCTGGTGCAAAAGGATAGAAAGTAGGATCCTTGGGGTTGTTGTTTTTATGTCCATAAATGTCTTTCCAGGCTTGTTCGTCGATGAAGCTGAGTTCGTTGGGTGCGATACGGACGATTGTTCCGTAGCGTTTGTGCATATTTGAGACGACAAAAGGTTCGCGGCCGGAGATGTGAAGCCATAGACGTGCAAATGGGGTGGAGGTGTAAATCCACGAGCCGGGATATTTGCTGAGAGGGTGCAAGAAGAGATTATAGAAGATGATACCGGTGCTGTAAACAATGGCAAGCGTGAGAAGGTAACTAGCCGCCTTTGGGATCTGTTCGGACACCATATTGAGATGGGAAGGAACGACCTTGTCGACTTACTTCGAACCTTGGGACATTCATCTGCTTTATACATACGATGATCAGTAGTCTGTTACTAGTAATCCTATGATGCAGTCTCTCTAGACTACTATTGCATCCTAATCGATTGCACAACTCCACCTTCACATGCTCAGTGGGCTGATACTCCAGGGCTTGTATCTTCGACCAGTCGCTCTTTACTTCTGCACACTCATCCACTCCAGCTTAAATCGGCAAACTCTGACGCTGATACTGCGTTGTGTTGCTGTATTCAAATTGCATCTGTCGAATAGTCGCAAGGCTTCTCATTCGAACAAGCACAGGTCCAGATAGCGTGGTCCGGCACAGCCTAAGGAGGTGTGTGATTTCTTACATGTTACGCAGCTTTGGCGATGATCCGCAATCACATGCTTCAACAAAGCATGATCAATTTGTTATACCTGTTTTCTCATTTGCTGTTGTGATACGCAATCAAGTCTCATAGCGTCATGTTGAAGGAAACATGGAGAAGCATCCTTGCAAAGTTGTGAACGTGGTCCCCGAGTCACTCAAGCCCTGACTGAGCCACAGAAATGTGTGAGCTCATCGCAGAAGTGGAGACCAGGCGCCTCGGTTTGCTGCATGCCTTGCCCGGGATGTGCAGCATCCGGCTCGGGAACGCTTTGACCCGGTCGACGTTCCCGGCTTTCCGTGCTCTCGGGCATCTGAGGCAAGTGCGTGTGGCCTGGCGACATGCATAAAAACATTCAAAGACGACTCAGGCTGAGAGACAAGCACATCAAGTTTCCATGTTTAGGTGCGTATTTGTTCTGTGTTCATATCGAAGTTCAGTGGATCTATCTATGCTTTGATTAGTGTGACAATGTATTACAAGGAACTTCTCTGCTCTGCAGGCTTTTCTTTCTTGTACTTCTCAAAGTCGAACCCCAACTCTTCCAAAGTCCTAACTTGGTATCTACCTTCGCCTCGGTCCTGGAAAGCCTTCTTGATCTCCGGAAATTTTTCACGCATCCAGTATTCCTTCTCACCCCACCTCGGTGGTTGCTTGCCTTTTGTCTTTGCGTCGGACGCTGACATTGACCAATCGTACATGGCGTTGATGTAGTTTGCGTCCTTTGGGAACAAGAGCAGGTGGAAGTCCCTCTTACCGCCATCTGTCTCTCTGAGCAAGTTGTTCTCCCAGGCCTCCATATCATTGGCCGAGGGCAGAGAGATGCGGTTGTTCCATAGACGAGCAATAACGGCGCTTTGTGACTCTGCCATGGGAAAAGGTATGACACGCTGCTGCAAGGTGGGGAAGCAGAGAGTGGGATGCGGGCGGCAGATCAGATGCTGATATAGATTCTGGACATGGGTGCCACTGGTAACGAGCGGTGGGTCCATGTTGTTTAGGAAGGGGAAAGAGTAGAAGTAGCCGGTACAGAAGAGGATCGAGTCGATGTCCTTCTCCACGCTGCCATCAGCGAAGCGTACAGCTCTGTCCTGAATGAGGAATTCGACAATCTCGTCGCGTTCCTGTTTCTTTGGTGAGGGGTCGGACAGCAAGAATGACTTTGACTTCTGAGACTGTAGCAAAGGATGTTTGCAAAGCTGCATTATCTGCATGGCAATGTCAATGCCCGAGGCTCCACTGCCGACGATGATTGTCTTGAGATTTGTGTAGTCCTCGGGCTTCTTGTAGTACATGGAGTGTGAGATGGCGTTTGGATAGTGGTCAGCCCACTCCTTGATGCCCTTGATCTGAGGAATGAAAGGCACAGCGAAGTGGCCATTGGCGACGACGATGGCATCGTACTTTGTCTCTACTACTTCTGCCGGGGAGTTGTGCTGTACTTTTTGCGTCTTGACAGACCATATATCTTGGCCATGTTCCTTTGTGCCTGCCAGGCTGATGTCCAGGACTTGAGTGTTGAAGTGGATGAGGTGCTTGATCTCGGCGGCGTAGTCTTCGAGGTATTGTGTGACGGTCTCGTGCTTGGGGAAGAGTTGCGAGTCTTGCGGCCAGTCAAAGTCAGAGTAGCCCATCAACCTGTGCAAGCGTCAGTTCGGTGCAGGCTCCAGGCTTCACTGTGGCTCGACCTACGTGCGCGGAATATTCGTCTCCAGGCGGTCATACAGCGGGCTGAGAAATAGCGAGTCCTCTTCGATACGGCTGCCGAGAGCTTTTCTGGTGCCTGACTGCAGCCATTTCGCTTTGGCGAGACCAGTGTGAGGGCTCACTGATGGTACAGGGAGGTCATCGGGCGTGGGCGTCTTGTCTTCGGGCGAGTAGTCCCAGACGCCTCCTACTCTTGATCGCTGCTCGTAAACATCAATCCGTTCAAAGGCTTTCTCGGCCACCAAATATCTGAGCAGTCCATCAGCCTCGTTGTTGGCGCGAGTTAGGGAAGTCGCGACGCTCACTTGGCAGCTGCCACACCGGAGGGCCCTGCTCCAACTATGCAAACATTCTTGACTGCGAACTTTCCTGCCATTGTCCTGCCTTTGCTCGTCGTCCAAACCGTGGCTAACTTCTGTACAATTTCTTTGTCAAGTTTGCGACTGACAATCAGCTACCGCCCTTGTTGCCGTCCAGATCTACTCGTCACGTCATGGACAATGGCGTCAACATCCACTGCTCTGCCTATCGTATAGGCCCGCCGAATTCTTGACTCGTCTGCCATATCATTATTCATGCAGGACATCATGCACCATGCACATGCAAGCGAGTCAGATTGAGTAAAAAAAATAAACATGTCCATTAGTCATAAAAAGGGTATCGTAAAACATCACCAAGAGGAAAACCCAGACGCCTCGCTTCAAATCAATTCTATCGGCCCCGAAAAGTCATTCATCGGACCACGCTGCCGATTCTGTCAAATCCGGCCATCTTCATCACCCACTCGTCAAGAAGCGCTGCTCCATAGTCGCCTCTATTGGGCAAGCGCTGTGTCGCGTGGATTTGGTATTGTCTGTGTGACGTGCCAGGCACCATGATGCCATCTTGATGATCGAGTTCAATCATCACAACAGGGCTGTGGATGCGGAAGTAGAATGGCGCATCTGTGTGAACGGGTCCAAGCCAGGAGAAGTACGTCTCGCCGAGGTGTGCCTCGACTCTTTGCATGAACAAATCCAAGCATTCTTGTGGCAACACTGAGTTGAATGATCTCACAATGTTGAGGAGTGCTACTTGTTGCTCGTAGTTGAGCTCGGCGGCGCAGATTCCTTCATATGGCACAATTCGGTTGTCTTGGTGTGCACCGCCAAGACTGCGGTAGTCCATTGGATCAAAAAGATCTTGATCTGTGTTGAAGTCTTCAAGCTCGCCAAGAAGACTGGCTTCGCGCTGTTGTTGTGTGTTGAGAGATGCCATCAAAGCGAGCCCAGCTGCTTCCTCACGCTCGAAGACCTGGACTCCATCCACCAAACCATGTTCGGTAAAGCTGGGTCCGGCACTAACGAAGAAGGGACCAATCACTACTTCTCCGCTGAGGGTGAAGACGTTGACGCACACGTTGTCGCCGAACAGGTTGAACCCCCAAGGCGAAAATGGACCGGGTTCGCCAAACAGACAAAATTGGTAGCCAGCAATGCGGTGCAAGTCCTCGTGGTTCTCCGAGGTGCTCATCATCATTGCTGTCCACACCCTTGCGAAGCCTTCGGGACTCAACGAAACTCTGAGCAAATCATATACTGCATTCATAGTGTCTGCGCTCATGGCGTCAACACGAAGACCAGTCTCCATAACCATAACCTAGGTTTGGTCAGTCAAATGTTGTACCAATGCTTGCAAGCTATCACGAACCTCGGGATTTGACCACGCACGCCATTCTCGAGCGGTAACAAGATGACGGAATCGTGCCTTTTCATTCGCCGATGCTACTGATACCAAGTGTTGGGCTGCATCCACCATCGCCTGGGTCGGTCCGTTGGCATCTAGGCTTGCCTTCCATAGACCAGGTACAATGTTTCCATCTGACGTGAATCCTTTGTAGGGTTCTCTGTAGTTCCTGATCCATTTTTTTGCCAGAGGTGAGAGAGAAATACGCCTATCCCGAATGTGCGCCTGGGCGTAATCCTGATAGTACTGAGGCTTTGGTGCCGAGGCAGTGTGAAAGTAGTCCGGGGAGAACATGGTCGACGATCGCTTTTGATTGAAAGACACGAATTTGTATTCAAGGGATTCCAGAAAAGGGTCGCGACTTTTCTTTTCCACGACATGGGCGAGCCCTTTGGACTAAATAGATATGAGACCGCGGCGCTGCTGCGGACGAACTCGTGGGCACAGGCGCCCATCGGGACGTGTGATTCCACCTCTGTCACTGTTTAACCGGCGGCGCTTTTCATGGAGTACTCGGAGTAATTCCAATGTGGAGGGACAGGGTAAGGTCTCACAAGGCGGAAAAGGGCCCAGGTCGGGCCGATACAAACACCATCAGGACGTAATCATTCGGAGCACGCTACTCCGCAAGCATGCCGTTCCGCTGGGTTAGCGACCGGTGGGGCCAGCCCAGCCCTTCCCACAAATTTCGTCAAAAGGCTCGCTTTTTTCCCCGCTGTGGCTCTACTGGCTTTTCTGGACGGTTGTGGGGTTCGTGCAGTGGGGATCGGTAGGTGTTTACGGAGCTGCTTGTGGACTGCCATGTAGGGCAAAACGACAGCGTGGAGAGCTAGCTACGTGATAACATTCTACTTAAACAAATGTGACTGCCCTTGTTGAATCCTTTGTCGAACCTCTCGCTCTGTTATCATCAACATCATGCCTTCCGCAACATCTTCTTCCCTAGACATTGTCGTGATCGGAGCTGGGCTTGGTGGCTTGGCTGCCGCCATCTCCTGTGCTCTCGGCGGCCACAACGTGACAGTACTGGAACAAGCAAGAGAACTGGCAGAGGTACGAGTACCCACCTTAGCAAGAAGCGGTGTCTGAGCGGAAGAACTCGCAACTGACCGGCAATTCAGATCGGTGCAGGGTTACAGATTACACCAAAGTAAGAGAAAGCCCAGTAGATCCGGACTCACCCGTGTTCCAATAGCCGAGGGCAGAAAGAAGCAAAGAGCTCGTTCCTGACATACATCACAGCGCATCGAGACTGTTCCAACAATGGGGGATTGACAAGGTTCTGGAGCCGTTGGCGGCCGAGCCGACCTTCCTGGCTGTGCACAGATATTCAGATGGAAAAGTACTTGCCATGCAGGAAGACTTCGACAAGAAAATCAGAGCCAAATACGGAGCGCCCTTCTGGGACTTGCACCGGGTGGACCTACAAAAAGCACTTGCACAAAGAGCAAAGGATTTAGGCGTCAAGCTGAGGCTGAACTCCAAGGTCACCAGTGTTGACTTTGAGAAGTCGACATTACACCTAGACGATGGGAACACATATGACGCAGACCTATTGGTAGGTGCAGATGGTCTGTGGTCCAAGTGCCGAGCGCACTTCCTCAAGCAATCTGGCAAGGAGGATGCTCCGCTTCCGACCGGAGATTTGGCGTACCGTATTGTCCTCGACTTGGAAGATCTGCAAGATCCTGAGCTCCGGCAATGGGTATCGAAGCCAGCATGCCACTTCTGGATTGGTCCTGGAGCCCATGTTGTTGCATATTCTGTTCGTGGTGGCAAGCAGTACAACATTGTGCTTCTTGTACCGGACAACCTTCCAGCAGATGTGTCGAGATCATCCGGAGACATTAGTGAGATGAGAGATATCTTCACGAAATGGGATCCGATCCTGAATAGATTCCTCGATAATGTCAAGACGGTCGACAAGTGGAAGCTGATGCATCGACCAGAGTTGGACAGTTGGGTTAGCAAGAAGAGTAATTTCGTTTTCCTTGGTGATTCATGGTAAGTGGAAGGACTCGATCGTTGTCATATGCTCTCCCGTTACTGACAAGTTTCAGTCACCCCATGCTACCCTACCTCGCCCAGGGTGCAAATTCGTCGTTAGAGGATGGTGCGGTACTTGGAAACCTGCTCGCCGCTGTGAAGAACAAGGAGCAGCTGCCTGAGGCACTGCGCTTGTACGAGAACCTGAGAAAGAAGCGTGGTGAGGCCATCGTCCGCGAGACATTTGCTCAGAGAAATGATTTCCACATGATGGACGGAGAAGACCAGCAAGCACGCGACGAACTATTTGCGGGTCAGCTCGGCAAGGCAGAGCCCGAGGTCAAGTTTCCCAGTCGTTGGTATGTGGAGAAATTGCTCGATCCTGGTGTAAGGAATAGGTGCTGACATCAGGACAGGACATGCCCTGTGGTACAACCGTGGCTCTACGGCTACGACGCGAAGAAAGAGGTAGACGATGCGTTGAGAGGGTCATCTCTGGCGCAGTAGACCGTTGCTGGCTTTCGGCAGTGACGAAGGCTTACGAAGTTACGATGCCAGGAGGTTCTTGCCCTCGCTCACCTACCCATACGATGTCATATCTAGTCATAGTGGTTTCGGCAATATAGGCCATGCTTTACCCCAGGTAAGCCCGACATCAGGACATTCGTGAGAGGAGCGGAGACACTGTCGGCGACAATGGCATGGACGTTGCTTTTCAATTCGGTCCTGTTGGCGGGTATATTCATGTCGAGCATTTAGCCTGTTATACATCTCTGCAAAGAAGTTGGCCGAGAAAAAACCACGAGGTGCCGACTCGGTCCTTTTCTCCACGAAATGCTCTCCGCGATTGCACCGAGAGGGGGGATGTCACTGCCAGAGACCCCAGGTCTTCGAGAAGCCGACCGGTGCAGATATGAGAGAGGCTTTTGTGCTTGTTTTGCGACCAAACCTACACCATAGCGTCATCTCGTTGCGAGAAATCAACATTATGAGGCTACACGTGCTTTGCTCATCGCCGCAATGTCTTGTTTTGCAACTCAAAGCCTAAAAGCAGTCTCGACCCCGCGGGGACACCTCCTGCTTTTGTTTTCACCTTCCTGTTTCGCGCGGGTCCGGCGAGGCGCCTTGCCAATTTGTTCTTGTCGGAAGCGGCATTCCGGCACGAAAGGGGACGCAGCCGACACGCAGGGGTCTCATCTCGGTTCAACTCGTCGTAGGCTCCCAGAGCGCCGGTCCTTCCTTCTCGGTGTCATTCTGACCGAAGCCACGTCAGTTTGTCGGACTCGCCGTGCTTCCGCGACCGGTCCTGCCCTACAAGTCATGCGAGTCGTTTATGTTAGGGCTAGACTTCTCCACAAACCTCTCCACACTCTTCACTCTTCCCACTGCGGAGGATTCATGCCTACTCCTGCACGCTGATATCCCTTCACGCTCGTTGGACGATACCATCGCGGAGGCTCCGGACTCCGACTCAGGTCTGCAGATCTTCGTGGGGATAGCCTACTAACGTGAAAGCCCTACATGCCGAACTCAGATAGTAAGGGATAATCGCGTACTGGTAGGAGGAGTAGACAATTGATTGCGCGTTGTACGGACGTACAATGGTGACTTACCTATGTCCTTGACCCCATGTTGCTTTGTTCTTACTCCTCCTATTATCTCTTTCGGCCATCTAGCTCGATTGACTTATTAGGCTATCGAGTCCCTCGAACCAGATTCACAGCACTTGTACAGCTATTCGCCAATCATGGCAGACAAACTAGGGGAAACAAGAATCGATGACATCGAGGACCTGAAGCCTAGCAGAGAACAAGGCAATGTTAGGCTGCCAGTCCCTAGCAATGATCCCAACGATCCTCTTGTAAGTTGCTGAACGCTGTGAAAGACTATTTAGGCTGCTTACGTTTGACAACAGAACTGGCCCCTCTCCATCAAGATCTCAGTCTACCTGACGGTCTGCTTCTTCACATTCATCGCCAACGTCAACGGTAGCAACTTCACCGTCGCCATAGTACCTCTACGAAAGCACTTTCATATCGATCCTACGGATGCAACTCTACTCGTTGGACTCAATGTCCTTATGTTTGGAGTCGGCAACATCTTGTGGGTGCCATTGATGCGTGTACTGGGCAAACGTCCAGTATACCTGATGGCCCTGACAGTCCTCACTGTCGCCAATGTCTGGAGTGCTTTCGCAAAGACCTGGGGAAGTCTTCTTGGTGGACGTATGCTCAGTGGTGTTGGTGCCGCTTGTGCCGATGCTACAGTGCCTTCTCTGGTAGCTGAGATGTTCTTCTTTGATCAGCGTGGCCATTGTATGATGTTCTTCCATCTGGCTTTGGCATCTGGTCTCTTCCTCGGACCACTCATCAATGCTTACATTGTCGGACTACACGGTTGGCGTTGGAGCTGTGGCTTTATCGCCATCTTCTCTGGTGTTCTTCTCATCTGCACCTTTTTCCTGGTCCGAGAGACACAATACATCAAGCCTCGCATCCAGCATCCTGAGGACGATGTTCCAGTCAAGAGAAGTTTTGTAGGCTGGCTGTCACCAACAGTGGGCTTTAACCGTCAAGGCCACTTCCTACGAACATTTTGGGATATCCTACGCATGGCCACTTATCCGCCAGTCTTCTGGGCAGGCATCCTAATCGGCTGTTTCGTCGGCTGGACCATCATCATCCAAATCGCCACCACTCAAACATTTACCCAGCCACCCTACCGCTGGACAACAGGCACCGTGGGCCTATTCTCCCTATCCGCTTTCATAGGCGCTCTACTGTCCTTCTACGTCGGTGGCAGACTTATCGATTTGATCGCCAATCGCGCTCGAAGGCATACCTCACACCCTCGCCCCGAGATGCGTCTCATCGCCCTCATAATCCCCGCCATCATCGGTCCTCTAGGCGTCATAACCTACGGCCAATGCATCTTCCACAAAACCACATGGATAGGCCCAGCTTTCGGCTTCGGCATGCACGCCTTCGCCCTCACCGCACTATCCAACATTGTAGTCACTTATGTGGTAGACTGCTATCAACAATTCGCCGGAGAAGCGCTTGTCATTGTGTTTGTGATAAGAAATGTTATTGCGTGCGTGTTGAGCATGTATTCTAGTGATTGGATTGCTGAGCAAGGTGCTTCTGTTGTGTTTGGAGAGATGGCGGCGATTCAGTATTTTTTGTTGGTGTTTGCTGTGCCGCTGTATTTCTGTGGGGCTTCTTTGCTTAAATTTACGAGTGGTTATGGACCTATGAGGAGGGTGGGGTGTTAGGTGGTTATAGATATGCTTGATGGTATATTACTGAGCCTGTCTCTCCACTGTCTAAAGTCTGTTTGTTGTAATCATATTACCTGTGGCACGATCGTTTACCGTTGTTAGCCATCTGGCTGTATGGGTGCACTGGAGGGCATGGTGATGACAAAGTTGGCAAGGTGTGGTAATCTTGAAGATGATTGAAAATTAAGGGATGCCCCCGGTTTTGATAGAAATTATACTAATAATACAATAAAGTTTGAGCAAGTGTACACTTGGACACTGACATGATGCTCAAAGATTGAATTCTTTTGTCCGTTCCGATGATTTAGTTCTTGTCGGTGACGGCAGTGGTGTCGGCTGAAGCAGTGTGGGCAGTGGCAGACTTGACCTCGACGGTCTTCTCGCCAGCCAAGTTGCCCTTGAAGTCCTCGACAGACATGGCCTCGTTCTTTGTGACGCCGTGGTTCTTTGTGGGCTCTTGGATGACCTCGTGGACGGGCTTGACCTTGTGGGTGACCTCAGGGATGATGCGCTCCTTCTCGATGACGGGCTGGATGGTCTCGTGGAGGTGGTGGTGGACCGACTCGCCGGTGATGGTGGGCTCGGTGGTCTTGGTCTCCTTTGTCTCTGCCTCCTCGGTTGTGTTCTTGAACTCGGACTGCTGAGCGGCGACCTTTGCCTTGATATCGTCACCCTTGTTGTCCTTGTTGATTTGACGCTCCTCGACTGCGTCGGTCTCGTTGTAGTGGCGCTCGGGCTCGACTTCCTGGTCCTTGAGGGGCTGGATGGTGGTGTGGTAGTGATCTTGGTGGCGTTCGCGGTCGACGACAGTTTGCTCTTTTGTCTCGTGCTCGTGCTTGACGGTCTCGTGCTGCACGGCAGGGGCTACCTCTGTCTCGACAGTGGTGTCCTTCTGGCCTGTGGTCTTGGTGTCAACGACGGGAGCTGATTGAGGCTCGGCCTTGACTGGAGCTGCGACTTCAGCCTCGGCCTTGGTCTCTTTTGACTGACCTGTGCCGGATCTGGGATGGGTGTCAGCATGTGTTCTTCAAGCAAGTAGTGTCAAGAGATGTTCTTACAGGAAGTTGTTGATAGCGCTGGCGGCGGCGTCCATTGTGAGTGATTTGATTTGGGAGTTTGGTGTGTAGTTGGGAGGAAGTTTGAATTGATTGTATGCTTTCAGTACATGCGAATGGAGGCGCTTACTCTTATAGTGGCACACCAAAAGACATGACGAGCTGTCCTTTGTTCTACGCCATTGACCTCATCGACCATGAGTGGGGTAAACGTGGTAGTACGGACCAGACTCCAGCAGCTGAATAGTGCTGCACGTCAGTTCACCATCAAGAGGGGCTCCGTTCTCTATCATGGACTACACAAAGCTTGCGATTAGAAAGTCTTCATGATAGGCTGACCAGAACCGCACATGCCAAATGCAGTAAGTCTGTCATGTTGCGATCCAAGACCATCGGACGATCATGATGGACTAGACACACATCGTCATCTACTAGAAGCGTCTTTCCAGGTTTTGGGTGATGGAGCGTCTGCATTTCCAGGTTTTGGGAGGTGGATGATGTTTAGAGTTTGCGGATTTCGCGAATCTGAATGGAATTTGAGGTTCGCCATCATCGCTCTTGCGCCACAGCAATACTCCAACCCTCAAAGCACTGCTTGATTAAGTCGCGTTAGAGTCGGAGCAGACATCCTCGTATAGAATTTACGCTCTCCAGTGGACCTCAGATCGCTATACAGTCAAAGTCCTTGTCCACGTCTCGCCATGCAAGGCACCCATGTCTTTCTGTCCTGGCGCATGGGGGCAAACAGCATACAGAACCCCACACCATCTGATAACTGGCGCAATGACGCTGTGGAGCAGAAACGGGGGCAACGAGGCGCAGCACCTCCAACTGAGCCGCTAAGGCTCGTTGTTTAGAAACCGTTGTTAACAGGTTCGATGTTCGCTATGTATGATCGCTGTAGATGATCGCTGGAAAGCGAAGATTCGTCATGCTTTCGTGATTTGCATGTGCAATCAGAGGATTCTTGTTTCTACCAAGCTGTTGGTGCACATGATTTGCGTGGGGAGAGGCGCCCACGGAACATGCTCCGTGATTGATGCAGAATCGAGATCACATGCCAACGCTGCAAATGCTTCTTCAGAGCTTCGAGTCATGCTCGAGCTATAATACGACCATATATACCGAATCTAGGGTAGTGCTATAAGTCTTTACCTAAGATAAGGTAAATGTTTGTTCGTCGTAACAGGACTTGGTAATCTAATATACAGATAAAGGCGGTTTCCTAAATAACTAGGCTTAGATTAGCAAAAGTACTGATTACTCCATCATTTGTCTACATATATACATGACAGTCACACTGTAGCGCAAACATGTACATCTCCATCGATTGATATTTCACTCATGTCTAAATCCAGCTTGTTCGTGGTGTAGTACCTAATACATGATTTCGAGATGTTGTATGTGGGACGACCCTGCCTGCAAAGCATGGTATGATGTCATCTGTACAGAACACGTCATCATAAATGTCATCCAACGGCAGTGGAACTGCGCGACCCGGCAGAAAGAAGAAGTTGCAAGGAAACGATTTGTGTTGTGTTCATTCATAGCTAAACATGACTCTCTGACCGTAGAGAGATAGCACCGGTGTAGCCGAGAGCTGTTCTGCATCATCAGCCACCGTGTCCTAGCGAATCAATTCGACCCTACTCATCATCCAAAAAGCTCAACCCTTGCATGGCAGTTCCCCCACAAGCCCTTTCCAAAGCCAAGAAGGCAAAGTGACTACCAATGACTGGTCTGGCGAAGAAGTTGGGTCCAGGGAAACCCCCTTCGCCTTCCGTATCATACAAATCGGTAAAGGGTCTATCGGTGACGGTCTCGTTGAGCCACTTCGAAACTCTGTTCAAGATCTCAGTGCGAGTCTTGCGAGAAGAGACGGCGGCGGCTTGGAACTCCCAGTCTGACTTTGTGTAGAGATGGCGAGAGTCGAGGGGGAGCCCGTACTTTTGCATCACCGCAGCATACCAGTCAGACTGGATTTTGTAGATGTGATTGGGGATGAAGTCGTGAGTTGGTGGCTCGACGATGGGCTCTTGTTTACCGCCGGACACTCCGACATAGTCACCGATAGACTGAGAGCTGCTGCCGTTGGTTGTCGAAGGATGGAAACAGAGGAGTGCATCAGCGTACAGAGAGTACAGCGTGGTCCAACTTCCATACCAATCATATGCGAGCTTTGCATGTGTGCCATCGCGAGAGATACCAAGCTCTTCCCAGCGCTTGATGTAGGTGTCCGAAATGTTGCGGAAGTGTTTCGCATCATCTTTCTTGTCCATGACGGTGGCCAGTTCGCTCATGGCTCGAATACCCACAATGCCTTTCAGAGCCAGATTGGTTTGCAGAGCCAGCCACCCAGCAAAATCGTCGGTCGACAACTGATTGTGAGGTTCCAAGCTGTACTCGACCAAGTACGAAGTCCACTGCTTCCACAAACCATAGGACTTGTCGAGCCATCTTTGTGCTTGCTTCAACCCCTGAGCAGAGCCGCCCCAGCGATCATCAAGACCCCAAACATCCTCGCGCTCCTCGAGAGCATTCAGAGCGAAGGGACTTGCCTCGTTGGGCAGAGCGATGTGGTCACTGCCCATAGCCGACCAGGCTGACTGAGCCTCGGGCGCAGAGCCGTATGTCATGGAGTTGACTAGAGCAAGACCCATGATGAGCATATCTCCACACTCTTCAACCGGCATGTACTCATCCTTGCCGTCTGCATGTCCTGTCAAATTAGGGAAGTGAGTACCCAGATCGTGCATGCTGTAGTCGTTCGGATATTGGCCAGAGAGCATGTGCTCAATCAGAGGCTCGAGGAGGTAGGCGAGCCAGCGAGGCTGAGTGTAGAGGAAGAAGGGGAAAGCTGGGAAGATGACATCGACGGTCTGACTGTTTCCGTTGGAGGAGATCTCCTTTAGGAAGAGCAAGGGATTATCCTCAGTGCCCGAGAAACTAGTGGCTCCCATGGTCTGACGAGCAGAGAGGGCAACAATGTCGACATATGAGTCGGAGCCCGACTGGTAAGCGTCAATGGCGAGCTGGTCGGAGTAATTCTGTGCCAGCTTTTGGGCATTCCTGAAATCGGTGTAATGGAAGGTAGTCAGGTTGTTGTCCGTCTGGAACCACGTTTTCCAAAGAGGGCGCATGAAAGTCAGGCCTCGTGCGGAGGCGTACTGTGTGACGGGATCTTGGATATGGGCGATCGTGAAGAGGACACTGTCTGAAGACGTGTTTTGGTGGCTGAGCTTGTGTCCGGTCGTCTTTGGAGCAAGATTGAAAGACTTTGAGAAAGCAAAGACGGGTTCATCTTGCATGATGGCTCGGAAGCGCTCGTCGTTCTCGTTTTGTAGAGTGCCGGTACGAGAGAAGCGATTTCTCAAAACTCCTGACGTACCACTCTCGTGGCGGACATCCTAATTATCCTGTCAGCTTGTGTCATCTAGCAGCAGCATGCAGCATGCTTACCAAAGGACCGGTAAACCTCAGACTGCCCCATTCGGCTCGGTCGCTGAATTCAGTGAATAGGAGTTCGTCCTTCCTCTTGACAACCCAACTTTTGAGCTTCTCAGTCTCTTCATTCTCGAGCTCCCACACTATCTCGCTGCCTCTGTCTCCACTGACCCACTGGCCGTTCAGATCAACGTAAATGTCGACGTCAAAGCTTCCGGTAGCGTGGATGCTGAGATATGAGGCGGGTATGGATTGGCGAAGAGTGGACGAAGGTGTGACTGGGGATAGGAACGACAGAACGATCTCGACATGTCCGGAGGTCGAGTTGTGCGAGGGGATCTGGTACGTGAGATTGGTCACGGATGCATCGTATTGCGCGCCTTTGTACACGGGGTAAGAGATGTTGTAGCTACGAGGAGTGTCAGCGAGCTGCTGATCACCATGATCTCTCGAGAACGAACGTCGAGTCTTTCTCATCTAGAGAGTCTTGGGGACGACCGAGTAAGGGATATGCAGTATTGGTATCTGGAACACTAGCAAGGACGGAGAAGCCCATCTGCAATGACGGTCAGAATGTGTCGAGGCAGACACACTGCTATCAGTACGAACCTCTTCTCCGGTGTAGAACATGGGCCATTTGGACCATGGCTTGTCCCTTGCATTGCCCAGCCAGGTCGAGAGATATGGGTTCCTGACAATCAACGGCAAGACTGGCGGAGTCAGGCTCGAAGCAGCGACCGAGGAGACCACTGAGGCCACAGCCACTACACCCAAACATATCTTCATCTTCTAAGATCTATCGGGAACAGAACAACGATCAAAGGCAGAGATACAGTCCAGCTGATCTATAGTGATAGAGAAGAAGGAGGATGACGAGGAGAAAGGAGACAGCTCAGAACCTCACTAGCGTAATCACAGACTAGATGGGCGTGCAAGGAAGGGGGAATGGTCCAGCTGACCAGTCGAACTCGACATGGACAAGCAAGTGGCTGTGTCAGGCGTGTTCAGCACATGTTCGAGATCGGCGCCGTTGACTTTTGTGCCTTGCATGCTATGCTACCCCGCGATGCGGGCGGGGTTCCTTCCTTTTCCCTTCTATATCCGACCAACTGATAGGGTTACTCGCATAGCGCATAAGCACTGCATTGGATGTAACGATGATCTTAATGCGTAGAGTCTGCGCGGGACTGTGTGCCACAATATAAAATGTCCATGGCTTTGCAATTTGTATTGCGAGGGAAAGAGTGTATTGGCGTTGGTTTTAGCCGTCGGCTTTAGCCCACGTTGACATGTGATTCTCGATTCTTTCTCCGCTTTTTGTCTTTTTGTACGCGTCATACGCACCTCAAACGACCAGATGGCAGACCTTCAACTGTCCATCTCTCCACCCTTGTTACAGCCTATCATTATCCTCATGGTTCATTTCTCATAATGCCGTCGCATTTGGTGATCTTCTCATGATATCCGCGGGGTTAGGATACACACGGTACTCAAGACAAGGATGCCGAGCTGGTTTTGTGCGACAAGGAGGGATGTATCGGAGAGGTTGATCTTGGTCTGATAGCTCTTCGCTTAGAAATGCTTCCAAACCATTCCTTGATCTTTGCTCCGCTGCGCTTTCTGAGACTTGACGGCGGTGTATTGTTGATGAGCAAAGGCAGTGGTGTAGGAGTCCGTAGAGAGCGCTTGCGAACAACTGTATCCACGCTGCTTATACGCTCCTTCTCGCTCTGTTCCGCTACCTCTGTCTGTGCTTCTGTATTGTTGGTGGTCTCTGAGGCTGACAGAAGTTGCCCTGTGGCTGACGGCTCCGGGTCCAAAATGGTTGACATGTCTAGCTCTGAGTCGACAGGGTGTTCGGAGTCCAGCTTCGTAGGCGAAGAAGGCTCGGCCTGTGACGAGGTGGGAGTGAGGCATATGGTTGGCGGATACGAGAGTCTACGGATCTGGGAGGCATCTGGTAACGTATCTCTGGGCTTCGAAGGTTGCTCGACGGTGCTAACGTAGGGTCCAATGGTGTCAGGATGGTCGATGTGCTGGTCAGAGCAAGGGGCGCGGACGTGAGGACCCCCTCGAACATGGTAGCGGAAGGTAGCGTACGGCTGGTCGACTGGATCCAGGAGAGCATATTGGTAGAAGTTCTGAGGATTGTGCTCTTTAAGACGACCCCAGTTGACGAGGTCGAAGCCCTTCTCGCCCTTCTCGCCCATGGGTGGCATGTCGTCAAACTGTCTACACTCTCTACGCCTGCCTCTTGCGCGGAATGCAAGGATGTCGAAGTCCTGGTCATGGCCGGTTGGACGGAAGAAGAAGGCGCGCTTGTCGACAGCACGCCAGCCGCCTTGATCCTCACCACGGAAGAAAGCCCACATTGTCTTGCCCTTCCACTCTTCTGCTTCTCCCACGCCCCAGCTCACGATGCTTTCGCCGTCGAGCATGAGCTTGAAGAAGACGTACTTGGTTGGCGCATGGGTAGGAGCGAGCATGGCTGGATTGATCGTGTACGAGATCCAGAATTGAGATGCGAGGTAGGACGGCACGTAGACATCGACTGATCGTTGTTCATAGCTGGCGCTATCCATCGCATCGCTGCCTGCTATGGCGGCTTCTGGGATCGTGTCGGCATCGAACTGCGACTCCAGTATCAGCACGATGCCCTCGGCTGCAGGCATTTCTTTGACGCTTGGTGTCGCGAGACTGATGTAGGTGTGTATTTATGAAATTGTGATGTTTGCTATCTGTTGTCGCAATCTGCACCTTCCTTGTCTTGTTTGTCTTTGTTGGCGTTTGCCTTTTGTTTGCCTTTGTCTGCGCCCGACGTCTCTTAGATACTGCAGCCCCTGAAACAAACTTGACTATCATGACATCGCTTACCCATCTCCCTCTTCGCGGGTCGACACGTCCTCGACCAGGACTTGAGTCAGGTCACAGTATAGTTTCTTGTAGTTCAACAACACCCACGCTCAATCTATCAGACGACTGCTTGTAGATCAAGCAGATCAAGCTAGCTTCTCCCTACAAATTTTTCCCTCCACGCCCTGCCTCAGCTATCAGCCCGATTCATTGCCGTCCATCAGTCATCTTGCGCATTTTAACTATCTCTTCGACCAACGTTGCAGCCTGGAGCCTGTGACTCTTTTCTCATGGGCGAGCATGCGTTTCCTCCTATTTCAGGAACTGACAGTAAGTCTGCGTTTCTCTTCCAGAATTTATCTTCCGCACAACACATCACAGCAAGTCAAAATTTATCTGTACCACCAACTCTCATACATTCTTCTTCTTGTCTCAACTAACAAAATCAACACTCAACATGGCTCCTGCTACTGCTATTGAGAAGCTTTTGAAATCCGTCAGAAAAGATCAAAAGTCTCGCGGTCGTGGTCAATGGGCTGAACCCTTCCCTCACGACAAGGTCGCGAAACCAAAAATCCGCGTCACGAAGGTCATCAAGCACCGTCCTCAACCTATCAAGGACTTCATGAGTATTCAAAGTCTATACGATCGTCAGGAGGAGAGGCTCGTCATCTCTACTCCCAAGGCAGAAGTTTCACTCGCTACTCCAAAGGCCAAAGTCGTACTGCCTCCTCCGAGAGTCATCGACCGTCCAACTTCTAAGGTTCAGGTCCTTCTCCCCAATGTCAGAACCAAGGTTACCGCTCAAGCATCCAAGGTATCCAAGGTATCCAAGGCATCCAAGGCTCCAGTGACCATCACCAGCCGTGCTACAACGCACGCTGTCAACTCAGCTCCAGCTCACAAGCGCGAGTCTCGCTGCGACTCTTACTCCCCAATACTCGCCACCACTTCCAAGGTCAGACCACCCCACAGCAGAACTATCAGCAATACCTCATCAGCATCAGCAGGCAGCTTGAAAAGCAGCTCTTGCTCCGTCACAAGCGTCAAGGGAGTCCACCTTCTCCTTGCCATCATCCCTGAAGACCAACACGCTGCCTGGCTCGAGGACTGGGACACCTTGTGTGTTCTCTCTGGCGACAACTTCCCCGCCTACTACTCCAGCATCGAAACTGGATTTGACTCCGCTGGCATTCAGCTCTATGCCGATTGCGAAAACAAGCTCATGGCTGATATGCTGAGGAACAAGCTCTTCGGCGAAGAGATTCTCGGTCATGAGCTGATCTGTAAGATCGTCTAAGGAAGGAATGATTTCAAGAACACATGTGTTTGAGTATACTACACTGGGAGTTTGGAGTTTTATATGGATGTTTGTTTGAAGGGTTTGTTTGATTAATCTCTTTTCACTGGGATGAAGTAATATTTTGATTCACCTTGTTTGAGCCTTCTGTTTGTATACCAGAACCATGTTTCTTGATCTGCCATCGTCGCACCCGAGTGGCGCAACAAGCGTGATGATTGACCGTCTTTATGACGAGAACCAGCGTATGGGTTTCTTTCACCTTTTATGGCTCACATCTCTTCTGACTGTCCCTATGCGTGAGACATCTATGCACTGCATACTCATACATCCCAAGAGTTGCCTAGAATCGTCTCGACTATGAGATGAGTATATTAATGACTCATCCCAGTGATGACTCAATGTGCGCTCTCTCTAATCTAAGCCTTCTGGTTCAAGAAGAAATCTCACGGCTGTTGAAAGAGAGACCTTTCGCGGTGGATTGAGGAGAAAAATCTTCACGATTGAGCCGTATGAAGATGTTTGGTGAGTTTATCCGACCCGGAGACAACGATGCTCTTGCCAGTTCTAGCTTGAATTATCCTTCTGCTTTGCTGAGACACTTGCTTTGGAATATCGATGGGTAAAAATTTTGTCAGCCAAAGAGGTTCAACTCTGGGACATCGATGATGATTCGTTCTTTCGTGTCGAGTACAGAGATGCTCGATAGTATCAGTATAATGATTGCATGTACATTTTTCTAATGTCGTCAGTACACAAGCATGTTTGTATAAAAAAAGTCGACTTCACCAACTCACAAAGCCGTCTTGAGCCGAAGCTTTCACAACACCTCGTCATGATAACCTACCACTTGAACCAGAGAGGATGAAAGTATACTCACAAGACTTGTGCCTATTCTCACTACCTTTCTGAGTCTCAAACACCGATAAGACATACCCCCCCCCCCCAGATGATACTCCCATCTTCAAAGCCTAAGCCGAGCTCTCTCACCCGCCTCTCACCCCTGTCCACAACCCTCGCCACGCAACCCCATGGGTTTGACTCGCTATCTTTCCCCCCCTTCCGGCTCTATCCATGGAACAATTGCCCTAATCCCCTAGTCCATCGGCGAGATGAAAAAGATAATCGTTTGGATCAACGATATCCCGTCTCTACTAATGCCGACGCTATGCGCGAGCTTCCCTGTGCGTGGTCATACAACTCCTTCTCCCAGGAACGGATGTATTACGCATTCTACTGCTAAGCCGAGGGTGCGCGGCGAGCGGATGATGGGGGTCAGATAGGGAGGAGAGGAGTTCTGACTAAAGGGCGTGACGCAAGGGTTGTGAAGAAGGGGGAAAGGATGAAGGAGACAGGGGAGCTGCGGGTGAGGGTTCTGCGATGCTTACAGGTGGGCTGCATAGTAGCTCTGAGGATACTGGTGGAGGGGCTATCTGACAGGTGTAGTCCCGGTATGGAGTCATGGTTGTTTGCCCGTCCTGAAAGGCTTGTCGTGCTGCTATCGATAGGATGTTCTTTTTTGCATTGCACCCAGATCCTTGGCCATGGTCTTATCTGCATGCATGTGAGGCGGACTCGATATTTCGCCAGAGTGATCGCCGACGGTAAGAGGTAATCATGTCCAGAGGATGCAGAAAGAAGCTGTGATAGTGTAAAGTAGCACATTTGGCGTCCCAAGTCGGGATGTAAGAGCCTGCCAGTGCAGAGCCTGGGTCGTCAAATCACCTGTTTAACTCGGATAAATTATCCCGTGATATATCTCAAGTCCAGATGACGGTGAAAGCAGATAGACATGGATGGTGAACAACCATAATGTTGTATCGAGGCGTTCAGGCACAACGTACTGATGCCTCGCAGAGGCCGCAATCAAATTGCAACCCCATCTCAGGGGTACAGCAAGCATAGATACCACCTACCTGTGATTAATTGTGCAATGGAGTCACATTCCTCATTCTCCTCCAGTAGACCTTAAGACGGTTTTGTGCATTGCTGCTTCCTTGAGAAACACAAACTTCGAAGCGATTCCCGGAGTAGTCACAATCAAGACCAAGCAGTTCCCTGACTCGCTCGTAAGGCAGATCTTCATCTGCGGTGCGGGATGTTGATGGAAGATAAACGCCTTAGGTCACTTGATCGACATTGTGACGTCTGTCTGTGTGTACTTGCAGGCTGGCGTAAAAGCCACTGAACACGAAATGGAAATATTTCCCCTCTTTCGTTGCTTCCGGAAATTTCGAAGCCGTGCGCAGGACATCGCAGCTCAAGTTGTTGCTCAGGTACCTATCCATCAAAGTGACCTATGTGAAGATTAGCAGACACAAGACATGTTTGTTTTTGCATTAGTAGACATAGTAAAGCAGGGTTTGTTGAAAGTTCAAGAGAAATGTTGTTGAAATGGTCATAGTAGATTTTCTCTCGTCTCTAGCCATAGCTATTCAAAAAAAAAAGGTATAAAAAGAAATTTCATCAAAAGCGCGTAAGAAAAAAAAGCAAATGTTCATAGCATAACAAGCATCCAGTGCTTGATGTGCTTAAGAGTTGTCGGCGCAAGACCAAGCCTTGCCGCCAGTGTCCTTAGCAAGTTCGGTGCCCGACGCGTAAAGACCGACAACGCAGATGATGATACCCAAAAGCACCAAGATGACGTTGCAGCAGAAGAGGAAAATCTTCTTGGGACCGCTGAACCAGCTGCCCTTCATGATGTACAGCCACATGACACCGGGAAGTCCGTAACTGAACCACGAGGCGAAGAGAGCGGCGACAAATCCGAGCAAGTTGCTGAAGTTGGGGATCGACTCGGCAAGGATCCATGCAACGAACCAGATACCGAAGATGATGGCGAACCAGGAAGAAGTGGCAACAACACCACGGCTGTGGAGGTGCTTGGTTCCGGCGAAGAGACGGATGTAGATGTATTTGGCGGTGACGTGACCGAAGATGACACCGGCGATGATGATGGTGGGCAAAGCAATGCCCCAGGCGATCTTGGAAACAAGAGGGGAAGCACTGCTCAGAGCGGGACTAGTGACCATATCACCAGCGAAGTAGTAGATGACAACAGCAGCAACCAGGTAGAGCGAAGTGTCGACGGCCTGAAGAGTCATCAAAGCCTTAGGGTAGTCCTTGGGGTCACGGAGCTCGCTGATGAAACTCAACCAAGCGGCGTGTCCACCGTAGGCGAAGACAATGTTGGAGACACTGTTGAAGGCGGTAGGGAAGTTGGGATGAGCGGCGTTGACAATAGTGCGTCCCTCAAGAGGGTTGACACCGAGAGCAATCATGGTGATCATGACAGCTGCAAGAATAGAGATGAAAGATGCGATGGCCAGGAAAGACACATTCTTCATCGTGCGAGGGATGGTAAGAAGGAAGAAGAGGACCAGTCCGACGATACCGAAGACGATGCTGCAAGTTCCGTGGTTGGTAAGAGTGTTCATCGCGATGATGAATGTCAAGACGTGAGAAGCCATGCCTGAATTTCAATTAGCTTGATGTAACGTATTTGGCGCATCATGGAATACTTACAGAAGACGCAGAAAGTAACGTAGGCGAAACCGAAGATCTCACGTCCGACTCTGCCCATGAGAATCTGACCGACATCACCGAAGGAGGAGACCTGAGGATATCTCATGCGGAACTGCCAAAGAGTGTAACCAGAGTAGGTGGTGATAATACCCATGAGAAGAATGGCGATGATACCACCGACCAAGCCGATGGTCTTGAGGACGGCTGGGAGAGACAGAATACCGAGCGAGATGTTCTCGGCGATCATGATCATAGCACCTTGCCACCAGGTCATAGTCTTGTATTGGATATCGGCACCATCCTCGTTACCGAAGACGTCCAGCACCTCGGTTTCCTTCATGGTGGAGTTAGATTCCACATCGTCGGCAATAGGGGTTGAGCCAATAGCTCCGAAGTCATCAACCCTTTTTTCCTGATCGTATTGAGGTGGTTGACCAATAGGTGTGGGCATCTCGTTGTTATGCATCGTAGGCAAGATAGGTCGTGGACCGAGTAAGAATGTAGCAGTGTTGTCCTTGAGAGGATCCGACCGGAAATAAGGAGTGGCGTGTGTCGAGCTGCTGGAATATCCCCACAAAGTGACAGTTGTAAGAATAACCAGAGATGACCGGAGAAGAGGAGGGTGAGGGTACACGACGGAGGGGCAGGTAGTTAAATAGTGGTTGGGGTAGAAGTTGACTAACCCGGCAGATCACCTAGTCAGACGGTTGTGCCTACGTAAAAATTTGCTGCTGTCGTTTGGTAGTTGGTGGAGGAGAGGTGGACGATGCACAAGACGCTACGGCCTTATAACGGAGCCTTTCCCCACGATGTTAGGTAAAAAGAATCATGCTCCTGGTTGAGCACGTATGCGTTTAGGTTTCAAGCAACGCATTGAGCTCTTCAGATCGACTCATTGTCGATTTGTATCAAGTAATAAGAATCCTTCCGCACTCAAGGAGAACGTGGTCCCCAGTTTCTCGTGGTCATACCTTGGGGATGTCATTGCGGAGTCCCCAGAATCACCAAATCTGACCTGCTTCGAGACCTGCTCGACCACAAAGTGGCTAGATACCATGCAGCGTTGCCTCTGAGGAGTGATTCTTTTTTCTGATGTGTGAAGTGTCGTCAGAATTTGCGCTACGTAGGTGGAGCTATCTTGAGTCAATCGACGCCTCCAAGCTTCACCAGCCCTTGTGCCTGAGTGCCACAATTAGAGCCTCTCATCAAGACTCCTATCAGGTTGCTAGCAATTCGAATGCGTAAAAGGTTAAGGCTCGGTTCGGGCTCTGGGACATCCGTCGTACGACTCGGTATCAGCTTCCATGCGCGAATCTTTGCCCAATAGCGATGTCGGCAGGGATTGCTGGGCAAAACAAAAAATCCGGACGCTTACCGGCGGTTCTGCTCGGTCTTGGTGCTCAATCCAACGACACACCGCGCATTCTGCACACAAACATGCTTTTATGCCCGCTTGAGGTGTCTTGTGATGATCGAGACTCGGGGGTCTTGAACGAGTAGAAAGCCAGGCTCTTTACCATGTAAATGAACATCATAAAATACCGGGTGGTCACCAGGTACTCAATGGGAAAGGACGTACACCGGCGAATTTCGCCCTGACAAGCTGTGCGGACCCTGCGGCTTCGGGCCTCTTCTGACACTGCCAGAGCGTTCCAGCCTCATCTCGACTCCCGCGGTGGCCGGGTTCATCGCACGGTCGGACAAGGCGGCGCGCGACGGCCTTTGAGCGCGCCGGAAGGGCATCCGTTGTCCTTGTTGCTTTCTCATCAATTTGTGCCAAGTGGCTTGTCTTGCGAGGACCGGCTCAGCCCTGCTGCTTTCGCGAAGCATCCGTTGCCGACCAAATAGCTGTATATGACGTTGCCTTTTGAAGCATCGACGACTTCCCGGACCTAAGTAGTGAATGTGTTGTTCTATGTCTGGTCTGGCAGCGACCACAATCTTACGCTATTGGTCCCTAATACATGTTGCAGACATGTCACAAAATGGAAATAGTAGACGATCAGTGTCAAACAAGTCAAGTTAAAATGATTGCTAGAAGTAGGTACGAGGCCTTTGGTCGGCTGCTCCGGAGCCTCCTATTTCTAAACATCTTAGAAGTCAGGGGTCTGCAACCGCTGTACTACGAAAACGCACGATGGACTCCTCTCTGGGAAGTATACTTGGAGGAAAAGTGATTGATTGTTTCACATGAAGAGGACTCAGGCGCAAAGAGAGGAAGTGAGTAGGTATTGGGTTCTGATATACAAAAGTCTACGGCGGTGAACCGAACACTCTACAAAGCGAAAATACAAACGTCCAGATCGCAAGAAAACGCCGCTCCAATATGCGTCTATCATGACTTGGGCTTACAGATGAAACGCCCCTGAAATGCCACTGTTCCACTACCCGTTCTTATAATACAGGTCTATGCGCTCCTCCTTTTACGACATGGCCATCTCGTCCTCGTCGGAGGGAAAAAGCGGATCTATCTCGAAATATTTCAGGAGCTGCTGATACATTACAAGCATGGTGCCACTCTGGACACTGGTCCACACAAAACGAGGGCCCACACCTCTGAAAAGGCCAGCGAAGCCCTCGTGCTTGTAGATGACCTTCAAGCCTGCAATTACATTCTCGGTCTCGAGGGCGACCGCTCCGTGGTTTCGCAAAGCAGTAGACGGACCTCCAGTCGATATCGGTCGTTTGGCTTCTTGTATCGAATGCGCTTGTCCGGTAGGCCTATGTGTCGCACTGGCTGGACTGACCTTTGGACCAGTCTTTGATGCTTGCGATACAGGAGCATGCGCAAACTCAGGGTCCAGTTGGGTTTGGATGCGAGTCTTTACCACATCCAACGGACACGTGATGACTCCAGCCATTCCTCCAGCGCTGGCTCCCGTAAAGATCTCCAACGGCAGACCAATATCTTTGCTCCCCATCCAAGCTCTTGCTATCCTTTGCTCTTGTTCGTAAAAGGCGAATTGTAGAGCGGAAAATGGTAGGTCGCGTGCCAATGTGGCAGAGTATCCAGAGAACATCTCCCTCCATCCTTCGACGCGAATAATTGTTCTGAAAGCATCCCATGTGCCGCGGTAATTGTAGCCGCTGTGGAAATATGGATTGTTGTATTTGCCTTGCAGCTGCAGCCTAGTCTTGAGGACCTCGGAAGGGACGTACCAGGGCGAAGCGGCGAGATCGGCAAAGAAGCCTGCAGAAGTTGTGAGTATCGAGACTAGAGCAGAACGAACAACATGACTGCCTTACCAGAGGTGAAGTATGCGACAGATGGATTGACGCCATAGTCGATCATGGTGCGCTTAGAATACTCATAGGCGCCAAAGAAGGTGAGAGTACCAGTAAAGGATCCAAGGAAAGCAGGAGTGACTCCTCCATACAGTCCCCGTACCAGTCCCTCCTGTCGCCAGATGGTGCGATAGGTCGAGCCCATGGATGTGTATTTCGGAGGCATGTGAGGGTCACCTTGTTGCCTGGTCTTGACCGTATCGAGCGAGTGCATGAGCATATCGCCCATCAACCCACCCAGGCCTCCAGCGACCATTGCCTATATCTTGTCAACCCATGTCACCATGACCATGCTCTCATTCAACTAACGTGAATGTATGGCGGACGAGCCGCGTCTATGTCTTCCTCGTCCATTATCGACTCCTGCTGCACTATTTTCGCCTGGCGTTCTCGTTGCTGCTTCGCCGCCTCTGACGGAGCATAATGTGAAATGGTGTCGGACGGAAACAAGTATTCAGCCACGCGGGCTAATACCATGGGGGCCTTCGAGTGCGCCTCGGATGCGCTTTTCCACTGTCGACGGAAGGTCCAGTTATAGCGAGCGTATGGTACCGAGCTGGTGGAGGTCAAAGAGTGGTTGCGACGGGGCGTATATCAGATGTTCAGATTTCTGGCCTTCCGTCTGCCTTCTCAACTTTCTTTGAGCCTTCTGCACTCGGCGTCATGCTGCTTGGCATCGCCTGCACTCCCGCTTTCCGAGCACCGACTTTCCGACGGTGACCTTGTCTTGACTACAGGTATGCCTTTTGGAGATGGATATACTCGGATTGATTGCAGACTTCAGATCGAGTATCTCAATGGGGAGTATCTCAATCGGGTACGTTGAGATTCAATGCAAGTATACCAATTCTGAGGTCTTCAGATCTGTAGCTGATCACATGGTCAAGTTGCTCCGACTAGCCAAATGCCAAGACGCTCGTTTCTTCTGCTGTTGCGAAGTGTTTACTTTAGCTCCTCGAAGCTGTTCTCCTCCTACGCGTCTTCCGCACACTCGCGTTTTCCTTCACCAACAAAGTGTTCACAACATACCTTACTAAACATCCTCAACTTACAAGATCCTTGATCGCCTTGAATACGCGACTCGTTCTAATATATTCTCACATCATGCCTTCTTGGTTGAACCTGCACCGCAAAGCTGAACTTGCCGAGCTCGCTGGTCAAGTCGGAATTGCCGAGTATGCACGATCAACGCGTCACTTTTCATCAGCTTTCTAATCCTTGTAGTGTCACTGATCTCCGCAAAGATCAAATTGTCGCCCTTCTCGAAGAGCAGCTTTCTAATAACGCGTCGAGATACGCTTTGCTGCCTGGTTTCGAGGGCTACTATGCTCGCAGAGGCTCTCCAACGAAGCGTGAAACGGGGTCCACTCCTGCTGCTGAAGCCGAAGTGACCAGATCTGTCAGAAAACGTGCTACCCGAATCAAGGGTGAATCCGATGGGTAAGTCCTTTCCCACACCACGCGTATAGCTCTTGGTCTCATGCGTACTTTTCTAGCGAGCCGATATCATCTCCTAGCGCGTCGACTCTCAGACGCGCGCCACAGGCTACGCTCGTGCAGACCCCAGTCGGGCTCGTGCAGACTCCAGCTAGAGTAGAGGCACCTATAATCGAGGTGCCCAGACTTGAAGAGCCAAGATTCGAGGAACCGACCTTCGAAGACCCTGCACTTCTTAGCCCTCCTCGCATGGCACTTCCTCCTTCGCCTGCAGTTGTGACTGATGTTATCGAAGAGCAGACTGCTCGCATCTCCGAGGGTATGAATCAGCTCTGGAGCGCAACACGCATCATGGATGGACTGTATGAGGCCCGTCTCGATTTGTCGTCCGTCACTGGTGTTCACTTCACAATTCTGGTTCTCGAGGCCATAGCACTGCACCGAGCAACTGTTCCGTGGAACTTTGCCTTTGACGTCCCAAGCCTTTTCGGCTTCCCTAGCTTCGCGGTCTTCCTGCCTGATCTCTTCGTCTTCTTCACTCACCACTACTGGGCTCCTTCCTTGCTGTGGGCCACCATGAACTTTTGGGCACCTCTTGCCACTGGCTGGCTTTTCAACTTGTCCCTCAAGCTCAAGAAGAAGGATGGTTTCGAGGACTATAGACCAGTCTACCGCATCGATCCCTTGACCTTCAGTATCGCCAAAGCCCTCATGACCTGGATGGTATACGCACAAGGCAACAGACTTTACGGAACTTTCGCAGACGAGACCGTCAAGACAGTCGAGAGTGCCATGCCTTATGGTTACAGCGGTGCCATGGTAGCAGCATACGTCGGCATTGCTACGAGTATCTGGGACGGTATCCAGAACAAGAAGAGAGTGTAAGAGATTCCTTGTGGTCTGGTAAAATCTATTTTCCTGTTTGATTGCTACTTTGGAAAGGCTTTTTGGCGTGTTTCGGTGGATGGGCTCTGGTGTTGATCGGCAATTGTAGCCTATGGATTTATTCGTTGTAAGCTTGAAACTGTGCAGTTATACTAGATACTTGATCGTCACAAATTTGACCAGCTCCCTGTAATAGGGCCTCTGTTTCTGACGATGACTGCGCATGCTCACAGCCTTAATCTTCGACTGACCGGTGCGAGTAACCATAATGTTCTCTCCTCACTTTCCCAGCAGTCGAGCCTTCAGTCCGCAGAGAGACTGTGCTTTTTCACAGCTTCAATTACCAAGTGACTGGCACTTCACTCCACTGCAGGCGATAGTGAAACCTCACATAATAACCAACACCGAGTCTATCCATCCTGTCAACAACTCTTTGTCCAAACCTTCTCCACCAAACCTCTTCCTCAAACACACCCAACCACAACCATGGCAAATACCCAAGAACACTCCAGCAAGGCCCTCCAAATCCTCCACGACATCAATTCACAAGACCCCACCAATCTCCACCTCACAGCAACCCTCAGCAACCACAACCCCTCATCCGCTCAAACCCTCCACCCTCACCTCAACCTCACCAACAACCGTTGCCATAAAGTTCGTCTCGAAGGTCTCGCCCTAGACCACTGCAAGTTTGACGCTTTCCTCGCACACCAAGGCAGTATTCTCAAACACCTCCAACTCATCAACGTACACCTCCACCACGCCCCCCAAACGACCGCGATGGAAATTGGCGAATCCTACCCTTTTCCTTGCGAAATTGGATAATCTCATACACCAACATCTTCGTACCCGAAAGTCTCGAGATCAGAAATCTACGCTGTGATTTTGGCACTACAAACCCCCTCATCAGGTGTCATCATCACTTTTCCCAGGAGGAAAATGGACAAGATTAGAGGAAACACTTATTGGATTTGCAGATTTGATGGATAGAAATCAAGATACAAGGACAGCAAGGGAGAGGAAAAGGGGCAAGGTGTTATGGGTCAAGATATACCGGTTCTGTCGAGCTTTGTGGAGAATGAGAGGTGGGAAGATGAGTTTGGGTTTGTGGGGGAGGAGGTGAGTGATGATGGTGATGATGATGATGCGGTATTCAGTGAGGGCGAGGATGGTGAGTATGATATGTGAGGAGGTTTTACTCGAAGGCGAGTTCATTGGAAGGGAGTCTGCTCGTTGAGGGAAGGGGCGAAGTTAGCTAAATGGCTTCACTATAGCTTTGCAAGTATCATCACTCTATGTCTCTTCAGGACAACCTTTTGTGTACCGGAAATTGGCTTTGTCTTCTTACAGCTTGTTGTCACACTCTGTAGCAGCATCATCACGAAGAGCCGGAATTGACAGAAATCAGCATATGAGAATTGAGAAATGTAAAAACATGTCATACAGTTTTTATACAGTAAAAGTTTAAGCATCTATCCACGCAGACCGTCAAGTGCATCCTTCAATCTCTCCCACCCATCAGTATCCTCCCAACAATCCTTACCTTTACCCATAATAGATCTAACAGCACTCCTAGCCTTGAACTTCCAATCCTTTGCAACCAAAGCCCCACTTCCAGCAGCCATGCCTTCGGTCTTTTCCATCTGTCCCAAACTCTCATAGGCATCGCACAAATCTACTGTTGCATCCACGATGACATTCCAGCGTGATTCGCTCTCAGTCTCCCAGCCGGCTTGGCTGGTTACTGCTCTCCAGGCTTTTTCGTTGGCGTCGAGTGCTGTGGCGGGCTTCTTGCGCCAGAGACATAGTTTGGCGTATAACTGCCACAGCTCGCGGGAGGAAGTGATGAGAGGGACGATTTTCTTGTCAAACATTTCGACCAACAAGCGTTCGAAGCCTGGCTTGTTGGGGTCATATTCGTCGTTCAAGGCGATGACGTGACGGATCATGTGGGCCATTATCTCTACGTCGATGCAGGTTTCGCCGTTTGTCTTTGAGCGCAAGTCGATCATGTGGCGTTGAGCAGTCAGTACTGTGTCGTAGTCTGGCGGTGAGAGGGAAGCAGCGACGATGAGAAGGTTCTCCCAGATACGATGGCTGTCGTGTTTGAGTGTTGCAGCGCGCTTGAGTGCCTTGAGGGCGTCCTTCTTGTTCTGCTGGGGATCAGGCTTCTTTGCTTGAGGAGCCATAGACTCGTCTTCGTCTTCTGCGAGCTCAACGGTGGGAGCACCTTGTTCATCATCGGCGGTCGGGGCCTGGTTCTTGAGGAGCGCAGCAGCCAGATTACTCCATGCTTCTGCATCAGTCTCCTCGAGCTGCACTGTGCGGGAGAAGGCTTCGGCAGCCTTCTCGAATTGGGAAAGCTCCAACAGACAGCAACCCATGGCAAACCAGGAAGAGTGGTTGAGCTGGTTGGCCCTCAGACTCTTAGCATATGCATCCGCAGCCTTGATCATGTCACGCTGGCCAATGTACATGCGACCCAACGAGCGCTGAGCACGAGCATAACGCTGACCTGAAACCTCCCATGCCTTCTCATACATGGAAGCATCTTGATCAAGGTCACCAAGAATGCAGTAAAGACGTGCTGCATCAGCTGGTGCCGGTTGTCTCTCAGGACCCTCCCAAGTCTCTTCATCGCCAGCACTTTCATCGTCGCCGTTGTTAGTGGCATGGAAGATTTGGCGGCGGACCATCTTCTTTGCTGTTTCCTCCTTCTCGGTTGCGGCATAACAGAGAGCGGCTTCTGCCCACATCTCCAGGCGGATGTAGATGTCAAGTGCTGAGCGTAGACCTCCCAGAGTGACCCATCTCTGTGCCAGTTCGCCCTCGAGCTCCCACCTGGTCGGTGCAGCAATCTGGAAAATGTATCGCAGTCTCTCCGAAGCAGGGGCCGAGTCTTCACTCTCACCCTTGCGTAAGAAGCTAGTTGCCGTCACATCTGTGTTGCTGTCTGCAGGTGCCTCGGTAGTGTCGGCGATGACCTGATCAACGACTGCTTGCAATTGCAACAAACCACGCTCGATGGTTCTTGATCTGTAGCCTTCCATCCTGCTACGAACGAGCAAGCCTTGTGTGTAGACTTGCCAATTCGAGCTACCGCCCTCCAGCACTCGAGTGGCATAGGGTAGTGTCTCTTCTCTGGTGAGGCCATCTGCTGGAGATGTATTTGTAATGGAAGAAGCCAGAGCAAGCAAAATAATCGAGTCCAGTGGTGATAACTTTGGCTGGTTCGAAGGATCTAACTCTGCCAATGCTGGTGGCAAAGACTCCTTGGTTTGCACATCCAAATTGAGGGTCGGCTTTTCTGTGAATGAAATGTTTTCCAACAGTGTGTCGTCGTTCAGATCCAGGTTCTTGGGGCCAGTGGTCGCGCCTTCCGTTTGTTGAACTTCTGTTACATCATTGGTATCCTCTGCGCTACGTGCACTCCTAGCAAGCACGACCAACTGACTAACATCGTGCTGCTGAAACTTTGTCCTCCTTCCCAGAATACCGGTCAACGCGAATTGGAAGTTCTGCTCAAGCGCCGCCTCATCGAGATCAGTCCTTGCTTTCTTGTCCAGACCGTAGAAAGTCTCAATACTAGCACGCTCAAGCAAGAACTCAATCTTGGCATCGTCATTTCCAGCCGCTGACTTGCCTTTTGGTGAAACATCAAAGAAACGCTCCTGTACTGCATCGACGTCTGCGAAGATCTTGTCCTGTAATGTTCCACAGTCCTCGGACAACAGCCTTTGATGCATGAACGTCACCCTCAGTCTAGCCCATCTCGACACGGGGATATTCTCAAGAATGTCCGAGTTACCGAGAATGACTTTCGCCAGACAAAGAAGCTCAATGTTCGGTGTCAATCTGTATGCCGCGATACCGTCAACCGCAAGGCCAGCAATCAGTTGTTGACGCAAAGCAGTGACTTTTTGCTTATCCTCAGCCACATCTTTTGGCAGTACAGTCTTTGAAGGCGTGAATGGAAGTGGCGGGCCAGTAGCATTTGACTGTAGGAAAGCGAGCAGAGCGGCATATCCAATGATAAAGAAGAGACCTTGCTTATATCGTGCATCCTCCTGATTTGCACCGAGAACCTTACTTAGACGGATAGAAATGAATTCATTCCATGTCGCGCAGTCTTTCAGCTCGGTCTGATCAAGCTCTGAATTTGCACTCCGTCCGAGTATTTCCTGTGCATCTTTTGTTTGTAGCAAGGCGAAAAAATCTCCAGATTCCAGCTCCGAGAGTCGTTCGGCCAGCAACCCCGACACTTCTTGGGGTAGAGAATTGCGGAATATTGTTTGCAGTGCGTCGGCCATATTTCTATGTGATGTGAATGATTGATTGTATGTTTCTGCGGATAATTTGCCCTGCAAACAATATTTCTCTGGACCCTTGATTATGGAAGCTTTTGGAACTTTTTGAGCCGCGGAAAGTTCCGCGATTGTTCTTCTCCTTTGCGCTTTGCACGACAACAGGTGGAGTTACTTGTCAATAAAAGTGTAGAAACATGACAGTCTCACAGCAGAACACTCACAAGACAGGTGGACAGAGGAGCGAACATATCTTCTGCAAAGTAAGGAGAAGACAAACACCCAAGCTTTCATTTTCCATAATATGATTCAAAAAGGGTATCTGGATGTTTTTGTCGCTTTGCAACCACCACTCCAAATAACAATCATCAAACCATCACACCATCATTCCATCACACCGTAAACCATCATGTCGTAAAGGGAATCGAAGACAAAACCAGAAGAGAAAAGTCAGACAAGAACAACGCTGTCATGAGATGAAAAGGCAAAGCACGCTCGAGAGATGCTGAGCAAAACGAAGAAGCGAAGAAAACAAGCACAATCATGAGAAAAAGTTGAAGGCGAGGAAAAACTCCCAATGCGAATGGGAGACAAAAGCCCTCGTCTTCGCGGCATAGATGTCGTTGATTCCAATCATGCCGTTGTCAAACAACAATATGACGAATCTTGACACCAGCAGCAGGTTTTTCAGCCCCTTTTGGGCGCGGTCGCGGACCGCCACCGAGCATCCATCTGGTAAATGCAGGCACCTGTTTCTTCTTGCTTGAATTAGCACTGCTTTTCGGCTTGTGGCCAGCGCCGCCTCCACTCCTACCACGACCATCATCTTCGATGAACACGACGGGATCTTCAAGATCGTCATGACCGACGAGGACGGTGGGCATGTGCATGGGAGGTGGAGGTGGGGAAGAATATTGGACTGGTGGTTGGGTGTGAGAGGGAGGTGGTGGCGGCGCGGGTCCTACGGACGCACGCTTGCCCGCGCTCTTATTGCCACTGACCTTGTTGCCTCTGGAGGGTCTCCTCCGTGGTTGTGCATTCGGGATTGGTATGATGTCAGGTGGAAAGCCGCCGATACCGTTGAGGACCTTCTCGTCAATCGGATCGGGTGGCAAGGGCCAGAGTTGCATCTTAATGTCCCACCCAGGTTGGACTACAGTATCCCAAACTTGCGGCAAAATGATCTCGCTGTTCGGACCTAACAAGTGGTAGTGACCGTTAGCAACATGTGGCCCAATACGCTCGATGTTGACAAAAGCTTGTCTAATCAGAGTCTCCATGCCCTTCCAAGTCTTGACCAAGTGCCAAGGCAGGGTAAAGCTTCTATCCACGGCGTCGGTGAATTTGATGGGCGCTTTGTCGGCATCAGGCCCTGGGGTATTCTTTTTCAACTCCTCCTCGGCGGCCTTCTTCGCTGCCTCTGCTGCATCAGCTAGAGCCTTGGCCTCTGCCATTTTTTTTTCGTGCTCTGCTTTGGCTTCTGCGATGAGTTTCTCAACCTCAGCTTTGGCTAAAGCGGTTGCAGCGGCGGCATCTTTCTCAGCGATTTCACGAGCACGTGTGGCAGCTTCGGTAAGCTCCTTCTCGCGAGCGGCTCTAGCTTCTTCGGCAGCCTTTTCCGCAGCCCTCTCTGCAGCCGCTCTGACAGCGGCATCCTTCTCAGCATCCTCACGAGCCTTTGTGGCCACATCGGCAAGCTCCTTCTCGCGAGCGGCTCTAGCTTCTTCGGCAGCCTTGACTGCAGCCCTCTCTGCAGCCGCTCTGACAGCGGCATCCTTTTCAGCATCTTCACGAGCCTTCGCGGCAACATCGGCAAGCTCTTTCTCGTGAACGGCTTTGGCTTCTGCGGTAGCCTTTTCTGCAGCGGCTTTGGCAGCGGCAGCCTCTTCCCATTCAAGACGTTGTTTCTCGAAGCCGGCCACCAAGACAGCAATGCTGTCAGCTTCGGCCGGGGCTTTCTGCTCATTTGCGGCGGTGGGCTTTGCGGGCTTTTCGTCGGGCATGGGAGATGCCAAATGGGAAGAATAGAAGTGAGGAGGATAAGCAGGAGGTGGCATGGCTTGCATCATGTTTTGCGGGCTAGAGTATGGCCTTTGGGGATAAGCTGTATGGTGCATATCAGGATACATGTATGTCATTGAGTTTCTAGCAACCATGTCGGGCCTTTGTAATTGGTACGTGCCGGTGTACGGATCGTAAGCATAGCCTGGTTGCGGGGTGGGAGCCTGCGGCGGTGGAGTAGGCATGAACGGATTGCCTAGACTAGGCTGAGCGGCGTAAGAATGATGATGGGCAGGGTAGCCATAATGTTCGTAGTTCGCAAGTACGGCATGATTGTCATATTGCGCAGAGGGCGTGCTGGACATCATGGTAGGTGGAGTCGGGTAGGGCGCAGAGTGGTGAGGCCAGCGATTGTCTGCATACTGTTCGTCGTACGCCGGATCGTAGTGAGCACCGCGGGCCGAGTAGCCATGGTCGTAGTGAGGAGCCACACTGGCTGAGATGTCCGAGTGGTCGCTCGGAGTCGAGGCAGGATGTGGGTATGCGGCGTGTCGGCTCCGGTCTGGGCGGGAGTACTGATCAGGCGGGCGGCGATGTCGTGTCTTTCGCAAAGGATGATCCTCCTGAAGGGGTGGGTTATCGTGAGACGGAGATTGTTGTGGACGAGGACGATGAGGGAGCGATTGGTATCTGAAGTGCGTGGAAGGTCTGTCGGCCGGTATGGAAGCCGAGTCGTTGGGACTGATGTCGCTCTCGGAGCTAATTGATGTTTCGTAAGTCGTCGTGGGGTCGTAGCGGTCCTGATCAGAGTGCGAATAGCTGGTGTTGTCGCCGTCGTCGTAGGGGAGATGAGGACGAGAGCCCGTCGACGAGTAGGCCGGGTAGTTGGCTCTCCTGCAAGACCTGATTAGCGCGACAGTAATCAGGGGAAAGCAAACCACAATCACTCACGACATGTACCACGACGGGGCGAGAAACGTCCTTTAGACAAGCCGTTGTTTACTTGACCAAAGTCTAAATGATGCGAAGCTTCGTGCCGTCCGGGTGCCCCTCAATCTCTGTTGATGTCGCAGCGTCGCAAGATGAAGCCTCTTTGGCTCGTGGTAAACAGTCGGCGCACAGCGGCCACGCTCTGCCAGCGATGGCCAAGGGGGTCGCTATCCAATTGGGCAGCGACGCTTCTAGCTGGGGTCCTCTCTGTTTGTGTGCTCGTCGTCTTTGCACTTGCCGTATTCGCTCTGTCGCGGATCTTTGCTGCCGCAATCCTTGGAATGTATCAAGATACTATTCAATCAAAAAGTTTGGTTCGTGGCCAGGTAGTTTCAAGAAGTGTTGGCGGTGAGGGCGCACTGTGACGGCACCAAATATGCAAGGTGGGATGCTATGTCCACAAGCTGATATCTGGAAGAAAGGTCTTTTTGCTCCAGCCTGCGTCGCGACTTTGTCCACTGAGCGCCGTCCACGTCGAAATACGACGTCTGGAAGTTGCCTTGCAGCAGGAAAGTGTTTGCAAGAGCTGTGCGCCGAATGGAAGGTCGATCGACTCGCCGAAGCCTTGGTCGCACCGCCCTACTTTATTTAACCAATGGGAGAAATCGGGTCCTGGTCAAAATGCCTGCTGCTTAGCCTACGGCAATATTAGCCATCCTGCAAACATGCGTCAAGTGGATTCGAGATGAGTTCGGAAGGATGAGAAGACAACAACTTCTCTCATCTTCCCTGTCCATCTAGTAACCCCTTGTCCAAGGAGGTGGAAGCGTGTGACTTGAACGTTTGACTTCGCGGAGACGTACCCGGTTGCCCCTCCAACCTTGACCTACACCCTGTCGATGTACTCCTTTCGGTATACTTAGGATGTCTGATGCGATCAGCCTCTTTTTCGAATTCGTGGTCTGCGAACTTTGCTGGGTGTAAATCTGTGAGGAAACATTGGGTATGGGAGTGTTGGAAAAGAGGTAGAGATGCTGTGGTAGCCTGTTGTCACACACTCAATGTGGCATAACCGAAATTCGGACAGCGACTACTCCGCTTATTTGTCCAGGGCGATGCAATGCTATTAACTTTGTTCTTGCCTTCTCGTCTTCAAGCCCAACATAGCCGCCCATGAGTCTTCTTTGGGCAGCTGTCGCAAGGTGTGTTTCATGGAGCGCGTCAGAATCCGGGTTTGATCTTCTTCCTGGCGCCTCATTTACATCTTGATGCCCAACCACATGCATCCCTGCCCAAGCCAACAACGGGGCCTCCCAGAGCTATCAGCCCAAGATACTACTATTGTCTACAGGCCACTGACGAGTCCAGGACCAGAATGTCGACCTGGGAGTACGCTCCGGGTCTCCATCGTGTTAATCTTATATCCATGCGTTGGAGTTACACAGTCGATACCCAACAACATGTACCACCCAAACGTGGCGACTTGCTTCTTGACCCTAGCAATTCTTAAAGGTGTCCGACAATGATCAGTCACGATACTAGAGAAAACTGGTCCACTGGTGGTATTATACGTCATGTGCCTGGAATATGTGGCTTCCTCATGTGGTTGTGGGTATCATCTCAATCTATATACAGTAGAACGCCACCCATTTGGCCAATGAAGAATGCGACAGAGAATGGAAAGGAAGATGAGTGAACAAAGACAAAATGGCAGATGATGAGATGTTTGATGCAAAGATGCAGCTGGTTTGCACGCTTCACCTGGACTTCCTCTTCTCGCCGCCCGACTCGCCGATTCCGACGACTTCTAGGACGACGTTGATGGTAGTACTGACGCACCAGACACCAATAAGGATCCAGCCGATCTTCCTGCTAAAAACCCAATTGTTCATAGGCACAGCGATAAGAAGTCCGATCAACGTGACGAGTAGCGTGACACCACTGACAATCAGAGTCTGCCCAACTTCAATCTCGTAAGTGCGGTAATGGATTGGCCTTGATGGATGTTTTGCGTGTCTGTGCTCCGCACCTCGTATCAATATCCAGGAGCCCGAGAGACCGATGCCTAGCAGGATGTTCAACATGGGACCACCGAGGCATGCGCTTAACGCCATGATGGGGTATCCCAACTTGGCGACGGTAATGTCTGCGACCAGATCTCCCAAGGAGTTACCAACTGCGAAGATGGTGAGACCCATAATCGCATGCGACATATTCATGATGACAGCAAGTGCTTTCAGGACAGCCACGACCTGCGAGGCTATCGTTGAGATCCATGCTATCGAGACAACAAAGCCAGCCATGGACAAGATGGTGTTGTACGGCTTTGGTCTATGAGTTGGCGTTGTGGTCAAGAGCAGAGCAATTAGAAGAACGAAGGATACGAGCAAAGATATCAGTATCGGTCGTACCAGGGATCGTATGCTGTCCGTGTCGTCAAGATATTGCGTGTAGATCACGACTACAATCAGCAAGGGAGCCAAGAACAGCTGAACAATAGTCAGCCATCTGTTCCAGTACTGAGGTTGTATCTTCGCGCCTGATGGATGAAGTGATGGTAGAGCTGTGCCCGAGGCAGCAGAAAGGAGAGCTTCATGCTCGCCAGGAACCGAGAGATAATCTCGCTCGATATGTGTTGCGACTGCAGCACTTCCTGCTCCGGGCGTTGCAGCAGGGTGGAAATAGTCAGAAGAGTGTGCATCTGGACTGTCCTCGTCCAAAGCACGGAGGCTTGGAGGTTTGGATCCTGTGTGGTCAAGGACGTCGGCCTCCTCCTCTGCCTCTTCCCGATCGGACTCCACAACAGGCAGAGTGACGATTAACAAGAACATGCTCGGAGCTGCCACTACAGCCAAAATCCTTTCCCACCAGTTCTTGTCCCGCCAGTGTTCAATGGTTGGGAAGAGTCTATACAGAAGTACAAGAGGTGGGGGTAGGATCTTGTAGGGCCACCAGCGAATCGGCTTTTCTTCTACCTCGTGGTCAATGTGCGTTAGTGGACATGACGCAACGGACACGCTTGCAGCAGGGAGGTATAGACTTGGTGGCCGACTGCTGTTGGCGGACGTTGGTTCGTAATATGCCGGGAAGGGGGATGAAGGCGCTGAAGTGTTGGGTGAGATGTGACTGCTTGCCGGGATCTTCAGGTTATAGAGGTCTTGTCCAAAAGAGCGAGGTGAGTGGCTGGGACTACTATTACGTGACCTCTTCGAGGGAGACATTGTCACGTCTTCAGAGACGTCTATGAACGGCACACTGATTGAGCTCGTAGAGCGTGCGCGAGTATGCCCAGAAGTAGTGGTCTGATCGAAGTATGCGGCCGCTTGTTTTGAAGCGGACCCACGATCGTCGAAGTCGGAGATAGTAACTTCAGGGGTCTGAGGTCGTGTGGATCTCTTCGAAGGAACACTGCGGAAAGAAGCCGCCCGGACGGATGGCAGACGAAGGCTGTTATCCTCATCCTCCACGATGTCCAGCATATTGGGGGTGTGCTTTTGAACAAAGCGTGGATCGATGCTCAAGTGCGCAGCATCGTTCGCAGAGACGGCACGAGTACGCCCAGATCCGTTGCCCTTCAGAACATCGGGCGCAGGTCGTTCAAGAACTGGAGATGTGCCATCGGTCGCTGTGTGGAAGGGAGGTCGGGCAGCTGGGTCGGAAGCTCCAGATAGTTCCTCTTGTTGTTGAACAGTAGTGAAGGTCGGGTCATCCGAGTATCTTCGGGAGTGCATGGGGATCGTCTGATAGGACCTAGCCTTCTGTAACGACTTGAGGACGGCCTGAAACTCAAGGGCACCTACAAGACTGGGACGAATTGGAGTCAGTGTGTTGCGCCGGGAGCCGGGGCCAGGTCTTGTCAAGCGCATGTTGCTTTTGAGCTCTCCCAGCCATCGATCTCTAGCCTCATCATCGTCTTCATCCTCATAAGGCTCAACGACGATTGGCGTGGCCCCTCTCTCGAGAGCGGAAAAGTCGTCTACCGAGGGGCCTGGTGAAAAGGATGGGCGAGTGGTAGCCTCTTCATCGTCATCGACATCGTGATAGTTCTCTTCGGCCTCGATCTCCTCACTTCCAGGGATTAAGTAATGCCCCCTGACAGCAGCGTTACGCTCACGACGACGCCTTCTTACGCCCATCCACCAATGCCAAACAACGACAAAGGCCACATAGAAGACATAGAAGAGAACCATAGTGATGCACTCCCACAGATGTAGCGTGCCGTCCCACAAGAAGGATAGAGAGAAAGCAGCAGCAACGGTAAAGAAGCCAACGTCACGAACAAAAGCTTTCCTGGCGACCTTGAAAGGTCTGACCAAGGCCATTGAACCAGCAACGACAGCAGTGATAAAGCCAGCAGCACCAAACAACTCTCCGATAGCCAGACTGCTACTGTTTGTGCTGAAAGCTGCAAATGTAGAGAAGACATCCGGACTGCCATTTCCAAAAGCCAGGAAGGTGACACCTGCCATGCTCTCACTCATTCCCAGAATTGTAGCAATCGTGCTCAGATTGATGCAGAAGAAATCGCTGGCAGCTATGCCGATGGTGCTGAACAAAAGACCAAGCCAAGATACGAGGATGAGAAAGGCGATAGGTTTGGCATGCGGCATGGTGCAGTAGAAGAGCTGTAGATAGGCCAAGAAGCCTGGGTCTTCGTCAGGACAGTGTTTCGTAATGTAGTGGCATTGATCGGTAGCTCTGTGGACGAGTCGGCACTGCGATAAGAGTCAGACCAGGCATGTGGGCACCGCAGACAAGTTCATGCTAACCTCTTCATCGGTGGTCGCAAAGGTCCCGACATCTCTTCGGCTTATCGCGGTGTGTGGTTGCGAAGGCCGTGTCGATTCGGCATCGGAGCGATAGACGTAGCCGGCGAGACCGAGAAGAGAGAAGAGCAAGACGGTGTAGACAAAAGATTGAGGCGAATACCGCCTTCTATGTAGACGGGACGAGGCATGGACCCGGTGCTTTGGGTAGAGGTCGTGAAGCGATGTCATTGCGCCTGTGTCGCATACCGCCATGTGTTGTCGCAACTTGTCGGAAGAATGAGTGTTCGGGGTCGAGCGTCAGGTAAACATGATGAGCATTGGTCAGAAGAAGCAGGTGGCAGAATCGAGAGAAAGAAGCCGCGTCGAGCGAGGAGTATTATGGGCGATAGGGAAACTACCTTGTGTTGGACGCGGCATGCACAGCAATGACGACGGTTGCGACTGCTTAATCCAACATGTGCCGTAATCAGTGGCTGTGCAGAGACAGAGAGTGGCTGCACACAAAGCACAGGGCTGAGTCTCTTTGTCCGGCGCCACACCTTCGGCAGGCCGGTCCCCGCGTTTATTTGCAAACTGCTTGTTTGTTTGCACCGACTGGACGAAGTCGAGGGACAACCAAGTATTGATAGCCAACTACTTGCGACCATCTACACCCAGCGCCCTGTCACACAGCCGGACACGTTGCAGCCTCGGCTTGATTCGACGTAATCAACATGCCACGAGTGCGCGCGAGCGGCGCCGCCGCCAATGCTCCTGTAGCCGCGACTCCTCTCAAATCTGCTGGCATTAAGATACCACTCAACGATGATCGCGAAGAAAAAGCAAAGCGCCTGCAGTCTCGCCAGGCTTTCCACGAAATGCACATGAATTCCCTCAAGGCTGCCGCGTCACCTGCTCGTAAACGCAAGTCTTTGGGAGCCGACCTCGCCGAAGGACCAATGACTCCTAGCGGCAATGGAAGTCAAGATGAAGCTTTCCATGTCGGAGGAAGTGCTGTCACACCCATGAAGCGTGTCCCTATCTTGGCCAACTTTGAAGAATGGATGAAAATGGCCACCGACAACAAGATCAACGCCACAAACTCCTGGAACTTTGCCCTGATCGACTACTTCCACGACATGTCTCTGCTACGAGAAGGCGACGGTGTCAACTTCCAGAAGGCCAGTTGTACCTTGGATGGTTGTGTCAAGATTTATACCAGCAGAGTCGACAGTGTCGCAACAGAGACTGGAAAGCTGTTGAGTGGTCTTGCCGACAGCGGAAACAAGAAGAAGCGCGGCGACGCGGATGATCAAGACAATGAAGATGGTGAAGATGAGGAGGGCGAGGATGGCACAAAGAAGAAGGCGAAAAAGAAGACACACCGCTCCGAGGCCACACTTGCCACTTCGTTCGCTCAACTACAACTCAAGAAGATGGAACTCGAGTTCTCCGTCGATCCACTATTCAAAAAGGCCTCGGCTGATTTTGACGAGGGAGGCGCAAAGGGCTTGTTACTGAACCATCTTTCAATCGACAACACTGGCCGCATTGTCTTTGACAGCAGCGACGACGCCCAAGAGGACGATGAATCGCGACGAGACAGCATGGTCGAAGGAGAAGAAGGAAAACTCGACGAGGAAGAAATAAAAGCTGTTAACCAAGCGCCTATCGACATTTCAGGTCTGGCCGCTCGCTTCTTTCCCGACCTTTCCAAACTCGACTCGCAAGACATTTGCCCATCTCTCAAAACCTTCGAGCTAGGCGGCGGTAGTGCTTCGATGGATCTACCCTTCCTCAAAGCTCCGGAGGACTGGCGTGCGCAGAAAGAAGAGGAGGACCTTGATGATGCTCGTTCGGGTATTGTTCTGGGTGATGACGATGCCGTTGGCTTTGACGACGATGACGGCGCATTCGGCGGCTTTGATATTCCTATCGATGCTGGCTTTGGCGAGGGCGGTGAAGCCTGGGCTAAGGAAGCACATGTTGAGCCACAACTCCGGCCTCACGACGATGGTGCTGATGTCGATGCTGGAGTAGGTGTTGATGCAGAGGGCGGCGAGGTTGGCGGTTTCGATTCGAATGGCAACCAATTCGGTGTCACTCTTGCCCATCGCGGTGACGAGCACGAAAATATTCTCAGCTACTTCGACCAGGCATTGCAGAAGAACTGGGCTGGACCCGAGCATTGGAAGATCAAGAAGATAAAAGATGCTGCGAAAGCAACACCAGCCACAACAAAGAAGAAGGAGAAGGAGCCGTTCGAAATCGACTTTATGAGCCCCATGAACCAACAACTAGCCGACCTTCTCTATACACCAGCTCCTTCGAATGCGACTATCAGTCTCCCGAAGAAGGATTGGAAGAGCAAGACTCGCAATTTGCTGCCCGACGACAAGCATTTCAGCTCACGCGACCTGTTGCGACTGTTCCTCAAACCTAAAGCTCGTATGGGCTCACGAAAGGTGGTGCAACAAACTCGTGGCGCCGCGCAATTCCAACATGGTGATGTTGACGAAGCCTATTGGGCAAACAACCAAGGTCTCGCTGAGCCACAGCCTATCGACGAAGGGACTGCACGAGGAGACTACGACGCAAACTTCTTCCAAGACGACGGCTTGGGTGCCGCAGCGGGAGCTGCAGACGATGACGACGACTTTGCAGATGCGCAGGAGATGCTTCCAGCAGCGGATGCCTTCGACGCCGCAGAATCAGGAGTGCCTAACAGTCAACCTCCCAGCAGTCAAGAGACCGCCTTTGGATCGAATCTCATCACACAAAGTAGACGCATGCGACCAGAATATGTACAATACGCTCGTGTAGCGAAGAAGGTTGATGTACGACGACTGAAGGAAGAAATGTGGCGAGGCATTGGATTCGAGGTAGGTTTCGACGTGACCCTTTCTGCAATCCATCTATCTGACGCACTTTTACAGGTCGAGCCTTCACAAACACTATCTAGGGCCCCACCACCGACTGTCGACATAACAGAGGAAGGTACTTTCAAGTTCACAGACGTCATGAACAACCTGCGGCACGTCTATCCACAACAACAATTATCAGATATCAGCACGAGTTTCGGCTTTATCTGTCTTTTGCATCTGGCGAACGAAAAGGGTCTGGTGATAGAAAACCAGGCTGGGTTCGAAGAGTTGATATGCAGGAAAGACGACACTTTTAATGCTGCGGATAATGTTTAGAACTTCTTGTTATAAGGTCGGAGCATGGATGGGTTCTTATTGGATGGGAACGGGTTATATGAGGACTGTATAAACGACGAATTTCCTTTCTTTTTTTCTTTTTTTCTTTTAGAGACATGTTTCGCAGCTGATATAATTGCTTTGAACAGGTCTCTGACTACGTAGCAGTGCTGCAGAGCTCTCAGCTAGATTGACGGACTATCAAACAGCCGTGAAGAGGCACTGTCTTGAGCGGTGTCTTGCGTCGTTACTTCCCTGCAGCTTTCCTTGGGGTTGCAAATGCAGGTGTTGGCGCACAATCAGTCCTTTATCAACATGCGAGATTGATGTGTGAGTTCAATTCACATAAGCAATCTGCTTCAGCAATCCGCAAGATGGCGTCCATGGAACTCGTGTCAACAGTGAAGATTTTCCTTCCTCCATCTCCAGTGGGCCACCCACGGAGCTCAAGAAGCTGACTTGTGTGCATTGCTGATGATTTTCTTGCCTTTCTAACCTTCGTTTAACGAATCTCTTGACTCAGTCGCCAGATTTCCTCGACGAGAACAGCAGCGCTTGGCCATATGTCTATCATTTCCGCAAGATGCTAAGGAAGAATTGTTCGAGCTTGCGTAACCTGATTATGGAGCGTGTGATTTTCAATATCAAGAGGAGTCCGGGATATGCGAGTTATTGTTTGGTGATTGTTGACGAGCGCCACGAATGGAGTGGTATAAGATAGGTGCTCGCCTGTATCGCCTTGTTGGCCTCGCAGATGGGATGATGGTGAGATTGATGCTAATGGTAACGATAGAGTCTAGTACTCCGACACCATTACTCTGATCGTCAAAAGTGTCATGCCTTTCTACAGCCCTGCGAGAGTGCACCACTGCTGTCGAGATTGCGACTCAGCCGCAGATTGTTAGCCATCACTAGCCCGAGAGATGATATAGCACTAGTATCCCTCCCTGCGGAGTATCCGACGGCCAAGCGCTGTGGAAACGCAGAGGAATTTTCTAGAATCAAGGTATCACGGTTGAAAGAGTGAGCGGGTGACCATTTTTCCGTGCCTGTTGTCAATCGAAAAGATTACAGATAAAACATAATGGGCGATTCCAAGGATGCCTAACAAAATATGTACAAAGGTTTGAGCAACTATGGAGATCGAAGGAAGGAACAAGAACAAAGCAATCACCTCCCAGAGTCGAACTCACCACCTTACTTTTATGCCATACCGTGAACAAAAAGTAACCGACGCTAATTCTCCGGGCTTCGCACAGCAGTACTTGACCAATCCTCCTTGGGAGGGTGGCATTATACGGCTGTCCGGGGGTCAGGGGATCTCCCACCGCGCCAAACTCACTGAGTTGGTGTTACCATGCTGGGATGCGAAGGGATTGGAAATCTCGGGGTATCTAAGGGATGGGAAGCGAAGGTAGATCCTTGTCTGTTTCTTTATGTTTACAAGTGAGAATCAAGAATTCACAGACTACCAGTATGCTTCATCTTAGAGCATCGGGAACAGCGTGCAGTAAGGAGAAATACATTCGCGGTAGCTAAATTCGAGCCAGTTTTCCCGACCTACATCTGCAACACCAACCCGTCCTCTCGAAAGGTAACTACCGGTACAATATCTCCATCTATGCTTAGACTCCTCCTTCTCTGTATCCCAGCGATGCCTCTGGCCATTATGGTGGGCTCATGTCTTTGCCCCCTATAGCCCCACAGCTACCATTACTCAGACGGAAACTGCTACGATGACCACCATTGGCACCTTTATTCTCACCTTGAAAGTTCCTCCAATCACCACGATAACTCTAACAAGTAACGAAGAAAGACGCCTAAGGAACGAACGGCTTTCAAGAGAGTCAAGGGAATATAGAGAAAAGGTTCGCCTCGAGATGCAAGAGCGGGACCGGGAGCGTGAAGCTGAGGAAGCGGCAAAGTTGCTGGAGGAGAAAGAGCAAAAAGCAAAGCCTGGGGTGTTCAGGCAGTATTGTTTGCTGCTCATTGTGTGCTCGCTATCTGCTTTGACGGCTTCGTGTGTAGTAGGAAATTGGGCCGATATTCAAGCTTGGTTTGCCGAAACGAGCTCAAGCTAAGGAGTGTGAAATGCGGAACTTCTCGTCTTCTCGAACTAGATCCAAGGCTGGGAGATCTTCGTGTTCAGAAGCACGGAAGAGTGAGTTCTCTACCAAGGGATATGGGTCTCGAGATTGATGCTTCTAAGGGAAAGGTCGGCTGGAAAGTACGAAGCATTACTAGCTTATAAAGTTCATCCCAGAAGCTTGAACACACCATTGGCTGTCTTACCCAAGATCTTTTGAAATTGACTAGTGTCGAGTGCTTTTTTACATTGCTTACTGTTACTCGAGCGGAAATAGGCTCGTCTTAAAGACAAACCTGATGGCTAAGAGGAGCGATTTGCTCGCCAGGCATAAAGACGAAGGTGGAAGTAGTCACTCCTCAAATCAAGGACTACTCCTCGACAGAAGTGATTCATGAGATTCGAGCATTTTCGCAGGAGATGGTATGAGTGTGCTCGTTGATGGTGATCGTAAGTGAACAGCGACCATAGGGTGTATGCTATGCACTGCGTCGAGCGTCTATGAGAACATGATGACTGACGCACAACGAATACCTGACTTCGATTTGGGTCATGAGAAGATTGATGCAATTGCATCACCACAATGAGAGGTTGAGGCGCCGAAATCTTGGAGCTTGTTTTGTGTTTTTGGAGTGTGGTTCTCTCAGTGAGGTTTTTGGTTTGAGTTGCAGTCTTATTTCCGCAGCGTGCGTAAAGGAGCGACTCAGTAAGATCATTTTCTCCAGCTGTTATAGCGGGCATACATCAGTATGACAGGAGCCAAGGAGGAAGGATCAAGTAGCCGCAACTATGGTTCGCGATTGGCAGTCACGAGTCACAGCAAATGAGGCTTGGCGTGGCAGTGCTCCTCTGATCCTCAGGTTTCAATTGCTGCTGTGCCACAGGGAACACCTGAATAACCTCTCATAATCCCTCGGGAGGATTCAGCACTGCCCCTCATGCAATTAAATGTCGGTCTGAGACTCAAATAGCATGCCAATGTCAGTAGGTCCACAGACACATAAAGTACAGGCGTCCTGCCTCAGGTAGGTGTTTCACTTTCATCCATCACACTGTGCCCAACCGCGCATATAGTCGAATACAAGACAGACACCGAACAAGACCTACACAAGACTCCATATCCCACCCCATAGTACGACGTCTCACGATGAGCTCTCAACTTATCGCCTCTTTACAACAAGCCGCCGGCAGAAACCAAGAGCTTCTTGCCATCCTCTCGCAGACCGACAATGCACCTGCAGCTCTCAAACAAAACTCGACCTACATTACAGATCTCGAGGAACAAAAATCAAAGACCAAACAGGAGATTCAGCGACTCCACCGAATCACCGAAGACGAACGCAAAGACCATGTGAAATACGAGAAGAGCACTTTCAACAGATACATGCACAAGATGACTGGCAGGGAGACCAGATTCGTAGAGAAGGCTGGTAAGGAAGAGAAGGAATTCATGGAAGCATGGCAGAAAGAGCGCGACACCCAGGAATCTCATGCCGAGCTCACAAGGGCCCTGGCAACCGCTCAGCAAGAGCAACAACGTCTACAAGGCGAGGCTGCAAGACACGATCAAGCACAGTCTGAGCTTGACAGACTTTACTCTTCTATCTTTGACGGACCCACACCCGAGATCCCTGGCGAGGATCAGCTAGAATCGAGTTTGCAGAACAACAAGCAATGGGCCGACAACACTGCACAACATCAGAACCTCCAACGTAGAGCTGCCGAAGCCCTGAACGCAGCGTTACAATGTCTGGATCACGCATCAAGGGACATGGGTGATGCACTAGACATGTCTCGCTGGGACATGTGGGGAGGTGGAACTTTCACAGACATGATGGAGCGTGATGCTCTTTCCAAGGCCCAGGTGGGTGTCTCGGAGTCGCTACGCCACATGGACGAGGCACGTCGCTGTCAACCTGGCATTCCGCCTTTGGCAAACATCAACATCGACAATGGTCATATGATCAGTGATGTGCTCTTCGACAATATCTTCACTGACATGGCACAACACGATCGCATCAAGAGCTCGGCTGCGCAGTTGCAGCAAGCCATACAGCAGTGCAGAGAATTGCTTGAGAAGCAGAAACGTACATATCATGATGCAGCCAACCAGAGCGCACAGGCGGCCGAGGCTACCAATGCCTCACGTCTTGAGTTACAGCGTATTCGAGCTGAGGCATTTGAGCGTTTCGCTGGTCATGGCGCTCCGCCACCCTTCCAGCAATCTGCTTATGAGGTACCACCTCCAGCTTACTAGATCTGAGGCTTCCTCTGGAGGAGCTTTCTTATCTTTGCAGCACTAGATTATAATCCTACAGCTTCACAATCATACATTTACGCCATATCCCAGTTCATAGTCGCACTCTCCCCGTGGTTGGCGCAGAGCAATGACGAGCTGTAGAAAGGCACAGTCATGGCTCGTACAATGGCCGTCGATGAAGAAGTCGATAACGCAAACTATCTCGATCACAGTAGTGCAAGCTGAAGTATGTTTCGTGGTTTGAGACAGCTATAAGTGTGACAGCTTTTCGCATCTGGGGAGCATACGTCAGAAACGTCATGTGTATTCATTTGTGCAAGTCAGCTCGAGCGCAAGCTGGGTATCTCATCTGCTGGCTCATCATTCGATATAAGAACACCCAAACGCCATATGACTCCGTGATAGGAAACAAACCCCAATCCTTGACCCATGCATGCGATGCGTGAAGTACCCGTCTAGAAGGCAATCTTTCTCTTTCTGCCAGTGTACTTGGAGTTTGCCTTGACGACCTTGCCTTGCTTCTCCATCTGGTCCTTCTTGCGTATGATCCAGCCTTTGCTTCCCTTGATTCTTGACTTGTCGAGGCGAGAATTTTGAGCCTTCTTGCGACGAGCATCCTGGATATCGACATCTGTCATGCCGTTGACAACACCAGTGATATCCCTGCTTGTAGCTTCCTGTTCTCTTCCAAGATCACCACCACCGACGGTGAGGACAAGGTACAGCTTCTCGCTCTTGGTTCCCGGGTCGTCTTCTAGGATACCAGCGCCAAAGCCAGCTTTGACAGCAGCCGCACTGATCATGTTCCTTTGCAGTTTGTTCTTTGGGTAGAATTGACAAACTGCACGACCACCACGGCGAAGAGAAGCGTACAAGCCGTCGAAAAAGCGCTTCAAGCGGCCCTCAGGTGTGACGTCCGAAGTCTCAGCATTGCAAAGCCACTGGATAGCAGAGATACTGATCGCAGCATCGAAAGAACCAGGACGGAACGGCACACCCTGTCCGATATCCGCCAGCATCAAATCGCCATCCACATCGCGCTCCAGCGCTTGACCCAGCATAGACGCCGAGATATCCATGCCGATCCATGTGTGAGGTCCTCCTTCTTCTGGTTCCACCTCCGAGAGAAGTTCGCCGGAAAGACCGCTTCCGCAGCCGAGATCGAGGATAAGAGAGGGTGAGCGTAGGTCCAAGAGTTCGAGGGCGCGGTGCGTCATGCTGGCTTGGATGTTCTTGATACGACTGTTTGTCGTATATTTGCGAGATTCGACGTCATTGTAAAAGAGGTCTGGCGGTAGCAAGTCTTCGGGGCGCGACATGATTGCGGTTTGTGCGGAGGCAAAGGTGTGGTAGAAAGTAAATGCGCTGAAGATGGTTGTTCAAATAAATTTTGGGCGCTGCTTGATGCATAAAATTATGTCTGGTGGCACAATTTGTGGGGAAGTCGGCAGGGTCCAGCCGGGCCATGATCAACGACATGCTCTCCAGCTCGTGATGCTCTCATGCTTGATACCTGTGGAAATGCACAAACAGATTGATACTTGAACAGTCGACTGCGGTAGCTGCTGTAGGGTCTCATACTTAGGTGGATATTCGCCTCTGGCAATGTGATTCTGCACTTTGACAGCTATGTCGTGTGGCGGCCTCAGAGCTGGAGCACCTGTCATTTGACATGCAGAATCAATCTTGACGTAGGTCTGTCGGATTTAGTCGCTGAATCATGTAGTGTTCTTGAGGCTCACAAATTTGGGCACTGTGAATTGTGCTCATGTGAGGTCATGATGGCTATTCTCTGGTCTGGGCCTCTGTCAATCATGGATAATTTCGACTGCAGCGAGCGACCAGATCCGTTCTCAACCTCATGCATCTGGACTCTCTAACCTCAGCTGATTGCCATTGAAAGTCATGCATTTGCGTGATAGAAACGCAATGGTGCACTGCACAACGACATGCCCGATATTGAAGTCTGTCAACAGCTTTTGATTTAGTCTGGGCTGAGACTACTGACAGAAGATTCTGTACGGCTGCTAATTAAGTTTTGCGGAAAGGAACGCTGATCCAGGGGATTGAACTAGCGAACAACTTGCAAATCAGAATCAATCAGGATATCACCGGACACGCCTTCACCACAAACACACCCACACCATCCCCAAAACTCACACTTATTTCGCAGAACAAAAAGTCTAGATTAAGTACAAGGACATAGACGAAGCAAAAAACACACCCGTATTAGGGGTTGGAAACTTTTCCTCATCGATTACGAAACAGTGTTGAGCCTGGCGTCACTGGAAATCTCGGATAGTTTGATTCTCCAAGAACCACCAAGCTTTGAAAAAGCCCGTACGGTGATTAGGTTTCTAATGGTGAACCCACTCGCAATTTCTTGCAGCCTGTCTCGGTGAAAGGGTGCTAATTCTACTGACCTATATAGCCAGCACCAGAAGTGAGTTGTTTTACTCCGTTGGACCCACTTAGTATCTTGACATGGTTTCCATTCACTCCTCTCCTTGATGAACCGCACACATCTCTGCACCGCCACTAAGTTGGGCTTTTTAGCTCGGTATATCTGTAGCTACTGACAGCCTTTGATCCATTCTGTGAACGGTTTGACAAGCAATTCTTGCAGCGCAGCTGTTCAACAAGATGAGGTACTTGCCTCGATGGTATGGAAAGCCAGCATCGTGTTGTGATAAGTTGATCATCGTGCTGGATCGTACTCTCGATGTTCGCGTCTTCTCAGGTGCTCTTCCATGAGACAATACCTGACCAGCCTGGACTTTGGCTTCCGATAACAATCGAAGAGACTACCCCGTATGTCAAGCCGTCACGAACTGACACACGAGTCCGCAGCAGTCCGTAACCTTCCAGGGATAGCCGGACTGCCACTACGTTCACTCTTTGTCTACGAGTATTCGCGCCTCCATAATACTTCCCACATCATACTTCCATCAACATAACACGTCATTCAACTCTGATCTGTCAGCCTGCCAGCATCATGGAGAATGATCAGTCTCAGAATGCTCAAATTCTCTTCCAACAACGTCGGTAATGCCACCAAACAACTTGACAATCACCACTGTGGTCGTCAGTATTAGTCTGGTCCTTCTCTTCTTCCCAATATGGGTAACCGTCCTACCATCTCGAAATTCTGAGTACACACCCAAAACGACGAACAGCATACCAGATATATACTTCTACAACAACAATCTACAAGACAACAATCACAGGAACAGAGAATTCATGCCCAACGCCATCACAAGCGCCTTACCCTTCCTACAATAGGAAGACGACAGCAGAACTCGAACAAGAAATCTGGTACAAGAAATCTTCCCACAAGAATCCTCATGTTTGCGATATGTTTCTTTCGGCTCAATGTTCTATCGAGTCATAACTTTTTTCCCGACAAGATGGGGATGGAGACTGTGAACCAGACATCTGTCCACGCGAGAACTTTGAACAGTGCGAATAGAGTGATGGGATGGCATGGGGATTCACCAGTATCTGTACTGAAAGCAATTTAACAAAACACCTGTCTCTTACTCATCGATTTCCACTACATGAGATCAAACAACACTTGTTTATTTCACAACCGGTCTACAATACCTTTGCTTCTGGCGGACCACATCAATTAGTTTTCAAGAAAAAGAAAAAAAAAACCAGTAAGCGACTCACTTTTTCCAGGAATCACCATCATAAAAACTCGCCTTGACTAATTCTCTTATCGACCAAAACAAGCCCCCTCGAGACGTCAAAGGAACCTCTCTTCTGCCCCGACTATATCAAAAGATACTACCCCTTCGTTAATTACAACAAGTTAGTTCACTGGGTATTCGCAACCTCACTTCCTGTGTACTGACTATAACAATACAGGAATGTCTCACTTTCATCATCAGCCTCCTCATCCCTTGGATGGCTTTCTGCTTCTTTCCAATCCGGTACTACACCCTCGAAGCCATGTACGCCAGCGACGCCTCAACTACACAATTCTGGGCCCTCACTGTCGGTTCCATTGGAACAATTCTCCTTCAACTCATCTTCTGGATCATCTACTCGATGGTTTGTAGAAAGTAATTCATGGTCAGTATCATGGTTTATCCTATGTCATCTACAAAAACTAAAATGGGGCCCAGGCTCTCTGGTCAGAACGGGGCTGGCTGTCTATTCCCCTTCCAAACAGGACATACGTGCAAAGAATTCAAAAGATACTTCTATCCCCAGTTGAACAAGACTTGCTTTTTACCCTGCTTGCCTTTCCTGATGGTCCTCTGCTCAGGCGACTCTTCAACAGCAGGAGGGCTCTGCATACCACTTCCAGCGCCCCAAGCGACACTCGAGGGTCCAGGAGCGTTGACTCGTCGCACGCCTGCACCAGTGTAGCCGGGACTGAAGACCGTACTAGTAGGCTTTTGTGCTTTTGGTAACGAAGGGAAGATGTCGCCGCCACGACCGGGAGGTTTGCTGTTGCTTGGGGTGGCAGAGCGCGAGGGTTGAGGTGTTGGTCGTGCGGAGGCGGGTGCGGAGTTGAGCCATGAGGCTTGAGTCGGATTCACACGGACGGGAGGGGCGGCGGGTGTTGATGAGCGCGAGGAAGCTGAAAGAGGAGGGAACGAGAGGCCACCGGCGCTTGAGGGATTACCTCCTGAGTGAGGAGCAACAGCAGAGCCATACGAGCGAGTGTTATTCGAGCGCGAGCTTTGTGCTGTGCTGGACTTGAGGTTCAGGATACGCTTCGAGCCAATGCCGTTGCCCAAGACAGATGCCGCGCTAGTGCTGGGACCGGACTGACCTCCAGCGGCGTGAGGCAGAGAGGGATAGTCCTCGTTGATGGACCTCCAGTTGTTCCAAGCCTTCAGCAAATTATCTCTCTTAGTCGCAATCTCGAAGATGTCGGCAAGCTCCTTTATCAGCTTGCCAAGCTCGGCCGAGGACGTGTCGAAAAGAGCAAAGAAGGCGTCAATAAGACGATCGGCGGTCAGGGTACCTTGACGGTACAGCGACACCTTGTTGCGGAACTCGGCCAGCTTCGTCTGATCGTTGCGGAGAAGATTGGAAGCACGTTCGTTGACAGCGTTGTGACGAAGGCGACGGGCCTGTTCTTGTGGAGTCAAGCCAGCCATTGAACGGTCGGGAGAGCTTTGGCGAGAAGGACCAGACGATGGCTGCAAGCTGAGCGAGCCAAGCGAGGGGAAAAGATCTGGTGGAGGACGAGGGGCAGTGATAGTGGCAGGCTCAGGAGCATTGGCTGGAGCTCTAGCAGCATACGTCTCAGCAGGTTGAGTGAGCTGGCCACCGAAGCTACGCGTTGACACAGACTGGGCACTCTGAATGGCCATTTGACGCTGGTAGGCCATCTCGGCTCTGCCCATGGGTTGAGCAGATGAGACTGGCAATGGATCAGCATTCGGATCGCGACCACGGCCACCTGCACGGCGCTCTCTGTTGTTGTTCTCTCTACGCTGAGGACGGTCTTGCTGGTGCGGGGCGCGGTAGTCGAAGCCCGAGATGTCAACTCTGCGGGCATCACGACGAGCGTCCTTGGTCAAACCGTTAGGATGAGCTTCCAGCTGATGAGCCTTCAAATCCATCTCTGAGTCGAAGACAACAAATTTCTTCTCCAGACACTCGGCATCAGGGCAGACGAAATGATCCTTGCGGAAGTGAACTTCCAGAGCATTATAATCGACGTAGTACTGAGGCTGTCTGCCACCATCACGGCGATCGCACAAGTGGCAGCGTTCGTGACGATCACGGCAATGTGAGAACAATTCGTCGTCGCCGTAGAAGCGTTGACGGCAGAAACCACACTCGGGATGACCTTTGAATCCAGACTGGTTGTCTGCACCAGGAATGTCGTCGCCGTGCTTCTCGTGCCGACGCAGCTCTTGTTGGGTGAAGAGTTCGTGCTCATGGGTAAAGACCTTCTTATTGCGGGTGCATAGATCACACATGGACTTTTGGTGGACACTCTTGACGTGGCGGTGCAGATCTGGCCAGCCTAGGCAGGCAGCATCGCATGATGGATCAGGGCAGTTGTAGCGTAGTAGGAGGATGGTGTCTTCGAAAATGTCCTGGTTTTCGTAGCGGATGCCCAGGTTGTCGTCACTGTGAGAAAACTCTTGCGGGTTGTAGTCTTCGAAACGCTTCGTGGCATCGTCTGTGAAGATGACTTCCTCGGCACTTGTCTAGGCACTGGTTAGTTAGGATCGAGGATGTGTTCGAGCAGGTGAGAAATACTCGACAGTGAGCACAAGTCTTTGTCTTGTAGAGAGCACGCAGTCTCAGCGAGCAGATGTGGCAGGTGCGATGGTTGCAAGGAGCGACACTCTGGTGGACGACTGGGGAGGCACAGATGAAGCACACTTCGGCCTCGACGTCTTCGCCATCCGCTCCTTGCGGTATGAGAGCCAGAGCCTTTTCCTTTGCTTGGATTTGTTGTTCGGTGGGGGCTTGCTGTCTTTGATCGGCAGGTTGCTGTGCCCCTCCTGCCCCTCCTGCCCCTCCTCTGGCGCGTCCACCGCGTCCCCTGCTTCTGCCAGCATTCCTATTGCTGTTCTGATTCTGTTCGCCGTCCTGAGGTTCGCGCGGCGCTCTGTTTCCTCCTCGACCTCCTCTGGCACGATTGTTTCTGCCGCGGTTGGCCGACTGGTCATTTTGTGATGAGGTGGGGGCTGATGTGTCGGCCATGGTGCCAGAGGTTCCAGAGATGCGAGATGCGCGTGGGGGAAGGTGCTAAGAGCAGAGAGCAAGTCGAAAATGAGCAGCTATAGTTTTGTAACACGTCAACAGTATACAATGGTTTGGTGGTGGGTCGCGAGAAAGATTGGACGAGATTCCGCCCATGACGGCATTCCAAATGCAGCTCTGTGATTGGTCGCGCCTTCCCTGGCCAGTCCGCCAGAGGGAAATGGGCCAGTCCCCCCGTAATCTCTCTCCCGAATCACCAGCAATCATGAGCTCCCTTTCCCACAGACTCTCCCGCATACCTGCTTCTAGCCGTTCCTTCTCCACATCAATCCGCCGTCTCGCTCAAGAACCCGCACCTGTCGACCCCGTGGCCGCCAAGCAGACCAAAATCAGCAACAACTACAGCAGCCCTCAGATCCGCAAGCCCCGCAGAGGTCCCTACGCAGACTCCCCCTTGCCAGTCTTTCCTCTACTCGCCATCTTCTTCACCGGCTCTTTCCTCTTCTACCAGCTTTCAAAGTCAAGAGACGGTCAAGGCAAATCTCACTACGTTTTGCCTCCCAGAGACAAGAAGCCAAAGCCCGCCAAAGAATTCAACTCGAACCTCCACTCCGAACACTAGACCAACATGGCTCCCGCAAACCTCCCCACCATCCCCGCCATGAACCGCGACAAGCCTCTCTTCCCCACCGGTCTTGGTGAGGGTGAGGCTACCGTCATCTTTGTCCTCGGTGGTCCCGGTGCTGGCAAGGGCACTCAATGCAGCAACATCGTCCGCGACTACAAGTTCAAGCATCTGTCGGCTGGTGACCTCTTGCGCGAGGAGCAAGACCGCAAGGGCAGCGACTTTGGCGACTTGATCAAGGAGTACATCCGCGACGGCAAGATCGTCCCCATGGAGGTCACCATTCAATTGCTCGAGAACGCCATGCAAGCCACCATCAAGGACGAGCACATCAACAAGTTCCTTATCGACGGTTTCCCTCGCAAGATGGACCAGGCCATTCAATTCGAAAAGTCGGTTTGCAAGAGCAACTTCACCCTGTTCTTCGACTGCCCCGAGAATGTCATGGAGGAGCGTCTTATCAACCGTGGAAAGACCAGCGGCAGAGCTGATGACAACGAGGAGAGCATTCGCAAGCGTTTCAAGACCTTTATCGAGACCAGTATGCCTGTCGTCGAACACTTTGAGAAGGATGGCCGTGTCGTCAAAGTCCAGGCTGTTCAGACCCCTGATGAGGTCTACGAGCATGTCAAGCTTGGCTTCACCCAGCGTGGCATCAAGCTCGTTTGAATATCATGTTAGATCCTCCTAATGAAACATTTCAACTTCATCTTCCTCCCCAACATTGTGCATTTCTGCGGCCAAGAGACTGGCTGGAACCCTTGTTGCTCTCCTCGCTAGTGATCCTTAGTCCTCGCAAGTGGTCCGGTGTTGAAAAGGCATGCATGCCGCATGGATCATTACAGATCTGGCATACTGCTGATGTTCAACTGGTTTTACATCACGCCCCGAGCCTACATCCTTCCCTATCCGGGCACAGATATGGTCCTGCATGTACGGGATGTCGGCGGTACGTGGCTGGAAAGATAGATTTCCAAATTTGCGCTGTTCCATAATTGAGCAGGTGAGTGGCTGCCACGTTCGATTGGTACAGTAAAGTAAGGTATCGTCACAATCCAGTGTGTTTGGTCGCACTAGCGCTGAAATGGCCCACTCTGCGCTTATGCATGCTCTTTGTTCTACTGTTAGGCGCCTAGTACCACTCTAATACACAATTGTGTTATACTAGACACTCATATCTCTTTTTTTCTGGAGCATGGAGTTGTGATCTAATCAAGGCTCGTCGTGTCACATCACCTCGAAAGCCACTGGAACATGGCTACATGTCATGCCGATACCATGACCATGTCATCGTCCAATCCTCGAAATCAAAAGTGCCCAAACGGGTGCGAAGAGTCGCCAGATCTGTGTAAGTCATACTGGCTGTTTCCGACCCAGCTTGTTACAAAAGTTGATTTTCAGAACATAACAGACCAGTTCGCTTCAATACCTGACGGAGCTGAATTAGCTGGCCAATACACTTGCATGATCGATCATTTGAATACGCCTTACAAGATCACCTGGACCGGTTCAGCAAACTATCCTGATATCTCACAGCTCCCCGCAGAACCAAATTATGACTTGAAAGAAGTCGATCTAGGAGAGGTGATGGGCCGTATCTGGTCTGTTTCGACACTCGTTGCTTTTGACTCCGATGCTGTCGTCAGATGCTCCCATACCGGCCCATACCCCATAGTGAAACTTGCCCATACCGCAGGGGAGACTCGTCGACGAATCGAGCATGAATATAGGATGATTCAAGAGATGAGGAGAACCAGTTCGGTGTTGCCAATACCAAGAATAAGCGATCTTCCGTTATCTGACGATCATCGCATCTTTGGCTATGAGATGGAACACCTGACCAGGCTTGATCTGGATGAACGCCCAGAACGTGTATCAGACATCCGAAAAGCCGCGCACCAGTCACATGAAGCTGGATTCTCCCATGGCGATGTGAGCTTCAGCAATGTAATGAAGAACAAAGACGGAGCAATACTAGGTGAATAGACTGGTCTAGACGTTTCCTCGAGATACTGCAGATTCTGGAGCACATGAATGCGCTCGGGAGTCCAGTCCTAGATTCGAAGGATCGGATATTGATGGACGTGCTGAAGAAAAAGAAAGACAGCATGGAGTCACTATCGACATGCAGAAGAAGCAGGGCACACTAGGGTGGACGCTGGAGCCAGCAGGCGCAACGTGTTATCAGATAAGATGAGGCATGCAGAACTGAAACGTGGGGCAAGCGGCATCCCGGAGACGGCCACGACGGCGACTTTGATGCTTGGCAGCCGGCAATGTTGGAAACGTAACGTATCCGATAATAAATCAGAGAAACTTCTGGACTCTTGATTACTAGTACAATAAGACCAAGGAGAGACGTGGAAGTTACACCTTCCTTCTCGCCCACAGTTGCATTGCTCCAGAATCGCCATCATGGACAACGCATATGTGCAATCGGCATCTTCGGTGCTGAAGCACTTTGATGTACAGGAAGGGTCTGGCCTTGACAACAACTCGGTCTCCGAGTCAAGACAGAAGCATGGTCGCAATGGTATGCTTTGAACATGGCAGTATCTGGATAGGAAGAATGAGTACTAATGCTCTCGTTAGCTCTCCCCGAAGACCCACCAACACCGCTCTGGGAACTTATTCTGGAACAATTCAAGGACCAACTTGTCATCATCCTCCTCGCGTCGGCTGCCGTCTCATTCGTTCTCGCTCTCTTCGAGGACAGCAATGACTGGACTGTCTTTGTTGACCCCATCGTAGTAAGTTCTACGCCACCCATCTTTCTGGAAAGACGCCCCTGACCAATACCTCTAGATTCTCACCATCCTCATCCTCAACGCCGTCGTTGGTGTCTCGCAAGAATCGTCTGCCGAAAAGGCAATCGCCGCCCTTCAAGAGTACTCGGCCAACGAGGCCAAGGTCGTTCGCAATGGCAAGGTTCAGCGCATCAAGGCAGACGAGCTGGTCCCCGGAGACATCGTCAAGGTCGCCGTGGGTGATCGCATCCCCGCCGACTGCAGAGTCCTGTCGATCCACAGCAACAGCTTCCGCATCGACCAGAGTATCCTGACTGGAGAGAGCGAGAGCGTAGGCAAGGACACCGACTCGATTAAGGACGCGAATGCTGTCAAGCAGGACCAGATCAACATGCTTTTCTCCGGTACCACCGTCGTTACTGGAAACGCCACTGCTATCGTCGTCCTCACTGGCTCTAACACGGCCATTGGTGACATTCACGAGAACATCACCTCTCAAATCTCGCAGCCTACTCCTCTCAAAGAGAAGCTCAACGACTTTGGTGACACTTTGGCCAAGGTCATTACTGTCATCTGTATCCTCGTCTGGCTCATCAACATCCCCCACTTCAACGACCCTGCCCATGGCTCTTTCACCAAGGGTGCCATTTACTACTTGAAGATTGCCGTGTCACTCGGTGTCGCTGCCATCCCCGAAGGTCTCGCTGTTGTTATTACCACCTGCCTCGCCCTCGGAACTCGCAAGATGGCCGCTAAGAACGCTGTTGTTCGCAGTCTTCCCTCAGTGGAGACTCTGGGTAGCTGCAGTGTCATCTGCTCGGACAAGACTGGAACTCTTACCACCAACCAGATGAGCGTCAACAAGGTCGTCTTTATCAACGAGCATGGCTCCGGTCTTGAGGAACTCACTGTCGAAGGAACCAGCTTCGCTCCTGAGGGTGCAATCACCACTTCAAACGGACAGACTCTCCATAACGCAGCTACCTCGTCCTCTACCATCGCTCAAATCGCCGAAGTCGCCGCTCTCTGTAACGATGCACGTCTCGCCTACGACAGCGAGAAGGGTGTCTACAACAACGTCGGTGAGGCTACCGAAGGTGCTCTCCGAGTCTTGGCCGAGAAGATTGGCACAAGAGATGCATCCGTCAACTCCGCAAGATCAGCCCTCGCTCCTGAAGACAGAATCCACCATGCCAGTAAGCACTGGGAAACCAGCACTCCTCGCTTGGCCACCTATGAGTTTGCTCGCGACCGCAAGAGTATGTCTGTCCTTGTCCAGGATGGCTCTTCGCAACGTCTTCTTGTCAAGGGTGCTCCTGAATCGATCATCGCTAGATGCAGATATGTCTTGGTTGGATCCAAGGGCACCAGAATGGCTCTCACTGACAACGTCTCCGCTCTTCTTTCCAAGGAGGTTGTTGACTACGGTAACCGTGGACTTCGTATCATGGCTCTTGCTAGCGTCGACAACATCTCATCCCCTCTGCTGAAGCAGGCCAAGACTAGCCCCGAATACGCTCAGCTCGAACAGAATATGACTCTCATCGGTCTTGTTGGTATGCTTGACCCTCCTCGTCCTGAGGTGGCTGACAGCATCCGCAAGTGTCGCGAGGCTGGTATCCGTGTCGTCGTTATCACTGGTGACAACCAGAACACCGCCGAGACTATCTGTCGCCAGATTGGTGTCTTTGGGACTGACGAAGACCTCACTGGCAAGAGTTTCACTGGTCGCCAATTTGATGATCTCAACGACGCCGACAAGCTCAAGGCTGCTAAGAACGCTTCTCTCTTCTCCCGTACTGAACCTACCCATAAGTCCAAATTGGTTGACCTTCTCCAGTCTGCTGGTGAAGTCGTCGCCATGACTGGTGATGGTGTCAACGATGCCCCTGCTTTGAAGAAGGCCGATATTGGTGTTGCTATGGGTAGTGGTACCGATGTAGCCAAACTCGCCGCCGACATGGTTCTCGCAGACGACAATTTTGCAACCATTGAGGCTGCTGTCGAGGAAGGCAGAAGCATCTACAACAACACCCAGCAATTCATCCGTTACCTGATCTCGTCCAACATTGGCGAGGTCGTGTCCATCTTCTTGACTGCGGCCATGGGCATGCCCGAGGCTCTCATCCCTGTTCAGCTCCTTTGGGTCAACTTGGTTACCGACGGTCTTCCTGCTACTGCGCTTTCCTTCAACCCTGCCGATCATGATATCATGAAGCGCAAGCCTCGTAAGCGTGACGAAGCTCTTATTGGTGGCTGGCTCTTCTTTAGATATATGGTGATCGGTACGTACGTCGGTATTGCCACTGTTGGCGGATACGCATGGTACTTTATGTTTAGCGAGGCTGGACCCAAGGTCAGCTTCCACGCATTGGTAAGTTCTCTTTGATATCTCAATTCGCACGATCAAAAGCTAACATGTCGCAGACTCACTTCCACTCTTGCAGCATTTTTGAACATCCCATTGACTGCTTGATGTTCACCAATGACACCTCCAAGATTGCATCGACCATCTCCTTGTCAATCTTGGTCGTGATTGAGATGCTCAACGCCATGAACGCCTTGTCCTCGTCCGAGAGTCTGTTGACTCTTCCTCTCTGGAAGAACATGATGCTCGTCTACGCCATCTGTTTGAGTATGGCACTGCACTTTGCACTTCTTTACACACCCTTCTTGCAGGGAATCTTTGGCATCATCCCTCTTGGTTGGGACGAGTGGAAGCTGGTACTTGCATGGAGTGCACCTATTATTTTGATTGATGAGGTGCTTAAGTTCCTCGAGCGTACATTTGTCATGGAGAAGCCCGGTAAGCATATCAAGCCAAAGGCAGAGTAGATGGCACGGGCCTAGCATTAGCATTAGAGCGATCTTCTCTGGAAAAGTAGAGGTTTGTTTGTTTATAGATGAAGAATTCCAACGCGGTCCCACTTTTCACAGTAATTCTAGCCTTTTACCTCGTTCAACCTTGTGACTTCCAGCAGTGTAAAGAGGTGAAGCGCACTGGTCAATAATAATGCGAATTGTGCACGGACATTAGCAATCGATAACAGCTTTCACAAGTGTGCCAAGAGACGAATTTCAACGCGAGCAATTGACGATGAGCATTTGCGCGACAACTGACAGGACCACAAACACAACCATGGCCAACACACTTTTGATCGAAGGAACTTTCGAGGAGTTGAGCGAGGAGCTCGCCGTCTACATCGATGGACTCAGCCAGTCGTCTGTGCAGTCAGAGGTTGCGCCGCTGCTGAAGGAGGGCAACAAGGTGGATGCGCTCAAGAAGATTGTCACTGCCAGCAGCGCCCTGAACAGCGCCCCCGAGAGAGGTGAGTTTGCCCTTGGCTCGACATGACCTCTGAGAACGACTTCTAACTCGCCCGTCAAACAGAATTCGTGGCTGCATACAACCTCCTCGTGCACCTCGTACACCAGTCTGGAAGCCCCGACATTTTCCTGCCCAAACTCTGCCAGAATGTCTCTGCACCCATCACCTCGTCGCCATACAACGCCACCGGCCTCGCGCTCAACGTCCTCTCCACAATCTTCAACACCCTGTCGCCCGAGCAGGAGAGCCGATACCACGTTCTTCTCGCCATCCTCAAGATTGTGCGCAACAACAGCACTTTCGACCAGTTGACCCCTCAACTCGCCCAGCTGGAGTCATGGCTGGAGGGCTGGAACATGGATGCCGCCGACCAGCGCAAGTTGTACCTCGCCGTCAGCGACGTAGCCACCGAAGCCAGTGAGGACGAGCAAGCATACCAGTACCTGCTCAAAGCCCTGCGCACCATCCAATCCTCCGAGGACGCCGCCACCGAAGACGCCAAATCCCTCTCCATCCGCGCTCTCAAGCAATCTCTCGTCTCGCCCACCCACTTTGACTTCCACGACTTGACCCAACTCGACAGCATCGCCGCCCTGCGCCAATCCGAGCCCGTGTGGTACGAATTGCTCGAAATCTTCAACGCCCAAAAACTAGAAGACTTGCGCGAATTCACAGATGCAAACCCCGACTTTGCCGCTACCAACGACCTCGACATGTCTGTGTTGGAGAGAAAAATCCGTCTCCTCACTCTCGCTTCCATTGCCGCTTCCGCATCCCAATCCCGCACTCTGCCCTACTCAACCATAACCGCCGCCCTCCAGATCCCGGCCGAAGACGTCGAAATGTGGGCCATCGACGCCGTCCGCTCCGGTCTCGTCGAGGGAAAGCTGTCGCAGCAAGAAAAAACCTTCCTCATCCACCGCACCACCTACCGTGTCTTTGGCGAGAACCAATGGAGAGAAGTCGCCTCCAGACTCGACATGTGGAAGTCTTCTCTCGAGGCTGTGCTTGGAGTCGTGCGTCAGGAAAAGGCAAACTACATCCGTGACAAGGAGGCTGAGTTGAGGGATGCCGAGAACAAGAGTGGCGGTAATGGGTACAGAGCCAACAAGCAGTACAGAAACGCAAATGCTGTAGAGGTGGAGTAAGAGAAGGGGGGGAAAAGAAGGATACAAAAAGATGTTTCTTTTTTTTTGTTCCTTGCGCGACTTGCCCTGCTTTTTACATTACAAAACAAGAAAAGGATAAGAGGGGGGGTGTGTGTCTTCTTTTCTTGCACCCCTTCCTTCTTGGTTTTTTTTATATATTATGAGGTCACAAAAATGAATTCCTGTTTCTCTAGCTTGTTTTTCTGTTTTCTTCACACATCTTTTCGTTGTCTTTTAAACATTCGCCAGGGAACTTCTTGGCATCTCCGTGGACCTTTATGTACTTGGGAAAGGTACTGATGTAGGCTCTTGCGTACATCAGTACTTTTGATGAGAGCTGAATAGAAGCTATGACAACACATTCACAAAAGGCATGGAACGTCTGTATATAGAGTAAGCAGCCGCTTCATCGATTCATCATTACGCAGTCTACCTAGCAAAGACCTTGTCTGGAAAGCCATACCGTACTCCGTACACCCAGCAAAAGTATCCACAGCAACACCCCTCCAGCACACACATCTACAATGCCGCAATAGTCCTCCTCAACACCTCCAATCCTCTTTCACCAATTCCTTGTTCGCCATCGGGAATCTCGTCATCAGCAGTCTTCAACATCCACGCAATATCGCTAAGCATACCCAACGGTAGATCCCCATCTTTGCGTTCTTCAGCCCTTACCTGAAGACGTCCCGTGTATTCCCACTCTTTAGCCGCGTCTTCTGCTCTCTGGATGACTTTATCAGGTATTCCGCACATGGCAGCACAGTGCATACCAAAACTGCCTTCTGCGACTCCAGACTCGAGCTTGTAGAGGAATGTGATGCGACGCTCGGTATCGTCTACCATGATGGCCATGCGTTTGGGTGAGATTTCTGGGTGCGAGCTGAATTCTGCAGCCAGAGAGTGGTAGTGGGTGGCGAAGAAGCCGATGCAACCAGTGTGAGTGGCGACATGATGTAGCACTGCTTGTGCGACTGCAACACCGTCGTGACTGCTTGTACCACGACCAAGTTCGTCCAGGATGACAAGAGAGCGAGGAGTTGCTTCAGACAATATCTTCTTTGTCTCGCTGAGTTCTACCATGAACGTACTCTGGCCAGCCAGAATGTTGTCATGGGCACCGAGACGTGACATGATGCGATCGACAGGAGTCATGCGTGCTGCAACACAAGGCACGAAGCAGCCGACTTGAGCCAGGATGACAGCGATACAAGCCATACGAAGGACGGTACTCTTACCAGCTGCGTTGGCACCAGTCAAAAGATCAATGCTTGGGTTATCACCACCGAGAGCAATGTCGTTGGGAATAAAGTCCGAAACCGTGTTTAGCATGCACGGGTGACGAAGCTCAGAGAACTCGAGAACACTACGCTCAGAGTCGACGAACTCGGGTCTGCAGCTAGGCTCTCCGAGAGAGGCAGATGCCCTGGACAACGAGATTAGGCAATCGAGGTGAGCAATGATCTTCACTGCAGCAAGCCAGACAGAGTAGTCTTGGTCGAAGCGAGCATAGAATCTACCAGCGACTTGCTTGACAATCTGACCATGAGTCTCTTGTGCTTCCTTGAGGTCTTGAATCAGGCTTTCCAGCTCAGGGAAGTAGTAGCGCTTGGCTTTGGCAGTCGCCGACATTTGTTTCCAGTTCGTTGGGATATTCTTGGTTTTGAGGGGAACTTCAATCTGGTAAATCTCCTTGCCATTGTCGGTGAATTTGGCAGCAGAAGTTCCTAGTTGATCGCGGCAGCGCTTGAGCAAAGTTTGCAATCTTCCCTCGATCTCTTCAATTGTGTTCTGGCTGTCATCAAAGTCTTCTTCAACTCCTGGCTGAGGCACGAGAAGATTCTGCTCCTTTGCCTGATTACGGTCAAAGGCATCCGTCCAGTGAGCCAACGCTCCGGCAAGATCAGGCATTGATGATATGAGTTGTCCGAGGACGCCCTCACCTTCACCAAAGCTCGAGAGCAGGCTCATGGTATATTCGATCTGCTCAAACCCTTCTAGCACCTTGACAAAGTCTGAGGCCTTACATCTGCCTGCGTGAATGCGGGAAATGAGACGTTCCAGATCGGGTATTTTGGACAACGATGCGGTAAAGCGATCGGTAATTGTCAGATCGGCGTTGAGTGCTTCGACAGCGTCAAGTCGTGCATTGATCTTGACCGCGTTTGCCAAAGGATGGCAGACCCATTGGCGTAGCATACGCTTACCGAAGGGCGTGATGCAGCGGTTGAGCATGGCGAACAGCGTGCCGTCAGTACCGCCATCGTAGCTATTGGCAAAGATCTGTTTGGATGTTAGCTAGATTGAATCATCGTTCCTCTTGGTTATGCTTACCTCAAGATTGATCAGACTCTGTCCATCAAGCACAAGACTGGACGCCTTTCTTATCGGGTCATACCAGTTGAAGTTGCCAAGAGATATTAAATCACGCTCAATTTTGAGCGTCTGGAGGTACCATATCAGGGCACCAAGGGCAGAGAAGCACAACTCTTTTTCTCTGGCTTCTCGAAGCAAGGGTGGCCAGGCATCTTCAGAATCACCTTTGTCAGACTCGAAGTAATGCTCTCCTGTAATTTTGAGGGCAGTCTTGTCGGCAGTCAAAAATTCCTTGTCGGGTTTGAGGTAGTTCCAGAGACACGTGGGGCTGGTGTTGTTCTTGAGAATACGTACGGCTTTCGATGAAATGCTCGACTTCTCAAGAAGCAACTCACCGGGTCTGGTCTGAGCGACGAATGTTTCGAACTTGGTCATGTCGACGTCGTCAACAAAATCACATAGCTGGAATTGTGCTGTTGCGGTGTCAACGAAAGCAATGCCAAAGGCGGGCAAGCCATCGACCTCGCGCTCGGTAATAGCTGCACAGTAAGTTGACATGTCGTCCTGCAACATGCCACCGTCGACCAGAGTACCAGAGGTCAGGACAGCGGCCAGTTCGCGGCGAATGACCTTTTCTTCCTTCTTTGGCTTGCCACCCTTGCCAGTCTTTTCGTCTCTCTCTCGCATATCCTTACCCAGGGCGCTCTCCATCTGGTCGACTCTGGCAATCTTGAAGCCTTTGGCTACGAACTGGTTGGCCCAGTTGTCAAGCGAAGCCTCGGGAACACCGACCATCCGCATGTTGACACGATCCGTCATCTTCAGATCAAACAGCTGATGACCGACGGTGGCGTCGTTCTCGTACAGCTCATAAAACTTGCCCTTCTTGAAGAAGACGATAGTGTCCCAGAACTTCGACTTGATCTCCCAGTACTGCTTCTCGAATGGAGAAAACTTGGACCAGGCCAGTGGCGGGATGTAGAGAGTGCGCGGATCGTAGTCTGGATTGCCAGGTCTGTTGCGGTCGGCATCCATGATGTCGGCCAACCAAGGGTAACGAGCATCAGGGTCTGACATGTGTGCCTTTTGTTTCTTTGGTGGGCCCGTCTGTTGCTTACGTTGGGGCATCTTCCTTGATGCATATGGCTCGACAGTGTCCGGATCGAAGTTCCATTGCTGAGCGGTTGACGTAGAGGGCATCTCGGGACTTTGGCTTGGCTCGTCTTCTGGGATTGGAGAAGGCTGTGTGGAAGGCTTCCGTAGCTGGCTAGACTTCTTACGCTTCACCGGAACATCGTCTTCTGAGGCAGCATCGTCGACAACAAAATCATCCATATCAACATCGTCGGCTGCAGCCATGAGAGCCTCAGTGGCATCATCCATGGCAAACTCATCATCCGAGTCGTCATCCAACTTCCTTCTCTTGATGGATCGTGCTGCCGTGTTGTTGGAACGCTGTCGGAGCACGGGCTCGTCGTCTTCATCGTCCGACTCGGCATAGTTGACCTTCTTCTTGCCATTGCGGACAGGACTGGAAGAGGGAATGGATGGCTTGTCTAGTGGCACTACTTGTAGACACGGTCAGCACTTGAGTATGTGGTGGAGTTGTGACATAGCACACCATTCTCTTTACCATTGAAGTTGGCAGGAGCAGGAGACGACTGCGGTGGAGGACTTGAAGCAGCTGGGGCACTACTGGGTGCAGCAGGTGATGAGGCAGGTGCTGTCTTTCGCTGGAAAAATCCCAAGATACTCTTCTGTCCCTTTGCTGACTGAGATGCCGATGATGCTGATTTCTGAAGTTTGGGAACACGCGGCGTGGAGATTTCGTTGCCTTCTATACCTCGAGCCATCGTCAAGTCAGTATAGGTGGTAATATCTTTTCAATGGTGGTGGACCAGAAAGTGGTTAGTATCTCGCCTTCGTTTGGTGAACGCGCGGAAAACACGCGTTTCAATTTGGCGCGTCCTGGTGCCAAAAGTGGCAGGTGATATCGATAAGCTTGTCTCCACATTTAAGCTTTTCCCGACCTCGCACCTTCTCGCCCGAAACACCACGAGGTTGGCGATGGCCTATGGGTCTCACATCCCATTCCTCGACATACAAGACCGTATGCTCCGGTGCTGCATTGCATCCGCGTTCGCTCAGTGTCTCGATTGTGGCCTTTGGTGTTGAGAAGGATATGTAGCTCCATAGTATCAAGACATTCAACCAGTGGGCCACATTGTCAACATGCCCGGAATTGGTGTTGTGGCCTCCTTCATCCTGGTCACACGATCACCTGCCTTATGCGATAGATCCTACACACCTATCTCAGCTATGCTTCCATGAACTATGCCAAAAGAAACACAGAATTGCCAACAAAAGTTATCATGCACCTTTGCTTATCAAAACTAACCGATAGCGCTAGTCGGGTCCCACTCCCGCGAACCATTATCACTTCGGCGATCGCCTGAGACCAGCCGTAGTCGCATCAGAGAATGCATATAAGGACTGGCTGCCTTCGAAGCGGATAATGCTTTTAGACTATCATTCATCAAGCATCATGCCTTCGCTATCATCATTGGCTCAATTGGCTCTCGCTCCTGCCGCCGCTCAAGCTTTTAACCTATATGAACATCTGGGTAACCTCTCGCCCTACTTCACACCAGCCAATACCCCAGCCTCTCTGTTATCCGGTATCCCAGAGTCATGCTCTGTAGACAAAGCTTTCTTGGTTCATAGACATGGTTCTCGTCAGCCTATCTCATCAGAGCTGCCCACTATCCAGAACCTGTCTTACTACATCAACAACAACACTGCTCTGTTCAAGAACCCTCAAGGCCAATTGCCATCAGAGTTCTCCTTCCTGACCAACGGCTGGTCTAGTAGCTTTAGCCTCAACAACTTGTCTGCTTCTGGACGGCAGCAATTGTTCGATCATGGTGTAGCCCTTCGTCTGGATTATCCCAATCTCTACACCGACACAGTACTGGCCGGCGATCAGGATCGTGTAGTAGAGAGCGCCCAGTGGTTCTCCGACGGCTACTACGGCCGCTATGCAGAAGACGTGTCTGTTTTGAACAAAATCGCCGAGGACAATCTCACCATCTCATGGATCACCGCAATGGATACCTGCAAGACCTGGGAGTACAGCTCTGGAAACGACTTGGTCACCGAGTGGGGTAACGTCTACCTACCAGCCATCGCTACTCGCATGAACAAGGCTCTTTCGACCGCGTACCCCAGTGTCAATTTCACTGCACAGCATGCTCATGGTGCTCTCTGGGCATGTGCCTATGGTACTGCTGTATACGGCATCGGACGCAGCCCATGGTGCGAAGTCTTCAAACCACAAGAAATCCTCGATTTCGAGTACGAACTCGACCTTCTCATGAGAGGTGCCTTTGGCTACGGTCTTCCCAACAACCAAGGTCCAACTCTCGGTAGCTTGCTCGTCAGCAATGTAACCACCTTCCTACAAAGCTCAAGCACTCAAAACCTATCCCTGAACTTTGCCCACGACACAACCATCGATCTCGGTCTGACAGCTCTGGGCCTCGCTCACGATCCATCATACCCAGCCAGTGGTCCTCCAAACCCCGCCCGTAACTGGAGAACCAGCACCCAAGTCCCCTTTGGCGCACAAATGCTCTTCAAAAGACTTAGCTGCTCAGGAAACGAAACTAGAATTCAGCTCGAGTTGAACGGAGCGAACTTTGACCTCAGTCCTGTAGGCTGCACATCAGACTACTACGGTACATGCAAGTTTGCCGACTTTATAGGCTCCAAGAATGTACAAATGGCTATGAACATTACTGATGGTGATGCAACTTGGACTTCTGCTTGTACTTGATACTAGTGCTAGATATCACAAAACATCTAGGACAAAGAAGAATTATACTCGTAACAAAGCAAGCAACACAAACAATCTGTCAATACAAAAGTTTTACAAAAATTCAACACTTAGAAAGACACACAAAAACACATTTCAAATTCATCTATCCATCGAAAAGATTCATCTGTGAAAAATCCCAAAAATCGAGATCAATTCAATTTTTCCCCCTAAAACTTATTTGTACATCTAAAAGAAGCCCTCCCTGCGCAATTCCCACGCGACATTCTTTTTTGAAACTAAAATCACTCTGGCCAAGAAGAAAGTTATCATCTTCTTGCCGATCCTTTGCATTTCCCCAGTATTAAAACGCCGATTTCCTTATGCATGTGTGCTTTCTCTTTCTGCTTTTTTCCTGCCACACTCTATTATACAAAACAAAAGGTCGCTTCCTTCTTCTTTCTCCTTTGTTGCTCCCGCAGAAGAGAAGCTCCCTTCAGTTCAGGAAACCCTTGCAGCCAATCGAACCGCAAAGACAAGGGATTCTGTTGTCACTGTTGGATTCACGCTCGAATTTGTAATCATAGGTAAGTTCCTCGGCTGTGGAGAGACATGTGTTAGCAATCATATTCGTCAATGGGGAAAGGATGATGGTCAAACTTACTCTTAGCGATGTCCTTGAGCGCATAGATGACAATTCTGCGTGTTCCCTCGACCTTGATGATCTTTGCAGTGCAGTTGGGGGTACAACTGTGGTTGATGAAGCGAGCAATACCGCCCTTCTTGGTGGCATCGACAATCTCGTCTTCGCCCATGCGGAACAGATAACTGCTTCCAACACCTTGCTTGTCGTACTTTGTTTCGCGCATGTCGGCGACCTTCTGACGCACCTTTTCGCCAACATACTCGATGATGAAGTCGCCGACAACAATGTTCTCCAAGGCGAAAAGGCCCCAATTATGGATGCCAGAACGGTTGAATTTAACTTGCTTCTTGCGCTTTCTAAGCGCATTGAACTTGATGGCGTCGCTGTCACCACCCATGGCGGTGAGGTTTTGCTTTTGGGTAGTTATGTCGTTGGCCAGGCGGCGGTTGTTAGCGCGATTATTGCGAGAATTGGCCACGGCGGCGAGTTTGGCGGCGCTAAAGGCCTTTGCGATCTCGGCGGCCTTTATGGCCTCCTGGGCTGCATTGGGGTTTTCCTTTTCGGCGGCCTCGCGATCTTCGCGCTCCTTGATGCCCTTGATGCGGTGAGGTAGATACTTGGACTTTTCTGATTCCAAGATCTTGTGGACACCTTCGGTGCGGGCAGAACCTGTAGAGTTTGCCACATAGTATCCCTCGACGACGGCTCTGCCTAACTTACGGGGACCGACAACGTTGAGTGACTTGATCTCGTTCTGCTTGTTGGCCCAAAGGATGACGTCTCCAACGTTTGCAACTTCAACGTTCTCCAGGGCTGCTGCAAGGAAGCACATGTCTTCCTCGTCCTTGATCATGTGCTGCCAACCGTCGATATCCAACCAGAGATCATCGTCGTCTTCAACAGTCTTGCGTGGCAGGTCAGTAGAGACAGCCCACTCAACTTGTGGACGTTGGTCTTCCTCTTCTTGTTCCTCCTCTTCGGCGATGTTTCCGCCAAAGTCCATATCAACGTCCTTTTCGTCTGCTTGACCATCGTGGTCCATAGCGTCGGGGTCTTTGGCAGCTCTGGCTGCTTCTGCTGCAATTCGTGCATCCGAGATCTGCTTCTTGGACTTTGTGCGCTTGCGCCTGACGTCCTTCTTGATCGGCTTGACGGACAGATCTTCAGATTGAGCCGCGGACTTGTCACCTGTCTTTGCCGAGCCTGACTTTGTGGCATCGATGGTTGTAGCAGGCGCGTCTTCGTTGTCGTACTTGGCGCGCTGTCTGGTGTGAAGCTCTCTACGTGCGCGTGTCTGGAACGCAGATTCGCGAGGGAGGACACTGATGATCTGCTCCAATTCACGATCCGCCATCAATTCTGGGGTTTTTTGGAGGAGGTCACCAAGAAGCTCCTTGTGGTGTGTCTGGAAGACTTCCGGTACCGCGTCAGTCTGATGGTGAACCAGCTTTCTCTTCTTTGGTTCAGGCTCGGGTTCAGGTGTGGGCACGTCGATGGACTCGGATATGCTATACGGAGTCGAGGTGCGGCTAGCACGACTGATGGGTCTGCTCTCTAGATCTTCCGTGTCGCGAGCCATTGGTGTTCTGCTGTCGTCTTCGTCGTCGGAATCAACCTCGTCCTCGTCAGGCTTATCCCTCAGTGAGAATTGAAGATTGCGAATACGAACGGGGCGAGCGGCTGGTCGACGCTTACGACGCTCATCCATATAGGCGTTGGTAGTGACTTGTCGTCCGCGGTTAGGGTCGTGTGGGCGGAGTGGTTGGGACAAAGGACGTCCGTTTCGGGCACGAGTTGTTGATGACTGGGTCGTGTTGTTCAGTAACAAAGTAGACAGCTTGTGTTCATTGTCAGCAGGCTCTGGGAGATCGAGCTTTTGGCGTTTGGCGGCGTGTCTGGAGGGATCAAGGCAGTCGTAGAGTGTCGGAATAACGATGCGGCTTTTGATGTCGTCCATGATCTTGTTGCGCAGTTCGACTTGTAACAGTTCGAGCGCGCCCTTCACTGGGTCCAAATGCGTCGCTCTTTCTTTCTTCTCTTCTTCCAAGTCCTCGGCAGCCCACCTCTCCATTCGATCACTCTCCTCCTTCTTGCGGCTCTGAACGGCCTGAGTCTCGGGGCTTGGACTACGCACGTAGTCGGGATTGCCGTATTGCTGGCACTCCATGGTCATGTTGTAAGTAAACATGGGACCGTTGTTGCACTCCTTGAAACACCTGACTGTCTCGTCTTCGCCGCGCTTGGAGTCGTCAAAAATGACAAAGTAACCGGTCTTGTCAACGCGGATTTCCCGCCAGTCGAAAGCTTTGAACCTCTTCTTAAGATGCGGTACGGTAGATCCCAACACAGGCACACTTTCGCGCGAAACAAAGATGTACGGCTTTCGCTTGATCTTGGTCAGTATCGGCTCCGACTCAATGATGGAACGAGCTGTGTCGCGTTCCTTGGGAGTTGATGGTTGCTCCGACAAAACTACACGCTCTCGCTCGCGCTTGATAACTGGACCCTTCGAAACTTTCGGCGCACCACCTGGCAGAGCAAGCAGCTGATCGGGACCACCAAACGGCGGCGGAGGAGGTGGGGGCACAGGTGTTGAAGAGCCAGCCGTCTTGGCTACTGCCACAAGAGTACGAGGAGCGTATCTGGCCACCTCTTTTTCCATCTCGTGTCTCGTCTTCCTGAGCTTGATCTCGATGTATTTTCTGCATCTACGACCCTCGCGATCACGCTCGACCCTGACCTGGGTCAAGCCAATGCGCGCATTGTGTCCTTCCTTTTCGGCGCGCTTTGCAGCATTGGCAGCAGAGACAGACGGGCCTTTGGGCGGCTTGCTGTCCTTGTATTTGATCAGGCAGATTCCCAACAAACTTCCGGTATCGGGATCTGTCTGGTTTCGGAACTCGGCAATGTCGCCAAACATGGCAAAGTACGACTTGATCTGGTTTTCCGGAGTGATTGGATCAAAGCCGTAAACGACCACCTGCTTGGGTGGTACTGGGCCAATTGACGAGGCCTTGTCGTATGCATACTGCTTCAAAACATACGGAGCAATTCGCAGCTTTGTTTTTGACTTTGCAGTCGCAGGTACAGCCATACCAGTGGTGTAGCCTACTATGGCCAACCGGGGGTCTGGTGGCGGAGAGTTTTGGTGTGACTGTGATTTCAACCCATCAGCTTCAGGGTACAGAACGGTTTATCTTGTGGCAGGATATCAACAAGCTCAGCAATCATATACAGGACCAGACGTACCTCGGACCCGAAGGACCTTGTCTTAACTTTTAAACGCTTCTTCTCTTCTTTGCTGAGCTTGTCGTCCACTTCAGGATCAAAAACCGCTCTGTACCCTTTTGCTTGGCCGGTCGGAGGCATGAGTTGGGGACGATCTCCCGAGGGAGAGAGGCGAGGGGTGACATTTTCGGATGGAGGTCGAGAAGCGTCAACGACAGTGAGACCCAGGGGCGATGGGTCTGGCTGCTTCGAATTGAGGTACGGTCTGGAAGAAGCATGAGGGGTATGTGACTTTAGTGGAGACGAAGCAGGTAGAGTAAGAGGGCTCAGAGCGGCGGCGGTCGAAGAGTGACCGCTGCTCTTGGGAGCTTGGGTGTTAGCACTGAAGACAGAAGAGACGGTGCTTGCCAGAGAGCTGGTAGAGCCGATGGCATTCAGGAAGTCGCCCGAGTCGCGTGCTTCCGAGTCTGAGGACGACATGTTGACTGGAGCGTCAGTCGGCTGGACTTGTTCATGAGCCATGCGGAGTGGACAGCAACAGGCGAGAGTGGCACCCGAATCAACAGCCAGGCATCGGATACAGCAAGCTGAGGCGAGGTCAGCAGATGGGCCTGTGTTTTGTTGGTGGTGGGCCGAGCAGGTTCGAGACAGATCGTCAAAGATTGTCGGCGCCGATGCAGTAGACTGATGACAGGTCTTACTGCGCAGAAGGATGAGAGAGGTAAGTGGTGATGGTGGTAGGTTGGAGCAGATCAATGGCCTTTGGTGATGGCAGGGGCCTCGAGTTCTGTAGCGGAGGGCTGGCTTCGGGCGCAGTCTGGCTCGACGATCTGTGGGCGAGAGAGCAATACAGCATGCGCTAACGTCGAGAACAGTATGAGAGAGGCAGTATCAGACTGGCCAAAGGAATGATTGAAGGAATGGACCAGGTTGCATTGCTCTATGCGATATGCGAGAATGCGAGGCTGCGAGGGCTGCGACGAGCGAAACGCCAAAAGAGTGATGCGACTTCCACAATTGCTGGACTGGTGACGCGCCCTGGTCCGAGCGTCCTTTGCTCGATTCACTGGCTGGAACTCATCTTTGACTCTATTACTGCTCTGGCAGGAAGCACCTTGGTTATATCGACAGCTGCCTTCATACGCCTACGTTTGTGCTGCTCGACATCTCACCATGGCATCAAACGAGCCTGTTGATAGACGTCTTCTGCTGCCAGCAACCCATCATCATCTCAAAGCAAACAAACACATTGAGCATCCGACATGGTCTAACGTGTCTCTCAGCTCGTGCCACTCTCTCAAGTGACTACGGGCGAGGCTTGTTGTATCTTCTATCTGCCTTACAGACTTATCTCCCTAAGCTCTTTACTGGATGAATGTCTTCTCCTCCTGCCAGCCCCTTCTCTTGACACCCAACTCAACAGCTGCAGCGCCCCAGTCTTCGCCGTGGTTGTGGTAACTTGAGCCTGACACAAGACCTGCGCGCTCAAGTCCTTGCTCCTCGGTCAAGAGGGTGAGCAGTCCAAAGACGACGGGAATGCCAATGTCCATCTGTAGCTTCATGAGGGCGTGGCTGACGGCGTCCGATATGTATTCGAAGTGCATTGTCGAGCCCTTGATCAGAACTCCAATGGCGATGATGGCGTCAAAGGGCTTGGTCGCGCCGCTGCTGCCCTCCTTGTCCTTGAGCGAGAGATCGCTCGTCGACGCTGAGAGGAGGTCGGTGGCAGAGCTCAGCAATGTCGAGTTGGCTGATGATGCTTGAGCTTGTGAGCAGGCGTACATCTGTTGCACTGCGTAGGGGAGTTCGTAGCTGCCAGGCACTGTCTGGATCTCAATGTTGCTCTCTGTCCGTCGTCAGCTCCGATCGACTTGCTGGCATCTGACTCCGAATACCAGGAACTCCTGCTTCGGCGAGCTTCTTCTTTGCACCCTCGAGGAGAGCGTCGATGATTTTGGTGTTCCATCGGGCGTGAACGATGCCAATGCGAAGCTTCGAGCCTGGCTGAGCGTCAGCGACGGGTGACCTCGTCTTGCCTTCGAGTGCTCCTACCGTCGTACTGCTTAGTCTCGCCAATTCCCTTGATTCCTGACATGATGTGCTGTATTGTGGGTGGTGATCAAAAAGCCTGTCAGCTTTCCGTCTTCAAGGCTTCGCTGGCTTGGTTGGTGAGCACGCACGTCAGAGTGGAATGTGGGGTGACATCAAAGCTCCTGCCATTCTGGTACCTGGCCAGGGTCATCCCATCCATGATGTTTCCGACATGTTTATTCAACTATACGACGTCACAACGACTCGATCTGGGTTAGAAGCTCTGTGCAAGTGAGACTGTACTGGAGTCGGCATGTGTACAAATCTGTCTGCAGCCAGCCATGGTGATTTGTGAACTATTACAGAAAGTCTATCAATAAAGCTTCGTCCTCTTGCGGCTGAAGCAACCCGACGATTGGTCGACCAAGCGTTCCCAGCATACGTCGGAGTAAGGTGCAGAGCCCATAGCATTCACAGGTGGGGTTAGAGTACACACACATCCGACTCTTAATGAGACTCAAAAGCGGGGAGCCATTTCGCCAACGCCTTCTGGAACAATGAGACGCTGTCATTGAAAGCCTTCTCGGTTCCATCTCCTGCTGACAGATCCACCGCATGAACCATACCTTCATGGACGATTCCAAAGATCTCATCGTCCGGAGGAGGCATGCCTGCATCGGGGATCATCTGAACACTGCGTCTGCCAGGTGCATCCTCTAACGTGGAGGCGGGGGTGAGAGCCGTCAATGGATCCAGCTCACCCGCGGTCCACATTGTGTTGGATGGGTTCATTCTCCAGCCGCCGTATCTATTGAGCTTGAACACATCAGGCTTTGACGGCAGAATGCCGGGGAACGTATTGTTGCAATATTCTTGGTACGTGTCGATGCTCATGAATCTTGACTGAATTGTATGAGGGTTTTTTGGGTTGCCGCAATGGAAGGCGCAGAGCTCGGAGCAGAGTTGATTGAGCCAGCTTCTGTAGTCAGCGTGCTGATGCGATGTTATACAATAGCAGAGGTGTCTACCTGATCGCTTCTGCAGGGCCGATAGATTCAAAGGGCGATGAAGCATTGGTGAAGATCCCAGCAATCCCAAGAGGCGATAAAGCATCGGTGTGAATCCCAGCGATTCCCACCAGAAACGCCGACCATGCCATCGAGATGTTGTGCGAGAGAGCGATCCCATTGTCCGAGGAGTCGATTGTGCTGTTCATCGTCTCCATCCTGGTGCTATCATCAGCTCCACTCAAATGTTTATCTTGGCCAGACTCACCTGTCACAAAAGGGCTGCAAGAAAACATCAAGTCCGTAGTACTGGTAACCCGTTAAGGGTGACTCTAAAGCACGAGCGACATCAACGTCTTCAAGCAGGCCTGGGTCGGTCGGACCAAAGGACTCATGGGCTTGACTTTGCATGTCCGGGTCTATAGCATTGGAGAGTTGAGTCTTCAGCTTCAGAACTTCATTCTTCGTGCCGTTCATCAGTACCTGGTCAACTCAATTGATCACATGAGTGTAGTCTGCGCTGCAGTTACGCATCATGGCATGTTCGATTTGTGCGTTTTATTGCCAGAAACCAATGCGAGTCTCTATGGGAGCACTGCTGGCCCAAGTCGCGAAGATAATTTCTGGGTTGCGGATTCTCATGATGGCACCTCTGGTTCCAGGATAACTGCCACCAATCCAGACCCAAGGTGTGCGTGCAGGTGTGAGCGATGACCAGAATGGCCTAGGATTTGGATGTTGGAAAACATTACTGAAGTACACGACGTCTTCTAGCGCTTGCTCGATGTTGAGATATTGGTATGCCCCAGCATCAAGTGCGTGGCCGGAGGTAGTGTTCATGGGCATAGGAAAGCTTTCTCCGTAGAAACGATGCTCGAAGATGACTACGATACCATCAAATCTGCTTAAATGTTAACAACGTTTGCATTTGACCATTGGAGATCAAGTACCTTTTCGCCAGTGCCATCACGGCATTGGAGGGGTGCGAGCTTGCATCCAGGCAATTAGCCGCTGTCGGATGAGCATTTGCCTCGCCAACGTCGAAGAAGAAGACTGGACCGCTTCCTTTGTAGTATACGTCGTTGATCCAGTATCGATTGTTGTATGTCCGATTGTCAGAAGTGTTGAAGTGGTCCACGGGGATTTGTATGCCGAGAGGAGGATAATCAGAGAGGTTGAGCGCTCGATTCTCCCGACGTTTCACGTCACGATTGAGAGGGAAGTGCGGGTGAACGTCTTGCGCTTGAGTCGGTGTTACTGCGCATAAGACGCACGAGATGATGATAATCAAGAAGCTGAATAAGGAATTCATATCTGCGGATGTTGATGTTGATAAAGCGTCGATGATTGATCTGACAACGTCGCGATATACTTGCGTAGATCACGCAGCCTGAGGCAGGAGCAATTCATGGATCTGTCACACATTTTATTGCTCGACGCCTTCCTAAAGCAGTTGAATTCGGAAACAAGTCTGCCAAATATGTGTGGCCTGGGCATCATTAATTCAGCAAAGAAAGTCTAAAGCACCTTTAGTCATGTCTTTGACGAGAGCTATGCGAAATCGCCATCGATTACCTTTACATATGTATGTCCTGATAGCACTGGCCTTCTTTCTCTCATAGAAGGTTCCTTGCCAACCTTCGAAGGCAGGAGATTAACCAGTTCCTGGACTTGGCGCGGACTACGAACCTCCAAGTGCGCTACACACTGTCACTCCCGCCCTCTTGGAATGGCTGAAACAGAGGAACGAGAGGATGTAGCGAGGCACGTAAGAATTTCGTAACCACGAGACTGACCCAGATAGTCTATCCAAAGACGCATCTCGGTGACGTCGCTGCAGGTCTAGATAGCATGGTATCGTAAGACAGCTACAAGTGTGACAGTGTTGCGCACAGAGTGAGGATGAATATAATGCACGCAAGATCTTGGAGATCTGTGAGACTTCACCATGAACTCAGCATCTAGTGACACGTGAGCTGGCTGGCAACGTCGTTGATCACGTCTGCAGTCACCGCCTTCCGAAGATCTAGTTTTTGGAATCGTCTCTTGCAGCGCCGACTGCTCTAAGTCAGAGACTGCTTGTGAGAGCTCGTTGTCTTAGTAAGTATATGTCGTGATGATCAGTCGCACCGCCTCAGGCAGGCGGGAAAAATATATGTTTCGCAAGCCAAACGACGCAGAACATACCCAGCAAGCCTGCTGTGACCAACGTCTTCGCCATGCCCTCTCTCATATCGATGGCGTCCGAGACGGTGAGTTTGGCCATCTTTCTGTGCTTCTTACGGGTATGCCAGTGTGCTGTGTCCACTGCAGGAGCGGGAACGGTCCCATCTGCGCCGTCGTCGGACGAGATGGTGGCTGGTACAGCATGTTGCCAGGTGGTGTCATGAGGAGACTGATAGGGTTCTGCGTTCCACCACGTCCAGGGCGACAATTTCTTCCACCAGGGCCACGGCTCGCTGTCGGATCGTTGCGCGACGCGCCACGCACGTTGTTGACTGTCAACGACACAAAGAGAAAGTAGAAAGGAGATCATTGTTAGCGGGCCTAGGACGATCTGAAGAGACGTGTAAGTTGCGTGCGGATGAGATGTGCAACACAAAGTAAGCATACCCGAGAAAATAGGCTGTCGGTGCCTGAACCAGACAGCTGCTCCGAGTCGAGCTGGACAGCATGGTCGGGCACTTCTGCGAGCAGATCAGAGTCTCTCTTCCTGTGCCTCTTTGAACTGTGCGGCGTGTCCATTGTTCTGCAAGGAGTGGCAGTGAGGCTGACCAAGTTCCGGGGGGGGGGATTCACGTGGCGCTGCTAATGCATAGTCGTTGTGCCGGAGGCTGATGTCTTGTTTCAATAGCGTCTGTCAGATGGAGGGAGCAAAAGCTGCAGCTTGTTCTTTTCTGACGACCGTTTCCCCTCTGTATTTGGACCTGTGACGTAGACCCCACAACCGCCCGCTCGGTATGCTTGCAGTTCACCAAGCACCACGGGATCTTCTGTTATCCGTCCGGTCGGGTCCGGCATGTGCAGTACTTTGGTGACTTGGGTAGGACAAGCACCATCATAATGGCCGACTACTCACCATTGCTACGCCCGTCGTTGGTGCATCTTACTCGTCCTCCCAAGTATCGATCCCGAACCCCAACTCTGACGACTTTCAGGGCTCTTGGATCTGGATCCGGCTCTGCCAGGGCCCGGTCCATCTGCCTGTGCGGCTGAAATTGATGCACAAGCCCTTTTCGTACATAGCTTGTCAGTTCATCCATTCCAAGCTGCGAGAACGCACAAGACCCATCTGAGCTTGACAGTTTCTAGTGAGAGCTCACCTAAGCATGGCATCCAGTGGACACTATCTAATTCCAGATACCCTTGTACGTTCCCAGGGTCACGCTAACTAAAGTTGGAGTCACAGAAGAGATGCTCTCCATGCGTTCGGGTGACTGCCTCCGCACTTCATCAGCCATCATGTGCCTGGCAGCATCCTGGAAGTGGGCGCTCCACTCTTTTCGATACGTTTACGTCTCTAGCAAAGGCTGCATCATGTTCGTGGACATTGATCACCCTATCTGACGACAAGACAAGATACTCAGAGATCAGTGGCCATCTACAATCCTTTGACGCGCTGCTCCCACATGTTTTTCAGGTTGATCCTTTCGGCTTCATGCAGCTGCCCTTCTGGACCGAGACCGTGTCTCGCCGAGGAGCAAGAATAGATGGCCACTGGGTGTGGCTTTGTCCAGTTGGATCTGTCAAACACAATCTTCCCAGGTACCGGTAACCCATCACAGCTTTCGCCCATGTCTTTTCGTGTCTAGAGGCTAGAACGTGTGGATCTGATAACTACATGCTGCAAAATACCTATCGGTGAGGCTGATGCCTCGCTCTTCACACCTGCGAGATGCGCTGCGAGATGCGAACCACAGCAGCTCTCGAATGTGGTCCTGCCATGCTTAATGTAACCGTAAATGGCGCCATATATGGGCGCGAACCATGCGGACCTGAGGAAGGCGTTCAGCTAGCTGGTTGATCATGACAGACAAGGCGGCTACTCCATAAAAATGGCCTCGCTCCTTTCAGAAGTAGTGCCTAAACTGACCCTCGGCTTTGCATGCCACAACGTTCATGCATCCGAAGGCATAGTATTCCATATTTGTTCTCTAATCTTTGTCAATGGTCTTAGCCACTACCGAATGTCCTTCGAGACTTTCTCAGCACGACCACCATGTCTGCTTCCAATAAGTGTACATGTTTACCCCTTTAGGACCCACGCCCAGAAAGTTTGCCAACGAACATCTGCAGCCAAATCTGCATTGTTGCAGTACCATGAATAGCTGTCGGAATCATTGTGGTCATTGCTTGTGACTATGCATCTTGGACCCAGGTAACTCAACATCTATATATCTTGCCGGCTACTCCGAGTAGCTGCCTGTACTTAATCTCGCAGGCTGCACCAGCATCTCAATCTACCAGCAACTCGGTACACATCTCGGCCTGTCTCATTCGTTTGGCTGTGACTTGATCTTGTTTCTGGCAACCCAGTGTCCTTGCCGTGCTCTACCTCAACTAGATCTACGACGAAATGCCCGGAAATTCATCCCCTGTCTCTCCAGGATCATCCGAGCCAGCGATGTCCTTTCAGTTTGTCAATCTCACAGATCCCAGCGACACCAAAGACCAGAAAGTACGACGGGCTATACGGAGTCATGTCACGAAACAACAACATCAAAAGGCGGAACAACTCGCGGCAGCTCGAAGATCCAACAGTGACCCGCAACTCTTGGGTACATTATCGGCTCAAGTTCAACAAGGTCGTGCACATGCCGCGTCTTACCCGTTGTCAAGATCTGCTACATCGGACCAACAGAGCCCTGTGTCCCCGACCAACAGCTCCGACGCACCTTCGTTCTCAGACACATCTCAGCGCCCGATGATAGATGTATCACAGATTTACCCGGCTCAGTGGCTGCCATACCTTAATCAGATACTAGAGAACTGCAAGTAAATTTACAGCGTCGTGACCACACCAATTGCTAACACAGACTGTCCAGACCTTACGTTCACAGCCAAGGAGGTCCTGCAATCAGACGATGCGGCTACAATGAATCTTCTAAGGTCTGTCTGGATGCCGTTCGTGCTGACTGACGTGGCACTGCTTCACGCCATTCTGTTGTTTGCTGCGTCGCTCTTCCGGTCGTCCATGCCTGCCCACGCGCAAGTCGTGGATTTGTTTCAGCTCAAGGACATGGCAATTCAGGCCATGAACGAGAGCCTCTCGACCAAGGACTCCATGATTGCGACTATGGCAACCATGGCACAGTACGAGGCTTTTTGGAGGGATGCAGATGCGTTCTCGACGCACATGAGCGGCTTACGGCAGTTTGTCGAGATGCGCGGTGGGCTTTCAGCATTGGGCCTGGACGGGTTTCTTGAAAGGATGATGCTTGCCATTGACACCAACTTGACCAGGACAACTGGACACGACCGCTCGTTTGCTCTCAGCCGGCAATCTCCTCCTGGGCAAGGTTAGCACGGTCGAGACGCAGTCATGGCGTTTGCGCCGACCTAACCCTGCATCTCACCAATGCCCTTGCTTGCTTCACTTCACCATATATATTTGGGAACGACTGTTCTCATGAGAAAATAATCTAATGTTTTGGGATGCGGGTTGTATGCAGCCACCAATTTTTTCCACCACAGCCTTTTGTCATCAGGCTAATTGTGAATATCGAGAGCCTCCACGGTCGTAGATTGTATATTGTCGAATCTCCGGTTCGATTGCCGAATGGAACAAGTCGTATCGATCTCATGGCATAATAAATTGCTTCATGATGGTGTCATGTGGGGACAAATCCACCTCGCAACTTCCGGCCGAACGACCTCCAGTCTTGCACGGCCTATGCTGGGCAACAACGACGGCGCCGACCAGCCTCGATAGTGAGTAGCGAAACATACGGACGACCGTGATCAATGAGTGATACGAATTCAACTCGTGTGCGACGCGAATAATACCGTGGTGCTGCAAAAGACACGCTCGGATTCCCAGCACTTGGTAGCGCTAGCGACACGTACGTCGTTCTCGAGCAACTACCCATGCGCAAAAGCATGCATCTCATTTCAATGAACCAGGGTCAGCGGATGCATATCCCATCATCAACATCATTAAACGCAAGAGTGTAGAGATGATGGGCAATTTAGCTGTCGCTGTTGGTGAGTCCTCCGCCGAAGTCGATACAGCAAAAGACATTAGCCGGCACATCGATCGGACTACTTCGCCTCTCCGCGTTCACTCGGCAGTTCGATGGCTTCACTATGCCAGAGAATCTCGACTCTTCGCATGATCAGCAGAAGTGGCCGAGTCATACACAGCACGACATCAGCTTGACTTTTGCTGAGGTTTCTCCGTTTCAACTTTTTCCGGATTTCTACAAAAACACCCATCGAGACCAGTCACGAGTCCACGGCGTCCTCGACCCACACCGGTAAATCTTCCGTATACATGGATACGCAGCCATGCATTGTGCAAGAGAACAGTGATGCAAACACCTCGCTTACAAGAACCCTGTTCTACACGGGCCCTAACAGCATCGCACGATGTGTTGACTTGGCTGCCGACAATTTCGTTGACCCAACATCAGCTGATCCAAGTTTATCATGCAAAACGTGCTGAGCATACATATCAGGACTGCAGGTAGCCACATCATAGAAGGGGTTCCAGCAGGCTACACTCCCTCAAGAGCCTCTCAACCTTCTCATTGGCTGTGGAGAGATTATCTCCACCATCGACGTGTCATCATATAACCAAGTCCAAGCCGTCGGAGCAATATAGAGCGACAGACGTGCAGGAGAACTGCGGCGAATCACGAAATGCGTACCCACCACTGACCGAAGGCTAAGCAGCAGTAAAATACAAATTCGACCCGGCGAAGTCTACTGGTAACGATTCACACATGCATGCGAGTCACACTTCTACAAGGACCGGATACTAGGATACGCACGAGAGTAGCCGAGACCTGCATGGCAATAGCATCCTCGAGAGCTCATTGGTCTCCCGACAAGCGCTTCAAGTGGCTGGCCTGAAGTCTTGGGCAGGTGGTTGCAAAGAATCGTGTTCTTTGCGCTGGCATTACTGCAGGCTATGAGTACCTCGACGCAGCACGTTGTTAGTGTGCTCAGAGCGCTCATGCCCTACATATCGACCCTAGATCCAGACCCCAACTTTGTTCCAGTTCCAAAGATGTCGAACCACGATTGAGCCTCTTCTGATCATACTAAAGTGTATGGAGTCTTCGCCGCCCACCAAGCCATGCATACTGTTCAGGAGGACAATATCTATGCTAAATTGGTCGTCGGAGGCCTTACATGCAATATTGGAGGATCAAGGCCGAGCTGCTCATGATGAGCTAGACATGCTCGGGACGGATGTCGAAAGAACTCCTGCAGTGCTGTGCCTCTTCGAATAATACACATAGTGTCAAGCGCTTTTTGGCGTATTCGACGATCGAACAGGCAAGCAACAAAAGCCAACTAGAGGCATCAGCCCCTGCCCAAACAACACGAAGATGTCAACACTTTCCCAATCCACTCACGTCAAGTCCAAAGTTCATTGATCTTGGCCAGGCTGTTATTCATTCATCTACTGTTAATCACCCCCCAACTAGGATGACATCCAGCTGTTTGTACTTCACATTCTGCCTGGCTACCAAGAATTGTCGATACCGCAAGTCTCTTTGTACGCCCTGTTAACGAGTTTCGCGCCCAATCGCCATGTCAGTCATGCACAACATATCATCGCAATGACCACTCCTCCAACCCGTCTTGACCGCGACGTCCATCGGCCAGTTGACGTCGTTGACCAGACTCCTGTCCATCATCCTGCACGCGATACAAGGCAGAAACATCTTGAGTAAGACCACAGAGACAGACTGTGCAGCGTCGTCCAGATCGAACTCTCCGTGTATCCCTGAGCCAACTAGCTTCAAGTCGCTAAAGAAAATTAGGAGATATAAGGACCATGGAGAGCAGATACTTGTCGTACACACCCTCTCGAAAGCGACTTTGCCCGCAGAAAGGTCCGCGTTACGCAACACTCCTGAGCTGCCGTTACACGGTCTTCCAGACCATACCACAATTGCCAAAACCCTTTCTCGCGACAGGACGATAGGCATCGATGCAGACTCGCATAGATTATCATTATGGGCACGTGCCCAGTAGAATAGACATGATATCATAAACCACCCTCGCTAACACTAACCAAATGGTTTACCACACAACCCTCGCCACCTAAAAGCTCAATTGAGCCGCAATCAGCCTTCGCATCATCGACAGTACGGCCAAGCAACTACACACGGGATATCGCAACACCGACTTGGAGTCAGCGGAGATAGCTCCAGACAGTCAACTTGTGTCATCAGCACCAGACTTCATCATGTCAAGACTACCTCCAGAGCTACCATATATCCCCTCAGAGCTACCATAGCAAATGCAAAGACGAGTCCAGATCACCAAGCTCCTCCCGAAACCAAGCCCGCATCTGCGAAGAAGGTTGATCTGATCAAAAGGCGGTCCGCTGTATAACCAAACCAAGTGAAAAAGCCAACCCACAATGACATTCCCCAAGGTCTCGATTGCTGAAATGTCATTGCAACGTTATCTCTCCCGTTCTGGTAACGACGTTGGGAGTTTCCAAGAGTTGGATTTGGGGAGAAGGTTTCAGGGTCGATCAGATATTGTAGGAAGAGTGGCTGTGGCTGGGTGGGGGATCCCAGAGGCGTCGGTTTGGGGTCGGGACCGAAGCTTAAAATCAGTCACTGCCACACTTGCATCTCGCGATCTGGCATCACCAAGATGGTCGCCAACATGCAAAGAACAAGCCCAGGATTGGTAACACAGAAGTGAGGAAAGCAAATGGTAGAACAAGACAGTAATTGTGAAGGAGCAAAAAGATCTATGATCATGTAGTGGGTGTATAGACAAAAATTAACTAAGGTAGATGTATCCCCTAATCTCATCAATTTTGAGGTGTAAAAGAAGAGAAATGATGAACGTCGTAAAAAAGGCAGAGACACCGCTCGCTATCCCATCATTAAAGAATCAAGAACCAAATTCAAGAGCCAAAACAAACCGCTTTCTTAACGATGACGAAGACGAGCAGGCATGGTGCCATTGTTAATATACACCAAGATCCTGTTAGAACCACCACAAGCCTCGGTCTTGTTTCCCGTACAAGGGTAATTGCAACCAGAAGTCAAGGGGTCAGAACCAGCAACATAGTTGCTGGCAGGAGCGACATTACCACCGTAACATTCTTGGTAGTACTCGGCGCCGCAAACGGTGAGTCCGCTGCGTGTGCAAGCGTCAAGGCAGTTTGCAATGGTTGCGTTGTTGGCACCTCCAGTCATGGAAACACCGGTGGGCAGAACACGGCCGTTAGTGCCATCCACGTAACAGGCCATCAGGTTCCAGTTTCCATAGCTGGGTCTGGCGCTGAACTTGTTGGTCCAGGTGTTGTCTACGTAAACACTGAGTCTGTTGCCAGCTCCACAGGTTTGGGTGTTGTCGCCTGCACAGGGCATGTTGCAGTCGGTGGCCTTTGTGCTGGTGGAAGGAGCGGTGTTGGCGCACCAACACTCGGATCCGTATTCGGTGCCTGCGTACTTGTAGCCGAGGGATTGGCAGGTGGAGGCACACTTGTAGGGAGTGTTGTCGCTCTTGGAGCCAGCGGAGTAAGCAAGAGCACGAGGTGTGCCGTCTACGAAACAACCGTAGGAGGCGAAGCCTGTGGGCAGGGAGAGGGAGGCTGATGTGCTTGACGCTGTTGCTGTGGAGGTTGACATGGTTGTGGCCGACGAACTAGAGATCGCCGAGCTAGATGCTGAGGAGCTGACAGTCGAGGAGCTCGCAACTGAAGAGCTGGAAATTGACGAGCTAGATGCTGTCGAGCTGGATGCTGTCGAGCTAGAAGCTGAAGAGCTAGAGATCGACGAGCTAGATGCTGAAGAGCTAGACACAGTCGAGCTAGACACAGTCGAGCTAGAAACTGACGAGCTTGAAGCCGAAGAGCTAGAAACTGAGCTGCTTCCAGCGGCGACATTGGACTGTGCAACCTTGACAGCAGAGATGACATTGTTGGCGGCAGCAGGGTAGTCAGCCATAGACTGTTTCAACCAACATGTGCCAGATCCGACACCGTTGGCTCCTCCAACGTAGCTGAAGCCTTGGCAGCCAGATGACGCGGCGGCATCACAGGCGGTCATACAGTCAAGGTACGATGTAGAAGCTTGAGCGTTCGAGTATGAACCGACAGAGTTGTCTGCAGAGCAAGTAACATTGTACAGGTTGCCGTTTGAGTCGGTGATGATCTGGCCGTTTGCTTGAGGGCAAAGGTTGGCTTGGGCGCTTGCAGATGCTGATGCTGACGAAGAGATAGTAGACGACACCGTGCTGGATACCGAGCTCGACTGAGTGGATGATTGGGATTGGTTCAGGAAACCGGAAACAAGATTGCCAGCAGCAGCAACGGCGCTGCCCATACTGTTCTTGAGGTAGCATGTTCCCGACCCTTGACCGTTCTGTCCACCGACGTAGGTGAATGCGACACATCCAGTGGAAGATGCAGCATTGCAGAGGCTCATGCAATCTGTGTACGATGTTGTTGCTTGTCCGCTAGAGTAAGAACCAATGTTTGTGTCTGAGGAACAAGCAACAGTGTAGCCATTGACAGTCTGCTTATCGGCAGAAGGGCACAGACTTCCTCCAGAAGCTGAGGCCGTCGCCGACGATGAGACTGTAGATGAGACTGCAGAAGAGACTGTCGACGACGAAGACACTGATGAGTTCACTGATTGCTTCAAGAATCCAGATACAAGGTTGTTTCCTGCAGGGACGGCGCTACCAAGAGCGTTCTTGAGGTAGCAGGCACCTGAGCCCTGACCGTTGGCTCCACCGACGTAAGTAAATGCAACACATCCTGTGGTAGAGTCACAAGAGGCCATGCAGTCTGCGTAGGTGTTGACTGCCTGACCATTTGCGAAGGAGCCGATGTTGGTGTCAGATGAGCACTTGATAGTGTAAGTCTTTCCGTTTGAGTCAGTGATGTCTTGCGAATCCACAGATGGGCACAATCCAGAAGGCGAGGCCGCGGCAGACGATGAGACTGTCGACGACGTTGAGGCGGATCCACTCTGAGTTGAGCTTACTGTTGATGAGCCCACGGCAGATTGCTTCAAGAAACCAGAGATAAGGTTGTTTCCAGAAGCGACAACACTGCCAAGAGAGTTCTTGAGGTAGCAAGTGCCTGATCCCTGGCCGTTGGCTCCGCCAACGTAGGTAAAGGCAACACAGCCGGATGAAGCTGCGGCGTCGCAAGCAGACAAACATTCAAGGTAAGTGTTAACAGCGGGTACACTTGAGTACGACCCGATGTTGGTGTCCGAGGAGCAAGCGATTGTGTAGGTGGCGTTGTTCGAGTCCGAGATAGCCTGTCCGTTGGTGCCAGGACAGAGCGATGCGGATGCAGTACTGCTAGAAGAAGCCGAGGTCGAGGAGGAAGTCACAGTGGTATTGCCTCCAGGGGTAACAGCTGAGACTCTTGATCCGGATACAAGGTTGTTGCCTCCGGTGGTGAATGTGCCCTGAGCGTTCTTGAGATAACAGGTTCCAGCACCTTGACCGTTGGCTCCTCCAACATAGGTGAATGCGACACAGCCAGTGGATGCAGCGTTGTCGCAGGCAACCATACAGTCAAAGTATGAACTAGCGGCTTGAGAGCTAGAATAGGATCCAATACTAGTATCTGAGGAGCAAGCAACAGTGTAAGTGACATTGTTTGAATCGGCGACGTTCTGGCCGTTGGTAGCAGGGCAAAGACTGCTGGAAGGAAGACCAGATGCCGAAGGCACTGTGCTGGTAGGAGCAGAACCAGAGCCCTGGGTAATGGTCGAGACAGGAGCATCAGCGTTGAGGGTGTAGACCGACAGAGCGCCAGGTCCACCGCAGAGCTCCTGCTGGTTACCGGAACATAGCATGGAGCAAGAGTCATCCGGTGCGATGGCGCTACCTGGCCCAAACGACGAACCACAGTAACACTCAGCAGAATATTCGACACCGAAGTACTTGTAGCCATTGCAGAATGCTGCACAGTTCTCCAAGGTCATGTTCTTGCCGTCAGAGTATGAAGTGGCAGAGAGAGCATGACCACTGGTGGATTCGTTGTGGCATCCCGAGAAGTAGTAGTTGCCTACAACCTCAGGGTTAGAAGGTGCTGCACGCTGTACAGGAGCGCCGTTTGAGTAGATGGAGAGGCGGTTGGCCTGACCGCAAATTTGCGAGCTGTTTCCAGGGCATGTCAAAGTGCATCCGACGTCCAGAACCTTCTGGGTGGTGGGAGCGAGCGTGTTGTCACACCAACACTGGCTACCGTACTCCATACCAGCAATATTATACCCTGCCTTGGCGCAAGCAGAGGTGCACATATCGATGGTGTTGGAAGTAGAATCGTAGATCATGGTAGAAAGCGTACGAGGGCCACTGTCTGTGTAGCAGCCGGCGGAGGTCATGTTGCCAGCATAGACAGTCTTTGAAGAGTCGTCCGAAGTGGAGTTGTAGGCAGGGTCCGGGAAGGGGTCATCGGTGGCTGGTTGAATACGAGGATAGCCAAAGTCGTAAGACCGTGCGCCATCACCGTAGAAGTTGTCATTGAACAGACGAGCTCTACCAGCAAGGGAGGCCATCATACCGCCACCATCGTGGCCCATGTTGATCAAATCAACGGTGTCGCAATGGCCAGAGGCCGAGGTTGGAGCCTCGCAAGTAGGAGTCCAGTAGTTGACAAAGTAGAAGAAACGCTCGTTACGGTTACCACCGGTGGTGAATGGTGCACAAGTAGACGAATCGTCACCCGTGTCCTGAGTGCCACGAGCGTAAGCCTTGTTCTTTGCCTGGTAGTTGGCAATAACAGCGGAAGAACCAGAAGCGACCAGGCCAGTGTTGTAGACGCTGGGGTAGGCAGCATAGGCGGCAAGACCATCACGCCACTCGTCGTAGTCTGCACAGTTGGCGGTAGAGAGAGGACGGGATGAGTTCAGCCATACAAGACTGTTGGGGTTCGCAATCCAGTACGTGACTGGTACACTGACTCCCATAGAGCTGAGCGGCTTTCCAACAGCTGCATAGCGTTGAACAGTCTGTGCGCCGAGAGAGTGACCAGCGATAACGATTTGGTTGATGTTGGGGAAAACAGACTTGTCGCCGTAGTACTGGATCAGTTGGTCGAGAACATCGTAGGAAGAGACACCAATAGACTTGGTGGGATATTGGTTGGTACCGCCACCAGCCCACTGCGAAGCCTTCCAGACCAGCAGGTTGGTGAACGACTGGGCACCGCCGCTGGCCTTCTTCTTGGCGCCAGGAGGGTAATCCCAGTAGGGATAGGTGATGTTCTTGTCGTCGCCATTGGGGAAGCTGGGTGCGTTGATAACCACAGAGTCGGCGTTGATGTTAGGGTCATTTGTGACTTGAGACAATGCGCTTATCATCTGTGTGTCTTCTTAGTTGACATCGACCACGACTTCTTGAGGAGGACTTACGTTAGCCATGTATGTACCCGCATCACGGTTGAGACCGTGAACAATAATGACAGCACGCTTGATGTTAGAACCAACGACACGCTTATTGTTTCTGCCCAAGGATTGGTAGTTGACGAGAGTAAGATTGTTGTTCTTGCCAGCAGGGTCTTTTACTCTGAAGTAGCATAACTCTGAACCGGGCACACCGGGATATGTGGCATTAGGAATGACATCTCCAAGGTATTGTTGGGCGGAGACGTCTTGAGGGAGCACAGCTGCCAGGAGGGCAAGAGTCTTCCATAGAGAGATCATCATGATGAGCGAAAGAAGCGGGTACGAGACCCTGGGTAAAGAAGGAGGACGTGAAAGAGCGAGAGACGATTGTGATAGAAACGGCAACGGTAGCGAGATGGCAGACTCTTATATAATCTGAATCCTCAGCTCTTCCATATTAACACGACCCAGGCGGGGTGGCATGAAGATTGTCAGTCCCAAACAACCCACGAGCGGCTGAACATTAGGGGCGGTCGCCATGAAGAAGCTAAAAGCGTGTTTAAGCGTGCTAAAATTGTGCGCTTAACATGGACCAAAAAGTGTAAAGCGACCTAAAGAGGAAGGCTTGACCGTGCACGCGAACTCGATATGCAGCTCAGCCAGCCCAAAAGACTTGGTCGAGCTAGTGAATTGCGGTAACCTGCATTAGACCAGGCTCTCGAACGGCTCGGCCATCCGCATGAGGCGTCAAAGCACTCTGATCTTTTGTTCCTGCATGGAACAAATCTCCGTCCAGACGCAAGATTGCCGGTTGCCCGTTGATAGATGTTCACAGCCGGCTTCTGGGCACGTTTGCAATGTGTGGTGATTCATGCCGTTGAGAGAACCCGGCATGAGGCACGTAGCGTGTGACGTTTGCCGAAAACGGTCGATCGGGAAGCGTTGAGCGCGTGACAGTGAAACCTGGCGAAAGAATCAGAGACATGGAATTCTCAGAGAAGGATATGATGTATTGTGTGAACACGATCGCGCACATTTGCTAGTACGGCATTTCAGTAGAGTTGTTCGCTGTTGCGCTAAAATCGGCGACACCGGTCGACCGTCGGACGCTACGCAAAACGCAAGCGACCTGAGGAGAGACAAGACTTGGTGGCAGCGCGGAGGCTGTCGCCGATGCACACTCATATTGGCCTCGGATCTGACCTGCAAGTTGCATTCGCTGTGAGGTGGGTGATCAATAGGTGATAAGATATTACCAAGGTCTAGATGAAAAGATCTGAGGGCAAGGCTCGAGACCGGATTGGCCGAGGCAATATGCCAATATCAAATGGTCCAGCGCAAGCAGGCTTCAGCAGCTCAGCTGAAGGACGCGAATCAAAGCATCGCAGCTGAAGGCCAAACGTCGACCTTGATTCTGCCCTCGGTCGCGTTCGACACTGGATCAAAATGTCAATCAGCTACGCTACGTCGGTGATCTCCCGGACGCGACCGAGGAAGAGCTGATGGCGCTTGGACGCTCTTTAATGAGAACCTTTAACGGTGGTGGCTACCATGCGAAAGGACGCCCTGAACGCCTCGAAGGCTTCGCTAGTGTTGAGAGAGAGGCGTAGAGGCTAACCACGCGTATCAGGGGTTTGGTGGAAAGGACATGCCCAAGCATGACGTACGCCAGAAAGCACCTAAGATCAATATATCGAATGCGATCAAGAACATAGTTATATGAATATAAGGACAAAGCCAGAAATAGTGTAAAAAGCCGTAGCACGGATGAAACAAAATTGAAGCAAGGAGAGCAAAGCCAACTTTTCCCCACAAGCATCACAGCAAGAAGTCCGATTGATCTCTACGATCTGCATGTCATCAATAAGGTCTACTACTCGAGTATGCTCGTGTGAGTTTGGAGCAGACCATGTTGGTATGATTGATGGTGAATTTCAAATGTCGTGGAGTTTTGATGGTTTTGGGTTTTGAGAAAGCACTTTCGAAGACTCAACAGTCATCACACCCAAGGATTGAGCGCACAGACCGGCGAGCCTTTGTTCGTGGGCGAGTTCGCCAAGAGCAAGTCGATTTCGTACGTGTGGACGACAAGCACTTGTTGGCGGTCAATGTCGGCTTGAGTCGATTTCTAGTCCTCGAAACAGCGTGTTTAAGAGGACTAAGTGTGTGGTCACTGGGGACTTGGGCAAGAATCGAGTCACAGTAGCAAGAAACATGTCATGATTGGGCTGTGGTGTGGAGAGTCTGCAGGCTGTAGAAAACCACCGGCAGTCGAAGCTTCGTCAGGCTTCAGAACAGCTTTCTGCCATCCGCATACATCATAGCACTCACGAATCGCATAACATCACGGCCATCGCGTAGGCACACGGCGTATCACTTTCTTGATGTCCTATTAGAGCTGTTGATCGCGTAGTCGTAGAAGCGACGCGGGCGCATAGGCCGGTACACGTCACGGCCAGGGGAACACACGACCAGCGCACCTTCAGACTCCATCTACGGCCGGCATCATGGACCTCCGCGATATGCTCAACAACGATGGTGCATCGGGGCGCTCCTCGAGTCAACACGAGGGCAGTCAGCGCGGGAGCTTCCCTCCTCCTTCGCTACCCCCGCAAAGATCCTCATCGGGCACATATACCGGTGCACCGCAGCAACAGCAACAGCACCAGCAGCATCCGCAACCACCGCCGCCGCAATACTATCAGCAGCGGCCTCAACCTCCATACCAGCATGAAGTGCGCCACTCGAACCCCTCGACTCCTTTGGCACTGCACACGCCGCAACAACAGCAATATCCGAGCAGCCAATATCCCTTCCCTCCGCAGCCAAACCACCACCAGCAACAGCAGCAGCAGCCGCCGCCGCCGCCGCCGCATCACAGTCCATCGCAGCACTATCCACAACACACGCCTCGTCAACAGAGCCAACCACACTACCCTCACTCGATGTCACCTACACCCCCCGGCGCCGCCCATCGTAGCTCGCACCAGTACCCGCCTCAGCACTCGCAGCCCAGCACTCCTCTAGGTCCGCCCATGGTACCCTTCAGTCGCCAGTCCTCGCTCGCACAGAGCCAGCACAACCGCGCCGCCTCCGGTGCTTCGCACGCTCTGCAGCACCAGATGAGTATACCTCTGCAGTCTCCCGCCAATTCTCTGCCACCGCAGTTCGCCCATCCCCAAGAGTCGCCGCAGGCGTACGTCAAGAGGCCTTCTGTTGACTATCCTACAAACATTTCGGAACGCGACAGAAGTCTCAGTGTCAGTCCCAAGACAAGAGTTGTGCTTCCGACGCGCCAGAACAGCACCGATTCGTCGTGGACAGCGCAAGAAAGATATGCTTCACACGAACCTCGCCCGCTTCACCGCAGCTCGGGCGACCAGGCCATCTCTCCTCTCACTACCACAAAGCAGTCTGCCAAGATCAGCCCTTCACAGCCTCGCATCAATAGCCAGACGCTGGGCGGTTTGCGCAATATCTTGAACGACGATAGCCATCAGTCGCCCTTGATGGTTTCTTCACCTGCAATTGTCAGATGTCAATCCATCCCTGCACAGCCACCGCAACTGCTTCACTCACACTCGTCCTTCTCCAACGGCAGTCCCGTCCAATCTCTCGAACCTCGACCCCCAATCAAGCAGGAGACACAGCCGACTCTACCCTCAGAGTCACTACTGCAACAACCCATCGCCCCTCCACAGCCAATGTCGCAGTCGTCCCTTCCCTCGTCACAGCCCGTCCTCAAGCGGCCTGCTGACTTTGATCTCGAGCGATCTGTCCCTCCTAAAAGGACAAAGAAGAGATACGCCGAGCCTCCCATCTGGGCCAGATATGCGCCATCCAACCCTCGCTACAATCCAGACGTCGACCGAAGACTTGGTCCCCCGCCAGATCCCGCCCAGTCCAGGCGTCTATCGCCTCGCCCAGCTTTGCAAATAGCCACTTCACAAGAGCAAGTGCAAACCACTCCACAGCCCCAGCAGCAACCTTCGGCCACGAGTCAATCCAATGGTCACGCTGCGCCACCGGCCGTGAATGGTCATGGTCCCGCGAGTGCGCCCATACATCCCTTCCTCGGGCCATGGGAGCCATGTATCAAAGGCAACATGGCCCAGTCCGACCAGTTTGCTCTGCAAGTCGGAAAGTACCTGTTCGAAGAAATGCTCAGCAGACCTGATGTTGGCGTGGGTGATGCACGTAATGGCGCGCTCGAGATTGAGGCGAAGCTAGGCACTTTGGTCGACCGTAACACTGATCAGCGAGTCCAACTGCCTGTCCAAAATCCAGCAGTGCTTGATCGTAACATGTCTGCACGTCTGCGATTCGAGAGTCATATGACCGAAGCACACCACAAACGTCTGAATGAGTTTCTCAATCTGGCAGTGCAGGAATCAGCGGCAAATCCTAGTAGACATAGACTGGACTACAAGCACCGCTACGAGATCGACTCTTTTGCACAGCTCAGTCCAGCCGGCTTTGACGCGATGCCACCGTCAACACTAAACTATCTCGACCAAGCCAGGCAGCGAAGCACGCGACTCCGTACCTCCATTAACGAGCGAGCTCCGGCCGGCACGGATCCTGTTATTGCGCGCATAGTCAAGATCCGACTTGCCGACCTAGACATATTCTGCCCCGGATCACCATTCGACTGCCGTATCAGCATCAATATCGAAGTAGACATGCATCGACCCGACATTGATCCCAAGTCGATAGTGGAAGGTGGAGAGATGAAGAATGGAGAGCGCAAGAAGGACAGACTCAGCTACACGCACTCGGTATATAGCGTGGATTTGACTCAAGTCAAGAGTGCAGATGGGCGCAAGGTACACGAGCTTGAAATCGAAGTCGATGCCATCAAGCTGCGTGAGCAGGCGGAGCGGGAGGCGGCGGGACAGCCCAGTGGGTTTGGAGACATGGTGCAAGGATTGGTTAATAACATGTTTACGCTCATGAGTGTGCGATTGAACTGAGAGGCATACGGCCGTTCACAGCAAGGTCGGGTTGAGGAGAAAGCAAGCAACGATGTGATGAGCATTTGGGTCACGATGTGGAGGCATGGTTCAGATGCTGGAAGAGAAGGACTGGTTTGATTCGGTCATCCTTAGAACCCGGACAATATAATCCAAGCGAGTTGATATTCCTACATGATGTTTGCATGAAGCCTTTGAGATGGCTCGATGCAGTTGGTCAGCTGTGAGTTGTGGATTGGTTGGTGTGATGCGTGAGGATCGGAAGACGGACGAAACAGGAGCCGATCGAGGTCGAGAGTGTCGACAAATTATTATCTTATCCATCGTCACCTTTCCGTGACCCTGGTACAATAAACGCCATAGCCCGAATTGATTGAGATAATACGACAAGACACGACATGGATTGAGATTCTCAGAGCACATTTTGCAAGAAGCACATAGTCCTGAGTTTTCAGGCATCATCATCACACATCTAGCGAGCATGACACGGGTACGGCTGGTCGGATGGCCGCTACTCACACCGGGACTGATCGAGCAGTCGTCGACATGCATACGATTCGCCAGAGGACTGGGACAGAGACAGACATTCACACAACAGCTTGCGACATCAGCGATGGCGAGGCGGCATATTTCTGGCTCTCGGACGGTCAGGCAGACGGCGCAAGAGTTGGACAGTCGATATTTCTGGGCCAATGGCGCCGAGTCGAGGATGGCTGGTTTGCGCTCCAATTGGACGGAGGCCAGGAAGAGTGAAGAGCCGAAGACGACGACTTCGGCGACAAGGTCACGGGTGGATGCTATCACAACAACGACAGAGCAGACCCTGGATGCACCCTCTCACTCTCCACGTCCTCGGCGGCGACGAAAGACGGCCAACGACGACATAGTCCCTGAGCTACCGCAAGATGCCTCGAGCGCTCTATCCAGTATCGCCGCCTCTGCGGCACCTTTATCCCTCCGCCGGCGCATGGCCACCTACCTCGCCCTCACAAAGCCGCGTCTCGCTTTCCTCGTCGTCCTCACCACGACCGCTTCATACTCGCTCTATCCCGTACCCTCCCTCCTCTCCACCGCAGCCACACATACACCCTCACTCAGCAGTCTAACCCTGCTCTTCCTCACAACCGGCACATTCAGCACAATCGCCTGTGCGAACACACTGAATATGCTGTTTGAAACCAATCACGATGCCAAGATGTCACGTACACGCAATAGACCATTGGTCAGAGGACTAGTAAGCTCTCGTTCTGCCGTCATTTTCGCTCTCGCTGCTGGAGCCGTCGGCACTGGGATTCTCTGGTACGGAGTTAATCCCACGACTGCCATGTTGGGGGCTGCAAATGCCGTGCTGTATGCATGCATTTATACACCATTGAAACGCATTCACCCTGTCAATACCTGGATTGGCGCCATTGTGGGCGGTATCCCACCACTAATGGGTTGGTGTGCAGCAGGGGGTCACTACATGACTTCCTCATCCCCTCAGTCTCTGCTGGATGAAGCTTCTGCATTACTATTCAGCCCAGCATCTGCAGGTGGTTGGCTCCTCGCTGCCCTTCTGTTCGCATGGCAATTCCCCCATTTCAACGCCCTATCCCACCCCATCCGCCACGAATACCTCGCCGCAGGCTACCGCATGCTAGTCTCTCTAAACCCACGCATGAACACCCGGGTCGCTTTACGCTACTCCCTACTCATGTTCCCCATCTGCATAGGTCTCAGCTATGTAAACGTCACAGACCGCTACTTCATTCTCACCTCCTCTGCGATGAATGGCTGGATGGCTGTAGAAGCTTTTCGCTATTGGAGATCTGGAGGTGGCGAGACCAAAACTGCTGTTTTGAGGGCTAGAGGCTTGTTTTGGGCCAGTGTGTGGCATTTGCCAATTGTGCTTGTTTTGGCACTTTTACATAAAAAGGGGCTTTGGGATGGTGTGGTTAGGAGTGTTGGGCATGTTTTGGGGTTGAGAGATGGGGAGGAAGAGGAGGATGAGTGGGAGTGGGTGGATGACGAGTAAAGTATCCCTTCTCCTCCTCCGTACTCTTTTTTTTTGTATATTCTTTGTATGCATATGTTCAAAATAACTCTAATTCTTGGACGGTTCTTCCGACCGGTATGTTTCGGACTAATACGATGCCAAGGAGATGTTTAATGAGTGACAGGGTGACTTTTCGAACTCGTGACAATTCGAGATAGTTGAAAATGGTTTTTTCTAAACATACCAAAAGAGGATATCATGTGAGTATTTACAATGATCTGCTTGGCCGTACGATTATGTTTTCTGGTCCTTTTCTCAGCCCTGCCGTTATGTCGTGGGCGAGTATGACTTAGCTCTCATGCGGAAATCTTGTCACTTCTCAGAATACACATGCTCAAGACACAAAATTTGCCATAGCACTCAACAACGTCCATCTGTGGATCTGAAAGTCAGATTTGTGGGAGAAGATCTATACCTAGATATGATAGAGTAGTACTCGAGAGACCAGAGTGTTACTGTGTCGAGTTATATCGTCGATAGTTCATTTAGAACTTGTAAAGGGGGAGACCCTGGCTGTATACCGTTTCCTCAGATGTCGTCATCGTTGTCAGAGACGCGAAACCATGACCTTTAGATACAGTGTGGGCATGTTTAGATGGCAGCAGAGGAGAGGTCATGTTGTGTAATCTGATTAGTTTGACTTGACTTCCATTTGCGCCAGCGCTGATATCCCCTCAACTCCAATGTATGACTATCTCGTGCTCTGGTGTGGTCTTGACCGTGACGTGACGTGATCTCTTTCCATCGTCGCCCGATCGCATCCTAAAGAAGCAGATCCAGAACTCGTCTCGTGAGATGTCCCAATATCTCTCATGTCCAGCCTCTTACCGTGTCTTTGGACTCCATCCTGATACCCCATTCTTATCCATCTCTGCATCCCTGCTGGACCCGGAAAGTCCATGTCCCAAAGGGTCGTGTGTAGAGAAGCAATGTTGTGTTTGAGAACAATTCAGTCATCCTATCGCTTACGCTCAAACCAACCACTCGAGCTCATGACGGCAACACTCTGATCCATGACAATCTCTCCAATGGCCAAGTATCGTGTAATCCAAGATTTTGCCGTTTCGTTGTCGGTGATTTTGTCTTCGCGGACACTGGGGCTGGGTTGTGATCAGTTTAAAACTCTTTTCTACTTCTCTCTTGGCAAGGTTTTGGTGGAGGAGGAGGAGCAGCGAGGTTGGGAGGTGATGATGGTAGGTGGGAGGCTGGTCTGGCAGAGAGGAGGGAAATGGCAAGCTCACGTAAGACCTGTTGATCGCTTTACACCGGCGAGAAAGGCGGAGAAGAGGACGGCGTCGAAGGCGTAGTGGGTGAGGCGACCGAGCTGTGGGTATGATACGTGAGTATTCTGCTTCGTCTTTGGGGTTCAAATCAGATATGCGCGTTCACGTACAACCATGATGAAGAGTCGCGTGCGGAGGGTAATGTGGCTTTAGATGCGGTATGCTATATCTTTGCTATCGACACGGAGGACTCAAGCAAGAGCGGATCCCTAGGAGAAGAAGTTCGAGATGTTGGTAGGGTGGATTTGTTGATTATGGCTACGTCAAGATGGCAGCTGCTGCTTGCCTCGCGTGAAGCGCTGGACGACGACGGCCGGGCAAAGCTGGCTCCGTCACCAGGGTCCTTTGGGTTATGGACATGTGATTGGTCCGGCGTCTGATGCAGCATGTTCGGGCCGGCAAGTCGCTCTTCGGCTTCCTAGCTGCTAAGCTGCTTGACTCGGCGGGCTCCGACACGGATAGCATCCCGTCACTCCGTCTTCGCTGACCAAACATACCGAGCGAACGCGACTGACAGGCTTTTTAATAGATGAACCACTGCATGACAAGACGCAGTTGCAGTGCAGCGCATCTGGCCTTGGAGAAGCCACGACAGAAGGTCAGCTACTTCAGCACCATGTCATTATATGTTCGCATCCAGCTCTCACCGCCTGTCTGCGGAGGCGGCAGGCACAGTGTTCTCCTCAACCATACCAAGTAATGGAGAAGATGCATAAGGTAGGTATCCTTCCAAACACCTTCCCCACGTGTAGTATTTATGGCCACTCGAGCCTCTAAACGCCCAGAAATACGACACAAGCTAGCCGAGCAACAGTGGTTGAGAAGGGACATTTGGATGAGGATGGCGGAACCGGTGAGATAACCGGCCAGATATGAAGTTACGGCTTCTTAACCTGTCTTCACGGCGACATCAAGAGTCGAGCGTGAGAAGACATGAGAAACAGATGGAGGTCATGACTCCAATCTGCTGAGGCCGGTAATGGTCTGACTGCTGCAAGAATGCAAGGCTGGGATATCAGGGTCGGAGATGGCACGATTTTAGTAATTAATGATTGATGCTTATCACGGAATTCACGGACCGAATTGTTGAGTGAGGGGCCGGTGGTTGCTGCAACACCGTGTTTCGACTGATGCTGGCTGCTGTCTTCTTGCTGCCTACCAGGCTGCTGACATGAGTATATTCCTATAGAGATGCAAATCGAAGTCGTTTATTGATATTCTGTCCCTCATTTAACCTCAATCAAGGGTTCAACACGTGTTTAGACTGAGCAGCAGCAATAAAAACCAAAAAAGAAAGAAAGCTGATACACGGGGGTATGTGCTGCGGGCTGGCTTGTACCCCGCGCTAGCTAAAATATTCACAGCTTCTCTCAACAAGCGCCGCGTCTTCTTTGATTGTGGTCTCTCCCTTGCCTCTCCCTCTCTCTTTCTCTCACCACCTCACAAATCTACAATCACATAGACAAGATGGCCGACGCAATCGCACACCTCCAGGCTGGCCGTACCAGAATTGAGTGGCTCTCGCAGCTCAACACTGAGTATGCTCCCAAGCGCCAGTTCCGCCGCAGTTCCATCATCTGCACCATTGGTCAGTTGTGCCTGCTGCTCCATAAAGCTCGCAAAAGAGTGTGTACTGACAAGAAGCAGGTCCCAAGACCAACTCTCCCCAGGCCATCAACATGCTCAGAACCGCTGGTCTGAACGTTGTCCGCATGAACTTCTCGCACGGTTCATACGAGTACCACCAGTCTGTCATTGACAACGCCCGTGAGGCCGAGAAGACCCAGGCTGGCCGTCCCGTTGCCATTGCTCTTGACACCGTAAGCTTTCACCAGACAAGTCCAAGAAGAGAAGACAGCTCTAACCAGCACACAGAAAGGTCCCGAGATCAGAACCGGTAACACCGTCGACGACAAGGACTACCCCATCAGCGCTGGTGCCGAGATCAACATCACCACCGATGAGAAGTACGCCACTGCCTGTGACGAGAAGAACATGTAAGACTTCCTTTTTGCACTTGTCGAAGGCCACTAGCTAATCCTCCCCAAGGTACCTCGACTACAAGAACATCACCAAGGTGATCGAGAAGGGTCGCATCATCTACGTCGATGACGGTGTCCTCGCTTTCGAGGTTCTCGAGGTTGTCGACGAGCAGAACATCCGCGCCAGAGCTGTCAACAACGGCAAGATCTCTTCCAAGAAGGGTGTCAACCTTCCCAAGACCGATGTCGATCTTCCCGCTCTCTCCGAGAAGGACAAGGCCGATCTCCGTTTCGGTGTCAAGAACGGCGTCGACATGGTCTTCGCTTCCTTCATCCGCTCCGGTGACGATGTCAAGGCCATCCGTGAGGTTCTTGGCCAGGACGGCAAGGACATCCAGATCATCTCCAAGGTCGAGAACCAGCAGGGTGTCAACAACTTTGACGACATTCTCCGCGAGACCGACGGTGTCATGGTCGCCCGTGGTGACTTGGGTATTGAGATTCCTCCTGCCCAGGTCTTCATCGCCCAGAAGATGATGATCACCAAGTGCAACATTGCCGGCAAGCCCGTCATTTGCGCCACCCAGATGCTCGAGTCCATGACCTACAACCCCCGTCCCACTCGTGCTGAGGTTTCTGACGTCGGCAACGCCATCCTCGACGGTGCCGACTGTGTCATGCTTTCAGGCGAGACCGCCAAGGGTAACTACCCCAAGGAGGCCGTCACCATCATGCACGAGACCTGTCTCCTCGCTGAGGTCGCCATCCCCTACGTCAACGCCTTCGACGAGCTCCGCAGACTCGCTCCCATCCCCGTCCCCACCACCGAGTCCTGCGCCATGGCCGCCGTCTCCACCTCGCTCGAGCAGAACGCCGGTGCCATCCTCGTCCTCTCCACCAGCGGTAACACCGCCCGCCTCATCTCAAAGTACAGACCCGTCTGCCCCATCATCATGGTTTCGCGTAACTCGCGTGCCACCCGCTACTCGCACCTTTACCGTGGTGTCTGGCCATTCCACTACCCCGAGGAGAAGCCCGACTTCAAGGAGGTCTCATGGCAAGAGGATGTTGACAAGCGCCTGAAGTGGGGTATCAAGCACGCCATTGAGCTCGGTATCCTGACCAAGGGTGACCCCGTCGTCACCGTCCAGGGCTGGAGAGGCGGCATGGGTCACACCAACACCCTCCGTATCGTCCCCGCCGAGCCCGAAGACCTTGGCCTTGACCCCGAGGCTTAGGTGGCTTAAAGGTTGATGTTTGACTCTTTTTGCTACGGCGCAACTTTTTCTTGTTCACTACACTACCCCTTTCTTGTTCTGTTTTTCTTTGGTTCGGTTCCACTTTTACGATTGTCATATTTGGTGGATGTTGCAGATTGGGGGCGAAAATAGATATCCGAGGGAAATACACCTTTTTTCATAAACTTCAAAACATGCTTCCGAGTTCTTGTATATGTCTGTGATGCCTGTCGAGCAGGAGGTGTTTACTGCTGGGTTGTTGACGAGAAGGTGTAACAGGATGAGGTCCGATGTGGAGAATGAAATACGAGAAGCTAGGAGCCATCTACCCCCCAGATGCCAAAAACAACTCGAACACTGTGTTCATGTTCTTGTTCCATGATCTATCGTGCACAAGCATTCCGAGTTCGTAAGGACAATCAGTACCATGGCTTGAGTCGATGACATTGGCTCTCGGACTCTTCCAATTTTCTCCTAAAGCCGAAGTACGAGATGGACTTGTAAGACCGAAACATCTTTCTCTCTTCCGTAGCAGTTGTGCAAAATAGTATTCCCTATGGAAGTAAGACGACACAAGTAGACAAGCGTATGAGTATTATACTTCAAGACTGATATCCATATATCCTACCAACTTTTCCAAATCCCCCTATTCTCCCACACCTTGATCGTTGTAAATCATCAATTACGACCAAAACCTCTCCAGAAAATCATGAATACTCCAAAACCCAGGTATCAAAGAAGCTGCTAACCCTTTCACCACCTTTGGCAAAATAACACCTGCGTACTTTCCAAACTCATACCCATTTTTACTGGATACCAGGACTTTTGCTAGGTTTTGATGTCTTTCCTCCAATGCAATTTCTACGATTGCGTTCCCTAGGTCTGGGTAGCTGGTTGCTACGCCCACTTTTTCAACACTGAGGTCGTGGCCTGAGGGGGTTTGGTCTACTAGAGCGGGTGGTTGGACCAATGTTACTCTGATGAGGGATGGGTGGGCATGGACGACCCTCTGGCCGGCGAGGAGATCGGCGTAAGGGTGGTAAAATGCTGTTCTTATTATCCGAACCAAAAGACTGGGGTTTTGGCCATTGAGATGAGTATTCCAAGTGGAAGAGGATAAAAGGAGCAATCTTGGTGGTGTTTTTAGAGTTCCAGAGTCCTGAAGGGATTGTAGAGAGGTGATGATAGCGCGAGCACCGTCTTCTATTATGTGGGTGCCGGGCCGGTTTTCGTTCCAGCCTAGTGTGAAGATTATGATGGAGACATTTGTGAGGAGGGATGTTATGAGGTCTTGGTCTGAGATGTCGCCAGCGTAGATGTGGACTTTTGGATTGGTGTCGATGGAGGGGAAGAGATCGAGGAGTTTGCCTTTTGAGCGGACGTAGATGTTGATGGAGACATTTTGGGTCAAAAGATTTCGAAGGACTTGTTGGCCGGTGGCTCCTGTAGCTCCGAGAAGAGCGATACGTCGAGGCATGCTAAGGGGTGATGTGGTGTAGATACGTATAGTGAAAGATTTCACCTCTTTTGATAGATGGGAGAGACAGAGGACCATGTTGTCGCGTCATTATATGTAATCTGCTCGGCAATATCAATCAAAACCCGAGCCCTGCAAGCCATATTACATGTCGTCATCCTGTTGTCCTGCCGATAACCATGAAACAGAGTCTCGTACCCCTTCTCGAGAGACTGTGTCGTTGAATCAATTCTGCAATCCAATCCTATCGCTCAGTGAAACGATCAAAGCGACTTTCAAGCAATAACAGCGAGACCAGCAGCGACTGCACCAGCCAATGGCAGAAGACCTCTGACACGATTCAATGAAGTCCATCGCTGCAAAAGCACATCAACGTCCTCAGTCTCTGTGACGGAAAGGTCGTCCTTCTTTGCCTTCTCAGCATACGCCAGCAACTGATTGTTCGTTGTCGTCATGCATGCAATCGTGTAAGGCACAATGCCAATTGTCGTTACCGCCGCTACAGCAAACAAGGGACTGGATCTCAAGCCTACCGCAGTAACTGTACGAAGACTTCGAGACGACCATGCTAGGAAAGCAAGAGAGCCCGCCGACGCAAGTGCGATGGGTGGGTTTTGAGTTTTTCCGAGAGAGAAGTTTTGTTCCCAGATCCTGACCGCGTGGCCGTTGGAGAGTTTGGAGTCGGCTTTGATGTTGGCGACCGCTGGGACAGATACCATCGATAGTGCTGAGATGTTGCCTAATGTTTGGTCAGTTTCTTGAAGCTATAAGAATGCAGAAGTATATCTCCTTACCAGAAAGCCAAGCTGCAGAGCTCAGGCCAAAGATTTTGACAGCAATGTTGATAGCGCTCATTATGGTGGTTGTTGGAATTAATATGGTTGTTGTGATGGTACCGGGTGTTATTGTTGTAGGCTCAAGTCAGCTATATTCCTAGCCGTGAAGATGAAGCTGTGTTGATTATTTGGTTAGGAAGTACAGCACTTGTCATGGCATTATATCTCATGTCCAAACATCTTCGAGGTCGTACAGAAACATAATCCGACGTTCAATAGTCTCCCATCACGAATCAAACTCCGGTCAAGGTGTCGGTAGGCCTTGGGATAAATTGTCATTTGGCGTGACGAGGCGGAGGGTGTTGTCGGGTTTCAAAAGCCGATGGACGCGGTCACGACCATGACGCGGCCTCTCCAATCGTTGACGGGATCAACTGAGACCTACATGGACTTTGCTTACCCCATCCTAGATCCGCCTGTCATCTTTCGGTATGGGGAACACAAACATGGAGAGCGTGCAGAAAATGGTGTTTGCTGCTAAGGAGTGGTGGAAGGTCTTCTTCTGCGGACGCACTGGTCCAGCTTTCCAACGTCCGAGCGCACCGCCTGCTCCTTTCATCGATCCTTGCTAGCAAAACACAGAGTTGCAACCCAAAAATGCAGTTGCTTGTCGAGATTCTCGACCGAGGTGCACACCATCTATGTCCAATGTGCTCGCTCATACCAGGCACGTTATTGACTCAGAAACCTTCTGGCGCAAAACCCAAGCCAGGTCCCTTAAAGCATTAGTAATCATCGCAGGAAAGGCGACCACATGACGGATCACTATTCAGAATAGCAAAACAAATTTGAAGATCGATAATCGGTAAGAACCGTCATTTTCGACTACCTCGACTTTCGCTGTCCTACGTCAGTACATGTTTGTAGTGTTCAGTCGTCTGGTAACCACGCAAGAATGCCTCCCATTGACATTCCCGAGTCTGACCAGACTATTGAAGTATTTGCCATCGACAAGTCTGTCGTCTCTTCATCTTGAAGGTGACACAACTGACTGACGACAAAATAGTGGTACTACCCTAGATGTTCCAGCAGGTACCTTCATCAAACCTGTATACAAAGGATCCGAGCGGTTTCATTATCCAGCCTTCGTCTACCTGCTAAAGCACTCCTCCGGAAACGTCCTATTTGATCTGGGTATCCGCAAGGATTGGACAAATCTTCCGCCGCACAAAGTCGAGGGTGCGCAGAAAAATGGATGGAACATCACTACAGGAGAAAACATTGCCGATATACTGGCGGAGCACGGAGTCGCCATCAAGGCTGTAGTTTGGAGTCATCCTCATCTCGACCATGTGGGAGATATGTCGACCTTCTCCAAAGACACAACACTCGTGACCGGCAGAAGCTTCAAGACTGATTTCATGCCTGGTTACCCGCACAACCCTAGCTCAGGCTTCTGGGACAGCGATGTGAACGGACGGCCAGTACATTCAATCGACTTCGAAGATGGCCTGAAGATTGGCAATTTTGATGCCCATGACTACTTTGGTGACGGTAGCCTCTACCTACTCGATACTCCTGGCCACATGAAGAGCCACATGTGCGGACTCGCGAGGGTGTTGTCCGAACCCTCGAGGTTCGTCTTCATGGGCGGCGATATTGCCCATCATGCAGGACAACTTCGACCTTCCAAGTATCGACCTCTGTCTACGATCAGGCCACAACTTCGAGTAGTGGACTTGGAAAGCGCTAATGGAGCAATTCAGCAGATTGCGGAGGATGAGTCGAGAACGCCTTTCTACCGACCTTCTCCTGGCGTTCATCACGACGTAGAAGCTTTGGAAACATCACTTGATGCCGTGCGAAGATTTGATGCGGATGATAGGGTAATGATTTTGCTAGCTCACGACGAATCACTCCGGCAAAGATTGGATTTCTTTCCGAACAGCCTTAGCAAGTGTTTCGACAAAGCCACCCACGACGAGATCAGATGGGGCTTCCTTGAAGACTTTCAGAAGAAGGCTTGAGACAACCCAACATTTTTTAAATAGTCAACTTGTTCATTCAAAACGTCATCACCCGTAGCGCGCTCGCACAATGTTTCAGATGTTGCGATGTTTCCACCTAAGATTTTCAATCCTACAGCTTACATTTAAGCAAGACTCATAAAAATGACTTCGAGATGTTGCCTCAACGCTTTTCCACGACTGGTGTGAGTGTGTCTCGCAAAAAGAATGAAAAGTGATAGAATCAAACATACAGCAGCAGGGATTCCCACGTGGTCACCCACCGTAGTACTAATCTGCCGTTCAACTGCTTATGTATGGCAGAGCGGACGGGATGCCCAGTTTTCAGCTGACTGTGGCCGTATGTGCTTGACACCGCAATCTTTTACGTACTTGATTCTAGAACAATTTCCCCACTGAGAGAAATTTTGGGCGAGCGTTATCCGCCCTCCCCGTGTGCGAAGCACTGTAACACCTGTAGCTGCTTCAAGGCAAGAACATCTTCGGATCTGGAGCGACGGTACCGGGATACATCTCGTCAACGACTCCCTGTGCTAGATCCTTCGATACGATATATGACTATGCATTGCTTCAGCTACTGTTCTGCTCTGACCATTGAGAGGGGATGGGTGTGACAGTAGTTCGCACACGGGGAGGGCAGGAAAGATCTTGCAGACAGAATCTATAATGGGAACAAACAATAGTAACGATATGACTCCTGACAGTATTGCCATCGGGCTCTCAGGAGCCATTTATTCTCGACAGGGCTTTCTAACCTACAGCCCAGGACCCAACATTGTCAGGAGATAAGTACAAAGGACTCAACTCGACCTGGCCTGGATAGAGGAGCTCGCGAAGGAGACAATGGGCTGCTCTGCTTTTGATTTGCTATTTTGCTGTAACAACCACAACACTCGACTCGACTCGACTCGTCAACTAAGCATCCGCATGACTGCCAGGGTGACTACCGGATTACCCATAATCACATCATGTAAACCATACTTCAAGATCTCTTCCCTGATAATGCCTTTTCCAGTCTTCCACTCAACGATGCTTCCAGCAGGTCCACTGTCAACTCGAGACTTTGACTTTAGCAATTCAAGCTCTTCGAAGCTGATACCAGTTGGCTTTGTAGCACTAACAGCATGCCAGAACAACTGAGGTGTGTGCGTCCACGGAATATCGTAGTCATCTTCTGCATGAATAATCGTGATGCGATACTTGTATCCGTTGATCTCGTTGGCCTTGACGTATGATGCAATACGATCTTTGGTGGACCATTTGTCGTTGATGTATCTGCGTAGATAGTTGAAGAGCATGGGGACTTTCGTCACGGGTCCTACAAGTGGGATAGTACCGGCTACCTTGTACGTTGATACAAGAGTGATTACATCCACGAAAGGAGCAGTCAAAATATGGCCAGCAAACACGACAGGAGGTTCTTGCAAAGCGAAGTGTTCGGCGACGGCCATGTTTACAGCTGTTCCCAGAGATTGACTGTAAATGAGAATTCGAGCCGGTGGGATCTTGGCTACGTTTATAGCCCACTCGACTACCGATAGAGCATCAACGATGAGCCCACTTTCGGATGGAGTACCAGAACTCCTTCCAAAGCCACGATAGTCGAAAGTCAGTACATGAATCCTGTCAGGTCGTCCGGCTGATAGTGCTCGATAGTTGGGGCAACGATATCCTGATCCAACAGTGCCACCAGCACCATGAAAGTGGATGACAAGTATGGCCTCCGGGTCGTCACGAAGCAAATCAAAAGCAAGGTGAGAGGTGATGTCCGGGGAAAGACCTGACGTTTGAGCCAAAAGCCTTTGTTCATGTTTTCGATATGTCTCGATGGGCAGGATATGCCAGGCGTACAGAGCTTCGCCGCTGGCAGACTTGATCCTGAATGGAGTAACCTGATTGTGAAGGAACCCGAAAATCTCAGGGATGTCCAGATCTTTTCCCCAGGTCATCTGAATGGCGTGCAAATATACTACATGAGCTTGGAACCATGCTGTCGTAAGAAGGGCCAAGAGTGTGCAATAAAGCACGCCGATGGAGCCAATTGCGATCGAGCCGTACTTTAGCACCTGCAAAAACATGTCTAGGTATAGGATGGGAAACAGTTCGTGAGAGGGAAATCAGTTGATGAACTGTCAATATTGCCTCAATATTGACAAGACGTGTCCCTACATGTCGCGCCGCGAATAGATTATATATCAGACTCGTGATATGCAGGGTGAACAAAAGGTCTGCAAGTTGGGCGCGTAGAGACCGGGTCACATGGTGGTCCGTGCAGTGGCATGCTGAAGTTCGTCACTCATCTTACCATATCTGTTCACAGCTCATTTGTCGCCATGAGCTAGAAATGGTCGTCCGTACTCTCCTCCATGGCGACGATTGAGTTGCGAATGCACATACACTCTCTGGGCTAAGAGAGACTGTCAAGAGAGTCAATGGGACGGAACGTCTCCCTAGACGTCAATGCCGTATCAGTAGAGCATCATGCTTCGAAGCAGCTGCAAAAGCGCCGTGAATATCAGCTTGTGGGTAGCAAAGGATCTTCGTATCGCCACACCTGTGGTGATACCTTATCGGTAGTTGTACGGGATCTGGCGCCTGAGGGCACCGCCTGGCTTCTGTTGAATCCAGACCTGAACGTGTTCTTGACTGTAGGAAGCCGACCGCTCATCGTCCACGATACAATAATTCAGCATCTCAAAATCGTGATGCCGGACTGTACGTATGCTAATACTGGCATTCCTCTCATTCTGCTTACTTTGATCGCGTTGAGGAGACCACCGAACAGGGGTCTACCTATGTGCAGATGTTAAGCGCCCCAGAGTGTCACCTCAAGCGCTTGACTCTATCTTCGAGTATGCAGCATTCATGCATCTCAATGAACATCGGACGTGCCTCTAGCCGGATGTTGAATGCTGGTTTCCTTACTTTGACGCTCAGATGGCATAGATAATGCATTCGTTGCCTTCAGAAATTGTTCTGTGCCTGTACCACTGACCAGATTATCTTTGAGCAATTTTGGACATGAATAAGACCTCGTCACTCACGACCACTTCCCCAGACCGATCGGAGCTCGTAGGCTGGATACCTGAGACGCCGGGTCGTGGTACGCTGACGTTACTTACCAGTTGCTTAGCCACCGTCATGCTATGCACTTGGATCGTTATCCACCCTCGAATCCATAGAGGCAAGAAACACCGGCTTCTACATAAGATGGTTCTGTGGTTGAAAAACATCTTTGCACCTGAATTTATCGCAGTCGAGGCAGCGCAAGAGTGGACACAAGCTCGGAAGATAGTCAGACAGAGTTCGATAACTACTGAGGGAGAGCTCAGTATTGTCCACGCTTTCTACATCGGTATGTTTGGACTCCAGTACCGAACGTCGCTCGGTACGAAGGTCTTATGGCCCAATCAATTTCTCTGGCTGCTGGAACAAGGTTTGCTCAATTGGAGAGACCACGAAACTTGGGGCCTGTCTCTAAGTGTCATCCAAGACAAGAGTAATTCAGACACTACTGGCAAGCTCTTTGCTGCTTTTCAGGTCACCTGGTTCGTTGCACAATCAATCATGCGGGTGGCTCATGACCTACCACTCTCCCCACTTGAGGCTATGACTCTGAGCTATGTTCCACTCTTCGCTGTGTCATACTTTTATTGGTGGACAAAACCACGAGATATAGAGACGCCTTCGGAGCTCTACCTACCCGAAATGACACCGGAACAAGCAGTTGTTTTTGACGCATTGGCGCTCGACGATCAATTCGACGATGAAGGCACAAGCGAACAACAATCACTCTGGAGCATCTGGTCATTGACACCTCGCTTGTTCGAGAAAGAGGCTTCCGACTTGGCCCATGGACAGGGAAAGGATCAACATTACCTGCAGAGGCTTAGCGAAAGCAATATTCAGTCATCGACAAAGTCAAAATACGCTCGTCTGGACTCGAACAATGCATACCAGGGGCAGCAAACTGTACTCGCAAACTGGGATCCCGAACTATATCGTTCCAAGGTTCTATGGCCTCTCTGTTGCCTTGCTGGTATCTCTTTTCCCTCTCTGCATCTGATCTCGTGGAACTCGAGCTTTCCCACCCTACTCGAGACTTGGCTTTGGCGGACATCGACCATTGCTTCTATGCTTGCTATGCTCTTGTTTATGCAGTTCGAAAGACTTGTAGTCAAGTGGTGTGATCCATGGACTATACTGAAAGTTCTTCTGCCGTGTACGTATATGGTCGGGAGGGTGGTCTTACTTGTAGGCACTTTCGCTGCCATAAGGGCCATGGATCCAGCTGTTTATGAGACGTATGCTGCATCGACGTACTGGCTTCACATCATGTAACACAGTATCAAAGAGAGCAACCGTTGGCTGCTGAAGTACGGAGGAGAGTAGAACGAGGATGTTAGTAGCGCAGGAGATAACTTGACCGACATCAAATCTTGTTGACCGGTGCCTTGATATTAGCGAATCCCGGATGTTTTTGCAACCGTACCTGACAGCTTGGTGTTTCGGACATGCTCGCAACCTAAAGAAAGAATCACACTGCGCTTCTTTTGACTTCTGTGATGTGTGCACTCAGCATGCGAGTTGTACGCGATGTGAGCTCGGTGTATTGTGAGGTCCCGTCTCTTGTTCGAGCGCGAAGGTCGCTATCCACCGGTGGCAATGGCCTGTGACCACACCGAAGACATTACAGCACTTCAAGCTTGTCTTTTTTCAAGTCTTCTCAGACGATCTCTCGTGTTTTGTTCCAAAGAGATGAGCGGCGGAGTTGTGATGACCGAAGTGTGTTGAGATTCGACAGACGATGTGGGGCACCAGAAAAAGTGATCGCGGGCAGAACAGGCTTGACAGGTCGTTTGTGCATGGCGAACTTGGAGAAGACATGACCCTGTGGCAGACGTCGCGAAGGTTCAGGGTATCCTTCAGGGGTTTGCGGATGCCGAAGGTGATGTTGATGCTGATTGAAGCTCGCGGGCAGCTGTCGCAGCCAAGGAAGACGCTTGCGATGCTCGGGACTCTCACTGTAATTGTCGCATGGTCTGGAAGCAGTCACTTGCTGACGGTTTGGAACTTAATTTGGATAGATAGATGGTCGCTGTCATCTCTACTCAGACTGTCAATGACGAAGTGCTTCTCCGCGCTGCTTCGTGGAATCGTCTTTCATGGTCATAACTGTGACAATGCAATATAGTTTTGAGAACGTGAGCAACGTATCGTGGAGCATATCTCCTCGACAAGCCCTCGATGCAGACTAGTGAAAGGATAAGAAGACTGTGCCTTCCCACGGACGTTCCCTGTGAAGGGTCAAGGACGAGAAGGAGAGGGCCACCAACCTCAAATCATGTTGGCGCTACGTCTACTATAGCGGCGACAATGTACGACAGGATCACGAAAGGTATTGCAGGCATGCAATACCCAATTTTCATGAGCAAATGTTGACAAAACACCAAGGAAGCGATGGTACGCACGAAGTAAAGTCGACTGGGAGAAGAAAGAGGAGAGTGAGGGAGAACTACACTTTGGAGACAAGCGACGCTGTACAGGAAGAATCGACCGATTTATGATCACCTCAAGATAGGAAGGAACAAATTTGTTTTCACTTTCGACTTCATCTTCTCTCGGTACATAGTGCCTTGATTTGACTGACACCCTTGAGGACTTCCAAGCCGTCCGCTGAGTCATGAGCTTAGTAAGCAAGGATTGAGCACAGACCGCATCAAGCTGCATAAAACTGTTCGTCGCCTCGCCCTCCTCTTTCTTCTCCCAGTCGACTTTACTTCGTGTGTACCATCGCTTCCTTGGTGTTTTGCCAACATTTGCTAACACCCTTCAAGATAGAATCTTTTTCTTTTAGTTTGTCTTCTTATCTGAACTCTTCAAAAGAGCCACAGAACTCCAACCTGGCGGATGAGATATATCCTCAGTGCCTTAGAGTGATACCAAGTGCTTTTGCTCCGGCTTTAGCGGTGATGATCTCGACCCTTTTGAGCGTCTGGCTTCGGTCGGCTTGACTGGGTAGGCACTGATGGACTTCTGACAGGCTTTCTTCTTTCATTCATTTTTTTCATCAACTTTTGGCTTTATGCTGAGTTTTGGAGAAGAAATTTCACAACAACAATCATCGACCATGCGACGTGACTCGGCTCTGCGGTGGAATGAGCGACAACAAAGGAAGACTTTCATGTCGCCGATTATCAAACAGATTCTGCATGCGAATCCTCATTCTTGGATAGTGACTGGTGAAATCGATATGCTATTCTGGTGTCAATCAGCTTTTTCTAGGCTCTGCACATCCTCATCTACTGGCATCAACAGCTCTGCTTCGAGACCCGTTTGATGTTCATCGCGAGACCTCCATGGGCGGCAAGAACGATCGCGAAGATGGATCGCGCGGGACCTTTCTACATTTGAGACTCTTCGTGCAACCCGACTAAGATATTTGCCCTCCGCATCAGAATCGATTTCGCGTAGCGTCGCTTCAGTTTGCTTCAACACTTACTCGATTTCAAAGCCAGTCTTTGTTCTGATCAGTCTTCTCGCACTATCTATCCTGTCGTCTGCTGTACATACGAGCATGATCGATTCTGAGCAGAATCGGTTTCACGAAGAAGAGCTTCACCCCCAAGACGACGCTCGGCCGAACACTCCGACGTGCTATGCCCTCGATACTTCTCGTGGAGCACGGCTATATGCACAGCCCTGACTGACGCGGCTAGCTGGATTTCTATGCTCTAGCATGCTACGACAGCACTGGTCGATACACGAGTGTCAGTCTTTCGTGACGGAACCGACTTCGAACAGACCTCTTGCTCTGGAGCACAGGTATACATGATACACGCCAACGATCCTGGCACCTTGCCGGTGACGTGGAGAGACAAGTGTGTGATCGTCTGGGTATATATAGCAAGCTCAGCTCTTCCCCTTTGACGTTCCCATCGATCACACAACTTAACTCGCCCTCTATCAAACAACCAATGTCGTCGAGCAGACTCTTGACTACTACCCACCTCCCTGCGAGCTTCAGAAGATTGTCAACGAGACCATCGCGTTCTGTGATCCTCTTGATGGTAAAACTGACGGTGTTATTGCACGATCTGATCTGTGCCATATTTACTTCGACCTCAACTCGACAATCGGCAAGCCTTATCACTGTGCCGCCACTCAAGCTACAAGCCTCGGATTCGGCTTCGGGAGTAAGCACAAGAGACATGTGGGCGGTAGCACCAGTTCGGAGCCAGAACAAAACGGAACTGTCTCTGCTCAAGGTGTCGAACTTGTTCGTACTATCCTCAATGGTCTCCACGACTCCGAGGGACGTCGTGCATACATCAACTACCAGATTGGTGCCTCCTTCGAGGACGCTTCGACTACCTACAACACAAATACCAGCGCTTGGGAGCTCGATATTGCCTCTACCGGCGGCGAATGGATTGCTCGTTTCATCAACTTGGTCGAAGCATCCAACCTTGACATACTTACAAACGTCACATACGACACTGTCAAAGAGTGGATGATTCGAGGCTGGTACATGTACGAAGATGTGCTTCAGACCACAAACCCCGACCTCTCCGCCTACCACAGCGGCGGTGGCAAGATCCTGACGTTCCACGGCGAACAAGATGACTCCATCCCCACTGGCTCCTCTGTCCACTTCTACGAGTCTGTTCGTAACACCATGTATCCCAGTCAGTCTTACAACCACAGCATCGCTACCATGAATGACTGGTACCGTCTCTACATCGTTCCAGGTGCTGCCCACTGCTCCACCAACACTCTGCAGAGCAACGGGCCTTGGCCCCAAACTTCGATGGCACAGATGATCGAATGGGTCGAGAATGGCAATGCCCCTAAGACTTTGAATGCGACTGCCATCTCTGGAAATATGGCGAATTGGCAGCTTTGTAGCTGGCCTCTGCGTCCCATGTACAAGAACAACGGCACTGAAGTTGTTTGTGAGTACGATCAGGTTAGTATCAATACTTGGATGTACGACTTTGATGCGTACAAGTTGCCTTTGTACTAGGTTGTCGACTGTTATGAAGTACCGTGTGGGGCAAGCGGCTGTTATGTGTATCTGCCGGAGGGTTTGGTACAAAGGGAAGGCATTCGCAATGCTACCTCTTCAAGAGTGAGGGTGACAAAATCTCGTACATGCGAGGTAAGAAGAAGAGGTGACCAGGATTGCGGCATGGTATCTTTGCTTCATAGCTGTAGACACGAGTAAACAGATCAGCTTCATGCCGAGTCTCTCCCGTATGCTTTAATGTGTACCTGATCTCGTCTCTCAACCAGATTGGCCTCACGCTTCTCCCATGCAGTCCCGTTTCCCAACATCTCCTCCGGTTGTTCCACCCCTCTCTGCGTGGTATAAGGCGATACCTCATCCAAGCTCTCAATCCTTCCCAGCAACTTTTCAAGATGTCTATACGCAGCACTCGGCGCCCCCTGCGGCAAGAAATGTCCCGCAAGTTCCGTAAGCACAAACGTAAGTCCACGCTCCTCCACCCATCTCCCCATCACTCCAGCGCCCGCCATACTCTCCATCGTATGTTCATGATAAGGCACATAGAATGGTTTACCCGGGTACTCACTAAACCCTTGCACACCATTCCAAGTCAAATTCTGCAGCGTCGCAAGTGTTCCATTTGCGAAAAGCACAAAGTCCAAAGTTCCATGTCCGATGATGACGTTATTAGTTTTCTCGATGACAGTTTTCAAGGGGCCGTCGGGTAGGCCAGAAGGAGGTGAGGTATCGCTTTCTCCTCCCACGAAAGGGTTTTCTTCGCCAGGGAGACAGAATTGCCAGGTTATGTTTTGAGGGGCGTGGATGGCTACCTTGACGTCTGAACGGTTGAAGTAAGGTTCAGAGAAGCCGGGGGGAAGGTAGCTGGAGGAGTAGGAGTAGGGGAGGCCTAGAGTGTCCCAGAGGAGAGGGCATTGTTGGCCTATTTGGTAGATGTCGAAGCAGGGGTTCAGTTCGAAGATTGCGGTAAACAGTATGTCATAGATGTCGCAGTTCTCATAGTCGTAAAGCTCATCGTAGGTTGATGGTGGAGGGGGTAAAGGTCCCTTTGGTGGGAAAGTGAGGGCTGTTTGCATGAAGGCGTCGAGGCCGCAAGAGGCTGAGATGTTGTTGATCTGAGCATTGACCGTGTCGTTGAAGGGGAAGAAGTTGCGATTTTGATTTACAAAGCTGAAGGCAGGTGCTTGTGAGATTACTCCGTCGTAGCCGATAGAGGGGTCGTATACCATAAGACCATTGACGTTGTAGTACTCAGTATTGTTTTGCTGAATCATCGCTGATGCAATGTATGGCGCATACATGCCAGCATAAGACTCGCCAGTAATGTATATCTTGCGTCCCTTCAACTCAAATGTATCCATAAAGTTACGCCAGAAGCCAAGAAATTGATCAGCCACATCGTCTTCGTTGGTCGCGGTTGCGTTTCCAGTACTGAAGCCGGTAGAGATGGGTTGGTCGATCCAGATTATGTTGCTCAAATTTGACCATGAGTAAGTATTTCTCACAGGAGCATAAGTACCAGCAGGCCAAAGCACAGGACCGTTTTCGTGGAAAAGTCCACCAAGAGAAGAACATCCAGGACCCCCGTTGAGCCAGATGACAATCTCATCAGTAGCGGACGGGTTTGTGGTTGGCACGAACCAGAAGAATAAGCTGTCGGTTGAGCTGTTACCAATGCGTAGGGATCCTGCATAGCTCTCCCCAATGTCGAAGTTGACCTCCGGTAGACCAGAACCATTGACGGCGAATGGTGCAGTGGCATTAGTCAAGTATGGATGACTTGAACGTTTTAGCAAAGGTTGATGTTGCTTTTGCTCCTGCTGAGCAGCAAACATCTTGCTGCGTCGTTCATGCTGTATCCTCTCATACTTGACAGATCCCGAACTACGAGCTACAGCCGAAGACGGTAGCAACGAGAGTAATGTTGTGGCCGAACAGGCTAACGATAGAAGATGCATGGCACACAACGTCAGTAGATGTATATTGATTTGACAAGATCAGGATCTAGTCCATCTGATAAGGGAAAGCATCCGGACTTATAGAGAAAAACTCTGAGAGCACATCATCGCGGTTTCCGGTACCGCAGAGCATTCGGCAATGTCGTGCTCCCGATTCATTGACCAGTGAGGTTGACTTTTGATCTGTGGATAGATCCGGAGATCTTCATTTCAACGGGTGTCTCAACTCTGCTGTGCCGAAGACTGGATGTGAGCGTATCCGTACCAAGTCGGCAGTGATGAACGCACTCATAATATGGCAAGTCGGCAGCTCTGAGGCTCAGTCGAGAGTTGTCAAGATTCGAGGACACGATCTTGCGGCCATTGATGGAGATGCCATGGGTCCTCTTCCAAGAGTGGTGTAGAATCTGCTCGGCTAAAATTGCCATGGTTGTCAAAGCTCCAACCACATCAGACCAAGTTTCTATCAGATCCAATAAATTATAAAGCATGCACGCGCGTCTGACAAGTCATTGCTTTGTCATGATACAAACGTGCCATCACTGCATCAATCTGCTGATTAGAGCACCGTCGAGATGCATAAAGCATACTATTGCGTGTTGATCGAGACTGGAGAGCCCGCCAAAGTCACACGCATCCTTCCCAGCTTTTCAAGCTTAAAATGATCTTCAGAAATATACGCAGAGATAGACAATCCACTGCCACGAGTCACGATCTATTCAAGATGTTCTGCTTGTTCTTCGAACCCTCCTAGAAGAGGAGCTCCATGACCAAAAGTCACACGTCTCAGCTACTCACTCCATTGCATGCTAGATCGAGTATGATCCATCAAACACAGAAGTCGAAGTTCTCATATTCAGTAGTACCAAGTACAACATCAATACCATAGACCCTTACCACGACCCCCTCTTCTCCTACAAACCACACTCTTCCAAAAAGTCTTCTCTCGACCACACACCACTCTCACAAAAGCTCCACCCGATTCTTCAACCTCTTCGAACTCCTCAACGCCCTAATCCTATAAGCCTCTTCCTTTTTCCTCCCCCCCCGTCTCTCCCTCCTCTCTTTCCTATCCTCATTCCTCGAGTTCCTTACTTTCACACATTCGGGACACAGACCAACCCTGCAAGGTGCATATGCATCTCCATTTTGCGTTACACTTTCCACTCTTCTGTTCTGAAGTGACCATGCTCCACAGGGGTGAGGACGGGACTCGGCTGCTGGGCAACGGACGGGTTCTTGGACTTTGTGGGCGCAGGTGATGTATTTGACTTTTCGCCATTTGCACATTATTGGGACGGTTGGTTGGTGGGCAGAGAGTCCTTTTTGCTGAATGTGGTTTGATGGGTGGGAGATTTGCTTCATGAGGCGAGAGTATCGTTGCTGGCTTGTTGTGCAAGTCGAGGATGATGGCGAAGTAATTTGACGATGGATGACTGCTTGAAGAAAAAATGCTTGGACGGATGATTACCCAAAGAGATAATAATGGTGATGAGATGAACAGATTCTCGACTCTCAGTCCTCTTCCACAACTGGCAGTCGTTGCTGCCATACCTCATCATGCGAAAGAAATCTTCTCCTCCATGACTTGGGAAAAAGGCAAGAGCAGCCCCCCAAACTCCATCAATTTCCTTCCCATCCCATCCTTTACACATCTTTCCCAAATCACCTCACACAATCTGAACAATATCCCACAACAGCAGGTACATACACAACATCATTCGCCGTAACACTCTGCACACAATTGCTTGCTTGCTCCCAATCTCCACACCGAACCCCTCGTCGTCGTGCTAATCGACATTCCAAAAGATCATTGATTATATGCTTGCAAGCAATGTAGTATACTCTTCGATGTTTGCACATTATTACTTCGAAGCAAATAGTGGATGTTCGCAGAAAGGAGGCTTGTGTCGATGAGAGAAAGCAGTTTTTTTAGAAAGTGGAAATTCTCCGTTCTCGAAAAAATTCTATTGTTTTATTGTTGATGTTGCTCCCTTTCTTCTCCCTTATCTTTTGTCGTGGCTACTGATGTGTAGTACAAAGCTGTCATGCAATTGTTTTTCCCTGAATCTGCGACTTTGCCATGCTCTCGGCCGAAGAGTATTGATGGATATTCGAGGCGGAGCCATCTTCACCCATGGCAAAGTCGGCAAAAAGACAAACAATCGACATGTGTTGTATCGACTTGCTGCAGAAGCAAGACTTGAGATTGTAATGCGAGAAAGAGATGGATACAGAACTCGTCATCATCATATCCAGAACCGACTCAGGAGTGGAGGAAACCTCCTTCTCCTCCTCCTCCTCCTCCTCCTCCTCCTCCAAAAAACAAACATGATGTACCAGATGCATTTTGTAAACCCAGATCTTCAAACTCCTCCCACCAACAAGAAACGCCCCGACAAAACTTGAAGGAAATACGAAAAGTGTGTTCAGTAAGTAACACAACTACCTCCACACAGTTTTAGCCGAGGGCACATCCTTCCTTGCAGCCATACTCTGCGTACGAATAGGAGCCACACGCATACTTCCACCTCCTACATTGCTCTCCCTTGAAACAGCGCGGAGATTGGAAATGCTTTGAGCATTCTTCACCACAGGGGCCGAACGAGGACTCAACACATTAGTCGCCTCGCTTTTCTCGCTCTTAACCATCCGGCGGGCATGACTTGCTGTGAAGAGATTGTTCTCGTTGGATGAATTCGGTGAGCCATTTGCTTGGGCGGCGGGACTACGTCTGCGATGTCTATTCGAGCCGGAGGATACGCGCCTTCGCATGGCAGATTGAATTTGAAGTGCAGAGTCTTGGAGCGATCTTGTCGGATCGTCGTTGTCGGATGCGCTGCTGCCTATATGGTCGTCACTGGCAAATTCTGCGGACTTCTGGAGACGTATTGGTATGGGTGATCTCTTTGGTTGAAATGTGCTGTTAGCTTCAATCTCACGCAGGGGAGACAGATTCTCGGATGCCGCATTTGCAAGACTGGATAATGCTGGCATCACAGGTGATCCACCCTCTTTCTTGAGGAATCCTGCCTGGAAGCGGCTATTTCTCGATCGTAGTTCTGACGACGGCACCGGCGGAGGGGGAATGGGACTGGAGTCGAGGTTGTCTGACTGGTCGCTTGATTGCAAGACGTACTGTGATAAATCCGGAAGAGAAGGCTCATTAAGCGAAGAATCTATGCCTGGCGGTGTAGGCTGAAACTCTTCCAACTTCCCATCTTCAGTATCATCTCGCCATCTTACTCCACGCTTTGTAGTCTTGACTGGCGACTTCTTTTTAGGTGTTCCACCGCCATTAAAAGCCACCGATTTTCTTGGAACTCCCAGCTTTCTCCGCCTAGGTGATGCTGGAGATGGTCCCAGATTAGGAGACTGTCTGAATTGTGGAGGGTTCATGCTTGGGCGCATTTTGGCTTTTATTGGTGAAGGACCCGCAAGATTGATGGCCTTCTTCTTCTTGGGTGTTCCTGACCTTGTCGGCGGTACTGCTTGAGTGATTGCTAGACTGCCGTCTGGCTTGATGACTTGTGAAGTTGCTTCTGTACATGAGTTGAGTAATTTTGTGAGGACGAGTTTTGCTGCTTTGACAGCCTCTTGCTCGTCCATCTGCATAATCTGGCCGAGAATAGCGATGGTTTCGAAGTGTGCTTGTAACAAGACTTGTACAAGTGCGGTGTCTCCAGTCTTTTCTTGATTCAGGACGGCCGATTGTGCTTCCCGTTCTGCTCTACTCCTCAAAACCTCGACTTCCTGCTTCAAGCTCGCAATCGCAGGTGATGACATGGAAGTGGAAGCGTCAACTTCGTGCATTTGACGGATGCCGTTTTGGAGAGCAGTATCCAAAGAGCGCTCCCAACTTGCTTTCGCAAGACGCTGGTGGTAGTGTTGTCTGCTCGCCTCAAGCTCGGCAAGAACCCCTGTGGCAGATTTGCGCATTGATACCAAGCTGGACTGGGGCTCCTCATCCTCGCGATTCTCACATATCTGGTCGAAACTACCGATCCAGGCGGAGACCATGCCGATTCTGCGTTCGATCTGTCGTAAGCGCTTCATGTTGTTGATGTGCTCTTTTCTCTCGTCTGCTGCATGGTCGTATGCTGCACGAATCCTGGCCAGAGCTTCTTTCAGCAATGCACTTCTCTTGTCGTCAACCTTCTTGAATTTCGTAAAGGCGAGTGACTCAAACTCCTTGTGTTGTGCTTGTAGATCCTTGATGAGAGCCATCTGTTCATCAATTTTCTTGAGATAGTCCTTGACGTGGCGGTCGACATTATAGACGTTGCGAACGGCTTTGGTTTGGATATTCTTTGCTCTGTTGGCGTAGCGCAGGGTGTTTTGTGTTTCGTCAAAGTGAACGGAGCTAGGACTGACGCAGACTATCATGACGGTTCTGCAGTTGCCGCCCAGACTGAACTTTAGAAGACGGGTGAGTTTGCTGTTGCGGTATGGTACGTGGTTCTTCTTCTTGGGATCGCACAGAGCGTTGATGCATGAGCCTAGCGATAGCAATGACTTGTTGATGTTGGCGCCCTCGAGCAAGCGCTCGCCGCGGTTCTTTGTCGCCGAAGCTCTTTCCGATCCAGCCAAATCAATGATGGAGAGGGTCGCGAAGGTGGTGGGTTCGGAGTGGCCAGCGTTGCGATCTTTCTGAGCGACGTTGATTTGCAGGACGGCATGAGATCTGGAAGAAGTAGCGTTGGCTTCGGTAGGTGACTGAGTGCGGTTCTCGTTTCCTCGGATGAGCATGTCCATGACCTCGTTGACCTGAATGGAAGTTAGTCTGGGGACCGCAAGGTGGCTGATGGTAATGAATGGCACACACGTTCTGCGGACGATGCGACGTGAGGCCTGCCACCGAAACAGCCTGGTTGGCGTCTTCGCGCAGCATCAAGCCCTGGCCTTTCTTCGTGACCTCGCCGATGGGAATGAGCAGGTCGCGAATCGTCTCGTTGTAGATCTCGAGGTATGAAAGAGTGACTTCTGTCTGCTTCTCCTCCTGCATCTCGACAATCCTCTCAAACATTTCTTGCATGGTCAGGAAGATGATACCCGGCTGCTGAGCAGTACCTCTGGACAAAGTGTCAGTCTGTGCGCCCAGCTTCCCTTCTGGTGGGAACATACGTGATGGTGTGTGTCTTTCCGCAACCTGTAGCACCGTAGGCAAAGACGGTCGCATTGTAGCCGTCAAAGACGCTGTCGAGGAGATTCTTGGTCGTGGCTTCGTAGACTTCGGCTTGTGTGATGTTCTCGTCAAAGACTCGATCGAAGGTAAAGGGCTGGTCTTTTGTTCTTTTCCCACCCATGCCGGGTCGCAATCGTCCTTGGGTTGATGAGTCTTCTGGATCGAAGATCCTAGGAGCTTGTCAGTGACGCTGGACGAGGACTGATCATAATCTAGGCGTACAAGCATTTCTCATCCATGACCTTGATGACAGATCGGATGCCTTTTCCAGCAAGACGGACTGGCGCGGCAGCAAGATTGCCGTCGCCCAAGAAGAGGGGTCCATCATCGACACGGGTCAACTGCGCAGCCTCCCGGATCGTAAAGGGTCGAACGCGAACGGCGACGGTGATGGACGAGGCGCCGTCGATTGCGCCAACTGCCATGTTTGCGTCCTCGGCTTTGTTTTGTTCGTGGTATTCGTAGGTGATGGCCAGGTGGTGCGCAAACAGGACGGCAAGAGAATAGAATTGACAGCCACCAGGGCGTGTCGTTGTATGAATTGGCTAATTCTGTTTGGGCGTGTTGTTTTTGCGCTCAGCTTCGGACTGGTGTAACACAACAAATGCATGTGCTCTTTGTTTGCTCTTTCCCTAATCGGGACGAGCTCCCGCTCAGGGTCCCCGTCATCTCGAGTCCGCAACACCTCCGCCAACACACTAGGTAGCGTTACACAACTGCAGCATCATCAACTGTATTAGTCTTCATGAACATAGTCATACTGATTTGGGCGGTATGCTGCTTGAAGATCTACAGATTTCAAGTGTGTCTGTTTCTTCCTTGACTTGAATCCTTTGGCAGGCTAATCAGCCCTCTCGACATGGTCGAGTCTATGCGTTACCGATTGACCAAGCGACAGTGACATGTTCCGCCTCGACCCTTCTCTTGTCTGTCAGCTCTTCCTTTCTCTCGATGGACAATCCGTCCGTGTCGTGTCTATACCACGAAAAACTGCCTCCAAGAAAACGTTGTTCTGTTTACTAGAGTCAGGCACACGACACATCGTGCGAAGATGGAAGCCTTAAGATGCAAGCCGTACTCCAAGCTTGTAGCATAGCAGCGAGCAGCAATCTCGATTCCCCTCGCAAGAGAGGAGGGTCAAGTACTTGCTTCGTGACAGGCCTGTGCCAACTCTAGGTCTTGCTGATATTCCAGTGCACAGAAAGTTACTACTCAAGTTCATACCTGAACTGGAAGTCCTCTGATGTCAGGACATTGTGAACTCATGGTCGACGTGACCAACGTTGAGAATACAAGAGCTTGCAATGTCACGCCTGACACTACGCATGAGACCTGACGACAGAGAACCAATAACGATATGAGCGGTCGAGAAGCGAAGAGCAGTGTCAAGCAGTATTTACGAGTTTCGTCGACAGGACGATGAGAAAGGACCAGACTGCTACAGGTGTATGAAAACTTGTCACAAGAGCATGTGGGAGAGGGAGAAGAGAGGATTCGCAAGCAGCGATCAATGGTTGTACGGCAATGATAGACATGTCATAGCATGCGCCTCCATTTTAGGATGATCTTGCTCTTTCGAGTCCGAGATAGGCCTTTTGACAAAATTTGGGTCTTTTGTTGGGGGTTCTGTGCTTGGATTACAATACACAAGGGATCTTGCTTGATAAAAGTCCCACCATTCCCTGCGCCAGCCAGCGCCTTTTTGAAAAGAGCTTTCTCCTTCAACCCTTGGCCTGCCTCTTTTGTTGTGATGTCATGAAAGAAGCGAAAGCATTTATCGGACAATACCCTCGAATCTGTTCTTGAACCACTTGACGGTCTCGGCCTGGTTGATGCGGTGAGAGGCACCAACCTTGGTCTTGCAACGGCGGCGACGAGCGACACGCTCACCGGGACGCTCCCTGAGATGGCTGTCAGTATGTGTGTCGAGATGATAGAGTCGAAGGAATATAACTTACATGCAGCAGTAGAAGTCCATACCGTAGATACCGATTCCGGGGTCGTACTTGAGACCGAGATCGATGTGCTCGTTGATACCGAAACCGAAGTTTCCGGTCTCGGAGAAGTTGCGCTTGCGGAGCTCGTACTCCTTGACCTTGAGACCACGCTCGATGATCTCCTCGGCCTTGGGGCCACGGACGGTGACGTGGACAGCGATCTTCTCGTTACGGCGGATACCGAAGGTACGGACAGTGTAGCGGGCCTTGGAGTAGACGGGGGTCTGACCAGACAGCTGCTCGAGAACCTTGGCGGCACGAGTAAGTCTGTCACCAGACTCACCGACCGAAATGTTCAGGACGAGCTTGGAGATGCGGAGCTCGCGCATGGGGTTGCCAGACTTGTCGCTGCCGGCATTGTCGCCAGAGTTCTGGTCAGCCTGCTGGGTGGAGTTCTGTCCGCGTGCCTGCACAGGACGTGTTAGGTTATGTGTTCATCCATTTATGTTTGTTCCACAGGCTAGGGAGAGGGCAGGCCTGCATCTGTCGACGACAACGACGACGACGATTGTGGTCTGTGGGTGTGCGAGTGTCGAGTGGATGTGATGTATGTCCGTCTCTTTTCTTCTTCTTTTCTCTTCATCCGCATCCAAATCGCAGGAGGGCGTTGCGAGCGTCAAGCGCAAGCGTGGCGAGGCGCAAATCGTCGTCGTCGTTGAGGTGGAAGGTGCAGACCATGGCTCCCAGCTACGGAGGCAGGAATTTGCTCACCATTTTGTCGGTATTGGGCGTTTTGATCGATGAATCGTTTGGCGCTGGAGGAGGAAAATCGAGAAAGGCGAGAGATTCGTCCAAACTGTGGGTGGTGTGCGCGCTGGATTAGCGGGGCTTGGCATCGGGACTCGGGAAGCCGCGGTTTCCCCTTCCAAGTGCGACCCTGTCCTCAGCTCTCACAAACCCTGCTCTCAGTCAGGTCAGTTGAAGTGACACGGTCATGATATCTTCAATGAATGTGACCCATCATTGACACAAGTCACGTCTCACAGCTCCACCTGTATGAGGCCTTGGACTTGAGGTGCAGGGCCATGAACGGGCATGTCCGCCGTCAAGTAACCCGTACACGGTACACCCAACGTAAATCAAGTCATTATGGTTTCGGGGTCACTAGTGTTCGTAAGATGCACCTGTTCAAGGGCTCTTCAACCATCATCGGGATAGGATGACTATTCCAAGCCATATCAATCACTGCACGTGAGAGCTGGAGCGGAGTTTGGAAGACTTCTCCGCTCGTCCTCTGTAGCCGATAGCGGGCTTGAGCGTCTCCACCTTTGGAAGCGCGAGTTGAGTTGAGGCAGCCTTGGTCAGCCGGAAGTTGTTCAAGACGCTGTGAAACATCTTTCCTCCAGATCAATACCATAATCACAATTCAAAATGGCGGCAGCAATCAAGGCCCTCAATGCGAAGATTCGCTCAAACCCCTACACCGACTACCTCTGCTCGACCCGTGAGTTATTTCGCTCCGACTCGAGTGCTGCTTTGCGCCGCAATCAAGCACAATCACAGGCGCGATTGCATGCGCTCAACAGTCACTTCAACACATCACTCTCGACTCAGACCTCTTACTAACATGGATTTCCCTATACAGACTTCTGGGGCCCCGCATCCAACTTTGGTATTCCTCTCGCTGCCGTAATGGACACACAAAAGGACCCTGAAATGTAATTCAAGCCCTTCCAACACCTTATCGAGCTGCGCCAATGGGACCTGATACAAGAGCTTGGGACTAACACACATCCGCGACACAGTATCTCTGGATCCATGACCGCTGCTCTCTGCGGCTACTCTGCCACATTCATGCGCTACGCCTTTGCCGTCACCCCCGTAAACTACCTCCTCTTTGGCTGTCACTTTGTCAACTTTGGCGCACAAGTGACTCAGGGATACAGATACCTCAACTACTGGAAGTATGTCATTCAACCATCGCCCGGACCATTTCCGTTGTCAATACTGACAACCCCTTTCCTAGCTTCGGTGGTAGAGAGTTGAAGCAAAAGGCCACACAGGAGGCTTCTCACATTGCCGATCAGGCCAAGGCCGCCGCTGCAAAGGTCGAGTCCAAGGCCAAGGAGGTCGCCAACAAGGTCACCAGCTCATAAACAATACCAACATCTTGTTCATGGAATTCACTTCCAGCACACACTAAAGTCCTCGAGCACGTGATTGATGCATTGGATACCACACGCACCACGCGACCAGACCTTGTCAGGGCTAACAAGTCGGGCCATGAGGTCGAAGAAGAGCTTTGCACGTATATCTGGGGACGGCTATTCCATGGTTACGCTGCCAAATGTCCATAATCGTTTCATAATGAATGAATCTTTTCCAAACATCAACTTTACTGCTTCATCAGACTACGCTTTACTAATCTCCTGAATACGATTGTCACAGGACCATCCTGTTGATAGTTTAGAGTCTATATTGAGGGGCAATGCATTTCTTCCTACAGTCTTGGTCTCTACTACTGGAGAAGTGTGATCAAAACGCTACTCCGTACTTCTTGCTCTGAGAAGCCGAAGTCCAGAGACTCGACACCCCAATGATTCGAGAGATCAGAGGGATCCTGCAGAAAAAGATGCATTAATAAGTTATTCCAAACACTTCCGGCTCGAAAGCCATTAGAGATGCTTGGATGTTCGTTCTTGCCCGGCGGCCGGCGAGCTGGATGAATTGGGCAGGTGCTCTTGCCGATCACGTCATCGTATCCAGAGTCCCATCTCTCGCTCCAAGAATCTGGTGAATTGTCCATCTCAATCACAAACACCATCGCAATGCACTTCTCAGCACTTGTTGTCGCCTCATTGGCGTCTGCTTGCCTTGCAGCGCCTAGTCTTGCCGCAGACCAGCAGCCAATCGGTGCTTCGGAGCACAACAGCATCGGCTCATCATGGAGCAAGGAATTGATCTCGCTTCACCGTCACCTCATCTCCACTGAGTCAATCAGTGGCAATGAGTATGATGTTGGAAAGTGGTTGTCTAAGCACTTGAAGCATGAAGGCTGGGCCATTGAGACGCAAATGGTCAACGGTGACAAGTCTCGTCTCAACATTCTTGCCTACCCGGGCAAGGTGCGCAACGCAGACTTGTTGATTTCGAGCCACATCGACACTGTTCCTCCTTTCTATCCTTATAAGATACAGTCCAACGACTCCGAGACTATCATCTCGGGACGTGGAAGTGTGGATGCCAAAGCTTCTGTTGCTGCTCAGATCATCGCTACCAAGAAACTTCTGGCTGAGAAGAAGCTGAAACCTGATGATGTTGCTCTGCTATATGTCGTTGGCGAAGAGGTTCATGGCGATGGTATGCGCGCCGCCAATGCGCTCAAATTGACACCCAAGACAATCATCTTCGGTGAGCCGACTGAGGGCAAGCTTGCAACGTGAGTGCCATACGATGCCTCTGAGCAAGGACTCAAAACTGACATATGCTTCAACAGTGGTCACAAGGGAATGCTTGGTTTCACGCTGAATGCTTTTGGCAAGGCCGCACACAGTGGTTACCCATGGCTCGGCCGTAGTGCCAACGAGGTGCTCGTAAAGGCACTCACTGCATTGATGCAGCTCAGTCTCGAGCTGCCTAAGAGCGAGAAGTACGGATTCACCACCATCAACCTTGGCAAAATCGAAGGTGGAGTGGCAGGCAATGTCGTCGCTCAAAACGCCAGTGCCCAAATTGCCATCAGAATTGCAGCAGGAACACCAGATGAAATTGGCAAGCGCGTCCAGGAAGTTATCAAGGCCGCAACCAACGAATTCAAGACCCCCGGCCATGAGGACGAAGAAATGTTTGAAATCGTATTTGCAGGCAAGGGTTACGCTCCTGTCGACATCGATCACGACGTCGAAGGCTTTGGCACAATCACTGTCAATTACGGCACCGATATCCCCAACCTTGACAAGCTCGATGGACAAAAGAGATATCTATATGGGCCTGGAAGCATTCTCGTTGCTCACTCCGATCACGAGGCTATCACGCTCAGCGATCTGGAAACCGCCGTGAAAGACTACGAAAAGCTAATTTTGCATAGCTTGTCATAGAGTTTAAGGATGAGGTAGCTGGGGCTTGAGCCTCTGTAAGGTGTCATTTTTGCATGAGCTGGTCCGTTGGAGCGAGCTGTATCAACATGTAGATATTATCGAGATGGGATATTTGCTGGAGCCGGCGTCCGCGGACCAGAATTGAAAGTCATTTCTGCAGACATCTCATATGAAAGAAGGAACGAGTGTGTGATGGGAGAGGAGAATGCGACATGACTAGAAGAAACACCGAGACGCCAGGGTGTATAAGAAAATAGCACCGTGTTTCGCGATACGCAAACCTAATCTCGAGTCGACTTGCGAACGTACGTAGGGCTAGCAAAAGAGCTTTTCACATCTTCCAAGACTCTCCCAAGAAATAGATCGGGGGACAAGACGAAAACATACGGAAGAGACGGATGTGCCGGCAAAGAAGTACTTTATCGTATTTCGGTGAGCATTCCAGCGGTGGGGTAGATGCGGTGGTTGAGATAGGGACACGACAGACATTCATGCAAGGCAACAAGGCATGCCAGGTTTTGCAGCCTCAGGGACGTAATTTGACCAAGTTTTGGGTCGGTAAAAGTAGCTTGGTAGGATGTTGACGTTACGATTTTAGGTTGTTCTGCAGGTGTGAGAACGCGCGTCTTCCTTTGCCAATCTTGAAGCCAAGATTTCAAATGCTTAGCATGAGCATGTGTGTCAGACTAGCGCGCAGTCGCAAGGTTTCGGCATGCTGATGAACCACTCACAAGACAAACAAGGGACCGAGGGCCAGCAACGGGCGTGGTAGGCGAGTCGTTTGGTGGTCGCGTAGCGCCATTCCCGCCATCAGGCCCTACGTAAGCATCGTATCGTGTCCATGGCGATTGCGAAACGAGATTGAGGGCGATCGAGTCTTTTCTGCAAACAGCATGCCTGCTGTTCAAATAAGGTAGCCAGCATAGCCACACTCTTGAACAAGCAGCAGCGATCGGTATCTTTAGAAACAAGGTGCAAACTGGTCGAGCGTTCTCCGCAATATCACATGCGTGTCGACTGAATCGATCTTGTTTATCGCCGACATGAGTCGACTGCACAGCGGTGCCCACGAGAAGGGAGACGACGCGCCCGAGCCCATCCACCTCGATGCCGACCGTCAGTCATCCACAGCAGACAGTCATGACGCGGAGAAGCAGGGTCTGGTGAATGGAAATGCGCACCACGACAACTCACACGCCGAGCGCGCTCAGCAAAAGGAGGAAGCCCAAGCGAACAGCGACGAGGCCAAAGCAGAAGGCTCGACGGACGGCGAACCTGCAGGAGGCTACGATGCGACACCAGTACCGCGAGCGCCGCCAGGGTGGACCGTCAAGATCACCTTCCACCGCGCGACGAATCTGCCCATGGCCGACGTCAACTCGCTGTCATCGGACCCCTTCGTGCTAGCCCAGATCAACACTGCGATGCCAAAGCGTCATAAGGAAGACCCTTTGCTACGCATGCGCACCCCCACCATCCGTCGCAACACCGACCCTGAGTGGAACTTTGACTGGATTGTCGGCAACATCCCGTCGTCGGGCTTCAAGCTCAAGGCTCGCGTTTACGATGAGGACCCGAATGACCATGATGATAGACTGGGCAATGTTCACATTTCGATCCATGACATCAACGAGAACTGGCCTGGAATTGAAGAGCAGCCATATAAGATTATGAAGCGCTCGGGTAGCAAGCGAGCCTATGCCATTCGCGCTGTCGCTGCCTGTATGAGCAAGGCCAAGTCCATGCACGGCGACCTCTACGTCAGTATCAAACTGCTCGGTCGCACTGATATCGACAACGGCGGCCACGTCTTTACTATTGGCCCTTCATGGTGGATCAAGCATCAAGCTCCCATGCTCGGGCGTCTCGCCGGCCGCAAAGAGCCCACTGGAGGCGCTACCGAGTCCGAAAAGGAAAAGAACAAGACCGAACGCTACAACTTCCAGGCCAACCAGATCCAATTCCGCGGTCCTGTGCCTGATGGCCTTTACCACCGCTACGTCGAGTTCCGTCCTTTTGTCAAGGCCATGTTTACCTCCACCGGCGTCCGCGGCTTCGTCCTGTCGAAAGCCCTGCACCACCAACACGCTCGAGTCTACAATTTCGACCGCACAACAAAATGGGGTCACTTCCCCCAAGGTCCCTGCAAAGAAATGACACAAGCCTTCCTCGACCTCGTCCACTACGACGAAGGCGGCCGCATCTTCACCTACGTCCTCTCCCTCGACTCGCTCTTCCGCTTTACAGAAACCGGAAAGGAGTTTGGAATCGACATGTTGAGTAAACACACCATGCACAGCGACGTCAGCGTGTACATTGCCTTTTCTGGCGAGTTCTTCATCCGAAGACTGAAATACAAGAACAAGCCTCCACCACCAGATGCAGCAGATTCTGGCAGTGCGGGCAGTGAGAATGGCGACTCTGCACATACTGACGGTGCGAATGAATCACATCCCCCTCACGACCTCGACAATGGCCCTCCAAACGACGAACCGCCAAAAGATCCCGCTCACTACCAACTCGTCATTGACAACGACAGTGGCACATACCGCCCCAATGCCAAGATGCTACCTCTGCTCAAAAAATACCTCGCCGCCAACCTCCCAGGTCTACACATCCAGACCCTCGACTGCCAAGCCGACGAGCAGAAGATGAATCGCATGAAAAAGGCACAACGCGACAAGAAAAAGAAAGAAGGTGATCAGATCGTCTATGCACAGGCCGGTAGCGACGCGAGTAGTATTAGCAGTTCTGATGAGGAACAATTGGATGCTCTTGCAGAAGCTGCAGGAGAGGAAGATGCAGCTGGCGGTGGTGCAACAGGGCTTGCGCATCAATTGAAGCAGGATGCTGGCTTCAAGGGGAAAGCGAGGTTGGATCATTGGAAGCATAATTTACCTGGGCAGGCTAGAGATTGATCTCCAGAGGAGATGGGAGGATAGGTTGTAATGGTGTGTGAAAGAGAAAGAGCGCGGGATCGCTCTGATTGGTGGTGGTGAGAGAAAGCGGTCGATATTAATGTGTTTTTGTTTTCCTCGTTTCTTGTATTTTTCTCTGTCATTGATTCCTTGACATGACGAGAAAGTCTTTATGACACTGCGCTTTATACCTAACACTCCCCTGTAGTTTCGAGGTTTTTCCGGAACATAATACTGTGCTTTATTCTTTACTCTGTTTACATTTCTTCATCCTATACTGTCTTGGTTCTTTTAAGGGAATTTCTCGATGACTTGTTTTTTTTTTGACACTCTCAGCATGTAATCGCTTGCCGGGCCGGGTGTGTTATCTGCATGATACGGCTTGTCTTGGTCGCGTCGTGGGATGCATCAAGTACGTCATTTGGTATGACAATTTTTCGAAGCTTTATTTCATTGACTGGGAGTACGTCTCTAGAAATGTCTCTTGCTAATCGCCCTTTTCCCCGGCTTGTTGGCAGATGTATAGATATGGCTGATGTACTATACGTATCAGATACCATCGGAGTGTCATACACAACTATGCCTGGAACAAGTTATTAGTCGTGATATCGTGAGGTTCCAAGGTCGGGTTCTAGATCTGCGATATCAAGAATAGAAAATCATGTCTTCGAAGCCAAAACAGCATTGAATCATTCCCTTAAGCTTACAGCCTCTTCTATATAATATTTAGAGTATCTAACTCAGATATCAATCACTATATCTCTAATATTCCTCGTGGTAGAAAGGAATATGTGTTTGCAAGGCTTGCTCAAGGTACAACCCTGACCGTGTTTCGACGCACGACGCTTTGTCATTGGCATGGCAACGTACATCGTCTGCTGCTCTGCTACCTACTTCCATCACATGGGATAGGGGTTCCCATTTCATTAGGCCTTTCCGGTTTTGCGTCAACTCTTGCATTTTTGAGGTATTTCGCTTATGTGAGGGAAGCGAGTGATTAGGAAGTGTGTGTTCGGGAAATGTTGGTGCATCTGTTCGATATCACCGTGAAAGCTTCATTGAAGAGCATACTATGCTTCGTATACCGTAAACACAAAGTCAAGTGTGATCAATGAATGGTCTAGATATCTTTCTAGTCTCGCACTGCTCTCAAACGTCAGCTCGAGCAGTTTTTTCCCCGTAAATATGCATCTGTTGCCGGACAGGTGGCTATGTACCCTCAAATCTGGGTTGTCTTTGAGAGGTCTGAGGCCAACCTTATTGCCGTAGAAGCCTTGTCTTACTGTTTGACAAGAATCCTCACAGACCATGATTGCACTCCTGGTGTGGCCGCGCGGACTCAGCTGCTGAAGATAGCACAGACTATCGAAAGAGCGCATCTTTGTACCAAGTACCTTGCAGAATGTGTCCAGCGTACGATCCAGTCATGCTCGAGGGTGCAATTTGGGTGCTCAAAAGTCAATTGAGAGACTGAACCTTGCGAAGTGCAGCTGTATGTTGCGACCTCGACAAATTCACCCAGTCTTGTTTTTTGAGGCGGTGTTTTGGTTTCGATGACTATGCAAGGGTCAGGCGCTAGCAGGACGCAAGAAGGGCATTGAAAGGCACGTGGAACAGATGCTCAAGAGGTCAACTTGTCGCGCATCGGGTCGAGGACCGGGGCTAAGCAATCGTGCAGGGAGAAACATACCAAGACCTTGCACCGCACTTGACAGAACGCTTGATTGAAATTTTGATACAAGCATCCGGAGACTAGATTTCAGCCCAGGTCAATTGTCCTGCATCTTTCTAGTCCAGATACGTATTAGTGAGTCGGACGCTTCGAGCCTCCTCACCACATCGTGATCAATAAATCGAATCCGGGGAAGCTACACTTGCAGAGTGAAAGTCGGGTGGACGAGAGCTGATGATCCAGCCTCAAGTCCCGTGTCTCACCCATGGGGACGGCAGACAACGCGCTAAGGTTGCACGACAGCCGGTCGCGTCGCGGGGTGAGTCCACTCTAACGACATCGTCGTTCGAACGCGATTTTGGCTTGGAAACGAACGGGTGTTGTTGGGTTTGTTGTTGTCGCAGTCGTCGAAGAAATTTGGCTGCTTGCTCTACATCATTACAGGTCTCCTGCAGGAACAGAAAGCGAACCAGCAGGGACGTTCCAGCCGCAAATGAGACTACCCATGGGCGGTCAGCTTATGATGCGAGCCATTCTCGGACGAGATTTTGCCGAGTCCGAGCTGGAAGAATCACGCTCTTGTCCAACACGGTCTCCTTCTACGCCAGGTACCGAGGTACTCCTTACACTAAGGTTTTGATCCTTCGAATCGACAAGTCCCCTCGAGCCCCTTCAAAGCCCGTCAAGCCCATAAAATCTTCAGCTGATGTCCATATCTCTATGGCGCAAATGGTGAGTTTTACCTTCAAGCCGCTCGCAAGGGCATTTTCTAGTGCTCGATGCAGCCGAGATCTTTTCTATACCAGAGTCTAGATGAGGGAGCACTGTGGTATATAAGGTGGGCAATCTTCAGCAGATACCTCTCAGAATCACACTCATCTTCCGTTCCAATCCAATCTCATCCAGGATCAAAAAGATGCGTTTCTTATCCTATGCTCTACCTGCTTTAGCGGCCAATTTGGCTGCTGCTTTGCCTCGTCCCCAGGACATCGATCTTGATATGGTCTTGGCCGCACCAGACCCGACTTTCACTCAAGATCCCACTGCAACGGCACAGATTGTGGCCATCGACACCGCTGCTGTCGTCGCCGAGGCCACAGCTGCTGTCTCTTCGGTCAGCATCGAGATTAGTGATGTTCTTTCGGCAACCGCAGTCGTCTCTAACCTCAAGAGAGCTGCTGCCACCACTTGTGCGCCTCAACCCGCCGGAGCAACGTCTGCTCCCACATACGCCCCTGGCCCAGACACCGACAATGCTTCTGCATTTCTTGCGAACCCTTACTATGCTTCTGTTGCCTCCGTCGCAGCTGCGCCGTCTGGCTACACCCGATCATTCGTTGCCCAGCAAGGTTCCAACAACGCGTAAGCCTCAATGTCCTCTTCTAGAGAAAATCGGCTGACGAAGACCAGCTTCGGCTACCTAGGATTCTCGACTCTCGACGACTATGATGTTTCCAAATGTCTCAGTCGCTGCTCTGCCGTAGATGGCTGCGTCTCAGTCAACATTTACTTCGAGCGCGACCCTTCCGGTACGTCACTCATTGTTTGATTCAAGACGCATACTGACTTCAACATCTCAGTCGACCCCAATGATGCAGGCTGCCCCAATCCAGCCTCGGTCACCATGATCAAGTGTGTCTACTGGGCGTCTGCGGTCACCGGAGATACGGCCGTGAACGTCGGTCAGCCTCGTAGCAAGTTCGTTGTTGCGATTGCTGGGTCCAACGGCTACGTCAGCAACCAGATCGCCACGCCAGATGGCTTCCAGGCCGGCGTCCCTTATGGCAAATTCGCTATCAACGCGCCTTACGATGCTCAGGGCTACAACACCTTTATGGGATCTAAGATCTTCACCACAACCTGGGATGTAAGCTCTTGCTCTAAATACTGCGACGCTCAGACTGCATACAACAAGGCCACTGCCCCTAAGGACGGCACTCCCTACAAGGTCTGCAATTTCTTCAATACCTACGTCTTGACCGCACACAAGGCCGATGGATCTGTTGTCCCTCAGGGACAGTACTGTGCTCTGTACACCGAGGCTTGGGACAAGAGCTACGCAGTCAACGGCGGGCAATTCAGAGGAAAGGATCAATACCTTGTCTCGTACAGCTTCGGATATCCGAAGTCAAACCCCGGCATCAGCCCTACTGTCGGCGATTCGCAGGGTGCCGCTTATCAAGCTGTTGCTGATATCAAGTGGTCTTCTCTGCAGCCTTTCTGCAGCACACTCCTTGGCTACTCAATTCCCGTGAGTAGCGTCACTGCGGTGTCGACCACTACCACTGTTACCACTGTTCAGGGAAGAAACACAGTCACTCCTACAACGAATCTTCCTTACATTTACAAGAGAGCTGCCCAAACTACTCCGGCTGGGCTTTCAAAGTATCAGCCGTCTGTTCTCTCTAGCGCCTGCAGTATGGTGGTCACCAGCCCTACTGTTACCTCTACCACCACTGCAGCTACTTCGGTTACGACCACAGTCAGCACCGCCACCGTAGCAGCACCTCCAGTTGCAACTGCTTGTGTGCTCAACCCCAATGACGCTTACTCTGAACAATGCGCAGATGGATCATCGTGCTCCATGCCTGCAACTTGTTTCCTCCAGCCTGATGTTGACAGCTGCTTCAGTGGTTATGGCATTGACGCAGGTATCTACTATTCCATCAACCACCAGTGCGAGTTATACTATGATTGCTGTGGTAATAACGGCGGTTCGCAACACAAGCTCAAGGCCAGAGATACAGACACAATCTTCACCAACGAGTCCGTTCCTGTCATCCCTGGTGCGATCGTCAAGATCCAACCAGGAGTTTCGGTTAAGCTTCCCAACTTGTCTTCTTAGACTTGATAATTTCGTATTTTGCTCGATTTCTGGAAATTCTTGTTTCCGACAGAGGAGTCTACAGAAGTCTTTTTTTTTTTTAAATAGTCTATTAAGCAATATTTTCTTACCTATTTCTACACATCTATTGGAAAAGCTGTCAAAGTGTTCCAAGGACCGATTGACATGACCATATCTTGAGGCTATCGCATTAACAAAATTGCACAAGTATAAGAAGGACTAGGCCACATGACAATTATATTATATGGCTTGATAATCACTTATACCTAACCTAACAAACCAATATCTCATAGCTTACACTTTCCTAGAAGTTGTTGGCTATTTGGTAGAAAATGTAAAAATTATCTATTGACTTTGTAGTAAACCAATAGGTGACCGTCGTCTTAATCAGATCGGTGTACAATTTCATCAGACCTTCCATCCATGTCAAGTCTCGTGGCTTTGGGGTACATTGAAGAAATAATCGGATTGTAAATAATACAGGTATCTTTTATTGCATGAAGAAACACTCATCTCCTCGCAACACGAAAGCACCAACCCAAAATTCGAACCATGCAGAATGCCATTTCCATATCGCTCCTTCTGTACTTATGAGTAGCTTTCTACTCTTCATCCTCCATATCGTCTCCAGCCTCGATGAACACCAATCTAGTGCCCTCGGCAGCGGTCTGCCAAATCTGTAAAACATCGTCAGCATCAAGATCATCCAATAAGCATGAGTAAAGGAAACACTCACATCAAGATCAGAATACTCATCCAAACAAGCCTCCAATTGCTGAAGCGTGAAGCCCTTCGCAAGAACTCTTTCCCTCACACGACGCAGATCAAGTTCTCCACGTCCCTCACCAGTAGCAGCAGCACCACTCTCACGCATACCTCGCACAAGGTTAAAGATACGAGAGCTCGCACTCATATCTCCACGACGACTGCGATCGTCATCATAAAGTGACGCTTTACTGACTTCGGTAAGACGAAGAGCTTCATCTACATCATCTGTGATGACCTCTTCTGCAAATCTCAGACGTGCAAGTGCTTGTGATAATCTCATGACACCAAGCAGTGTACGTGGTGAGGTATGTGTGAATGTCTTTTTCGCACTTTCGTCCCTCTTCTGTTGTTGGCGCAGACGCACGTAAGCGCCGACCAGGTACTCAGAGACGACCTTGGGGATTGTGGGGCGGAAAGAGCGGGCGCGAGCGACCCACTGACGGACCTCGTTGGGCGAGAAGATGAGACCGCCGCCTGCAGGTTCGGGATGAGCGTTGTGGATATGCACATAAGTGACATGGCGAGCGAGATCTTCGTCCGCGTCACGAGAAGGTGTATCAAGAATAAGGAAGAGAATGTCGAATCTACTCAGCAGAGCAGCTGGTAAATTGATGTTTTCGACGGGGGAGATGCGAGGGTTGTAGCGACCGTATAGCGGGTTAGCGGCTGCGAGAATGGAAGTGCGTGCATTGAGGGTTGTGGTGATGCCGGCTTTGGAGATGGAAATGGTTTGTTGTTCCATGACTTCGTGGATGGCTGTGCGATCACTGTCGTCCATCTTGTCGAATTCATCGATGCAGCAGGTACCGTTGTCTGCGAGGACAAGGGCACCTCCTTCGAGAACCATCTCGTCTGTTACGGGATCTCTCATGACTGCAGCAGTGAGACCAACACCACTTGAACCACGACCTGTTGTGTAGACACCACGTGGTGCGACCTTGGTGATGTACTTTAGCAATTGCGATTTGGCAACACCGGGATCACCCATCAAGCAGACGTTGATGTCACCACGAATGCGCATACCATCGCCCATCTCTTTCGTCACACCTCCAATCAGTTGCAAGAGAAGGGCCTTTTTGACATCGAGATGGCCGAAAATTTCAGGAGCGATAGACCTGCTGAGGTACTCGTAGAGTTGACCCGACTGTTCCAAATCGGCCATACGACGGACGGTGCTAGGAGCAAGGACCATTGACTCATATGCTTTCTTGTGTTGGTGTACGTATTGCGCCTCGAGGTAGGTGTCTGTCAAGAGACCGGCCTTGATAGCTTTGAAACCGGTATACGGTGTAGGAAGGAAGATACCAGCAACGTCAACAACATCACCAGGGTTGATTTGGCGGGCCAGAGAGCCGTGACAATAGATGGTCAATTGACGAGGGATATGGCCAACAGGGACTTGATCCGACATTTCCTGGATCTTGACTTCCTGGAAAGCCAGGAACTTTGAAGCGCGAGTTGAATGCAAGAGCTGGCCCTTGACGTTGTTCTTCTGGCAAGCATCCGAGGGACATTGTACCATGGGCGTGTACTGCTTTGTCGTGACGGGCTGGAAGACTTCCTGACCACAACGATCGCAAGAGTATGCGTTGACCAGGACAGCGGGCTTGACGTCCGACACTCTGATTGCAATACCACGAACAGTGATAAGGTGGCCCAGATGTTCGCCGCGCACTTGACGAACTGCCATTGCTTTGCTGCTCTTTCCATCGCTTGACCCCGAGGGGGTGACGGGCTTGAAGTTGAGCGTGTAGCGGCGGGTGAGGGCGGGAGGGAAGAAGGAGTCGGGGGCGTTGTTGTCGATGGCGTCTTCGAGGGCTTGTTGCATGACACGGTTCGCGTTCTGTCTCTGAGTGAGAATCACATCAATGACATCGTCCTTGAAATTGACGTCGGTGTTGGCTTGTGGCATGAGCTTGTCGACGGCGCGCGAGAAAATGTCAATGTAGTGGTGTGCATTGCGCTCGATTGAAGACACCAGCTTCAGTGATGCGCCGCCGTCTTCTAGCGCGTTCTCGTATTGCTTCAAGTCGTCCAAGTCGATCAGGATATTGTCGGCCTGCCTGTCTGCTATGCGCTGCAAGCGGTCCATGTACTTTGTTTTTGACCGTCTTTGTTGTGCAGCTCCGTCTGCCCTCTCATCCATGAGATCGTATTCATCATTGTCATTGTCGTTGATATTCAATTCGTCCAGCGCATCCTCGGCCTCGGTCGATGATGATTTATATGAGCGCAAAAAGTCCTCGAAAGCAGCTGTTCGACTTGTTCAGTGCTTTGTTTGCGTAGGGGTCCTGGGTCAAAACAAACCTTGCTGCTCCTCGTAATTGATCAGAGAGGGGTATGTAAGGAGCGCCATGACTGTTTCTGATCTCCTCTAGTCTACAATTGTCCGACACACGGCAGCTTGCTTGGAAAAGATTGATGGGTTGTGGGTATGACGGGTCTGGTGGCAGGGAGTGGGACTTGGATGCGAAAGCTAACAACGCGAAGCCAATCCACCGACGCGAATTTACGCGCGAATGATTGGCTTGGCGCGCGAGACCGAGAGAGCATCCACTCTGCCAACCTCTGGACCCAGGCCTTTATAGCAACAAGTCTATTCCCCGTCTATGTACCCCCCGACTCCATCGGTACCCTCGACTCCATCGCATGACTGCCGGCTCGGCTGACTCCAGAAATCTCTCACATCCTAGTGTATAAAGCTCGGCGCGACTTCCAGCTCATTGAACACGCGGCCAGCATGTCATATCGAGCAATTGTGCCTTCTTGACGTAGGCAGCCAAGCACTTGCTTGCTCCAGCCACGATCTAATCATGTCGCCGAGCTGATTGAGTGGGTATGCTATGTACAAGGGCCGTCTCAAGAAGAGGCACATGCTTGACTAGTTACTCAATCAGACTCTGTGCCTCCCGACCACTCTTTGTACCATCATATCGCTCTGCTGTGAACTTCTGCTGCTGCTATGCCGTGTGATAAGAAGACCCCGCTCCATTGGTACGACTCGCAGTAGGCTTCACATGCCTACAAACCCAGCCTTCTGAGACCTTCGCCTGGTACTGCTGCTGTTAATCTAGAACAAGCCGAAACGCAACGTCGCCACGAAAGGTGTTGCAGACTAGTATTTGTCCATCTGCCCGGTATACCGTTATATCAAACATCTGCCGTCATATGCATAACCATGCCTTTGGGAAGCCGGGCCCTAGATATGACGGTTGTGATGTGAGGGGCTGGTGACCGGATGCAAAGCATCCCCACCCCGAATCAAAATTTGTTTGCATCATGTTAGCAACCTTCTTCGTGCTCCATGCAAGTCAAGCATTTTGTCATCGCATGTCGGACGGCACCGCCATTCGACCATATCGAGATCGCGTCAATCCATGTGGCTAGCCGAAGTGGCTGTGCTCCGTCATCTCACCTTGATTGCGGACTGCTCCCCCTCCTTCCAAACCTGCTGGCGAGCCACGCACGCCACAGATCTCTCAAGTCGTCATTCGTGAATCGCGCCAAATCCGAAATTGCAGACGAAGAAAAGAACGAGACCCATGTAGTTTCTCTGGCTTGTGCTCTCACCTGTCAGGTAAAGTCAAGAGTCAGGGTTTTCGTTCCCAGCCTTCTTTGACAGCAAGTAATGCCATTAGGCGGCCCGGAGTCGGCTGGCTGTCGGCTTGCTCGTGTGAAAAATGCATCGTGACTTGTCCACTCTGGTCTTGCATGCAGCATGAGAAGTATCGAGCACCGGATGGAGATGGGATCTAACGGGCGGGCAGATAGAACGGGGTTAAGTGTTACAGAAGTCAGAGACAAGCCTGATTGGCCAAATGACATGCATGAATTAGAGGTAGCTAAACACGAAATCCGGATCTTGAGGCTGAGGTCAACAGGTCCGTGAAACGAATCCTTGCCGTCCATCGCTCCTGACAACCCACTCTCCCAGCCACTTGTGGTTTGCGCTTGGACACAGGCCATCCAGCGCAACCCCTACAGCAAAGAACGACATGGTTTTCTTCTCTTAAACTCTCCTTCCCCTCTTCTGCAATTCCCTGCACACTACCTGCCATTCTGTTCTCAGCTTGCAACGGCCTCCAACCGACATCACATTCGTTAACAGTTCCTATTCGTCGGGACCTGAGCCGCTGTGGTTGTGGCTGTGCCGTTTGCAACTACACCGTTTTATTCTCCCCCTTCTACCCACCATCTTCTCACTCTGCAATCGTGCGTAATCTACCCCTCGCCGTTGATTAAACATTGACATGTTCAAGACTCCTTCGTAAGTACCGAGTCGTTCCTGCTTGTCTAGATGCTTGGTGTTGATGTATCTGCAGCTTCAGGTCTTTTAATAGACCGAACGGACGCCGTAATTCACAAAGCGCTAAGAGTCCGTGATATCCATCCTCGATCTTGCTAGCAACGAATATTGACCATTCTCATAGACAACGAAGATTCCCCGACTCTGGATACAATGTTTTCTCAAGAGCCGCAGTCTTCTGGCAACACCTTCTCTCAACGTCTGGCGAGACCACGAACAAAGCATAGCACTGATGGTCTGGGCAAAGCTGAAACGAGGTCCACAAGGATGACTCCGATCAACACTACCAATGATTACACCGAAGACGCCCGAGTCTCATTATCCAACGATTCGCCATTGAGCTTTACTGGATCTGCCTCTTTCCGAAACTCCGAGTCGCCCTCGAGGCCAACACCCAATTCGGTTAATGAAGTTCCCAGGCCAAGGAAGCACTCAGTGGTCACTTCTGGTAATGCATCTAAGCGCCACACAATCGCCGTAGACAACTCCGATGTCGATGTTGCTGCGGCCATTGCTCTTCTCCAAGAGTTAAAGAAACGTGCATCGCCAGAAGATTTGATTCTTCTCCACAAGGCGTTGCTTCCCACCAGGAACGTGGAGCGAACCATCGCTCCTGCTAAGCCCGAGGTCAAGGATTGCGAAGAGCCGATCTCTCCACTTATTCGAAGAAGCTCATTACTTCCAGCTGGTGTCAAGACCCGCTTATCTCGCGAGCTTCTGAGAAACCACTCGGACAACAATGTTACAGGGCGCTCAGCTTCCACCTCTAGACAGCGTGCACTGGCCGAGTCACCAAGGCTGGATGTACCACTGGATTTTGAAGCCTTGGATCTAGCTGAGGGGATACCCGAAGTTCAAGGAGGCCGTCCCACCACGCCATCTGACTTCTATCCTCAGATTGGCACATACAAGATAGGCTCCTTGCGTATCACCAACGGATCCGCTTCGCCAGAGCCAGCTCGTCTTCTCAAAAGGGTCGAGAAAGCCGCTGTCCAACACAAGCCTTCGGTATCAGGATCAATCTCTGGCGAAGGTTTCATCACTGCCGATGAAGGAGAGACTAGCCCAGAACTTGCCCGCCCCAGTCGCGCCACACTCGTCTCTCTACGAGCACCACGAAGAAGTTCCGAGCACGAAATGGCCAGGACTTCGTCAGAAACCCGCGCAAGGTCAAAGAGTAGAGGTCCTCCGGTTCGTCGTGGTCTCGAGGCCGAGACAAGTAGATCTGCTCCTCAGCCAGCTCAACCGCAAGTCGCGCAGCGTGCTTCCGAATATGCCCAGGAGTACACTTCCGAGTTCGAGACCCTGCAAAATCCTCACATGAACAGTCCAGAACTGACGACCGTTGTCTCGCGTCTAAGCACGGTACAAGATGAGTCTCCAGTCGAGGGCGATGTCAACGCTCGTGAGGAAGCTTTGAGGCAACTCACAGGTGACGCACCATTGGCAGACGACCGTCGTGCAAAGCCCCAGTACCAGCAACACCTTGGCGCTGCTCGTCCCCCTATGACCAAGAGTGACAGTGGATATAGCTCAGAGGCATCGAGAAGATCGATCATCAGGGATAGCCAATGTGATGAATTTCTTCACGCTGCCCTCGGTGCTGCCGACCAAGCCGAGCGCACTCGCTCTAAGGAGCTGCCTTCAGTCCCATCTGCCAGACCTTCATTGGAACGAATCAACGAAGACAAGGTGTCGTCCCCTCACTCGCCATACATCCAGCAGCAGCTTTCAGCTGTGCAAAAAGCAGAGAGGCACAGAAGTCTACCAAGCTTCTTCTACAGGAAGTCCTCGAGCACATCTGTCAACACTGTTGCTACGACACCTGTGACACCGGCCAAACAAACCAGGAAACTTCAGAAGTCTCGCCCTCGTTCGCAGATCATTGTCCCGGAGACAGTGCAGGAGCCAGAGCCAGAGCCTGTCTTACCAGATATCGAACCTGAATTTGTTGAAGGCGCTTCAGAAGATCTTTCTGTCAATTTTTCTCGCCCAACACGTCGATTGGAACGTGGTTCATCATCCTCCCCCCAGAACAAAGTAGAGGATGACGTTGATCCTCGCGGAAGAGGTCGTAGTCGCAAGCATGATGTCTCGACCACTGCTGCTGAAGACTCGCCTGACGGTACAGGCAGAAGGAGGAGCAGAAGTCTCTTCCGTTTCCGCAGTCGCAGCAGAAGTAAGAGTCAACATCGCCGTGGAGAAGAGGTCGTTCTCTCTGTCGCCGACGAGCCCCTTCCTACTCATGACTTCTCCGATTTCGGCACAGTAGCACAATCTCTTGGTCAATCGCCCTACGATATTGCTACTAGACGTGTCAAGCAAATGGGGGCTTACGATCCATCTAAGCCTTGGTTCTACCCTCATGAAATCAGTCGCGCCGCTCCCAAGCCTGAATCCAGCTCGGAGATGCGTCAAAGTCGTGACAAATCCGTCGACCGTAGCAGACAGGACAGAGAACGCAGCCAGAGTCGTCCCCACGAGTCGATTGATGCTGTACTGTCAAGCTCGAGACCGCCAACAAGAGGAAAGTCGAGAAGATCTCAAAGCGCTCACAGCACTGTCACTCCACGCATACCAGAATCAGTGCCCGAGCTGCCGAAGCAAGTCGAGACAATGTCTGGTACCTTCTCACGTCCCGCATCAAAAGATGGCACGGTCAGAGTTGGCACTATTGATTTCGGCACAGGTTTTGCACAAGGCCGTCTTGAACCCATTCTTAGCAGCTCTGAGAAGGCAAAGACAAGACGTCGTACGCAGTCCGTTTCTGCAAGAGCCCGCCCTAGTAGTGCTGTGGTTCCTGAAGAGCCGATGCCCCAACGCGAAACGCAGAAATCGATACCACTATCCTCGAGCGAAGCACTCAAGTCACCAGTGCGCGAGCTACCTCAGGTACCTGCAAAGAAATCCCCACGAGCAGCATCTCGTGAGCAACCCCAAGCCCCATCTCGAGCACCACCAAGGGTCCCAGCACATGGGAAGCAACCCGCCAACGTGCAGCCTGTATTGTCGGTGTCCACGAATTCCGCCCAGCTCAAGGTCTCAGCCTCTGCACCTCACACGCCTGTCTCGCCAGTATCTCCCAGTGCAAGACCTTCTTGGGAAAGCCAAGCGTTGGCCTGGCGTGAACGTAAACAAAACATGACTGAGATGCTCTCGTCTCCCGCGGGCGAGAGAAAGAGCTTCATCGCTCCCAAGCCTACCTCTCCGGCTATTCAGGCTTACTCACCCACGATGCAGGCACCTCGTCGTGCTCCGACTGTGATTGTGTCTCGATACATCACACCGCAGAGCTCAGAGTTCGCCATGCATTTAAACGAAGAGGACCCTTACAGGAGGCTTCACTCTGACAATCCTAGTGATCTGCGTCCTGCCCAGGAAGATGTCGAACGCACTGACTCCAGCTCGACCTACCGTACTGCCACTTCGGAAAGATCTCAAGACTCTTTCGCGTCCAGAGATAGCGCTAAATATCGCGCGTACCACCCTGTTGAGGACGCTGCTCCCGAGAGGACTTCACACTCATCAGCTCCTAGGAGCAACACCACCCAGAAGAGATCGAGTCGTGTGATGGAGCAGCCTGCCCCCCAGCCCATGCCTCGACCTCAGCGTCGCTCCACGGCACCCACAGAGAACCAAGACGTTGCATTCGACAGATTCTCTGGCGGCTTGGGCTATGGATGGGAGCGTGGCGTCGGTTTCGCCGGCAGTGCTGGTACAAGACAAAAGAATGACAGCAAGGCTGCTAGAAGAAGTGTGGTCATCAGCCAGGACTTTGGCGTTGATCTGAGCGATGTGCCTGTTTTCATGATCAGAAACTAGGATTGGATTTGCGTGTAGTGATGGGGGGATAGCATGGATGGGACATGGGAGGTTCTGCACTGGTTTGGCTATGATGAACGAACAACATATATACTTTTAATGTCTATAGAAATCTTTATTTTTACTTCTAACTCGATTAGATGATCATTAACTCGGAATGATATCTGGTGATCCTGACATTGTGATTGTAGGTGTCTGCAAAAGGTGGCAGTTGTCGCAGTCGGGTCGATGGCTCATAGCATTTCCTTGCAAAGGTTAGTCGGCTTCGAAGCAGATGTAGGCAAAAACAAAATGGATCAGGTTAGGTACTCTCTCTCCAGCGCAAACGTAAAATGGTATCAAGAAAAACAGCAGATGACAAAACAGCAGAGCAAGAAAACACCACATCACCTTTCCTTTCCACCTATCCCTCCTCTTGTCTTGCAAGACTTCCCTCTCACTGACCCTTGCTCATAACCCTCTGGAGCATATGCCCGACAACATTCCCCCTATTCTCCTTCTTCGGCTTCTGATCCATACTCTCTCCACCCTGTTGCTGAGGATTTCTCTTCCTCTCCTCCTCCTCCGCTCTCTGCCTACTCGCATTTCTCGCCGCAATATCCACAATCTGATCTTTACTCAAGCTCGCCGTATTTCCAGCACCTCCTCTTCCCCATTGGAAGTTCTTTTCCGGTTCGCGGCCGGCGCGGGGGTGGGCTTCTACGTCTTGGGTTTGACGGGTTATGTCTGGGTGGACGTTTGGTTGCATGTTTCCTTGCCCGCCGCGGCCGGTTGTGTAGGTTTGGGATTTTATGGTGGGGGTTTTGAGGTCGGTTGGGGGGAGGTTTGGGGAGGCGGGGGCCATGTTGCCTGTGGGGAGAGGAAAGAGTGTTAGTGGGTGGGTTTCTTCAAGGTGAGTGGTTTGCGATCGGTTCGTCTGGAGGAGGTAGATTGCGACCGTCCTCTCTCAAGATAGAGTGGTATGCGATCGTCTTTTGCTGGGGAAGTGAATTGTGTGCATGGATTCGTACCTGCTCCGCCACGGCCATATGATAGGTTGGCCATTGTTGCGATTGAGTGGTTGAAGAGCGCGAGCACAGAGTGATGATGATGGTGTCTGAGTATGCGGGGTTCAAAGTCGAGATGCGAAGAGCGCAATGTTCAAAAGTCGCTCGCGGTCGCAAAGTACGGCGCAAGACGTCGAACGTTTTGATTTTACCGTTTTTCGCTTTGGGGAGGCGTCGGTGGCACTTGGATTACAGAGTAGTCGCAAAGGAAGGAGGAAACAACAGCGACTCGAGATGAACAAGGAGATGATGGGAGATTTACATGCTTTCTCTCTTCCCGCCCACACCAAACATCCGACATTGGCATTTGCTGTTCCACGTGCCCGAGTAAGAGGATTTTGGTGCGTTTCCATAACGTAAATGTTCGTCCACTGCCCAGCTGGCACTTGGCATTCCATTGGTGCCATCTTGGCTGCCAGAGTTTGATACCAACTGGCCGACGAGAAGAGTAAAGAGCTGCCTTGGCCAAGAGAAACAAAGAAGGAATATTGAATAGAGTTGTCGCAGAAATGGGCGGGTATGATGGTTGATAGATAGGAAGCAAAAAGAAATGCCATTAGTCACCAATCAGACAAGTACGACGATGCTGGGAAACTCGATAGCGGGTGTGATGTATCTTTTATGCGGCGCCAGCATTTGCTCGTCTCTCATGGCAGAAGTGTATACACGACCTCAACCTTCAATGGCTCCATATAAAAGCCATCTGCTGTTAACTCTTTCCCAGTGATCCTGCTGCAATATGAATGACAATCGTGCTTTATTGGTAGTTGTCTCGATGCCTGGTATCGAACGGCAAGTGCTTGGCTGTGGCTGAATAGGAAAGCACCAACCGCTCCGTAGCAACTTCCGTAGCCCGCCGGCCGCCATACGCGAACTTGACCCCTACCGAGACGTCATCCTGTGATGGGCACTTGTCTTTTGAGCAAAGAACAACGACATTTTAATATTGGACCGTCATGAGATTGTGAGTAGACGCGATCGGCCACCGTGGTATGATGGCTCACAAGTACACAGGAACACGTCTCGTGGGGCGCTTCGCAAGGAAGCCTTCGAGAAGTTGGCCCTTTTGTCTGCACAGGCTCCATCTTCGCATGCAGCCCATCAAGATATACCACGTCTTTGTTCTCTATACAAGATTCCGGAGTCGTCGAGCGGAGCTGCCAAAGCTCCTATTGGTATCCGTGAACTTGAAGTCCTGATAGCTTTGTGCCGTGCCTCGTCTTCCATTGAGTCTCTGGAGCACGCCGAACGTCTGCTTCAACAAATAACACCCTACTTGACAGAAGCCCAGACTCAGACTTTCCGCCCTTCGCCTTTTTTGCGTCATGTTCACCCTTCGCCATGGGAAATGTTGGTGCACGAAGTCGCATCAGCCATGCTCAACATCGGTCTCAAGCATGAATCATTGCGACAGCAAGTCGTCACGACCATCATCGACACGATCGATATGTACGTGCAACAAGGTCAAACAATCGACGGGTTCAGCGCATCAGAGGGCTCTACCTTGGATTTTGACAATGCTTCCAAGACTATAACCTTCTGTGTATCTCTGCTAGGTTTCCTTTCAGCACTTACCGAAAAGCCTCAGATTTGTGAAGTACAGGAGCGGGCTTCTATCATCAAGAAGTTCCGGACTCTCTGTTCTGAAAAATTCATGGTAGCCATTGAAGGAACCCTCTCATCGGTTCGCAACTCTCACGGACCTCATATCAAAGAGTGGAAACGCTTGCTCAAGGTTTACGCTTCCATGGGAAGACCACTGGGAGCAATGCTGTTACAGCACGCATTCACAACATACTTGGCGGCCTCAGCCATCGTCATGGTCACGCCTCTCGACCTGCCGCAAGACGATCAGGTCTTGGATCACCTCCTTCAGCAGACCCCACAGAGTCTCTCTGGCCACGGCAGTGTTGTTGACGCATCTTCTCTAGAGCAGCTCACAGAGTTGCTGTCCGAGATTGTTGCTCTTCTCGATGCTGATGCCGATTACTTGCAGGTCAGTTCGGCCTGGCAACAACAACTGGCCTTCTCGACCAAGGCTAGCTGTCTTACAAGCTTCCTGTGCTGCTCGCTAGTGAGTGAGGATATCGCCGACGCCGATATTCTCATGGGCTGGCTGGACGGAGTCTTGACGGATCCTATTCAACTTGCAGATCAAAGACTTGCGGGTGTGACTCTCAAGTGCATGGCTATTCTTGCGAAGACCTCAAAAGCATTCGCTTCGAACCTGGCACGATCACTGCCTAGGTTCATTGTACAGGGAAGAATGACCAGCGAAACAGTAATCGTCGCAGCAAATTGTCTTGCGGACGTTCTGCAGTTACTGCCTCAGGATCTCGTCATTAGTACACTTTACAGTCTCGGAAACGTGCTCAGTACTGGACCTTCCACCAATCGCGCAAATACTTCCTTGTTCATTGATGGCAACGGAACTACCAATGGCACCATGAACGGATCGGTGACTTCGTACACTCAACAACCTACGGGAAGTTCCATATCTTTGATTGGTAACGATGACGAAGAGACAGTACTTGTCCATGCTGCTGTGGTCGAGGCAATCGTGGCTATTGCAAGGAGATACCAGGATGAGAAGATCACTGCACTGGCCATTTCGATGCTGGTACAGAAGATTGGTCGTGTCAATCATGCCGTCGATGCTAAGATCATCCTGGGATCTGCAGCTCTTGGCTCTCAAAGTGAGCCAAACGATTTACGCCCTTTGCTTAGATTGTACGCAAAACTCGTGACGGATGCGTTGGCAGCCAATGACATCTACATGCTCGATGGGATTATGGAAGCTCGCATGCTCATGGCAAAGAGCATCTCTCCTACATCGCCTTTATACGAGATTTACCTTACACACTTGCTAGATGGCGTAGTCAGCACGAGTGACGTTACCGGTCGCGACACCAAGAATCTGGTGATCGATAAATTGGCCGTTGGTCAGATCTCACAAGTATTGCCCCCTTTGGCTTCCCTTGCCGCTTTCATGCCTTACGAGTATACGCAATTTGAGGATCCTGAAATGGTCTCCGCACTAAGCCGAGATGCTTGGTTTAACCTCATCGCTCACGACTTTTCTCTCAACTCGGAGTTTGCCAAGATACACCACCAGGAGCTTCAAACTCTAGCATGGTACACACCATCTTTGATTGACAGCAACAAAGCGGACACACAAGAGAGCGGTATCGACCTCAACACTGTCCTTCGTCGCGGCATGACTCCTCAACATGCGGTCCAGCTGAAGTCTCAATTGATCTCTGCTTTGCCCTCGCATGAGACAGATATTAAGAGTCTAAACTATGCCGAGCTCACCTTCCTGAACGCTGCCCATTTAGTTGCAGTTCTACGTGCTCAGTCGGGAGATTGCACAAGAACGCTGGAATATTTCTTGGACCCGAAGTTCAAGAGTGGTGCCTTGAGTAACTGTTTACTTGGGGTGGCATTGAGCGCAGTGGATACCTACCTGTCAATTACCATGACTGGACGTAGTCAAACTTTCGCTGCGGCCAATCTGGCGCAACAGCTCGCAAGGCTGCTTGAAAGTTGTTGTCATCGCATTGACAAGGTACAGCAAGTTGCTACGCTCGCAGCAGACCGCATCATTGATCAGGTTCCTTCGTCTCTTTGCCAAAGGACCTCTCTTTTCGCTCTCTTGGAACTACTCAGTCTCATGTGGATCAGCTGTCTTGAGGCAGAGACTGATGAGTACGAATGCAAGTCATTTTACAGCTCCACGAAGGGCAACGTATCACTACAGCTTTCCGACAACCACATCTACCGACAGACCACCTTGCGAGCGTTCCAACAGAAGTGCCGTAGATGGGTGCTGAAGACGCTTGATCGTGCTCCCTTGGATATGAAGGGTCTCCTCCAGACATACCTTTCTGACTACGACGATGAGGAATCGTATGGTCGTATCTCCATGGGTCGATCCTTCGCTCTTGAGCTTGGTTCACTCATCCCAGGAACCGACCAAAGACTTGGCGCCATCGACCGTAGAATGGATCCTGGTGTCAACACTGCTTCTGACTTTGTCGCTCAGTACACGACTCGTCAAGAGTATCGCTATCTGGATACACTGTCCAGACAAGATGAAGAGCTTCTACACTCGCAGCAGACTGGGGTCATAGGACTGCCCCGTTCTGCTTTGAGCGAGCAAGCTCGTGAGACGACTACTACATTGAGGGAAATGAATAACACCCTGCGTGACCATCACCCTGTATCAATCGAGACCCAAAGGCCTAGTCTTCGACGTGCTGCAGCAGTGCTCTGCAAGGTCGATGCTGATCGATTCGGGCTCGCTCAGCAGCTGGTTGGTATACCTTTCACGACTTTCAACAAATCAGCCATCAAGCTGGGAGTCTCACTATGGATGGGAGTCATCAAAGAAAATCCACAGATGGAGTCTAGGATTCTTGTCGAGATTGCCGAAGGCTGGGAAACAACCATCCAGAAGAAGCGTGGTATCTTCACTCACACATTCCATCACCTTGATCCGTTTTTTGTCAAGGAAGAGTTTGCTCCTACTGACAAGAGCGCCATCACCAAACGTCAGCAACAAGTTCATGACCTGATTGCGCCACATTTCACACTTGTTCAGTTCTTGTCAAGTCACTTCAACGCGACTAGGTTGAGTAACCCGCATACTGGTCGCATCTTCCACCGTCTGATGCGTGTCACTCTTGCTGCACTGAGACGCAGCGGTAGTCATCCTCTTGCTCGTGAGGTTCACTTCCATGTCATATTGTTAGCTCTTCGTGTCATCAGTTATGGCACTGGTTACGATGAAAAGTCCCGATGGGAGCTCAAGGATCAGATCCTGTCCGCTGCTCTTAGGTGGTTCAACTTCCCGGCTCGCTGGTCGTTTGGAGGCAACAAATTGCAAGTCAAGGCTGAAGTACAGGTCATGTCGGATGTGATTCTGGCACTTCAAGCGGTTTCCTCTATGGGTGCCAGAATCTCATTTCCAATGCAGCCACTGCAAGCCAAGCAAGACCTGCTCCTTCATCTGCTTCAAAACGAGATAACTCGACTGAATGTCTGGCTATCTCCTTTGGGTCAGGACACTCCTCACACTATCTACGGCCAACAGGGCAAAGCCAATGATGCTGCCATTGCTGCTCTGGTCACAACAGCATGGGCCGAAGCACCATCTCTTGCTGTACAGATGGCTTCCAGGTTCCCATCGCCATTGATTACCAGTCAAGTTCGATCACTGTTGGTCAGCTACCCCGAGAAAGCACTGCATGAGCCTGACGCTTTGCAAATCATGCTTGGAACCGGTATGCCGCATGATGTCTCGTCTCAGTTGAAGTACCTGTTGTATTGGGCGCCGGTCAATCCCATCACGGCTGTGACCTACTTCCTACCAGCATATGGGAATCATCCCTTCATCGTACAGTATGCTATGCGTGCTCTCGAGAGCCACTCTGTCGATGTCACGTTCTTTTACGTACCTCAGATCGTGCAGACACTCCGCTACGATCTGCTAGGTTATGTTGAACGTTACATTGTCGAGACTGCCAAGTTCTCCGGACTCTTTGCCCATCAGATCATTTGGAACATCAAGGCCAATGCTTACAAGGACGAAGACTCACAAATTCCTGATGACGTTAAACCGACTCTTGACAAAGTCATGGAGTCACTCATCTCTAGCTTCTCAGATGAAGATCGTGATTTCTACGAGCGCGAGTTTGGATTCTTCAGTGAAGTGACGAACATCTCTGGAAAGCTCAAGCCATTCATCAAGCGACCCAAGCCGGAAAAGAAGGCGAAGATCGAAGAAGAATTGCGCAAGATCCAAGTTGATGTTGGTGTTTATCTCCCAAGTAATCCCGATGGTGTTGTGGTTGGCATTGACCGCAAATCTGGAAAGCCACTGCAAAGTCACGCCAAGGCACCATACATGGCGACGTTCCGCATTCGCAAGGAGAGGAGTCCGGATCTCGATGCTGTCGATGATGGTCTCGATCATGTAGCTGAAGAAGGCGAATCTCGCAAGGAGACCAGCTACGAAGTCTGGCAATCAGCCATTTTTAAGGTCGGTGATGACTGTCGTCAAGATGTGCTAGCACTGCAAATGATTGCGGCTTTCCGAGGCATCTTCAACAACGTCGGCCTGGACGTTTACGTCTTCCCGTATCGTGTGACCGCCACGGCTCCTGGATGTGGTGTCATCGATGTGCTTCCAAACTCCATCTCTCGCGATATGGTTGGTCGTGAAGCGGTCAATGGTCTCTACGAGTATTGGGTGTCGAAGTACGGAACAGAAGACTCGCTTCGATTCCAACAGGCACGCAGCAATTTCGTCAAGAGTATGGCTGCTTACTCGGTCATCTCCTACCTGCTCCAATTCAAGGATCGACACAACGGTAACATTATGGTAGATGATGCCGGCCACATCCTGCACATCGACTTCGGCTTTATCTTTGACATCGCGCCCGGTGGTGTAAAGTTCGAGCGAGCACCATTCAAGCTCACCGGAGAGATGATTGCTGTGATGGGGGGTTCCACACAGTCACAACCTTTCAGATGGTTTGAGGAGCTCTGCGTCAAGGCTTTCCTGGCCGCAAGACAACACGCAGAGAAGTTGAGCCACTTGGTTATTGTCATGCTGGACTCTGGCTTGCCTTGCTTCAAGCCAGAAACCATTCAGCATTTCAGAGAGAGATTCGTGCTTGATAAGAGTGAGCGTGAGGCTGCGGACTTTATGCGTTCGCTGGTTCGCTGGAGTGGAAAGAGTCATAGTACTGGTGTTTATGATCAGTTCCAGCTTCTTACTAATGGTATTCCTTACTAGTTGGAGACTGTTTGAAGAGCTGAAAATCAACAAATAGATAGCTTCTTAGCCTGTATCAACAAATGTTTCCTGGGACCAGCGGGTACTCTAAGTTATGCTCCGAGATTCGCGCGACAGAACGATACTTGAGGCTGTTTTGGCAGGTTATTGGGTATGCGCTTTCAGCCTCGGCATGTATCGAGGCTTCGCAAGTGAGCTTAGTGCGGGAGCGCTGAAAAATGGAATGGAACATGCATCCTCACAATGCTTGTAACGGTTCCAAACCTTTATTGTACTTAAAAGTCATAAACACCCCCTGAACACGGGAGTGCGTACACTGCTCCGTCGCACGGACGATGTACACCCTTTCCTAGCATTTTCACTCTGGACAGTAGACTACGCACAAACTGTTTTCACATACGACGGTTAATGTGCTAGTCCACTTCCCTGCACAGCAAGGGCAGTTAGCCAAGGGAAGCCCTGAGGAAGCCGATATTAGCAGTGAGCAAGGCGTACACTAACCGTTGGACGCAGGAGGAATCTGTATTGAGTCTTGTAGCACTGTGCATCACGCAACATACAATCTGGGTTGTGTTGCAGTCGAAATCGTCTTCCGTTTTGTCAGACGCGCTTCAAGTCTGCTAAACGGCAGACTCCTGCCATTTTTAAGCCACACATGTCGGTTTCCTTCGTTATCATGCATCATACAGTTCTTGATATTAGGATTGTGATCGGACTTGTTTTCCGGCAGAACGGCCTCATCAGACCTGACGTCGGATTTGATGATGCAGAGTTTTCTCACCAGGGCTTGAATTGTAGCACGCGTAATGTGTCAATTGGAAGATCCGGGTCTACTGAGCTAACAGAGACATGATGGTTGTTGCAGCAGATGGCAGGTCCGAATTAGCGACGAAGGGGCTGGACGAAGGCCGCATCACGGCGTCTTCTCCGTCGCCACCACAGCAAAGTCTCGGCCAGTCGAATCGCAAGTTGTACGTTTGGCAGGTCGATGGTTTTCGCTTCCGGTCGCCAGATCCACAGTGTTCATCGTACTTGATGAAATGCTCTCGCTACCGCAAACCAAAATGATCTATCTGGCTTGGTCGATAAATCGAGCTTGAGGTTTGCGAGAGGATCTAGACCGCGGCCCTTAATTTTGAGCCGCAAGGGTTGTTCCTGAGGCTCAAAAACTCTACCGAAAGATCCTCGCTCTGGTGCTAAGTTCAATTGGGTGACCTCGAGAGTCTTTTCTTTGTTCACGGATCATTCCGGGTTCGACGTAGACGAGACTGATCGAACTATCACTCCTCGAACCAAAGTTTGGGCGCAGATCAGCCGAGTAAACGTCGAGGAGTGATCGAGATCCAGAATCCATCAGAGACTCAGGATCCGAATCGTCATTTGTATCACCTCGGAGTAGCATGCGAAGTAGACAGCAAGGGATGGGTGCTGATCTGATTCAAAGATGGTCAGCCTCCCAAGGTCCATGCGGATCGGGAGCAGGTCCGAAGACTCGCGACATCGTTACAATATTTAGCGAGCTTTTGTACGACATCTTCAACGGCTCAATACAGTTTGAGGCTCTGTGCTTCTACACGCGACTCTAATCCAAATTCTGATGTAAATCGCGAGCATCGTAATTCCGACAAACGAATCTTCTAGCATCTTAGTCGCTCCTTCCAGAAGGTGTCTCGTTCTGGGAGCTTTGCCACCGGGCCTTTCAAGGCCGTGCAAGAACCTTCTGATATGAAGCTTCATGCATGCCCTCCTCTACACACGCGGCTTTAGGCGACATGTATATTCACTGGCGAAAGTCTAGAGTTTAGTTCGCGTGGTATCCTCTCGGTAGCGCCGAATGACGTTTACCGGGATCTGGACACTCAATGGCTTCGGCTCTAAAAGCTTTCGCCCTGTCGGCGTTGTCTCCTGACTTATGCTATCTCTTATTCATTGGACAATTCCCTTCCTGTCTGCTCATGGTATAAAGAACGTCAGCACGGCTCCAATCACAGCCACATGTTACTACGGTTGGTCGAACTCCTTGACGTTCTGTGCATACCAATTTTCGACGCGAGATCCGTAGTCAAGGCTTTGGCGCGGCATCTGCAATCTAGGGTTGGTGCCGCCGATTCTCACTTACACGCAAAGTCAGTCCAATCGTGAGTTCGCGATCTCATCCTGCCTAGAAGTTTTACCGACACTATCTCACGCTACCGATGAAACTCGATCGCGGCGTGGTTCCCATGCATGATGGTCTACCGCGATATGTTTGGGAATATGGCAAAGTGGATTCACCGTCTCGTTGACAGTTCACTCTCCACTTCACCTTTTCAGACTAGCCGTCTTCGTTTCATCAGTCTTTTCCGTCCGCTGCCCGTCCTTCTCCCCTTTTTTCCTTCCTCCAGCCTGCCTGTTAGTCAGCATCAGTTGTTTTGTCTGCAGCATTTATCAAGTGCAAGCAACATTTGGGCTGATATGCACTAGCAACGTGGTCAACTTACCTACATCTTGGCTTTTCTGCTACTTCCCTTAAAGCAGCCTGCTTCCAGCAATTGCGTTTGACTCAGGGTCAAGGACATATCCTTTGACCTACAGAATTGTAACATTCTTGCCAGCCAATGTCGTATCATCTCATTTTAAAGCTGACGCCATCTCAGTGTTTGAAAGGTGGCAAGCTGTGGTCGAAACTCCTTTACAATGGGCGAGGCACCGCCAGCGCATGACCGTCACGCTTCTGGTCACCTAGAACACCAACAACTTACACCAGTCATTGGGATCAGCCAATCGCCAGAGGAATCATTTACGGATTCGAAAGCACAGGCTCCTTTCCACTCACAGTTCGATATGTTTCCTCAGGTGTCGCAAGCGATAGCAACTCAGCACGGTAATTACCTTTCTAGTTATGACCATCAGCACTCGGTACCTCGACTCGACATGAAGTCTTTGGGTCATGCGTTGCCTGGCTCTCCTACTCTATCGGCGCCTGCGCAAGGCTTCACACAGCACCCACAATCTCACATCGGCAGAATGCCTGTTCAAACCTTGAACATGAATTCTCGAACGCAATTTCATCAGCACGGAGCTCAGGGCCCGATGGCGCATGGCCAGGCGTATCTACCTTCCTTCGCACATGACCACTATGCCCCATACGCCCATACACCTAGTCGCATGACCTTGCAAGCACAAGGACGACCCATTTTTGGACATTCAATGACTGCTGCCATGCCTTACAATAGTTCTGGTTACACCGATCAGCCACACCGCTTTTCAACATACCTGAGTACGTTAACCCGATGTCCGGATCGATGACCAGCGACTCGCCATCGATCTACTTTGACAAAGCCCACCATCACTGCCCCGGAACTTTGCTTGCTGACTGTCTGACATAGGCCATCCCCGACGTGATCTAGTTATAGAGGCCGCTACTTCCTTCCCCAGAGGTCCTCCGAGAAAACCTAGACAATCTGGCCATGCGCTTTGGGTTGGAAATATCCCTCCTGGCACGACCATTGGCGACCTGAAGGACCACTTCTCGCACGAAGCGACGGACGACATCGAGAGCGTGTTTCTGATTTCAAAAAGCAACTGTGCATTTGTCAACTACCGCGATGAGGCTGCGTGCGCTGCTGCCATGGCTAGATTTCACGAGTCTCGATTCCAAGGTGTGCGCTTGGTATGCAGGCTACGTCGTGGCACGCCTACCAGTGATGACTCGACAGAGACGCCTGATACATTGACGGCAGGATCAGACACCAAGACGGACAAGTCACGTCCAAATGTGCGCCGCGCAAACAGTGGCCCAATCATCGTGGACGGTTCGGCCAACCACTCTCGTGAGAAGGAGAAGCCTGTTGGTCCTTCTGAGAGTTCTGATATTCCCAATGACACCGATGAGATTCAGGATGGTGTAACCAACCCATCACGCGTCCCTGAGAAGTACTTCGTGGTCAAGAGTCTCACATTGGCAGATCTCGAAGCAAGCGTGCGCAACGGGGTCTGGGCAACTCAAAGTCATAACGAGGTTGCATTGAATCATGCCTACGACGTAAGCCCTGCGAAACCCTGCCTCACTGATCACACAGCTGACTTTACCCAGACCGCCGACAACGTCTACCTCGTCTTTTCTGCCAACAAATCTGGCGAATACTTTGGTTATGCTCGTATGCTCAGTCCCATCGCGACGAATCACAATCTTGCATCTTCGGCCAAATTACAACCAAAACCCAGAGATCTGGACAGCGGACCGAAAGCCATACCTACCACAGCGACCCAATGGGCACCAAAGGGTCGCATCGTCGATGACTCGGCACGCGGAACCATCTTCTGGGAAGCCGATCGATCACAAGGAGAAGACGCCGTCAGAATTCCCCAAACGCAAGAGGAGGAAGCATCATCTCGACATCAAACACAAGAGTGGGGCAAGTCTTTCCAGATTGAATGGATATCGACGAACAGACTCCCCTTCTATCGCACTAGAGGCCTTCGTAATCCGTGGAACGAGAATAGAGAGGTCAAGATTGCAAGGGATGGAACAGAGATTGAACCTGGTATTGGATCACGGCTTGTGCAGATGTTCCATCGGCCAATGCAGATACCTCAGGGTGCTGTAGTTATGGCTCCTGAGAAGGGACCTCGCTGCTCTGTTTGAGCACTTGCCAAAAGTTACAAAGCAAGATACTCTAACATGAGAATATTCGTAGCTATAGACACGACGAAGTATCTATGTTAGAGATGGTCGATCACAGATCATGACTTTCTACCATCTCATTTGAAGCATGATGAGGGAACGCCAAAGAGAAGGAAACGGTAGCTGAGTAGGTCACTGTAAACCATTAGAACGGCGACCGACAAATCAGCTACCGTGTAAGTTTCCTTTGAGTCGAGGTATAACGAAACCAGCATTGATACTTGTGTAGGACTCGTTTTGAGCTAAAACCCGCGAGAGCGAGGAAAGACAAAGCGAAAGCGAAGATATGCGGGTCCCATCGATTACGGCTCAGAAAATTCTCGTCAAGCCACCGAACCACAGCCTCTTTCTCAGCCACTGCCTCTCCGTCTTCAGTTGCATACTAGGTACCATGACGCAGTTGGCAACAAAGCAAGTCAGACATTCGCCAAGGTCAAGCAGAGTCGCATCGTGGTCGAGACTTTCAAGGCTTCGTAATTGGAGCGGCTCCACCTTCTGTGGGTGCGGTCGTCACACGCTCAGAGCGCGATGTGAGAACGATCTGAAACTCGCGAGAAGCAGTGTTCATGGCTCTTTCTAGACTTCCGACGCTTTCGGTGATGCGACGTTCAATGTCGGTCTTGCGAGCGAGAAGACCGCGAAGGGTCTCAAAAGCTGACTGGTCGGGAGTCGTTGCATCGGCAACTTGTCCGGTTCTAGAGCAGTCGATTTTAGCCTTCTGCCACGCGTGAGGCTCAAAACTTCCAAGTGGCAAGTAGTGCCGGATTTCTGTCGGATGTGGCAGAGAAGTGGGCAGGGGAATTTGAGATTGCCATGGTGGGAGAGTGTGTGGATGATATGCGTTGGAGCACATGACTACATTTCGCAATGATTGTTGGCTTACTGTTTTGCTGCATCACTGCGCTTCAAGGCTTCGATCTTCTCCTTCAACTCCTTTTGCTTGTTGGCACGATTCTTGCGGAAGCCTGTACGCGCCTTTTGCTGGCGAGACTTGACCTTTGCAGCACAGATGAATCAGCAAGTGAGGCCAAAGAGATTGAGACTTTGATGGAAAGCGATTTTCTCGTTGGTTTTGCACGAACAGCTTACTGCTGTGTTCCATAGCGAATTCTGCTTTGTGACAAATTCATTACTTTCTCCACCAGTTTCTTTGGCTTCGGCTGGTCTCTGCGATCTTATTGGAGGCATGATTGTGACTCGATACTGGGGGCCCAGAGACGATAGAAGCGGGATCTTAGAGGCCGGGTTCGCTCCTTGAGTACAAGTCAATCGCAAGATGTTGTCAATGTATCGAGAAGATGGTACTCATTCAGCAAGATAGTCGGTTTAGAGCGGATTGGCAGGGTTAAGCCGAGTACCCGAACGGGAAAGAGCGCGATTGCGGGGTAAATCCTGGTTTCTCTCCCTGGAGAAAAATAATTGCGCTCAGCGTCCAACATTCCTTCACACACACACACATTACTTGACAAGATGGGTCTCGCAGGTCCCAAAAGACGCAGCAAGATCGGTAACGATCCTAACAACAACAACTGGGTCAAAGCGACAGATTCCTTCGGCCACAAGATTCTCGCATCACAAGGATGGAAGCCTGGTGACACGCTCGGCGCCAAAGACGCAAACCACGCCTCACACTACACCGTCGGCAGTAACTCACATATCCGCGTCCTGCTGAAAGATGACAATCTCGGTCTGGGTGCTGCTCGCGCGGGAAATAATGCAGAGACATTCGGTCTGAGTCTGTACTCGGGTCTGCTGGGCAGATTGAACGGCAAATCAGAGGCCGAGGTCGAGAAGCAACAGACGGCACAAAGGGACGTGGAGTTGGCCATGTACCAAGGAAGGAAGTTCGGCAACATCAACTTTGTCAGCGCTGGTTTCCTGGTCGGCGACAAGATGGATCTCAAGTCGACCGTCATGCCCAACTCGACACTTACTTCCCAACAATCTGCGCCGGACGCAACGAACAAGAAGCGAAAGAGATCAGAAGCCGAACAGTCCACAAACGATGCCTCATCAGACTCCGACTCCTCTGACTCCTCAGACGACGAGGACGTGGAAGAGGCGCCCAAGCCGAAGAAGATCAAGGAGTCGAAAAAGGACAAGAAATCAAAGAAGTCTTCATCAAAGGCTGCCAGCATCGAAAGCACAGACGAGGCCAGATCGAAAGACAAGCGCAAGAAGGAGAAGAGGGACAAGAAGCGAAAGGCTACGGACGGAACAGGCTCCGAGGACGAGACACGGGCAGAGAGAAAGGCACGCAAGGCAGAACGACGTGCAAAGAAAGCAGCAAAGAAGGAAGAGAAGAGGAAGAGAAAGGAGGAGAAAAAGGCAGCCAAGTCGGGCACTGCAACACCATCAACGGCTCCTGGAACTCCTGCAGAACCTGCCCCTGTGGCTGCTCTATACGGCAGGCAAAACGTCCGTCAGCGATACATTGCTCAAAAGCGTCTTGCCTTTATGGACCCGCAAGCCATGAAAGAGGTACTATTCGTTTCCTGCTACTGCATGTTCCAAGAGCTAACTTATTTCGCAGATCTTCATGGTAAAAGCATAGAAGTACCTCTTGCTCAAGTCCTTCCATCTTTCTGCGGGCCACAAAGCGTAGTGTGGTCCTCGTTTTCGAATTTCTCATGGCACATCATGTACGGAAAGCCTAGAAAAGCGTTCTGTTCTGTCTTCCGGCGCAATGCATATGGTCCCAGGCGTTTTTCCACGTGCGTTGTCCCTACTTTGATCACTCCAAGATCCTTCTCAGAAAGCAATCATTTTCACCCTATCGTAGAACTTCTGAGAGCTGTATGTAAGTGAGCACATGTGAGGCAGGCGAAAGTTGGTGGAAATTCCACCTAGATCACCATGAAGGCAACACTTGAAAGGCAGAGTCACTTTCGAGCTGTGAATCCTGATTCACCACTGACAAGTGATTGCGTCTTGAGGGAGCGACGCAATCTAAACTCCGACAGCCCGTGCAATCGCCGACGGAGTCTGGGGGATCGGCGCTGTGACTTCCGCCCTCGATATTGACTTGCCTTCCATCTCTTATTGTTTCTCATCAGGAAACAGTCGCCATCGCGGAAGCTCATACTCGGTCAGGATGTCGTCAGCTCTGGATACTGGAGTCACTAAAATCACACTTTTATCGTGTGCGCCCAAGTCAGAACGAATCGCAGAAGACGCCGAGGCTTTTTCGATATTCTTCGATAATTGCCGCAATGCTTTCCAACAAGATTATAGTGGCAGACCACGAAAGCGTGCAAGACTTGGAACCACAGACAATATCGACTCTACCAACCCTTCTCTTGCCTCAGGAATCACTATCGCTCGCTTTGACCTGAATCTGCACATATCTTCAGGTACGACTAGCCACAGCGAATCATCAACTACCTTGGAAGACGACATCGAGGTTGGTCTTGTCGATGCTCACGACCTAAATACCTCATCTCCGTCCTTCTCGTTGGTTGGTCATGCTGGTTACAAGAAGAGCTCGACTCTAACATTTCAAACCACCACTCCCCTTTCTCCAACTACAGCCGACCTTCTTTCACGCCTACTGAGTCTGGAGAAGCGTTCGAGACGTAACGTCAAGCCCGGAGTTTGCAGATCCACATGTCGCCTACATCGTTCGTCGGGCTCATCAGGTCCTGTGTATACCTTGGAGTGTAGCATCATCTGGCTCGACGGGCAGTCTGCTTTTGGGCCAGCGGCAACCAAGAAGGAAGATTGGGCTACGCTTACTCAATTCTACAAGGCGCCTCAGTGTGCTCAAGGAAAATCTTGGACACCGCAAGAGTTCTATGCTAGTGTGCACTCTCCGCCAGAAGATGCGCAGGTTCCCGAGATTGTCAATCGCAAGGTGCTCGAGACGGAATTGTATCCTTTCCAGAAACGCGCTGTTGCATGGATGCTCGAGCGAGAGACTCCGAGCCCTGATTCTCGCGAAGTCTGGCTATCCTACAGTCCCGTTACGGATGCCAGTGATCAACGATACTTTGTTAGCCACTTGGAAGGCGTCATATGCTCTGCATCTTATCTCGGTGCTTTTCGAGAACCTACAGGTGGTATCTTGGCAGAAGAAATGGGACTCGGAAAGACTTGCGAGCTCATAGCACTTATGTGCTTGAACAAGCGAACAGTATCCGACATGGAAGAGACAACCACGCACGCCCTCACAAAGTCCAGAGCGACGCTCATTGTCACACCACCGACCATCTTACAGCAATGGAAAGATGAACTCGCTCGACACGCACCCGGTCTTTCAGTTCTCCACTACAAGGGTGTCTCTAACGTTTCATCGTCCAGACGAGAAGCTCAATCATTGCTGGAAGACCTTGCGCAACGAGACGTGGTCATCACCACGTACTCCACCTTGGCCAAGGAGGTTCACTTCGCCGTCGATCCTCCTGAGCGGTCGTTGCGCCAAAGGGAGCGTAAGCGCACTCGACCTCGTAGCCCTCTTGTACAGATGCACTGGTGGAGAGTCTGCTTGGATGAGGCACAGATGGTCGAGTCAGGCGTGAGTGCTGCAGCTCGCGTAGCCTCTCTTCTTCCTCGTCAGCACGCTTGGGCTGTATCCGGAACGCCTCTGAAGAAGGACGTGCAGGATCTCTTTGGACTTCTCGTGTTTCTCAGATATCAGCCATTTTGTAACTCTGCCGCAATTTGGCAGCGTCTCATTCAACAATACGCCGACATGTTCAAGACGTTGTTCGGCAGCATAACACTCCGTCACACCAAGAATTACGTCCGTCATGAACTCAGGCTACCCCCTCAAAGAAGGGTAGTCTTGACTCTGCCATTCACGCAAGTCGAGGAACAAAATTACAAGACCTTATTCGAAGCCATGTGTGAGGAATGTGGATGCCGCTCCGATGGTTCGCCCCTTGTTGATGATTGGGATCCCGAGTCGTCCTTCGTACTTCAAAAGATGCGTGCTTGGCTTTGCCGATTGCGTCAGACATGTCTTCATCCTCAAGTTGGTGGAAGAAACAGAAAAGCTCTTGGGCGCGGACAAGGTCCTTTACGTTCTGTAGCCGAGGTTCTTGAGGTCATGATAGATCAGAACGAGACATCCATTCGTACAGAAACTCGTCTTGCTGTCACTACAGAGCTCAAGCGAGGTCACATTATTGGTAACCCAAAGGACGACGATCATCGCGCTGCCAAGGCTCTCAAGATTTATACATCAGCACTTGAAAAGTCGGAAGCGATTGTTGCAGAGTGTAGGACGAATCTTGCCAATGCACTTGTCCATGAGAATGGCAAACAAAGGAAGTATGATGGTTCTGAAGACGAGAAATCGCCGGAAGACACTTCCGAAGGTCGATGCAGGCTTGCTCTGTACTCCGCTCTACAGCTTCAACACGCCTGTTTCTTCTTCATTGGTACAACCTACTTCCAAATGAAGTCCAACATCAATATCACCGAACCAGAGTCGAAGAAGTTCAAAGAGCTAGAGGAACTCGAATCAAACTACTACGAATCTGCCAAGTTGATCCGCAAAGAGATCCTTAGCGAGGACGCTGCGAAAGCAGAAAAGCTTATGCACAAGGTGGCAGAAGAGAAGGACAATTTCGATCTCAAGCCCTCCAAACTAGCCGCGATTGAGAGTCCTGGTGGTGTGGAGAATGTCAAGATAGTAAGTCTCGATAACCGGTGATGGTCCATCTGAAGCTGATTGACTAACCGTTTGCAGATGCACAAAGCTAGAGCTCTTGCTGGTATAATGAACGGCCAAGCAAAGCTCATCACTGCATGGACAACGAAGGCTGTGGATCTGCTTCTCAAGCCCCTAGTCGACAAGGATGAAGAAGGAAACGAGACCACCGGTGAGGAGTACGAAGACTCAACAAAAATGCAGGACTCGCTGAACGTATACCTCGATGTTTTGAACGCAGTCATTGCCGATCGCTCAACTTGCGTCACAGGACAGACAGCGCCTCGTATAGACGCTGACATGAACTTCTTGCGCCAGAACGCTATTTGGGAAGATGGACACGCACCAGCTCTGACGCTTGAGTTGTTGGGCGAGCGTAACAAATTGAAGCAGAAGCCCGATGATCTGCAATCTTTGCGCGGTCTGATCCATGAGATCCGTGGTATTGAAACAGCCCTAGAATGGCAGGAGGGCAGTGCTCGAGCCAGGGCGGAGCTACAGATTGTTCGAGATCAGCTCAAACAACTCGCTTCCATCACAGAAGAAGAGACAAAGGCTGTGGAGCATCTCGAGAAGATGAGCCGACTCTTCCTCGCTACTATGAACCAGCGCCTTGAGTTCTATCGACAGCTCCAACAAATCTCGGATACCGTGGCACCTCACAAACAAGATTGGGACGACACACTGGATGTAGCCGGCCTCGAGTATGTGACTCGCCAGCAAGAAGCCCACACCAAGACTCTCGCAGCTCTGAAGACGAAGCATCGCTTTTTACTTCATCTCCGCGAGGAAAGCACCACTTCGCAAGAAACGCAAAAAATCTGCGTCATTTGCCAGAGCTCCTTCGAGCAGGGCGTCCTTACCGTCTGCGGCCATCAGTACTGCAAAGAATGTATCAACCTCTGGTGGAACGCCCACCGCACTTGCCCGGTCTGCAAACGCCATCTGTCTCTTCAAGACTTTCACCAGATCACCTACAAACCGCAGGAGCTACATGCACAAGAGGAAGACTCCGAACCTTCTTCGCCAAGCCAAGGGTCCAACAAGAGCACAACTCCAGGCACCTCCATCTACGCCGACATTGGCAATGACGCACTTGCACAGATCAAGTCTATCGATCTCAATGGTTCATTCGGTACGAAGATCGACACTCTGGCTCGTCACATCCTCTGGATCCGTCAACATGATCCTGGCGCAAAGGCAATTGTGTTCAGCCAATTCCGAGAATTCCTTGATGTCCTTGGTACCGCATTTAAGCAATTCGGCATCGGCTACTCACGCATGGGAAAGGCGCATGCCATCGACCGCTTCAAGAACGACGCTAGCGTCGAATGCTTCCTCCTCGACGCAAAAACCGACTCTTCAGGCCTGAACCTCGTGAATGCGCAATACGTTCTCCTCGCCGAACCTCTGATCAACACAGCCATCGAACTCCAAGCCATCGCCCGCGTGCACAGAATCGGTCAACAACGCCCCACAACCGTGTACATGTACCTCATCGGCGACACGGTGGAAGAAGCAATCTATGAAATCTCAGTCGCGAGACGGGTTGCCCATATGCAAAGCAAACGCTCCTCTTCTACCAAAGCCAGCACACCAGTGTCGGGAGAAGCGGCTATTGATGCAGCTAATTCGTTGGAATTGCAACAAGCTCCTGTTTCCAAACTGCTTGTGCAAGGGAGAGGGGAAGGCGAGGTTGTGCCTAATGACGATCTTTGGAGTTGTCTTTTTAGAAAGAAACGGCAGGGGGAGCAGGGTGTTGTGTCTGCGGAAATGGAGGGGGAAGTTGGTAGGTTTCTTCGAGGGGAAGCTGCAGAGAATAGACGTGCTGCTAAGTAGAGACAAGGATTTTGCAACAAAAAAAAAGTAAAAAAAAATGGACGAAGAAGACCAGCAGATCCAAGCATAATAAAAGGCGGCAAGAAAGGAAAACGAAGAATGAGTGATGATGATACTTTTGAAATGAAAAAGGCCACGATCAAACCTTGATGGATATGGAAATCTTTTGATACCCCCAGAACACTGCAAGATAGTAACAAGTAAAAAAAACCCCCCATCCTTTTACCATTGGCAAGAGATGAATGAAAATACACCTTCTATACTATTTCTCTCCTCTTCCTCCCCATCAACACCCTGTCTCAAAGACTCTTCTCCCCATCAACACCCTGTCTCAAAGACTCTTCTCCCATTATCCTCGCTGCCGATATGAGTTAAGTTGGAACTTTGAAAGGTATATATATGCATGTGTATTTTTTTTTATTTTTTTAATTGTAAAAGTTGAACTGAGGTTTCTTGGAGGGAGAAAAAAAAATGTATATATATACATGAAAAGAAAGGTAGGTAGGTAAGTAGGTATATTTAATTCTCTCTCTCTTTTCTCTTGCGCCACAAAACGATGCCCTTGGGTGAGATGAGTGGATTGTTCGCAATGTTTTGTTCTTTTTGCAATGAAGGTATGTTTGCAAGTATTTGTTTCTTGAGACTGTGCGCTTGAAGAAGGTTTCTCGTGGACCTGATGAAGTCTTTCTTTGGGTATAAGGGATATGAGGTTTTCACTGGTGCGCCGTGTCTCGCTCCATGTCTGTTTCTTCGCCCCCCCATTTACTTCTTCTTCCTCTTTGTCATGTGTTTCGGCGATGAGAGTATTAGTCGTCATTTGTATCCAGTACCCTTCCCTCTCATGGCCTTTTCATGTTGTGGTTGGAGAAACGTCTGCTTTATCTCAAGACACTCTCCTCCCACTACCCCGTCTCGCATCCACGGCATCCCTGGCATCTACATGCTCACTAGCCCTCAAGAGTGTAGAAAGACTGGCTTTGTTTCTCTCGGCGCCTGCATCACCGTTTTGTATCGGACGCATCACCACAGGCGGATTTGTGACGTGGCGTAATGTGGGTGACGAGTACATGGATGACGGTGTCGAGTTATGGTGGTTGTTGGGTCCATTTGGCACAATGGGAGGGAGGGTGGTGTGCAGCGGCCAATTCATCAGAGGTGTTGCGGAAGTTTTCCGGGGTGCGTGGGCGTCTAGGTGGCTAAGAGGGGGCAGAGTGTTTGCAGAGGGTTGTTGCTGAGGAAGAAGTGGAGATTTGGTCGCAGGTCTCTGTTGGTGTATTTGGTGTTGTTGGGGGGCACTGGTGTGGGCGCTGGAAAGGGGCGGGCGCGAGCTTGTGGGTGATGTGGAGCCGTCGTCGTCTTGCGAGGTCGTGTAGGTTGTAAAGGTGGAGATGGAGGGGTTTCTGTGCGGCATGGCGGTCGAGGAATCGGCTTGTTGGGTGGATCTCCAGGTCGAGTAGGAGGAGGCGGTGTCGCCGCTGGAGGTTGGTCGGGGAGGGGGAAATTGGCGAAAGGGCTGCGTGTTGGGCGAGCTGTGGGTGGGTGACGGCTGGACTTGATCACCGTCTATAGCGTCGACACCATCGAGGCCATCGACGCCCTCATCGCCGTCCATGTGCGAATCGTCGTAGCTGCGTGACTGACCACTCGACAGCCGCGTCTTTGGCTTCTTTGCGTCCCCTTGGGCATTGCTCTCCGAGTGCTTTGCCCGGAAGTCGATCAAATACTCCTGGTAGGCCTTGTACTGCGGTGTCTTCTTGTATGTCCTTAGTTCCGAGTAGTACGTGTCCTTGAGGGCTTGTGCTTCGCGTTCGCAGGGTTCCTTTTCGTGAGCCTGGAGCTCTTGCCAGCGCTCGCCCACCAGTTTGGCAATCTCGGTAAAGCTGAGATCCTTGCCTTTGAGTTCATCGCGCACCTCTACACGTGTCTGTCAGCAGTGCCTTGACATGGCTGCGTGCTCCGATACTCACGATTCGAGAAGATGACGTATGCCGACGGCGGTCGCTCCGGTGCATGTTCGTCTGCCTGTACACACAAAGCTTTAGCTTCTGTTCGCCCATCATCATGTGCCGACGCTATGCCTACCTTGGGGTGCCGTCTGTACTTCCGTTTCGACCGCGTTGGCTGTCCATTGCTGGCACTGGTGGTTGACGTTTCCTGCGTCGTCGAGTCCTGTGATCGCTGCTGCTGTAGTTGAGGATTCTGTGAGTCTCGCTTCTTCCGCGCCTCGTCGTTCACCACAGAGTCGTCTCGTAATGCAGAATGTAAGAGCAAAGGCAGCGGCGTCCTGTCCTTGGATGCATTGAGTATTGCTCGCTGAAGTTTCTGTCGTCCATGGTCAGTAGGTATTCCCGTATGACACCTAACTTTACACAAAAACGCACCCTTCGATGTCCAAGCTTCACTCCAAGAGCCTCCCTGTATAACACGTTAGCATCATGTATGCAGCCATCCGCCGTCAGACTTGCGAAACTTACAAATCCGATTCTGTGATATCCATAAGCGTCTCCCATGTATCAAAGCCCTCTTCGACAAGAGCATCATGATAGCGCGACAGGTCCAGTCGCTCGAGAAAATCCTTGAGAGTCGTCATAAGTGCGCCAGATTCTCCCAATATAACATTCAAAGCTTGCAAGACCAAGGGCTCCGCTTCTTTAACAAAGAATGAAATCTAACAACAGGACTAACATGCGCTAGTACAGAAGTAGCTTCTTGCCTGATCAGCTGCAAAAGTCCGTCACGTCGACATTCTGTGCCTGGATTGATTGAAGACGAGGGAAGGAGAGAAGCGGCAATGGGGAATGACAAACGGCGATGCTGAAGTCTCACGATGTTGATGTCGATGGACCAGATGTTACCTTTCGGTATGGCCTCCGAGCACAAAAGCAATCAATCAGAAAGCCACGTCGTGACGAGTCCAGTCAACAAGCGCACAAAATTTGTCCTGGAGAAGCAGGCTGGATGTGCTTTGACGCCGTGCTATTCGTCCAGGCAATCGCCTCCCTGCCTTGAGCTAGTTCTTGACGCTGCGGGCAGATTGGGACTTTGCGAGAGCGTAAAAGAGGGTGGCGCTCGTCTTTTCTGCTGGGTCGGAACAAGAAGTTGGGAAAAGAGGAAGTAGCAGGAGAGGAGTTCGGGGTTAGTTCCGAACCCGGGCGTTCGATTCCTGTGACGATGATCGCGTGTTCGGTGGGGTTCAGACGAACGACACGCGCGCGACGTCTAGATGCGAGTTTGCTGAGAATGATGGGATTACGAGGCGCAAGCGAATGCCGTTGTTGCTGTTGTTGTTGTTGATGTTGCAGCAGAAGAATTGGATGAGGGATGTGGTAGAGAGACTCTGTTGTACTCTCGATTAACGATTGCAAAGATGCCAGCGTCCTCCGTTTAGTGCATCAGGCCCTTTTCCTCCTTCTGCTCGATAACCGAAGCCTAATTTGTCCATATCGAGCGAAACGCTTCCTTTTGTTGTTGGCGAACTGCCTTCTCCCTACCCATCACCGATGCCATTCTGCGATCTCACCGAAAAAGGCTTTGCCCATGTGTCACTATGGCCAACCGAATTACCTACCTAATTCGTGATGTGCGGATACGTTTACGATCGTACGACGGGTTGAACAAGCTACTCGGTTTTAATCCTCTTCCAACATCATTCGAGAAGAATCGCGTGTTCGTGTTTGCGATGCGCGCCCGACTTTTCGATGTCGGCGATTCTAGCCTTTTGCGCTTTCTAGCTGTGATGACCGAAGGATGATCACATCCTTGGCGAGCCCACGTTTTTTGCGGAACCAGAATGGGCATGTGAAATTTTAGGATGCCGTAATTATACACGTTCATCGAAATGCCCCATCAACGATTGCATCGTCAGATCATCGTCGACTCCTCCTCGTAATGACATGTTCGAGAAACGGAACAAGAATCCCCCAATCCAAACGTCCGGCGGGGAGAAGGATTAGGGCACACAAGCAATGCTGTCGTTGGTGCAAGCACTCCGCAACGGCAGGCTAGACCGGACGCTGCGACCGTGTCCGCGACGGACACCAGTGCCTCTTGCAAAATAGGTCTCTGCATTGACTTTTTGGGTACCTATCTGTACCTTGGTCGTGGCTTTGTGGTACGATTACACCTTGTAGGTAAGCTAGCTCGAACCGGGGGGGGGGGGGGGGGGGCGGTATACCGCGCATGCCAGGCACCGAACCCATCATCATTCGTTGCTGACAAACAAACGTAGATGGAAGGAAAAGGAAGAAAAAGCAAAATATGCAGCTAAAGCCGAGGTCTGTTCAGCATCTATTATTATGCAAGGGTGAAATAGGTGCATCATCATGCCGAAAGCCTCAACCAGCTCTAAAATTCAGGTACGGAGTAGGCACCTTAGCGCACGTATCCCCCTCTTCCAATGACGCCCACAACAATTGTTTCGTGCAATTCTTTGTACTGCTGATCAGCCTCCTCCATCGAAATTTCTCATCGACGGTAACGCGGTAGATTCTCCGATGCGCCGCCTTCTGCGTTTCCTCCCAAAACGTACTCGTTCAAGTCATCATCTATTATTACTGGCGCAGATGGCCCGCTCTCTATATTCTCTTCTTCTTGGCTATTCGTCGGTAGGGGTGGCGCACTCGTCGAGAGTTCTAGTTGCCGCCGTTGTAACTCGTGCTTGTCGTCTGTGGGTGGCAGATGACTGCTGCCACTTTGAACAGTGGTGTTATCAGTCCGTAGTATGGGTATGGGTATTGGTTGGGTTGCGCGTGATGGCATCACAATAGACTGTGATGATCCAGCAACTGCAGGCCCGTAATCGTGGTAAGACTCGTCCACAGGCAGTGCGGGAGCTGTGGCCTCTTCAGCACCTGAAGATGCTGAAGCCATTGGAGGTGGTTGACTAGGCATCAATCGTGCCTCGGCTCTGCGCAACCGTTCCTTCTCAGGCAGTGTCTCTTCATCTTCCAATGCCGGGGGCTCGTAGTAAGCTGGATGATAAGACTCGTCGTATGGGTACTCTTGAGACGCATCCCAATGGTAAGCATCAGCGCCATAGTCGTAGTTTGGAACGTATTGGTAGTCCAGATGGGCGTTGTGATCATGGTCGTAAGTGTACCCGTCTACGTGCTGGTAGGACTCAAAGTCGCGGCTCGAGACAGTCGAATGACCCTGTTGTTGCACTGCATAGGGTGATGCATCTGTGACGTGGCTGGTATTCTCCGGTGGCAGAGGAATGTCGACAGCTTTTGCTTTTCCCTTCCTGGCATTACGTTCACTGTCGGCAGTACCAACAACCACTTCGAAGGTGCAGGTTGCGACGGATTTGTCCCTGCGTATAGGGGCGGTGTCCAGAATGCCAGCACCGTTGAGCATCAAGAAGGGAGTGTCGTCGGGACCGTTGAAAAGGCTATTCTCTTTAGAGTCGCCAGGTCGCGTGTTCGCGGAGACAGGCCCGCTGCCATGCTGTGAGAGATATCTGTCGTGGGTGAGTTTGCCTTGTATATCAAGAACAATCTCGATGTAGTAACGAAAGGAAATCATGGCACCAGGGACCGAGGTGATTGTAGGGAAGGCGCCATGAGGGACACCAATTTTGGCATTGATCTCTGCAGTCAAAGAGATGGGGTCCACGTATAACGGGACCAGGATTTGGGCGAGGTCTTTGCGAAACGTGTGGCTGGAGCCGGCGCCAGAGAGCGACAAGCCACCAAGGCCGGTGATTGACTTTGGATAATAGTCTTCGTACTTGCGCTTCTGACCTTCGGATACAGGACCCAGAGGCAGAGCGGGATGCATGTCGACGCGAGCCTGGCGGTAGAGAGTAATGATGATGCCGTTGATGCTTTTGATATGCTTTGTGTGATTGATGGAGATTCTGACGGGGAAGCTGTCGCCTCGTAGACATGCGCCTTTGAGCAACTCGACAGTCGCGGTGATGAGCTTGTGCGGAGTGTCGCTCTGGCTGCTGCTGACGCGACTGTCGAGACTGAACTCGCTGAGTGATGGTGTGGGCGGGTCTGCTTCGTGCGTGGGTGAAGTCGATGTTCTTGCTGGCAGCGAGGAGGGCCCTCTCGGCGGCTTGATCTTTCTGCTGACGGGCTCGAGGGTAATGGTACGCGGTTTCGGCGGGAGAAGGGGAGCAATGTCGACGCGCTCGACCAGGTAGATCTTCTGGTCATGTGAGATGACGGGGGCAATGGTGGTCGGTCGGGTCAGGGTGGCAGTGAGCATATAGGAGATGGTGCCTCGCTCAAAGTCGATGCTGCTGGGCAATTCCATGTCTTCTGGGAACTGCACCTCGAAGTCGAAGCGGTACACGCCTTCGTCCAGACGGCCGTCACCGCACAGGACCGACTCGTCCTCGAACAGCGAGGCGAAGCCATTGCCAAAGTACTCGCCCGACTTCTTGCCTCGCCCCTGAGCGCGGCCGATACGGTTGGTGTTTCCGCGCAACTGGTCGGCCGTGGCGCTGGGCGAGCGGTATACCTGGGCGAAGCCGTGCAGACAGACCGAGACGTGCGTGACTCTGACGGGCTTGACGACCTTGACGACGACGGCGCCCTTGACGCTCTCGCCGGGCGAGTACTGCTTGTGCGGATCATGCGCCTTGATGTGGAAGTCGGCAATGCTACGGCCCTTTTGCGAGAACAGAGGGGATGCGAACTTTGAGAAGATGCGACGGCCGGCCGACGGAGCCTGCGGGGCTTGCGACCGGGACGGCGACGACGAGCTCATGTTGCCGCGAGAGCAGGAAGCATCGTCACTGATGCCGAGGGACGACTACCTTGCGAATGTCTTGCGACAACCAGCTGGCGCATTCGAATTCGCTCCCAATTAGTCCGACTTTAGCTTGTGAGTGACAGCCGTTCGCGCCTGCCCCAATCTTGCGCTTGCACGACCAAGTGGACTCGCAGCAAGACGGAGTAATTGTGAGTAGAGCTCGTCACGTCTCACCCGCGTCAAACGGCCACCATTGTCTCTCGGGACCCTTGTGCTTGCACTGCCCCAAATGCTTCCTCGACTCCTCGCCGCACCGCGCATGAATAAGATACGAGTAGCTGCGCACCTAGATGAACGCATCTCTGACCATTGACATCGCGTAAGCCAAGACAGTCATTGACGTTTGCTGCCTTGGTGCCTTGGTGCTGCAAGTCCCCCGGCTTCCAGACTTGTCTGCCAAACAAGCTTCGGCACATGAGACAACCATTCGTCTGCTGCAACACCTCGTACACATTTTCCATGGTGTCACCACTATCTCTTCAATGCATACACAGCGTTTACATATGTTCCTGTTTCCATGACATTGCTGGGTGCTTTTGGATGCTGCTGCACACTGCATATCTTGAGACAAAGGAACCAAAATCCTACACCACCAACAGACACACGAAGATGAAGCAAGAGGAACTGACAAGAAGGAAACCATGCAGAAAATGAAACACGCCGTGCGCCTTGCTAAACCCAGATACTCATCTCTTGACATACTCCTTCAATCCTTTCCATCCCAGCTCCAGACACGCTTATCGTCCACGTTCTTCCACTGCCCCTTGTACACCTTGTCAGCACCCATCATGACTCCGATGATGCGACAAGCTGCACTGGAACTAGCGCACACTACTGCATCAGCATGTCCTACCACTGCCAGATCCAGAAGGTAGGCTCGTCCAACAAGCTCTCTCAGTTTCAGGACAGCCTTTTGCATCTCGTCTCCCATTTCCTTGTCGGACGCAGATGGGTGGCCTTTTCCGAGAGAGTAGAACAGCGAAGCAAAGAACCCTCCTTCCCACCCAGAGTTTTCGTCGACATGCTTGACGTAAGCGGATCCGGGCTTACGGATAGGCTTTGCAGGTTCCAGTGTCTTCTTACTTGCAAGCACAATGCGCTCTTGTGGTCGTGAAACGGTGAGATGTGAGGGAAGCGTGTTGATGAGATCGTGAGACGAGAGAATGTCCGGATCATCTGAAGCAAGGAGAAGAGCGGTCGGCTCCAGAGATGACTTGTTCGGCGAGAAAGAAGCAAAAAGCTCGCTAGCTGCAGATGTATAGCGCTCGAATGGGAGATAGTCGTGACTGTACTCGACCTCGAAAGGATGCAGATCTCCATGGCGGATGTGCATGCCGATAAGTGGCGTTCGAGAGGCGGAAGCAGCGGCACGCATGACCGTCAGCTTGTGTGCTAGGAAGGACCCGTCCTCTCCCTGCAGCTTGAAAAGATCTTCGTAGCCTTTGCGGACCAAGTCGTAGATACGACGGTTCTTCTTGAAGCCATGCTTGAGCGATTGTTGATACTCGGCCTTGAAAGCAGATCCGAAAGTCCAAGGCAAGGTAGCGGCTGAGACAACTAAATGACGAGCACTGTGGGGGCATGGAAGGACCCGGTTGGCTGGTGGAGGTGCACAAGCTGACTGAGGAGGCTGCTTGAAGTATGTAGTGTATCTCCCATACGACCTGATCAGGCATTAGCATAAATCCAGTCATCACAGATTGATATAGTCTTACCAATTTGAGTCGTCAATGAAGAATGCACGACCTTCCTTCTTAGCCACGCCGTAACTCAGCCAGAGAGCGAGCAGGGTGTTTCCAAAGCCAGCTTCATTAGTTTCCATGACGAAGGTCAAGCTGCTCTGACAGACGGCTAAATCGGAGCTACTTCCGTCGGTATAGCCAACGACTGAGATGTGCTTCTGTTCATCAGGCATGGCTGGCAGCAAGTTCAAAGCCTCAGCTTCGTCAACTGGCATGAAGGTTCTGTCTGCGGCGTAATAGGGACGCTTCCAGAAGTGAGGTCTGCTGTGACCCTGAATCCTCGATGGGCGACCGGTCATTGTCTCGACGCTTTTCCTTACTCCTTCGCTGGCCGAACATATCTGACTGTATTCGTGATGCGCCAAGGGGAAGCCAAATGAGGGCGGGATTGAGACAGTCCATCTAGGTTGACCGTGCTGGTCCTGAAAGATCAAAGCCGTCGGCTGATCGGGAAGCGGCGCTCCGTTGACGAGATCAAACTGTTTATCAGCATTGGCGAAGACGGCGTCAAATTGAACGTCGGTCGTGAAGAGAGGAGCCAGAGTGTAGCCAATCAGGACGATAGCAAGAACGAAGAGCATGACGAGAGTGCGCCAGCGAGGCGTCTTTTGCCAGTTATCGAAGAAGCCATGTCGATTCTCGCGGGCGTGCTTGAGCAGAGGTGAAGGCAGAGGGTCGGCGTCTTCTCTGGCCGGGATCCAGAGGAATCTTCCTTTCTCTGCACTATCTTGAGCGTGATCGGCGACGACAGGCGACGTGTGGGCTGAAGCAAACGAACCCGTGGACGAAATGGAAAGATTGGTATTCCTGCGGTCACGCATCTTGCCTGAGAGAGGGCCAAGTTGCATGAACCGTTTTTCGATATGCTCAAAGAGAAGCCCGACGAGTTTGGGACAATCCAGTCAGAGAGAAATATCAGAGTGCGGTCGTGCAACCTGATGCTGACATGTATGGGATGATGTGCAGTCCGGCTGTGCTTCTGCGGTCCGATGGCTGCCGTATCACAAAAGTACCTATGTTACGCAGTGGGTCGACTCAAGAGGGAAAATGGAAAGACGCAAACACCAATTGGGAAGAGAAGAGCGACCAAAGAAAGTCAGAAGAACCGGCTTCTGACTGTGTGTTGAGAAGAGACGGGCTACCAGAGCCACGGAAGATGCACGTTGCAGAATGATGCGGAGCTTGAACGAGGACGACAAGAAGAAAAACGAAGACGACAAAGAGAAGCACGAGTCGCCCTCGGCAGGAGGTGCATATATGCAGCGTCGTTATCCACCCAGGTGCCCCTCTGTCTGTGCTGTGTTCGGCACCTCTTGCAGTGACCAGCTATCCCTGTTTGCCTTTGTCTTTGCTGCACGACACAACACGAGACGAACTCATCAAACTATGGTGGCCTATCCCAATGTCAACAACAGCGTCGGATAGTCGTTCGCGCCATAGGGCTTGCTTCAGATCAGACGACATGTCAAGCCCGTTGTCACAGATCTACGTTGTTGGAGGCGAGTGTGAGAGAAAGAGTGTGGCTGCTCATGTGAAACGAGCCTAAGTTGGGAACGGCAAAGTCGCTTCGGGCCCGCCCGCACCAGCCATCTTCCAGCAAATCGCGCCTACCGTAGCCTGGAGGCTGAAGGCTGGAGCTTCGTAAGACTTCGTTGTATCCTCCGCGGCCTTGCTCAAGTCCTTCTATCCACGCTTCGGCGCAGTATGCACTTGTTTGCTGCTTGCTGTCAACTAACAAGGACTCTGCCAGGCTCAGAATATCTATTACTTGTTGACAAAGCTTGCTCAGACACACTAGCAACCAAAGTGCCTTTCCAAAAGCGAACTCGGTCTTGTATGGTTCCATCAGCATGTCGTCAAGCCGCGTCTACAGCTTAGTAGAGTTGCGGGACGAAAGGCTGTGCTTGCAGACTGCAAGGTCACACCAGCCCGATCACATCTAGATTCCAGAACACCGAGTCACCGACCTTGAGATGTATCCTGGACATCTGCCGTGACCGATTCGGAACAGGAACGCATACTCCATGTCCACCAGAACTTCATCCGTGGGAAGTGAGAGACGCTCGCTAGGGATACCTAGGAGCTCGATAAATATTGGAGATGCCAGATAAATGATGGTCATCTCGAACGGATCTCGTTAATCTCATCTCGCACATCGCGTCTATTTAAAAGCCAACCATGATGACGCTCTTGAAGGTTCGTTAGGGCTTCGTGTTTACCTTGCAGTTGGTCTTATCCTGAGTATTTTCGCCTGTAAGATGTTAGCGAGATATGCACTGGCGAGAGAAGCTTTTGTCTGTGTGCAAATACGGGCTGCTAAGTCGTGAACGGAGGATCTGCTGGAGCTGCGGCTGTGGCAGTGTTGAGATTTTCCAAGTCGAACTGCTGGTGGTAGCACCCTGTCACGAGTATAAATCCTCTTCCAAGAACGCAAGAAGTATGGTGTGTTACACAATAGATATGCCAGGGTGAGTCTGAACCTTACAAATTGCATTCATACAACTTCCAGGCGCATCAGAGTCACGTTGATCGCATTGGTGAATATCGAGCTTCTTTTGTCAGATGCAGGGTGAAGTGCTTGAAGCCCGAGCCAACTTAGCTCGTGCACAAAATGCTCTTATCACACGAGATCAGGTCGGACAACATGTGTGAGCATATAGGCCCCAGTTCAGTATCGGATAAAGGCTAGCTTAATATAAGAAGACAAAGTGCTAGAATCATCCAATGTCAAACTCGAATAGGGTAGATCAGACAGGTCTGGCGGCAGCCGGGGGTGCCGAGGATGAGCCGATTGGATAGCGAGGGCGCGAAGTTGCGGAGGCAGCAAACCATGGCGCTGACCAAACTCGCAATCACCTTGCAAAGTGCAGTGTGATCACGAACTTCCCCCGCCTATCCTATCTATCCTATACCTCGCTCCTCGTCAAACGCATATACTCGGAGCAGACTTGCGCCGATTGCACCAGCGCGCCGAGAGCAGAAATCCAGCAGAAAAGAAGACTCCACAATGACCGACTACGGTTATGGGGTAGCGGACGAGGAGCTGGCCGAGGTCAGGAAGCTAGAAGAAGAGGTGCAGGCTAGTCCTGACGAATTTGAGAACTGGGAAAAGCTGGTTCGCGCGGTGGAAGGGCTGGAAGGAGGCCTCAACAGAAACTCAAGTCCCCAAGCAATCACAGCGGCCAGGAGCATCTACGACCGCTTTCTCGCAAAGTTCCCTCTGTTCTTTGGATACTGGAAGAAATACGCCGACTTGGAGTTTGCCATCGCCGGCACAGAGGCGGCCGAGATGGTCAGTAAAGCCACTTGTACGCGATAGAACAAGTCGCTGATCGTTTTCCAGGTGTACGAACGCGGCGTGGCCAGCATCAGTATTTCTGTCGACCTGTGGGCAAACTACTGCAGTTTCAAGGTCGAGACAACACACGACGATGGCATCATCCGAGAGTAAGTTCGCACCGTCCCCTCATATCTGCATGACCTTCACCTAGACTACATCTCACGACTGTGCAATTTCTCGCGTCAAGCACAGACAAGATGGATCACTGATCCTGTCGAAGACGGGTGAGACCCCATCGAGACACTCCAAGTCTTTCTCATCTCACACACAGCGCTCAGACTCCCATCCCATGTTCAATTTCGAGCCTTGTCACTTTCTTCTCGTCCTGGTGGTTATTGGTCGAGAGGTTATCGGTCACGTCCGGCGTCGTAGGACTCTATGCCTTGTTTGGTTCTCCCCCTTCCCCTCTGCCTACCCACTCCCTGCCCCCCGCACGAGGCATGCATCGACTAACGAGCCTAGGTTGTTCGAACGAGGTGCCGCATGCGTTGGTCTGGACTTCTTGGCCCACCCCTTCTGGGACAAGTACATTGAGTTTGAAGAGCGACTCGAGGCACAAGATAAGGTCTTTGACATTCTTGGTCGCATCATAAACATTCCCATGCACCAATATGCTCGCTACTTTGAAAAGTACCGCCAATTGGCTGCCTCTCGCCCGTTGACCGAGCTTGCACCTTCCGACCTCCTCAATCAGTTCTCCACAGAGCTCGAGCCTGAGACCAACGGTAAGAGTCAGATTGAGGTGGAGCGTGCTATACGTACTCGCCTGGATGCCTACCACCTTGAATTGTTCCACAACACTCAGACCGAAACTACAAAACGCTGGACCTACGAACAAGAGATCAAGCGCCCTTATTTCCACGTCACCGAACTCGACGAGCCACAGCTTGAGAATTGGTCAAAATACCTCGACTTCGAGGAGAGCGAGGCCGACTACATCCGTACCACTTTCCTCTACGAGCGCTGCGTCGTCACATGCGCTCACTACGATGACTTCTGGCAGAGATATGCCCGCTGGATGTACGGCCAGGACGGCAAAGAGGAGGAAGTGCGCAACATCTTCCAGCGCGCCAGCTGCATCTACACTCCCATCGCTAGACCTGCTATCCGTCTCCACTGGGCTCTTTTCGAGGAAGCTTGCGCCAGACCTCTCGTTGCTGCTGCCATCTACGAAGCCATCCTCGTGACTCTACCTGGAAACCTCGAGGCCATCACCCGTCTGGCCAATCTTCAACGTCGCCAGATCGGTTACGATGCCGCCGTGCAAATCTACGATCAATACCTCGCTGACGACGAGTGTACGATGGATGACAAGGGCGCTCTCGTCGTCGAGATGGCTCGTCTGGCCTGGAAGTCAAAGGGTGATGCTGCCGAAGGACGCGACATTCTGTCACGCCAGCAGCATATTTTCCTTGATAGTCCTTCCTTCTGGGCTGGCTACCTGGGGTACGAGATCGAGCAGTCAACCGCCCTGGACACTGCAGCTGAACAAGCTGAGCGCGTCAAGGCACTTCACAGCACAATCCGCCAGAAGACGCGTCTGCCTGCTGATGTCGTCAGGGACCTGTCTCAAAAGTATTTGAGCTATCTGACTGAGAAGCAGAGCAAAGCCGCAGCCAGAGAGTATCTTGAACTCGACATGCAAGTTAATGGTCCTGCCTCTGTCACCACAGCTCATGTCACTCTTGGAGCAAAAAGAGCAGTTGCTTAAGCACAAGTCCACCTTGGGCTCGTTGAGCAAGCGTAGCCGGTGTGGCGGTGGATGAACCAACCTCGTACCAGAATCTGCCCCGTCTGACCTCAAGCCGAATAGGACTGGCTTTCAACCAGCCATTCCCAACCACGACTTGAGCTCTGCGATGTCCGTGCATGATGAGCAGCTTGGTCGACCTGAGTTCATTTCCAGGGCTCAGCAGAGTGACGAACCAAGCGACGGAAAACAGAAAACGTGGCTGTACCTTGCATGGTAGTCGTGGAAACATCACAGTTTATAGTAAACAAAAGTAAATAATGAATAGCAAAAGATGCCGGATTGGCTCCATGTCTCATGCCCGCCGTCATCAACAAATGTGATTATCAAGAAGCGGTTTTGTGTGACGGAAGCACGCGATAAGAGGTCATGAGGGGAAGGTCTATCTTTCTTATCTCGCGCCGACCTCGCCGTTGATGCCGATCATAGCAATAAGGGCAACTCTAAAGGTACTTAGCCACGCCCTCCATCGACATGTTTGTGACGATCATGCAAGTACTGTACATGCACATCGCACCCCTCACCCAGCTGTCCCTCCGTCAGTAGATAGGGTTGTCGCACTCGAGTATAAATGTGGCATGATGGCCGGCGAGTGTTTCTCGCAACTCCCTTCTCACGCTCCATTCTGTTCCTCGGCCTGTTCTTTGGTCTAGTTACCATTTGCATTGTCGCTATGTTGTTCTCTCCGTGGCTTGATACGCTCACTTGCCTGCTTGCATTTGGAGTGTCAGACATTGGCGCCACCGTTCTCAGACAAAGCTACACCCACTCAGCTCCTTCGACCTGCGATGCCCATCACGCTGGCAGTCATGAGCACAACACGACGCAGCTACATGGAGGTGTTGCGTCCGAGAGTACCATCTGTTCTGGTATTGGACGCGACCTGCTCCTAAAAGGAGGTACAGCTGCCGATGCAATGGTCGGCACTGTCTTCTGTGTAGGCGTGATTGGCATGTATCACTCTGGCATTGGTGGCGGTGGCTTCATGCTTGTCAGAGGTCCTGATGGAGAGTACGAGTACATTGACTTCCGAGAGTCGGCGCCGGCGGCTGCCTTCCAAGACATGTACAAGAACAACACAGATGCAAGTATTTACGGAGGATTGGCAAGGTATACACAACCTGACGAACAAAGCGAAGCCATATGACTGCTGATACTTGAGCAGCGGTATTCCTGGCGAAGTACGCGGATTGGCACATCTGCATCAAAGATATGGCAAGCTGCCTTGGAAAGAGGTCATGCAAGGTGCGATCAAGACTGCTCGCTATGGGTTTCCTGTCACGGCCGATCTCGTTCGCTACATGGCCTCTGCCACAGCAGGCAAAACGCCCAACTTCCTTGTCGACGACCCGGACTGGGCAATCGATTTCGCTCCCAACGGCACCCTCCTACAGCTCAATGACACCATCACTCGCCAGCGTTATGCCTCGACTTTGGAGACCATCGCGAATCGTGGCCCCGATGCCTTTTATACTGGTCCTATCGCCGAAGCCATGATCGAGACGCTTCAAGCAGCGAATGGAACAATGACGATGGAGGACTTGAAGAACTACACAGTCGCCATCCGTGATCCGGTCGAGATTGATTACAGAGGCTACAAGTTGAAGAGTGTGAGTGCGCCGGCATCGGGAGGGGTAGTGCTGGCAATCTTGAAGACTGTAGAAGGATATGATACAATGGGCGACGAGGCATATCTCAACCTCAGCACCCACCATCTTGATGAAGCGACACGCTTCGGATACGGCTTCCGTGCTTCGATGGGAGACCCTCTGTATGTCGAAGGAATGGACGAGTACCAGGCCGAGATCATCAATGCCACTACGGCTGCAAAGGTTCGCGGTCTGATCTCAGACACGCACACTCTCAACACGTCAGCATATGATCCAAAGAATCTCGAGATCCTGGAGACACCTGGTACATCGCACGTTGTCACCGCCGACAGCTCGGGCATGGCAATCTCGCTCACCACAACCGTCAATCTCTTATTTGGTAGCCAGCTAATCGTCCCGTCGACGGGAGTGATCATGAACAACGAGATGAACGACTTTTCCATTCCTGGAACCAAAAACGCATTCGGCCTCGATCCGTCCGAGAGCAACTTTGTCCGGCCCGGAAAGAGACCAATGTCGTCCATCGCTTGTACGATTGCAGAGTACCCCGACGGCTCCCTCTACTTTGTCACAGGCTCTGCGGGTGGTAGTAGAATCATCACGGCGACATTGCAGACCTTGTGGCATGTCTTGGACCAAAACATGACTGCTGCAGAAGCGTTGAAGGCACCTCGTTTGCATGATCAGCTCTCGCCCAACTACGTGAGCTTCGAGTACGCATACGACAATGCGACGGTGGATTACATGAAGAGCTTAGGTCACAACGTCACTTGGGTAGCACCGGGACAGAGCACAGCGCAATGCTTGAGAGTGTTGAGCAATGGCACATTCGATGTGGCCAGCGAGCCTCGCCAATTGAATTCTGGAGCATATACTGTATAAAAGGCATGAAGAGATGCAAGACTGTGTGTCAAGATAGACCGAGATGTAGAATTAGATCTAAGGAAGAAATTTGCCAAAGCATTCGATGGCTACAAGCTTGTTGGGTGCGGACTGATCGAAGCAGAGACTCGAGTCAAGCACGTGCATCCAAAAGTCGTATAGGCGAATAGATCAAGCACCGGCATCCAAAAAGCAGGAGCTGAGACGGGGACAAGGTCATTTGGCGAGCTCGGCAGCGAGGGGCCGTGGGTTCCTGCATTGATTTTTTGGCAGAGCATGGCGTCATTGGCGTCAGAATCTTGGTTGGAAGTTGGATTGAACGCGACTCTTTTGATGAGCGTGTACAAGAAAGTCGATGCGGCGCGTCATGATCGGTATGATGGCACAGATGGCACAGGCAGGTCCCACAATGTGGGAGGTCAAAGGTCGGGACGATATAAGAGGCTCTTGCCCTCTAGCAGACGCTTGAAGCATCCTCCATCTCGACACGTCCAGCACCGAGCAAGACGATTGTTCCAGCAGGCGCCATGCATTGCATCACGGCATCTCTCCTCCTCTCGGCGTCGGCCTTGACTGCTGCAAAGTACACATTCGATCCTCTGAAGCACATGTCAGGCATTGCTCCCTACTTTGAGCCCGAAAATCCTCCCTTCGACCCTGCCGCACCGCAAGGCTGCAACGTCAGCCGCGCCGCCTACCTCGTCCGTCACGCTGCCATCTACGCAAATGACTTTGACTACGAGTCGTACATTGAGCCCTTTGTCAAGAAGCTCGAAGCCAGCCAGGGCAACAGCTCGATCAATTGGGATCGCTCCCACGCTCTGTCCTTCCTCACCACCTGGACAAGTCCCATTGAAGATGAGGATATCGAGAAGCTGTCAAAGGTCGGCAACTTGGAGGCCATGCAGCTGGGCGTCGACGTCTACGAGCGCTACCCATCCTTCAAGCAGCCCGCGAAGATCTGGACCTCTTCGGCCGAGCGCACCGTCCTCAGTGCCGAGAGCTTCAACGAGGGTTTCGCCATCAAGGAGAATGAGACGGAAATCGTCCAGATTGGCGAATACAAGGAGACCGGTGCCGACTCTCTGACCCCCTACAAGGCCTGCCCCGCCTACTCTGGCAGCAGAGGAAGTAGCCAGTCCATGGTCTTCCAGAAGATGTATACTGCCCCCATCATCTCTCGCTTCCGTCGTGAGGTTCCCTCGTTCAACTGGACCGCTTCCGACATTTACGGCATGCAGCAGCTCTGTGGTTACGAGACTGTCATTCGTGGAGACTCGCCCTTCTGCTCTCTGGACCTGTTCAGCCCCAACGAGTGGCTCCAGTTCGAGTACACCAACGACATCATGTACCACCACAACACTGGCTATGGCAACCCTGCTTCGGGCGCAATTGGCTACCCCTGGCTCAAGTCCAACACCGACCTCCTCATGTCCAACAACGCCAGCCAGGACATCTACGTCTCCTTCACCCACAGAGAGCTTCCTCCCACCGTTCTCGTCGCTCTCGGCCTCTTCAACAACACGGCTTTCTCCGCTTCCGACGACGTCAACGCAACCATGCCCAACGACGGCATCAACCCCCAGCGTGTCTGGCAGAGCAGCAGATTCATGTCCTTCCTGACAAACATCGCCATCGAGCGTCTCGAGTGCGACAGCTTCGGCTACCAAGACAACTCGAACCAGACGGGCGAATACTACCGCGTCTTGGTCAACAAGAACCCTCAGCTTCTGCAAGGATGCGTTGATGGTCCTGGCGAGAGCTGCTCGAGAGAGGGCTTCCAGAACTTCATGCAGGAGAAGACACGGAGATTCTCTGCCTTCTCGGAAGACTGTGCTGTCACCTATGACAACTCTACCGACTCCTTGACTATCTACCAGTCTTGAAGAAAATGTGTATATATTGATAATGAAATAATGTTTTATTCCAAACATCCATTGTCTTCTCTCGTGACCTCTCGCGCAATGTTGCACGACGGTTTGCACCTGCCGTGTAGAATCGATTGTGGCGTTTCCACGCGTCTTCTCTCAGAATTCCACCCAGGCGGTGCAGGCGTCTTGCTTCTCGTTGATCGCACCTGCTTGCATACCTGTCGAATCATGTCACACCAAATTCCGTCATGCGTGTAACCTTCAGATTCGCCCTACGCTTTGTAGGCGTCGTTGCATTGATCAGTATCCTCGTCTTGTCATTCTCACAATCAACCATCGCGTACAAAGCATTGAACGACCGTCTGTCGACTCTCAAAACACCGTCAACATCCAGACTGCCAACGATAAATAACACACAACCAGTCAACTCGGTTCATGAGCTATGGCACATCTGGGCGGAAGTCTACAAAGACACTCGTCCAAATGCTCGCAAGATTGAGTTGATGTTCAATGCTGCCAATGTGCCTGTCTCTGCAGACGACTCTTCTCCCCGCACTCAACACACGCAACACCTCCAGGCTCTTGACTCTATACAGGCATTACAGGCTGCTCACAGCAAATTTCTCGCAATTTTGCAATCGTGGCCAGAGCAACTCGCCGATTCAGTGTTCAATGGCACCGGGGTGGTCATAGTAGGCGGCGGCGAGTACTTTGGCCCAGCGATTATCGGCATCCATATGCTACGTCGCAGTGGCAGTAATCTCCCCGTTCAAGTCTTTGTCGCTGACAAGTCTGAGTATGAGGACAGTCTGTGCAAAGACTATTTGCCCAAGCTCGGTGCAGAGTGCTTGATCCTGGCCGAGGTCGTGCAAGGCTTCAAAGTCACGCATTATCAGCTCAAGTCACTGGCTATGCTGCTCAGCTCATTTGAAAACGTCCTATACCTCGACAGCGATAGCATACCCTTACTTGATCCTGAGATTGAGGTCTTTGCAGCAGAACCATATACATCAAATGGATTGGTCATCTGGCCCGACTTCTGGATATCTACCGAGTCGCCGTCCTTCTACACTGTTGTCGGTCTTGGAAAGATGCCACCAGATCTACCCAAGTCATCTTCAGAAGCAGGACAGCTGGGGATAAACAAGCGGAAACATCTCAAGACTCTATTGCTGGCCAACTACTACAATATCTATGGGCCCGACTATTACTATCCACTTCTAAGTCAAGGTGCGCTCGGTCAAGGAGACAAGGAAACTTTCATGGCCGCTGCAATGGTGCTTGATGCTCCCTACTACCGCGTCAAGACGGGAGTCACTTCGGTCAGTCGTAGTGACGGGTCTCAAAACAAGGGCAGCGGAATGGTTCAGGTCAACCCCTCGGATGATTTGCGTCGACACGGCGGTGACGTAAGCGAGAAAGTCAGGCCAGCCTTCCTTCATGCCAATACTCCAAAGATGAATGCCGCTCACCTGGTCGATGAAGGCGATCTGTCGAACGTCGTAAACCACAAGCCATTACGGCTCTGGGGTCCTCGTGACGAGCAGATTAGGGGGTTCGGTATGGATCTCGAGAAGGCTGTGTGGGAGCTGGTCGTGCAGACTGGTTGCGAGTTGGCTGATAAGATTCGAGAGTGGTCTGATTGCAAAGACTTGTGTCGTCGTCTCAATGAACATTGGGATGGCGTCTTTAAGGACAGTGCTTGAATGTTACTCATCCCCGCACTTCAGCACACAAGACTTGGTACAGCTCGCCACTGGGCTGGGTTCCTTGCTGGTTGTGTGATGTTGCTCTCAACCTCCACGGCCCGGTCGTTGCTTGCGTCTGAGACCATACCGATTTGGCTGCCATTAGGCACATGGAGTTGCTGTGTGATCCAGGTCCCAACTTTGGCCAGCTTAGCTAAATCTACTCCAGTACCGATACCCATGTTCTCAAAGAGACACACGACATCCTCCGTCGCAACATTGCCCTTAGCTCCAGGACTATATGGACAACCGCCAAGACCACCGACACTGCTGTCGAAGGCCCTGATGCCCATACTGAACGCTTCCTTGACATTGGCAATGGCTTGGCCAAAGGAATCATGAAAGTGTCCGGCCAGCTTGGAAGCAGGGATCTCTGCCAAGAGGACATCCAACAAATGGCGGATATCCTTTGGTGTTGCTGTGCCTGTGGTATCGCCGAGACTTATCTCAAAGCACCCCATTTCCAGCATTTTCTTCGCCATGGCAAGCACTGTTGATGGTGATGTGCGGCCATCGTATGGGCAGTCTATAACACAAGACAAATACCTTGAAGCTGTCAGCGATTGTCTCATGTCTTTAATAAGCATTATCAACGCACCCTCGAACACTGATCCCTTGGCTTCTGGCCTGTTCAACAACTACGCGAGATCTTTCAAGGGACTCTTCCACGCTACAGTTGATATTTTTACGGCTGAACCCGTCTGTTGCAGAGAGGAAAATACCGATCTCCTTGACATCTAGCGCTGCAGCAGCTTCCAAGCCTTTGAGATTCGGCACCAGGGCCGGGAATGTAATGTCTTCCTTATCCACCGACGACTTCATGCTTTCCATGACTGCGTTGGCGTCCGACAATTGAGGAACCCATCGTGGTGATACAAAGGATGTCGCTTCGATGGTGCGAAGTCCGGTCTGGGCTAGTCTGTTGATTAGTTCGATTTTCGTTGCTGTTGGCACTGTCTCTTTTATATTCTGGAGACCATCTCTGGGTCCGACTTCGACGATGCGAACGCGTTCTGCTAGCATCTTGAGCGTTGACCAAAGAGATTACTGTTAAAAGACGATTTCATAATTTTCTTTTCAACCTCGAACCTCTGGAGAGAAAGTGGATCTCATCCACCGCATATATACGATGACTTGCCATGAGGCTGAGACAATAACGTCAGAGACCAACAACGATGACTGTTCTTTTCTTCCGGAATATGAGTGTTATCCGAGGGTCGAGCATCCCCACACATCCGAGCTGTCAGCCAACAAGCCTCATATCCGTCGGCACCCCAGAGGTCTTGGCGAGATATCGGACCTCGGCTTAGAATTCGGTATGGGGGACGGAACGTTTCACATGTCATCACTGGTTTCTTTGAGTATAAAGCAAGACAGACGCATATTCGTTCATCTAGAAGAACGGCATGGAGAGCTAGAAACAGCCTTGGTAAATCCTCGACTTAAGATAGGATGTATACTACCCCTACATTTAGTTTAGCTATACGATGACAGTACGAAATGCCCTGTTAAGATTTTTTTTTTAAAACACACCTAACAAGTTGCGACATAATTGATCATCAATCTTTTTTTTATTTTTTTACTCTTGTTTAATTCTTTTTCCTTGCGAAATTCCCTCGTATTCTTTTTTTTCTTCTTCTTTTCTTTCTTTGCTTCTACGGAGTTCCGAATTTCTTAATATGCATTAGGGGGGCTTTGTTCCCCCCTTTTTCTAAACCGAGAAAAAAAGAATGACAATTTCGCCAGCTGTATGCATTAGGGGAGGAAAAAGGGCTTCCTAGGGGCATCGACGATAAAGGTAAAACGACTTGATGCAATAAACAGATACTCGGGGGGCGTGATGACGTCCCGAAAGAGTAATAGACATTCAGAAAGAAGATATGCAGCAATGTAAAACGAATGATTGACTTTCTTGCATATCCCGCATGTACAAAGACTTTCATCCAGCTTCCCCGCTCCGTACTACTCTTTGACAACAACGAAAGTGTCCGTGTTCCAGCCATACGCTCGTTTTAATCTTCTACCCATCAATCTAGCCACGTAATATCGTATCTGGTCTTCATTCCATGGAGCGTGGAATTGAATACTCTGCTTGCTCTCTCCTTGCCCTGCTTTCGTTTCCGCAGGCTCTGCGGGAGGTGTGAAGTGCCAGATTGAACCGTAGAGTTTTTCAACACCAAAGTTGCAGGAGAGCATGGCGTGGATAAAGTCTGTCCATGTGGTATCGGCGGGAGTATCGTGGGTTGAGGGAACAAAGAAGAGAGTTGAAAAGGTCTTTTTGGCGCGTTTGTCGACTGTCAAGGCGGGTGTTGAGGAGGCAATACTGGCTTCATTCGATGGTGACTGTGTTACCTTGGACTTTGTTGGAGATGTCTTGCTCGGAGAGTCCTGAAGTGAAGCATGCCTCTTGTGACGGCCGAGTTGGAGGTATGTTGTTGAGAGCTGCTCATCCGAGGACTCGTGGCTTTGTTGGACCGGCGGTGTGGTTTTCTCAGTCTGCTTGTCTTTTGCGTTGATGGCCGAGATGCTGTTGATTTTACCTTTGCCCTTGTTGCTTGTCTTTCCATTCGCTCTGCCGTTCAGTTTGCCATTTGTTTTGACTTCTGCTTTGACTGGCTCTTGCCACTCTGTTGTCCGATGTAAGGACCGGTCTCCAGCAAGCAATAGCCTCATCATCTTGTCCGGAAGGGTTGATGGCTGTGAAGCAAAATGCGTATCAATCTCGTGCCAGAAGGCATCTAATTGATGCTCTGCCTTGTATAGTGCGGAAGCATTCGTCTTGGTGCGGCGATTGCTGATGGGATATGAGAATCGGCCATCTCCGGGTGAACCAAGCTCTGCCAGATCCACTCCTTGCCAGGACATCTTTCGGAAGTTTTCCCAGTCGGTGGCCTTTGTATAGAACTCTTCTGCAAGTTGCTGGCGGTTACGTGCCATTTCATGCTCAATGCTACGTGACCAGGGATAGTAAAGAGAGAGTTGATGCAGACATTCTGAGATGAGGCCAAGGTCGCCGATATTGTCAACGACCAGAGCGGACTGGAGGTCTTTTGCTTTTGTGTCGGCATACGTCAAGCGCTCGAGTTCGCCCACCAAAGTATGCAGACCAACCAGAGACACTTGCTTCTCGTCCCAGAGAGTCGTGTACACGCAGAAAAGGCGGTCCAAAGCTGGGTCGTTCTCAGAGCGCGGGTTCTGAATCATGCGAAACTTGCTAGAATGATGGTCTGCTGTGGAAGTGCCTTCTCTGTGCCAGTACTTCAGCATGGGTGGTGAAGGGGGAACGTGAGATTTGAGCAAGGCTATTGAGTTGGTGGCGGACATTTCCAGAAGATGTCTGACCTTCTTGATAGCGAATGCGAGTTCTGCCGGAAGTGGTTGAAGAGGTGGTGGCTTTGGGTACTGCTGCAATAACTCGTCGAGTTTACAAACCTCTGAATACGTCGAGTCATATAGTGATAATGAAAGGTACGAGTCCGTGATCATCTTCCTTAACACCCTGTTCCAGAAAGCCTTGGTCAAGCCAGCTTTGTGTATTGGGTGTTTGTTTCCTTGAGAATCCAATAGCATTTCCGGCTGATGATCCTTCCACTCGTTGACACAGTCTGCAAAGTAGCTAGGGTCTTCTCTTAATAGCCAGATGTGGTCGGCGATACTAGAGCGCTTGGCTGAAATGAGAGACTTCAGTCGAGATATGTCCAGCTCTGCAGGAGTGAGATACGGAGCATCCAAAGTATTTGCAGCCAGACTGGTCGAGGTATGCTCATGTGCTGACGAAGGCTGAACTTCAGGATCGGGCGAGATGGTTTCCGTAGACTCGGGAGCTACATCGTGCATGATACTCTTTGCGCATGCCAGCAGGAATTGACAGAGGCGTTGTTGCGTCTCGAGAATCAGCAAACCTTCTCCAAGCTTGAACCGATATCCAGAATGGTCGTTCACAGGGTCGCTATCGTCACTTTCCTGAACGACTTGACCGTAAGATTGGGCGTTTTCGCTGTCGTCGAAAAGCATGGAGCCTTTCAAGTTGCCCGTCTCAATCTTGCCAGCAGACAGGCCAAGCGCACACGCGTCGAGGTCGGCATGGCAAAACTCATAGGGATGATGTGTCGTACGAGATTCGAGAAATATCGGCAGAACTCTTGGTTGTAGAAGATCCTCCAGACTGAGGTACGGCCATTTGTATGCATCCAGTAGATTTGATGACTCCTGAGTGGCACTGTTGATAAACAGTATCAAGTCCGGTCGATGAGATTCACTCAGATCAACGCCCCAAGCCTCTTCAAGCACGACTCGTTTCTGATCTCGAGCCTTCTTGCGCCATCGTTTCCTGACCAAATCCTCGTGACCTGTTGTGATTGTCCTTAACTCATGCCAGTCGGATAAGAGGCGGGTCGACAAGGCACGTGCAGTCTGAATCACTTCGTCGAGCGATGACAGCGTTTTGAGTGGAGGCTCAATTTTCGGCAGGCTATCCTGTAATGATTGGAAATCAAGCATGATACAAGAAAGATGGAAGAAGGATATGGGACTCTGAGGTGTTTCGCGGAGCAGCTGGCGATGATGTAGGTCGTGCTGCTTGAGGAAAGTTTGCCGGGAAAGCGACGCCTCCAGATTCTTGCGCCTTCTACGGCGCGCTGTTTTTCGTCCTCCAAATTTCACCAGTCAATCATGTCTACTGAGAGCCGCAGCGTTCACATTCAGGGTGTGAAAGTTTATGCGTGCGAGTCAACGAGTCCCGCAATGTATATAGACTAAGTGCCTATTGGGCTCCATCGCCACATCAGCGAAGCAACATCCTCGTCAAGGGTCCTCCTAGCTCGCCTGCTTCGACGTGCAAGCAACATGTTCCCTCCCAAAGTCATTAGCATGCCAGCTCATACGCTACAGACAGCTCTAGAGCTTTGATCGCCTCGAAGATTGTACACTTCTCTGCCCAAGTATACTTTGTAACGGCAAGAAATGGAAGTTTTATTAGCTTCCTTCCACTGAATCCAGCACATTTGACTGCGACCATCTCAAGAAGCGGCCCTGGGGAGCTTGGAAATGCAGCCGTCCACTTGATCAAGGCCTCGTAAGTCGGTAAGTGTGTCCTGTCGTCAAAGTATTCATTAAGCTTGGTGAGTGCCGATGCTTCGACAGTCGAAAACGTCTGGCCCCATGGCTCGTACGTTATCGCTTCAGCGTCAATCAAAGTGTTCAAAATGTTGCTGAGGATAGTGTAGACTGCGCTCGCGCATGGTGATGGCACCGAGACGGCGTCGTAGACACGATCGAGGAAAGCGGTATCCTAGAGATCGATTAGATACTGACGCGCCAGTCAAAAGAGATGAGGACTCACAATCGTCTCGAGCAAATTGCTTGTACAAAAGACAACGATGTTGGGCTTGCTCCTGATACAATCCAGTGCGGTAAGGAGCTGATTGGTAGTACGAACAGTATCTGCACACTCGCCATTCTTGGTAGATGCTTGACGCGAGGCTGCGATGCTCTCAATCTCGTCGATCAGTACGCATACCAGCTCCCTGCTGTCGTTTGCCATGTTGAGAATCTTGTCAAACATCTCAGACACAAGTTTGCCGCTCTCACTGTAAAACTTGCTCAACAAATCTTGCGTGTTGATCTCGAAGAGTTTGCCGCCTCTGAATGTACGACTGAGTCTTGTAACCAGCTTATGAGCAAGTGCTCGGCTAGCTGGCAGTCAGTTGCGGCAATGACCATGTCGCGGGTCGTGACTTACCACAGCGTCGACTTACCACAACCTGGAGGACCGTGGAAGAGGATCAACCGATTGATGTTCATCACTCCAGGAAGTTTGTCCGCCTGATACAGCAATGCGACTTGGCCAAGTTAGCCTTAGGTCAGTGTTCGCAGAAGGCCTTGTGCGGTATACCTGTGCGCACCGTCTCATTCAGGATCTGCTCTGGATGGATGTTCTGTTTCTCATCGAACTTGAGACTATTGTGTTGGTCTTAGCATCAGAACATGTCATACTTTGCCAGAACAAGATACCTCTCCCAAACACCGTCAAGACATTGATTAGGTAGGTTGATGATCTTGGCCCGCGCATTCGTTGAAGCCAGGAAATCACTCGAAGTTGTGCTTTGTGTATGGAGGTGATAAGCGTGAACCTTGAGGTCGACTTTGGCGAATTCGAAGCAGCTACTCGTATTCTCTGACGCCATACCGGTGCCTGTGACTCGGACCGTGTGGATATGCGCATTGTGCTTGAAGTTGTCTGGTAGCTCTCAGTGGGTGTCGCATTTAAGAGCAGGTCTTGATGCGAACACACCAAACCGTAGTTCCTCTCCGTTGTTGACTGGGTGTAAGTATTCGTCGATCAGAAAAGTGTGGAAGGCATCCTCGATCTGGAACATGTCAGTATGCATTAGAAACATATCGCGAAGAAACTTGCTTCAGCTTTAGGAATATAGTCGTCCGTCTCGGCATCCTCCAGTTGTACATCGACGTGGACTTGAACCATTTCCGCAGGCATGATTGTGGTTATTGAAGAATGGGATATCTTACGGCATGGAGGAATGTGTCGAGAACTTGCAGGACTGTAGCATCATTATGTATCTTTTGAATGGTCATGCCTTCCTGGCCAGATGAATGAAGAAGGTACGCGTCGACTTGACTGGCGAGCATTCATGAGGAAACTACGATGCGGAACAGGTCCACCATCACCGGTTGTGTCATTTCATCTCATCACATGGTTGTTTGACCAGTGGTGATCGAATCAATTCATCAGATCAAGTGTTGTCATCTCCAAGCGAAAGAACATAGCGTCTCGGAGTAAAAGTTACTTGATTCGTTCAAGGTCATAATACCCGTCCGGTGCACTTGAAGCCGGCTTGCCGAACAGCTCCGTCCATTCCGTTGGTCGGGACCGGGAGGTTGAGTTGTCCATCAGCAGCAATGGCAAGTATAAGAGTGCTGTCAAACGTACACCTACGAGTTTCCTAGACTCAACCTCCAAAGCAAACACCTTCCGCATAATATCGAGTTTTGTTCGAACAGGAGACGCATATCTGATCATGGTCCAATCTACCACAGCTACTGCTACTTGTTTCTGCGGAACTGTGCAGCTCGAGCTGGTAAGGCTTAAATCTACTCATTCCTGTTTACCTACTAAGTGTGCACAGCCGGTCGAAGGCCCAGACATGCTCTTGTCAGTACTCCGAGGGTGACTCACAGCTCAAGCAGACGTCTAATTCTTCCCAGCACCTTCGTCTGTCACTGTACGGACTGTCGCAAGATCACAGCTTCCATGTTCACTTCAGCGTTCGTGGTTAAAAACACGGCCCTCAAATACGTCCGCGGCGAAAACAAGTTGACACAATACTCGACCTCAGTTGATGCCGGAAGTACGATGTCCAGCTTCTTCTGCTCCATTTGTGGCTCTCTGATGTACAGAAGAAGTTCTGGATACCCCGACGTCGCAGTCCCACGTATCGGGACAATTGATGATCTTGAATTGCACGAGACCAAATTGAGGCCACAGGTTGAGGTCTATTGCAGGAGCAAGGTTGGTTGGTTTGGTGGTGTAGAAGGAATAGAGCCAGAGAGGCAGATTCAGGCCCAGGCAGAGAATGTGATGTGAAACAGTCTGCTCTGTTGATTGGAAGCGCGAAGAGCATCTTGTTTGGGTGATGTGAAGACGATATTCAGGCTCGTACTCTGTTCGTTGGAAGACTGCAAGCAATTTAACACAAAGGTTTCAACATGTTCATCATTCTACTACGACAGGACTATAGGCTGTCGCCCGCCAGCACTTTTCAGTGTCATGTCTAGCTCTGGACTCCGACGCAATGCTCGATGTCTGGAAACAAGATGAAGGAGTACGCTTGTCGGCGGTGAAGAAGGAGCGACGGCGCATTGACCTGGACTGGGCCATTGCGTGAGGAGGCTGGCGTCACTTGGCGGTGTGCGATGACGCTTGACGCCTGATTTCTGGAAGCATGTGGTCTGGAGAAGTCGCAGTTGCCCGACTTTCGATTGTTTACACTCTGCACCTGCAGCAGCAATGGCCGACTTTTCCACAGCAGGAGGCAAGGACGACCCCAATGGACTGAACGACCCACGCCCGACGATTCTGCAAATCGAGCTCTCGGTTGCTCTCGGCATCTTCGCTTTCTTGACTTTCTGCTGGTTGCGGCCGCGATGGAGTGGTCTCTACGCTGCGAGAAAGAAGACAAAGGACCAGACATCGTCCCTCCCAGATCTCTCCAACAGCCTCTTCGGATGGGTACTGCCTTTATGGCGTATCACGGAGCAACAAGTGCTTGCCTCCGCCGGCCTCGATGCCTACGTCTTCCTCCGCTTCTTCAAGCTCGCCATCAAGTTCCTGTCCATCACCCTCTTCTTCTCGCTCGCCGTCATCAAGCCCGTCCACGACAGCTACCCAGACGACACCAAGAAGCATAGGAACTCGACGACGCCCCTTGTGCCCGATTACGACTACGACTACGAGCTGCGCAAGAGGGGCGAATCGTGGGCGCCCCTGAATCACTCTGCTCCGTGGATGCCCGAGGTCGAGACCGACTATCTGTGGATGTACCCCGTCTTTGCCTACCTGTTCACCGCCCTCGCCCTCTACCTCATCACCTCCGAGACGCGCAACATCATCGAAGTCCGTCAAGAATACCTCGGCAGTCAGACGACCATCACCGATCGAACCATCCGCCTCTCGGGCATCCCGCCCGAACTACAGTCAGAAGAAAAGATCAAAGACTTCATCCAAGAGCTGGGTATTGGAAATGTCGACAGCGTCTTGCTGTGTCGGCAGTGGGCCGAGCTGGACAAGCACATCATGGAGAGGAACGACCTCCTCCGTCGTTTGGAGGAAGCATACACCGTCTACCAGGGCCACCGTTCTATCGAGCGCAACTTGGAAGCGCTGCCCATTGCGCAGCCTGTACCGCCTGGCCCTTCGGTCAATCCCGAGGACGAAGAGCACGACGACGACGAGCACCGCCGTTTGCTCCGTTCCGACGAGTCAATGCCTGCCCAGACACCCTACGCCAGAGTGCGACCCAAGGCCAAGATCTACTTTGGTCGCTTCAACCTGCGCAGCCGCCAGGTGGACGCCATAGACTACTACGAGGAGAAGCTCCGCGTGTGCGACGACAAGATACGCGAGCTGCGCGACAAGACGTTCGAGCCCGTCCCTCTGGCCTTCGTCACCATGGACACGGTTGCTGCCTGTCAGATGGCCTGTCAGGCTGTGCTCGACCCTTCGCCGCTGCAGCTGCTCGCAAATCCCAGCCCCGCGCCGGCCGACATTGTGTGGACAAACACCTATCTTAGCAGGAAGAGCCGCATGTTCCGCTCATGGGCCATTACCGCCTTCATCGTGCTGCTGACCATCTTCTGGTCCGTCACCTTCGTCCCCATCGCCACCTTCCTGAACGGCGACACAATCCGCGACGTCTTGCCGTCTCTTTCCGACTTCCTCGACGCACACCCACGCATCGAGTCTTTCGCAACCAACCAGCTTCCCACCATTGCCGTCACCCTGCTCAACGCCATTGTGCCCTATCTATACGACTGTAAGTCCACCACCTTCTCCCTACCAATCTTTGTGTACTAACCGCCTGCCAGGGCTTTCCAACTGTCAGGGTATGACCTCTCAAGGCGATGTCGAACTTTCCGTCATCTCAAAGAACTTCTTCTTCACCTTTTTCAACTTCTTCATCATCTTTACCGGTCTTGGAACGGCTTCAAACTTCTACGATCGTTACAAGGATATTGGCAAGAATCTTAGAGACACAACTAGACTGGCCTGGACCCTCGCCTCTTCTCTGCAGGAACTGCTCGACTTCTACACCAACTACATCATCCTGCAGGGTCTTGGTCTGTTCCCCTTCAGGCTTTTGGAAATCGGCACTATGGCTCTGTATCCCATCGGCCTCATGGGCGCAAAAACCCCCAGAGACTACGCCGAGCTCATCCAGCCTCCTCGCTTCAGCTATGGTCTCTATCTTCCTCAGACTCTTCTCATCTTCATCATATGCATCGTCTACAGTGTCTTGCGAGACAGCTGGAAAGTCATTCTCTCTGGGCTGATCTACTTTGTCATTGGAAGCTTTGTCTACAAGTACCAGCTTCTTTACGCCATGGACCATCGTCAGCATTCTACCGGCAAAAGCTGGGTCATGATCTGCGACCGTGTACAGATCGGTGTCATTGTCTTTCAGATTGCTGTCGGTGGTCAGCTCGCTCTCAAGAAAGCTCTGTTGAGAAGTCTCCTTTTGGTTCCCCTTGTCATCGCAAGCGTATGGTTCTTCTATGTATATGGAAGGACTTACAAGCCTTTAATGGAGTTCATCGCTCTGAAGAGTGTCCGAAGCGCAGAACATGACGACTATGCATCAGAAGTACAACACGGAGCTGACTCTGACAATCATCACCGTTATCAACGAGAGTCCAACCACGGCTTGACCATTGATGAGTCGAGAGAGCGAGGCATGCGCTTCGTCAATCCAAGCATGATTTCTCCACTTGAGAAGGTCTGGATTGCAGATAGCATGCGCAACCGTAATAGACCTGCGCAAGCTCCAGTCGGCGACGAAGCTGCTTAGTCCCTTGTATTTTGATACCCACCTTTTGTATATACATATAGTCCTTATGCCAGTGTACATGATACCTCAAACAGTCCAAGTCCAGCCATCATCTCGTGAGAATCTAGCGCTTCCATCGGTGGTACATGTGTTTCGTATTATTAGTTCGAACGTACCTACGTTATGCTTATCTGCGTTAGGGCGGATTTATAGCGTCTACCGGGTACACGGCTTGCTTTTGCGCCCCACTCCCCCATGCAGATATTCGGTCATCATGACCCGCCGCGCGGAGTTGGAATCCTATACAAGGAAGCGCTTCCATGCATGGCTCTCAAGCCGGGCGGAGCTGCGTTCTATACTAAGCCTCGTGGGGGAACGACCGGAAGGATAACATCTCCCACCGTTCACAATCATGGATCATAACCACAGCTCCCACTGTACGAACTTCCATCAAATCGCTGATCAAGATGCGTCCTGGAGAATAGCACCACCACCGGCAAGTGATGAAATGACAGTGCCAGCCACACAACCATTCTCGCCCTCAGACTTAGGCACTCGTGCAAATGAAGAAGTTGTTCCACAGCCACGAGGAAAATCCGCAATGAAGCAGTCCTCTACAGATCGGAACAAGCAGACGACGGATCGAAGAAATAAGACCAAAGCAGCATGTCTAGCATGTCGAGAATGCAAAACAAAGGTCGCTTCCCGGTCTTCTCACTCCTGTTTATCCACCCTTACATTGTTTAATACACTAACGTTTAGTTCTCCTGACAGTGTGATGGACTACGACCTCATTGCAACACTTGCTCTGAAAAGGGGCGAATAAGCGAGTATGCAGTTCAAAAAGGCATGTCGTATCATGAGACCACAAAGGAAGGGTTGCAGTACTATACTTCTGTGTTGGAGTTGTTGAGGAGCTGTGATGGGATGGATTGTGAGCAGATCTTACAGGCGTTGAGGGACCATGATGAGTTGAGCGAGGCTGTGGGGTTTGTACATCAGCATTGGCTTGGTGATGGATGAATGCCGCCACTGTTTGGGGCCTGTATGGCATACAGAGGGTTCGTTGAGAGCACGATAGAGACGTGTATTCCGGCCTCCTCTGATCAAATTTGAATAAGCGCTTCATTGTTTATCAATCTGCTTGTATGGAGCTGAGTGGAGTAGCGTTCGGATTTCCTGGGAATCCTACCAAGCCTTTATTGGCAATCGCTCTTGTTCAGGGGTTCTCGTCGGTTGTCCAACCTCCATAGTGACATTCAGCTATTGCTACTCGGGCTATAATTGATGCTTGAAAAGATTGGAGGCTTGCAGATCGCTTACAAGGTTCGACCAGATGCACACAATCACGCGTATAAGGTGCATCACGCCTATCCCAGAGGATGTTCAACAAGATATTACGGATCCTCCGCGAAGAGTCCCCGTTATGCCCGTTCGACTTGATTGGTATTCTCGGCGATCTTATGGGGCTTCCTGTGTCGATTGTATCCATAAGGATTGCTGGCTCGGCTAAACGGGAAAAGGTTCCGACACGATGTATCAAGAGCTTTCTATCAACGATCTTCGCGACGCACACGGCTCAGCAAACAAATCCAAGGATCATGCTGCGTATAAACTTACATAAGATAACAATCTCATGTCCACGGAGGCGTCTCCATCCTTTTGCGTCTGCTCCATTCCTCGTACTTGCCTCGATCTCTTTCATCGGCAAGAAACAAACTGATCTTGTCAGCGGACCGTCCTCGCGGTACTTTCCTGGAGAAGCATAAATTGAGATGCTACCATGAATCATGCGATCTTTCTGGATCAGCCGGTCAGGATGAACCCTCGGCGCCAGTCCCGGCAATACCAGGCGGAGTCTGAACCACTGCCGTCTTGGATACCTCATGATTCTTCGACGAAATCCCCACAGTCGTCGCTGTCGCCCTGGATGCTGAGCAAGGAGTTTGATGCGCCTTTGGCGTCGAGATCTCCGTCATCCTACGGTCTAGGGATTTCTCCATCGATACTACCGCATTCTCTGGAGCAAGAACAGCCCATGGCAGAAGGTCCAGCGGCGTCATCACCATCTACAACGTTTGCACATGAACCGTCTCCAAAAGTAGATGCCAAGACTCCCACTGTCAAGCAAAGACGGACCACAAAAGCTGCTTGCTCAGCTTGTCGGAAACGCAAAGCAAAGGTTTGTCTTCGTCCCGTACCTTACGCTGATCTTTCATGAGGCTCGTTCGACTAACTCAAGAAACAGTGTGATGGCAAACGACCAACATGCAGCTCTTGCACCGACCTGAAGCGAAAATGCGAGTATCTGGCCGAGGAAGGTATTTCAAGCCAAGCAGCGTCCAGGAAGAGGCTAGAAGGCTACGCTACCGTGCTGAACCTGATACGGAAGGCCAGCGCTGGAGACTGCAAAAACATTCTGGACGACCTCCGAGGACCAAAGACAATGGACAAAGGTGTCAACACTGTGCTTGAGAAGTGGCAGCAATTCGGGACGAGCGAGACGCATTGAGATCCAGAATATCGTCTGCAAGCAAAATAGCAAGCATTAATACACATGGCTTTATGACCCGACATCCAATCAAAGCGGTCACATGCTACTCGAGTACGAACGCACCAAGTCCGATTCCCGATTCAGATCACAACTGCCAAACCAAAGGAGATGCGCAGACAATGTCGAAACTTACGTCCAAGCTATTCCTTTGATTCGCTTGGAGTAACAGGAGACTGCGATACACAACATGACATGCAGTCAAATGCGAGCCCGGTAATGTGCCGCCGAGCCTCAAGTACTTTGTCGACGCTTTCGAGCGGCATCATGTCCGGGGCGAATAGCAACGGAAGCCCATAGCCGCGCTGCCATTCCTGGAAGCCCCCAAAAGAGGCAGGTGCACACCTTTGTTCAGGTGCCTAGTCCGTTGTGCATCGCGTTGAGACTTCGTAGCAAGCATCGCTGGGGCCAGGTCCGATCTTTTGCCACGGCGCTTGGAGGGACTTGGATCATGCTCTGCTCGGCGGGAGACATGGTCGCTACATACTGCTGGTCTTTGACTCGCAAGGTGTTGCCTCTTGGGTCGGGGACTATTCACACGAATTGATTACTGCTACTTTCGTCTCGCAGCGACAGAGACTACGGCAGATGGCAATGCTGGGTCTGCCGTTCACCTAGGGAATGGCATGCCTGTTTGCAGTTTACCGTTTGATCGAAAAGCTTCGTCCGAAAGACTAGTCAGAAAACCGAGGTATCTTTTCTACCTTTTCACGCGGAAGGAATTCCGTCTGGCAAGAAGAACAAAAGCTTCCGTGCGACGGAAAACAAGGACTTGCATCCCGGAGAGTCTGTAGGCGAGAAGAGAGTTCTGAGAGGTGCATAACACTACAGGTCCACAGAGCCGCGCGCGGGCGCACTCAGCCGCAGAACTGCGGGCGTCGCAATCTCGTACCGCTGCCGAGAGGGACATAAAAACACCTTAAAAGACACATGGTCGCTTACAATTGCATGGACTTCTCGAGGCAACAGGAGTTTAACTCAAGTCAAGAGGAGCGGCGCTTGGGGAAATAGGAGATCGTGGACTATTGCGTCTAAGCGAACTTGATGATTGAAAGCATGTCTCCAGACACGTCCGAGATGAGTTCGCTGGGCCGATGCGTTTGCGATGCCGTAAGGGAGGTCCGGGAGGAGCTACGTCCATGTACAGTGCAAGGATGATCTTCTGCTTGATTGGAAGTACGCAGTTCTTACACGTTGCCGGTTTTCGACACAGTTCTGTTGATCCCGTTGAAATTTGTCGCGCATTTCTACCGTCGGGACAACAATCCGCTTGAGAGGGGATCTGCCTTGACAAGACTTTCATTCCCGGAACAAGGACACGAAAACCTGCTTGTGCAAGTTGGGCAAGGGTATAAGTTTCAACGCTCGTCACTATCCCGTCGTAGAACGAGAGATGTGCAAGCCGAAAAGGCAGATAAAAGGGGCTCAAAGGAACACAGAAAGGCATGAACGATACATGATGGTGTTTAGATCGCGATCGTGAGAGGAGTATACTCCGGCTATGGTATTGACTCTTGACCAGCGGCTCAGATCGACGATCTGAACCGTGTCACTCGAGATAATAATTTTCCCACCCAGCTGACTCTTAGTAATTATTATCGCCGACGACTCGGTCAAAGGCAAATGGACATCAATCTGTTCCGCGTAACCTCGGAGCGAAAGGGATGATTTGGAGTCGTCGATCCCTGAGGCTGGCATGGTGATGAAAGTGGCGTCTTCCATCCCACATCTTGATCTCTCAAGGACAGGAACTCCGGTGATTCGTGGCTACACGAGCCGATCACAACTGATGAGTCTGTGCTGACACATTGTGAAAAGTGTAAAATCTAGCGGATTCCACTCCGTTTTCATGAGGTTTGTGGCAGAGGCTAATAAATTCAAGGAGGAAAGCATCTCCATGCTTGACATCATTGGCGGCTCTCAGTGGTGTGTGACTTGACACAGGCGGCGTGGGTGCAAGCAAGCGATGTTGGAAACGGGACGCCCTCCGATGGCTTCTTTATAGATGGTCGCTGCCCTATGGACCCTCCTCCTTCTATTTCTCTCCTCCTGGTCTTGTTCTATCTGTTTTGCTTTCCGGAATTCCTGCATCGTGCCTTCCCTGAAAGCCGACTGTTCAGACCGACATCCCGATCATCCCGCATCGACACATTGACAAGACCTGCATCGTTTCACACACCAAAGCCGTCAAGATGAATATTGCCGCCATGTGTGAGCCTGTTCATGCGCTATACCCCACCATGGCATCGTCTGCTGCAACATCACCACCTCAGCAGCGTCTGCCCTCTTTGCCTTCTCTTTCGCGACTCAAATCCACATTACCCGCGCAAACATCAAACCAGCAACCAGATCAGCATGCTTTCTCATCACAGCATCCGCAACCCTCATCATCTTCCTTCCCTGAACCTCGACAAGTTTTACCACAACGTCTCGACTCCATGTCGTCAATTGCTTCGACATCACAAGGTCTTTCGCAGCAACAGCAACTGGCCCAGCAACAACAATTATCGCAGCAGCAACAGTTAGCACAGCCTCAGCCAACCCAGCAGCGACATCAGGAGAACAACACGATGCGCAGAGGCTCGTCGGCATTTTCCTCGCAAGCAAACACACAGACACGCCATCGCGGCAAGCAAACAAAAGCCGCATGTATTCCTTGTCGCAAGCGAAAGTCAAAGGTAATCTCACCCCTTGTACTTCTCTCTCTCTCTCTCTCTCTCTCTCTCTCCCTCTCTTCTCTCAGGGACGTGCCATTGACTCTTCGTTCCTCTCACAGTGCGATGGCATCAGGCCTTCCTGCAAATCCTGTAGCTCAAAAGCGACACCATGTGCCTATAGCGTCATCCCAGGAGTTACTCAACAACAAGCCGTCAAAAATCAACTCGACGCTTACAAGTACGTCTTAAACTTGCTGCGAGAAGGCAACAAGGACGATTGCGATAAGCTTGTGCTGGAAATCAAAAAGGGAGAGAGTTTGACAGACGCCATCCTCGAGATCGGCGGCAGGGAGAAAGAGAGTTGGGTTAGATGAATGAGACGATGAAGGGACGAAGTAGTGCGAATCAGGAGGATATGAAGTTTGCTGCAACCGGACGCATACGGGAGGAAGACCGCTACGGATGTCATACCGGAGAGAATGAGATGGCGCATGCCATCGCCATATCAGTGGCCAGACCCAAGAGACAAGGAGACGAGTGGGCTTTGCTCAGTTCAAACGAGGCCGAAAAACAAACAGCATCACACAGAGAGGGCAGAAAACAGACCGCCTCTCTAATGCTTTAATTTGAGAGCGTTGACATCGTGAATAGTTTAGTAGCTTTCTAATCCGGTAGCTCATAGCATTCCACTCCTAAAAGAAGACGACAATCATTCATGAAGTATAAATTTCATCATCGATTATTGACCCCGATTTGAAAGAACAAAGACTTGTGTGAAACAGAACAATCCTTAAAGAAACACACCACCCCTCCAAAAGAAAAAAAAGACCGATGCAACTGTTTTTAAGACACAGAATCACATGTCGCACACCCCCTTCAAGAAAAGGACCCAACTCCGCTGTTTTTTTTCTCAGATTTTTGGCATCACTAAAACATCACTAAAACATCACACCACATGGAAAAGTCCAACACGCGACAAGAGAGAAAAAAAGAAGAAAAAAAAAAAAAAACCAAGCAAGACGGGAAAAGAACGTACGTGAAATGTAGCACAAAAGCAAACAAAAAAAATTCGGATTTGTCGAATTCCTCTGGGACCTGTGTCTCCCGTCCCTTTTTGGACGTCTCTTGTCTCTCTCTGCCATCGAAGTGGGAGAGAGAGAGAGAGTGTGTGTGAATGGAATCAAAGGACTTGTGCTCCGCTGCAAGTGGGAGAGGGAGGTTTTGCGGGTTGGTGCACATTTTCATTTTTTTGATCTCTGGGAAACTGGAATTACAAGATACATGTTGCTCGATGAGGAATATCATGATGTGGTGATGCCAAAAACAAAAAAGGCCTTGATTGGAAGGGGTTCAAAAAAGCACAGCATCCCTTGACCTGAGAAATGCACCATGTTTAAATGCAAGAGAGTTAGGGCCACTCGAGGATTTGAGTGTGATTTTCTCTAGAATATTTTGTACACCTGAAGAGAAGACACGAAACGATGACGTGAAAAACAATAAATCAATGGACACGCGCGCGAGTTGTTCGTTGCCGGTCTCGTCATCATCATACATTTTAAGCGCAGCCAATGTATGCTGGCCCACTCCCCGAATTACTTGAGAAGCTTCACCAAGTGTTCGTCAAAATCAAGACGGAGCCATACGAGTCATACTACTGCCTCGCGACACCAGCAGACACCGGTCTTGGACTAGCTTGTTGTATGACAGGACTCTGCCTCTGCATGGCGGAAGGAGTCTGTTGCTGTTGAGGACCTGACTGCGGCGTCCCTGAAGCGGCAAGACCTTGACCACTACCCATCCTCGCCATCTGTGGAGTGGGTGTGCGAGCCACGGCGTTGTGAGGGTAGACTTGTTGTGGTTGAGCAGGTGCCATGTTTGGACTCGGCGCTGTCATTCCAGGTACTGGGCTGGCTTGAGGTGGACGCGGGCTGGCATTGTTTTGCCCAGGAACACCTTGGTTTGGATGCTGGATCTGGTTCTGTTGAGCTATGGCCCGCTGACGCATGTTTGCGGCGTACTGTTGTGCGCCGGCTGCATTGCCTGGCACATTGTTGCCGTTACCATTGAAAGCAGCGTGCTGACCATTTCCGTTGTTTTGCTGGAAGGCTGCTTGATTCTGTGTATAGGTCGGTGTTCCGTTTGACACTGCGTTGACCGCATGAGGTCCAGCAGCGGCGCTGAGGGCGCTTTGACGAGCTTGCTGATGGGACTGCTGCTGCTGTCCCTGCTGAAGGTGATACTGCCTCAAGCGTTCGGTCACAATCTTCTGAACGTCTTCCGCGGAAGCATTAGGATGTTGTGCTTGAACCTGATTTTGGATGGTCGTGATTGCCGGAGTGAGACCACTGGAAAGCTGTGGAGGGTGATTTGCTTGACCTGTCGGGGTTGGTGGTGGTGGCATGTGCGGTGAGGCAGCAGAGTTTCCATTTTGGTTTGACGGATAGTTCTGAACTTGCCCACCAGGAGTTCGAACATTTTGCATTCCATTCATGCCAGGTTGACTTGCCATCATCCCATTGGGGGCATGTAAGCCTCCAGGACTTGCGCGATTCGGTGGAGCCATCTGGTATTGTTGACTATTGGCCTTCATTTGAGAAGCCCTTTGAGCTTCGAGCACTCTTTGCTGCATGTTATCTGGAGTTCCATGCGCTTGGCCATTGGCGATAGGACGCATGTTCGGCTGCATCTGAGCTTGCGGTATACCACCACGTCCACCCATTTGAGGCGTGTTGAAATGAGATGCACCTTGAGCAGCAGCGTTGGGGTGTTGACTATTCGGCATACCTTGATGGTTCATCTGTTGAGGTCCGCCGGGTTGTGCCTGACCACCTTGCGCATGAGCAACATTGGGGCCAGCGCGATTGAGAGCACCTGCATTTGGATGAGCTTGTGGCTGATTTGGTAATTGACCATTGCGCTGCTGCATCTGAGCCTGCTGTGGTAGATGTAAGCGATTTAAATCATGAGTAGAAGACAGCATGAAGCTTACGCGTTGCTGTCCGAGCATTTGTTCCCTATAACGTTCTGCTCGTGCATGTGCCTGCACATCCCTCTCCTGTCGCATTCTACTAAATTCTTGAGGCGTGGGTATGCCGTTCTTCGGCGCTGCATTCTCGTGCTGCTTTCGCATGTGGGCGGCTTTTTGGGCTGCGGATCTGTTAGTTCGGATCTCGGACAAGAGACTTCCATGTAGACTTGCCTTCGGCCTGCTTGTGTGCCTGTTGTTCCCTTTTCCTAGCAAGTTTACGCATGGCGTCCACCATATGCAGGTAACGATTTTGCCTACGCTTGTCAACCTTGAAAGGCGTTGTCTTCTTTCGCATGATGGCTGGCGGCTGTCCGGGAGTTTGTGCAAGTTGTGCCACCTGTTGTTGATACTTGGCTTCGTTATTACGATTCGCACCTTCGAGTCGTTGATTCCAGGTCTTGAAATAGAGTGTTTTGCGCATCTCATTGGGCAGACTCTCCAATTCTACCCATCGCTCGAAGCACTCCCATGGTGTGCGTCTGTCAGATGCGCTGGTAAACCTGGATGATAGCGACAAGTCATCTGCAATGAGCGACCAATTGAACGAGTACTCTTTGGCAAGGCGACGCAGAGCTTGCTGATCTTCTTCAGTCCACTGCGATGCTGTTCTGAATTCGTAGAACTGTGAGGATGGCATCTGGAATTCGGAGGGGGGTCGGAAAGCCGTGTTCTGGTGCAACCTACTCCGCAAAAGCTTGTTCTCGGGCTCGAATAGTGCAACGTCTGTTTGCTCTGGTCGAAGTCCAGAATCGTCTTGGCTTGCGCGAGGCCTCTTTGCAAAAGGCATTGAGTCCTCGTCGGCAGAATCATCATCTTCGCAGTATTCATAGCGGCTTCTTTTCCTCGGTGGGCCGCTGACGTCAATCATCATTTTGGCTGAACAAAACTTTGATACAGCCGGTGTGGGATGCTTGAAGGTAGAATGGGCAGGAGTCTCGTCCTCCTCGAATGGAGTCAGCAGCGGGAGTTCAGCAAGAGCACTATGGAAGGATTCATTGTCTTGCAAGTGGAAGGTGTCCTTGTCCATGTTGATGGCCGGGAAGAAAGAAGATGGGACAACTGTCGCATACTGCGGAGTCTTTGGCATGTCGAAGTCCTCGACGCTTGACTCGGCGTCGTTATCCAGTCCAGGAGGCGACTTTGAACCTGAGCTCTGTTGGTCGGCGTTGTCGAGGTGAGATTCAGCAGGAGACTGCGGAGCTGCTTCGACCAACTTCCAGTCGACGGGTGGTTTGGCGTTAACCTGCATCGACAGCTGGGTCTCTTCGGTACCGTTGCGCCACTCCGCACACTGCTCAGCAAAGAACTTTGCTGTGGCTCTCTTCATCTTGCGCTCTTGCCGGAAGTCGGTCCTCATCCATTTCATCTCGGCCATAAGGTGGTCCATGTGTGTCTTGGGAGCGGCTGGTTCAGCGCAAGGCTGCATCTGCCTGAGAGACCAGCGATTTGCATTCTGTAGTTGATAAATCCTTCTGAGAATGCGCTGGTCCTGTCGCTCATGGTATCCAGCGAACTGTTCCGTGGTTGTAATGACTTTGCTCGCTTTCTGCAGAAGCTCGTGCAGCGGCTTTCCATTTGGAGGTTCGTGGACTTGTATGCGATAAAGAGGTTCCAGATAATCTTTGGTGAGCTCAGCAGACGCACCCTTCAAAGCGTTGTAGCCCTCGTTCTTCATAAGCTCTGAGCATCGTACCGACACGGGAGAAAGCGGTTGGTCCTTGGTGGATCGCAGCGGCCGTCTCAGCACAGGCTGTTCCGTCTTGACCTTGAGAACGTCGCCTGTCGTGCGAGCGCGCCCTGTGCCAAAAAGCGATGGTCTTGCCGCTTCGTTTGCCTCCAACGAGGACGACTGTTTGCGTGTCGAGACAGATGTTTCAACGACGGCAGTGGCGAGCGCAGGATCTCTGGGTGGCATACTGTCGACCAGTGAGGGCCGTGGACCTCGCTTCTTGTGAGTCGCGTCCGAAGCGGAATCCGAAGGTGATGCGGAGTGAGAGTGAGCAGAGCCCGCAGCGCGCGAGTCTTCTGTCGTCGTAGGCGCATTGCCGCCGTCGATTGTCGCTGCCGAGCCCTCGCTCGAGATGGCATCTCTGGTCGCTTTGGCGGCTTGTTCTTGCTCCAGACGCAGTTGGACATCAGGAGAGTCGTCCTCATGGCCCAAGGCCTCACGGTAAGCGATTTCCTTCTGCGACTGTAACAGCTTATCATGGCGCTCCTTTGCGAGCACTTCCTCGGCTGATGGCTGTAGACTGGGAGGCTTGGGCACGGTCTCTTCATCGTTGCTGGTCAAAGGTGATGGTCCGAGGGGTTGAGGGGTTGCCATGGAGGCAGCGTCGACAGCAGAAGTTGGCGATGACGTGGCTTCGACTTGAGATCTTTCGGCATCAGCAACGTCCCTCCGGCGGGCCTCTTGACGTAGTTGCTTTTCGCGGAATCGTTCTTCCTGAACTTCTTTGGGTGGTAGATGGGCAGTGCGAGCACGAGATCCACGATTCTCACGGCCAGGGAGATTAAGCGACGCAGAGTCATACGATGGACGGCGAGAGCTATCAGCGTCGAGACCGGCATCCTTTGGTGACCTTTCGATGTTATCTGAGTCAGTAGTCGGGACCGATGCGTCAAAATCCCCAGCAGTGACTTCTGGGCCAGTCACAGAAGACGCATTCGGCACAGCCAGAGCCTTGATCGCGGGGTTTTGCTCTACAGCGTCCAGAGAGAAAGGTAATAATGCATCCTGGAAGTGTAGCCCTCTGCAAGGAAGACAGAAAATGAGAAATGATTATAATAGAAGGCAAACACATTACTTACTTATCCAGATCGGCAGCGCCGAGAAGGGCATCCTCGGATGGAGTGTGTGGTGGAGATGGAAGAGAGTCATAGTCGAGGTTTAGAGCTGGCGGAAGGCCACAATGCTGGGTGATGGATTGGGTAATTTGGTTCAAAGCGCGAAGACGGGCAGCACGCTTCGTCAAGGATGCCCTACGAGAGTCAAGTCAGCACAACTCAACGACGACACCACGAAACAATGAACGGAGCGATTATTTGCTTTCGCATTGCGCATGCGAACAGAAGGGTGCAAGGTGCGCCCGTAAAAGACGACGATCGGAACTCACGCTCTAGCATTGTTGCGTTCAGTAAGCGGTCCATGTCGCAAGTGTGCTAGGGACATGTGTTACGGAGCCGAGCATTCACAGCACCAGTCATTCAATGGATGAAGACGGGTGTGAGAATGTTTCGATGGAAATTGACGATGGATATGCGAGTTAGATGCGTGATCCTCGATGGGTGCGCGACTCAAAGACGACGACGCCAAGCGACACGACGATCCCGAGCGCTGAAGAGCCGCCAGCTCGGAACTTTAGTCTTTTTTGCAAACAGAAAAACATCCATTACCACCCCAACACGCAACAAGACTATCGCAATGGTCAAAAGAAAGAGCGAGGATGCGCAGCTGGGCGCTCGTGCTGTCAACGGAAAGAATGCCAGATTCGCCGAATCGCCCAAGGCAAACAAGCCCGTCAAGAAATCTCAAACCACAAAGGCCGCCAAATTCTCCACCAAGCCCGCCGTCGCAAAGAAAGAGCCCAAGTCCGAGCCCAAGTCCGAGTCTATCTCTATTCAAGTCGTCACCGGATCATACGAACGAGTGCTCCATGGCTTCGCTGCTACCATCGACGAGGACGTGATCGGATCAGAAAAGTCACCAGAAGAGCAGAAGGAGCCTACATACTCGGATACCTTCTTGTTTGCTGCCCACTCGAGCGCTGTACGCTGTTTGGCCGTCTCAGCACCCAACGAGGCTCACAAACGTGTCCTTGCGACTGGCAGCACCGACGAGCGCATCAACCTGTTCAACATCTCGACCTCCCCGCCAGTCGTCAGCTCAAAGCCCCAACTCCCGTCCCTCTCGGCCACCAGTATCATCGAGAACCCTCGCAACAAGGAACTCGGCAGTCTGTTACACCATGCGCGCAGCGTCAACAAGCTACAATTTCCTACCAGGGGCAAGCTCTTCAGTGCAGCAGACGACAACACCGTCGCTATCTCAAGGACTCGCGATTGGACTGTCCTGTCGACAATCAAGTGCCCAATCCCGAAGGCTGTTGGAAGACCTAGCGGCGACACTGCTGGACCCGGAGAAGTGCCTACTGGAGTCAACGACTTTGCCATTCATCCCAGCATGAAGGTCATGGTTACTGTGGGCAAGGGTGAAAGATGTATGAGATTGTGGAACTTGGTCACCGGCAAGAAGGCAGGAGTCTTGAACTTTGACAAGAGCTTGTTGCAAGCCGCTGGCGAGGGCAGGTATAGCAGCGGTGAAGGCAGGAAGCTGGTGTGGGGTGAGGACGGCGAGGAGTATGTTGTTGGGTTCGAGAGAGGAGCTGTGGTCTACGGCATGGTGAGTGACACAGCACGTACGAATTGAAGAACGGCGACTAACAAGATACAACAGGACTCGATGCCCAAGGCCATCATTCGCCCATCACCACCTACCAAACTCCATCAAATGCGCATTGTGCCTGCTGGCGAAGACAAAAGTATTGTCGCCATCTCCACCGAGGACGGCAGAGTCATCTTTTACGACTTGAAGACAACGGTTGAGAGTGAGAAGGAGGACGAGGAGGTACCACAATGCGCCGCGCTGGGTCAGCTGGGAGGTAATCAAGCTGGCTTCAGCAGCAGAGTGAAGGACTTTGAGGTCGTGCAGCACAAAGCAGGAGCACCCCTGACCATTGTCACGGCTAGCAGTGACGGAGCAGTCAGGATTTGGAAGTGCGGTCTGTCTGATATCCTGGCAGGTGCAGAGGGAGCGACGCGTCAAGTCGGCACGCCGATAGGAACGCACGAGACCGGTCACCGCATCACATGTCTGGTGGCATTTGTGATGGACGGCCCTCCGGAGGTGGCAGACGACGACGAGGATGATGTGCAGGACATGCCCAAAGAGGCAGGCAGCGATAGCGACGACGAATAGATAGGCTAGGATGGACGAGTCGTTGAAACAAGCACACGAGATAAGGTAGCTGTTGATATAACGAGTCAGAGTTGTGCATGTGAGCACTCTCTGGCAGAGGCTTGGCGTATATCATTTCGGCAGCGGTTGCCCTAATCAAGCGGATACGAGTGTTCGGCCAGAACGTGCTCGCGAGTCGGGTGCAGGGTCTTCACGCTGCTGCACTGGCATTGCGTAGAGGCTGAGCCGCTGAGCCAGTGACCTCGCGCACGCTAATCTGTACATGTTTACCCTGTTGTAGCCAACTTTTCTTTGTTGTCGTTGATCGCTCCTTCCTTCAGCAACAAAGCCGACCCTACGAGGAAAGAGTGCGCATGTCAGAGAACCGCAGCGGCACATCGCCGCAAGCCATTGGGTCGGGTGCCCCACGTTCGACGTCCCCGTACGGTGGAGGCTCGCCGTCTCGCAGCTATTCCACCGCGCGACTCGCTTCTCCCGTGCCCTTTGGCACTCCCCCGATCAGACAGATCCCGACGCCGCGTCAACTCGACGGCCAATACGATGACGACCAGCCTCTGCCCGGCGCCTCGTACCCAAGAGGATCAATCCCCGGGCCCGGCCCCTCATCGCTGTCGCAGGCACTGAGGGGAGGCTTCGCCGGCAGCCCTCCTCGCTTCGCGTCTCCCGCCCCGACAGGCTCCGCATACCCCGACGATGCCTCGTACTCGCAAAGCCCGAGCAAGAATGAGGACATCGAAGTGCTGCGACGACACCTGGTCGGTCCTGCTCCTCGTGCTTCACAACAGAACCTTCAAGTCTCGTCCTCGTTCCAACGTCCGTCAAACATGCCAGACGTCGCCAAGTCTGTCGAGCAGGGTCCTGGCATAGACGATGAGCACTTTTCGAGTCTGCAGTTGCAGGGTGGAGACATGACAAGACACATCTATCGCTACACCGAAGAGCGCGAGCGTGAAGAGGGCGAGCGCCAGGCTCGTGAGACTGGCCGGCTGAAGCGAAGTCTGAGTGTCAACCTGCCCCGCCCCAGCGAGGAAGACCCGGAGCTGTCCAACATCAAGATGCCTGGCGGCCTGCGCAGAGACTACATCCGCCGAACCGCTGCCTCTCCTGCTCCCGAGACACGCACCTCCAGACCAAACTACGGCTCCACCCGCGCTCAGACCGAGCCCCCTGCTCGCCAGCAACCCCAGTTCTTGGCCAACAACTTTATCGAGTTCCTCACTCTCTACGGCCACTTTGCTGGTGAATCGCTCGAAGACGACGACGAGGCCCTTGGTCCTGACGAGTACTTTACCTCTGAGGCTTACGATGACGACGACGAGAATCAAGACAGCCAAGAGCGTGAGTGGGGTGAAGACAGCGCTCTGCTGACCCCCGGCAAGCGCAAGCGCAGAAGAAAGGAGCAAGCCGGTAAGGGTAGTCCTGGTGGTGCCGCCCTTCTTCTGCTCAAGTCGTTCGTCGGAACTGGTGTCCTGTTCTTACCCCGTGCCTACCTCAATGGTGGCATGATGTTCAGTAACATCGTTCTTCTCAGCATTGCCCTTCTCAGTTTCTGGTGTTTCATCCTACTCGTCAATGTCCGCCTGAAGGTTCACGCCTCGTTCGGCGACATGGGCGGCAAGATCTACGGCAGATGGTTCCGCAATCTCATCAACTCCTCTCTGGTCATCAGTCAGATTGGTTTCTCTTCCGCTTACATCGTCTTCGTGTCGGAAAACCTGCAAGCCTTTGTTCTGGCTGTCACAAAGTGCCGCACCTTTATCGACATCAAGTACATGATTTTGATGCAGATGGTTGTGTTCTTGCCTCTCAGTCTGTACCGTAACATCAACAACATCCAGAAGCTCGCTCTGGTAGCTGATCTCTTTATTGTTCTTGGTCTTGTATACCTCTACTACTACGACATTCTCACTCTGGCCAACAACCATGGTATCGCTGACATCATCCAATTCAACAAAGACGATTGGACACTGTTCATTGGTACTGCCATCTTCACTTTCGAAGGTATCGGTCTCATCATTCCCATTCAGTCTGGTATGAAGGATCCTCAGAAGTTCCCTCGTGTCTTGGGCGTTGTCATGGTTGCAGTAACTGTTATCTTCATCTCCATGGGCGCTCTCTCATACGCCGCCTATGGAAGTGCGACCAAGACGGTCATCATCCTCAATATGCCTCAGGATAACAAGCTGGTCAACAGCGTGCAGTTTATCTACTCTCTGGCCATTTTACTATCAACTCCCCTGCAAATCTACCCCGCCATCGAGATTACATCTCAGCAACTCTTCAGTCGTACCGGCAAGTACAACCCTTGGATTAAGTGGAAGAAGAACATTTTCAGATTCTTCATGGTCGCCTTGTGCGCCGTCATCGCATGGGCAGGCGCTGGACAATTAGACAAGTTCGTCGCTCTTGTCGGAAGTTTCGCCTGCATTCCTCTGGTTTTTGTCTATCCCGTGAGTTGTGTTGTTATTCATAGCTGCTTCTTGACTAACCCATCTACAGCCTCTTATGCACTACCGAGCTGTCGCAACCCGCTCATGGCAACGTTTCGCCGACATCATCCTTGTCATCTTTGGTCTCTTCATCATGGGCTACACTACTGCTTTGACGGTCATGAGCTGGGCTTCCGGTGGTCCAAAGGAGCCCGGATACTGCGACGAGAGATGAGAAACTTTCACACTCACTTCTTAGATGAGTTGTCGCTTGTTAGATTAAGTGTTCACCACTGAACCTGTGTGGTTGTCGTTTGGAGTCGATCATAGTCTCGTGTTTATGTCCAACCTTGAATGAAGGATGTTTTGCATGGCGAAGAGGCCTTTTCGCACACGAAAAGAACGTATCGATCTCTTTTTTTTTGTCTATCTATCATAGGCGCTATGACAAGTAGCATCACAACCATAATCTTGTCTTTGGTGATTGCAAGAAGTTTTGGCACGTTCGTCTTTGTTGCTGACATAAATGTCTAGGTGTGAATTGGTCTGGGTTTGAGCTTTTGTAACATCCCAATTGAGCCATCGTGGCGACCAAGAGAGCGACAGCAGGTTCTAGACAGGGTCGTCCCCAAGTCATGCCGACCAAGACTTTTGGCTTTCCCTCCTTTCGTGCCCTAACGTCGCCATCCGGAAGTCCTTGCCGTCCTCAGAGGGCACAATTTCTCTTGCCAACAATCACCATTTGAGCCGCTGACCCCGACATACAAGGTCACTTGTACCTAACTCGTCGTTATACAAGGGGGGTGCAAGAACGGATTACTACCCCCCTTCGCCGAAGTCTAATTTAGTCAGTTCGCCACTAATCTCGGCATCAAATCGCGCACCTCTCGCGCTCGCGCTTACGCTTACGCACGCTCACGCACGCTTACGCATACGCACGCTGTTATATACACTATAGATCCGACTACTCCGAACCGCGTAGCTCGTTAATCTAAGCGTAAGAAGCCTCCTAATACACGACTGACGCTTAAATAACGCTATACGATCCTCGCGCTCTAGCACGTCGCTAAATAGAACAAATCTAAGATCGAACGAGAGATAAAGATATCTAGATTAACCGTACGATAGGTTATTAACTACCTAGAGACACCCCTAAAGCCGAAGGGCCGGCCGCTAGTCTATACTACACCTATTCGTTAACGACTAGTCGCGCGAGCTACTCTAAACGCTAAATATAGACGGAATTAGTTCGAAGAAATCGCGCTTCTTAAGAACCTTAACCTTAATTACTATATAATTCGAGCCGCCTTCGAACGAGAGAGCTACTTCCGTCGTATATCTACGTAGAAGCCTCTTATTAACGAAAATACACGAATTCTACGGCTTTAATAGGTATATAAATATAGGTAGTAGACCCCTAATTAATAGGTAAGAGTTATATAGTATAAAGGGCGAGGCCTTAGAGTAGGGTACGGGCGGTACCCGTACGGCCTATACGGCATCCTTAGCGTCCGTACATTCTTAGATAGAGCCTACCTAGATAGACTCTCGTTCCTCCTCTTATCGAACCTATTAAATACTAAACTATACCGAGCGTCTATATATACGACGCTTACCCGTAATATTAGGTTTAATTAATTTAATATATACATCTTCTACTAACCTTACTCCTAACCCCTCGGTAAACTAACTAGAGAACGGAGATACTAAATAGGAGATACCGCTTAGGGAAATACGACGTATTATCGAGACGCTATACGTCCGTTAGTACGCGTTAGAAGCCGAATTAGCTAGTACGCGCTCCGCTCGTAATAATATAAAAGCCGCCTAGCGCTTAAAGGCGCCTAAGGCTAATTAGTCGGGAGACGCTTCCTTACTAGTCCTAGTAAAGGCGCTAATAGAGGCTCTCTCCGCTACGACTATCGTAAAGACTATAAAAGAACTATCGGGACCTAGAGACTAGTAACCTCCTTTCTAGGACGGCCGAGCTAAAACGTTCTAAGACTACCTTCTTAAGTTAAGAAGCTCGTACTACGTACGCTCCGCCTTAAAACCTACGCTCTCTATAAAGTACTACTAGAACACTATTTACGATACGCTTTCCCCTTATAAAAGAGCCTATATACGCTACTTCTAAGAGAAGGGAAGCTCTATAAATAGAAAGGACCCTAAAGCTTTCTTTACGTAACTCGAATACGTCTTTACGGACGGTAATAAGTAAGTAAAAGCCCTCGAATAGCTTACTAACCTACGATATAGTACTAGGTAACCTTAGTATAAGTACTAGCTAGAATTCGACGGACTCCTACTTAGCGCTAGCGGAGATAGCTAGCCCGATTCTACTAAGATCGGGTACTTAAAGAATACGTTCTTAAACTCCGCGAAGATCTATATAGTAACTATTTTAAAAAGTAATAACTACTACTTATTCGCTAAGGAAGTAGAGCGGATTATAATAAACCTAGAAACGACGGACTAGTTCCGCGCTACTAATAAGAGGTAGAATAAGGATAAGAATAAGGATACCGCTATAATTATAATAGGATACGTAACCGACCTTAGAGTCCCCGCCTCTACTAGTTAAGTAGACGCGGATAAAGATACTATAATAGCTCTAGTATAAACGGTTAAAGACTATAATAAAAGGTAAAGAGACCCTTAAAGGAATAGCGGGAAATAGAAGGCTAAATAGGTTAGCGTCGAGAAAAGAGAGAGACGTAGAAAGAATAGACTCTATTTCCGCTATAGAGTAAGTAGATACCGTATTAAGAAATACCCTTACGTACCTACGACTCGGCCTACTACTATTAATACGGTTAGCGCCCTACCTCTCCTAAAGGACGATACTAAAGTATCGGACTCTATAAGTTATAAGTCGGGAAAAGGTTAGCTCTCGCTTAAAGATAAGAGATAAGAGTAGGAAACGTAGTACTAGTAGTAGGATAGGCTAAAGCTAAGAAGATTATAAACGGTAACCTTATATATACCGACGTAATCCTTAAGAATAATACTAGAACCTCTACCCTTATTAATAAAGGATACTAGTACTACGCTATAATTAACGAAGACCTTATAAAAGGCCTTAAGCTACGCTTTATTAGTTATAAGACGCGAGAAGTAAAAGGGGCCTTAGCCGCTATAAAAAGCTTAAGTATTATAAGAGTAGTCGCCCTCTAGACGGTAATCGCTAGGTTCTAGTAGATAATCTACGCGTACGTCGTACCGGACCTAGCGTTCCCGATAATTCTAGGAAACCCTTAGAAGGCGTATAATAAGATTCGTAACGCGCTAGAAAAACGTCGGTACTACTTTAGAAGAGCGAAGCGGTAGGTAGTAAAAGGACGTAACTACTAAATATATAAGGACGATAGCAGTTTTATAACGCTAGCCGTAGCTTCTCCGTCGGACATTAAAAAAGTTCTAAAACCTAAGGAATACTTAACGGTCGACGCGCTTAGGAGTAGACTACCTTTAGAGCTTAGCGATATAGTCCCGTTATTTAATAAGCGGGAAGCAGAAAAACTATCGTCTTATAAGGAAGGGATAGACTACTATATCGATATCTAAAGGAAAGTAGATAGAACCCTCTTTACCTTACCTTAAGGCCTCTTATATAGTATATCGAAAGAAGAACTACTAGTACTTAGAAAATCCCTCGATAAGTTACTAGAGAAGGGATATATAAGACTAAGTACGTTAGAAGTAGTAGCACCTATACTTTTTATATAAAAGCCCGGTAAAGGACTACAGTTCTACTATAATTATAGAGCGCTAAACGTAATTACTACTTAAGACTAGTACTCCCTACTATTAATCCTAGAGACCTTACGAAATCTTACGGGAGCTAAATAGTTAACGAAGGTAGACGTAATAGCGGCTTTCTATAAGATCCGGATAGCCCTTAGCGACGAATATAAGACGGCTTTCTAAATAAGATTTAGCTTATTTAAGTAGCTTATATATCTATTTAGGTTATCTAAGGCTCTAGCGACTTTCTAGTAGTATATTAACACTTTATTATAAGAATACCTAAATAACTTCGCGTTAGTATACCTAGACGACGTTATTATTTACTCGGACGGTTTAAGAGAAGATTACTTTTAGAAGGTAAGGACGGTACTTTATAAGCTTTAAGATAAAGGCCTATACCTAGACCCTAAGAAGAGCGAGTTCGCGTAAAAGAAAATTAAATACCTTAGGTTTATTATTTACGCTAATAGGAAAGGCGTAAGAACCGACCTAAAGAAGGTAGAAGTAGTAAGGTCCTAAAAGGCGCCTAAAACCTAGAAGGAAGTTCGAAGGTTCCTTAGGTTCGCTAACTATTACTAGATGTTTATCTCTAACTTCTTAGAGCTAGCGAGACCTTTAATAGCGCTTACTAGTAAAGGAGTACTATTCTCCTAAGGAAAACCTTAGGAAAGCGCCTTTAATAATCTAAAGGAGAGGTTCTATAAAGCCCTATTACTTTCTAAATAGGACTTAATACTTCCTACCTTCCTAGAGACTAATTATAGTAGCTTTACGCTAGAAGGCGCCCTTATATAAGAAAGAGACGGAATCTAACGTCTAGTTAGCTTCTTCTTATAAAAGCTAAATAAAGTAGAAATTAATTATAATATCTACGATAAAGAGATACTTATAGTTATATCCTATATAAAGTTCTAGGCCCCCGAACTAAAAGCGTATAGCCCCTTTATAATCTAGACGGACTATAAGAACTTAAAATACTTTATAATAAAGAGGTAGTTAACTAAGAGATAAGTCCGGTAGTATAAAGTCTTAGTACCCTTCTAGTTCTCCTTAGTTTACCGCCTAGGTTCTAAGGCTATAGTACTAGATACCTTATCTAGAAGAGAGTAAGATACCCTAAAGGAGGCTAATTACTAGTCTCGCTTTCGTCGCTTTTTAGCACCGGAGCGCGTTAAGGAATAGACGGAGACTAGGGGGAAGACGGTAATAGTATCTACTATACCTACGAATACTAGTATAGTAACTAAAGGACCTTTCTAGGACGAGGAATTAAATTAACTTTAGAAGGACACCGTACCGATAGATAGACTATACGACCTAGTTCTCCGAGTAATAATAAGCGGAGCCCGGTCGCTACTAAGCGAAGTAAAAGTAAAAATCTAGGTAAGGGACTATAGCGTTAATAAGAAAGGATACCTATAGTACCGTAGTAAGCTATAGGTACCTAGATACCTAATATCGTCGGAGGCCGAATATAAAGTAGTA